CGCAAAGGATCCGCCCAAGGATATCCAAAAGTACTGAATTACTATTGGTTCCTTGGTGCAGGTAAGAGCGCGGCGAAGCCTCACCGGTACCTCTCACCTGCCTCGTCGGGATCGTTCCCATTGGATTGTCCCGAATTCTCGTGTGTGACACCAGAGTGCTGACCGCGTGAGCTTGCGAGTCTGACCACCCGGGAACTCACAAATCACAATCCATATCCGGATCGAAAGGAACGGTCCGAGGCGTAGCGTGGAAACCCCCGCGCTTCCCCAGAGATATGATGTAAGCCCCCCCGTAAACCGAGGTGGCGCATCGAGGTACGAGTGTCAGCAATATGGAGTTGTATGTTGTACAAAAGCTGACAGCAACACCACGCCCCTTGAACCGCGGTGATCGGAAATTAGACTCCAACTTGCAAATCGGAACACCAGAAGGGAGCCGTAGAGGCCACGTTGACGGGATGGATGCTGTAACTGGTTGCCGGTGATGACAAATACCCGTTTTGTCTGCAGCATCATGAGATGACTCGGGTTATCATCGTTCACGCGGAGAAGCTACTCACGGCTTCTCGTCATCGTCAAGTAGGCTCAGGTGAGTGAAGCCAGCAGGAGAAAGTAAGATTGGCACGGCAGCCTGTGGCGTTGCATTGAGTAACACGACGGCGCTGTCGAGTTCGTAATAGATTGTCTGTAGAACCGTCCCCCTCGTTTATCCGCGGCGCTGGGTTAGAATTGTCGCACTGCTGACATTTTGTACTCAGACGAGGACGTATAAGGTGTCAGCTTCTAATGACAACGTCGCATAAGCGTCATGATGTTTGCTTGAGTCGACTTGTATATAATCAGGTCCGACTGGTCTGGTCAGGTGTGAGCGACATAGGCAGATTCACAGCATCTGTATCACCGACGATCCCAAGCTTAGACAATACCAAATGCGGTGCTGCATCGTCAGCGTTCTGTATGACCAACCACCAACGGAAACCATGACCGAGCGATCCGATTCGACACCAAACTTACAGTCTCCGAGTGCTGCGGAGGGAGCTATGGTTCGGATTCAAATCAAGCCCCGGAACCTGTGAGGCACGCCGTTGGCAGGATTGACGAAGTGGTTTGTAGAGTTGAGGGATATTGCTGGTGCAGGGCCAGTCAATTAGACCGGGTCCTTTCCCAGTTCATAGCAGGTACATGTGAAGGTGGCAGAAAAGGCGAGAGAAAAATAAACCCTCGAGAGATGGAGATGAATGGGATACCAGGTAGAAAGGACTCGGAGACGGATGGGGGAAGGGGTTGCGCGAGAATGATCGACGTTGGGACGTCTTACATAGGTAAGGTATCTGCAGAGATGCTGTAGTCCATGTGTTGATTGCACCATCATCATTGATGGACATCAGTTGATGGGAAGTAGGTCCCCAGCATCCTGATGAAGGACAGCCGAGTTGTCTGGTCGCCCCGTCTCTCTGTTGATTTTCTCTGCGTCGTCCGAAGTAGGCTCTGACGAAGAAAGACTGCTGTCTGAGACACTGCCTCTGCTTCGCCCAGGAGTAGGTGTTTACAGTCTCGTCCGTGTTGCATAGAAAATTCGATGGTAATGATAGAGGTTCTACCACAGTATTTTCCTCGCTGATTGTATTGCACAGCGTCTAGGTTGCGGAGGCTGCGGCGCGAGGTATGAACTTTCAGGTATGATATGTAAGGTAATTACGGGAACCTGACACGTTATTTTCAGATCGGTAAAGTTAATCCGTACGCGTTCTGAGTGGTCGGTCAATCAGAATCCGCCGCAGAAACCCGCAATCTCGTTTCCCAGTCCTGACGGTAATTTTCGGCCTTCGCCTGAGCGAGGACGAAAACGACGTCTGTCGTAACATCGCCATTATTACTGCCCGGACACTGAACGGTGTTCATCACTTAGTAGCGCTTCGCTCCTATGCATCTCTGTTGTTTGGGAGGGCGCTATGGGTGCAGAGCATACCGGTAGTCCCAATCCGCGTTCATCAACCACGACCGAGCGGGGTCATGGTGAGATACTAACGTTACTGACTGACGAGCCCAAACCGGCCCGGTGGCTGGAGAGTCGGACCAACAAACCCGTCACTCGACCAACACAGCCTCAGCGGCACCGCGGGCATTCACGACTTGGAACCTGAGCTCCTCACTCTGGCAATGACCGGCAAACGCTCGAGTCGCGAAGCTGTTGCTTGACAAACCTGCTGTGCCGACCACCCGGCTGACAAGTCAATGCAAAGAATGTGCACATGACCGGCTCTGTGGCGCGGCGAGCGGCGAGGCCAGGCATTTGCGCTTTTTTGCCCCTTTCATCCGCCTGTCTGGCCCCAGCTCCGTGCCGAACGTGATTTGCAGCCGAGACTCTGGGGAAATGGAGAAGATATTACGGCAAAGGATAGACCCTATGATCGCCCCCGGGTCACGACCGGGGAGCACTGCGGAGTTCTGGCCAGCCGTGGACCGACTGACCACACCTTTGACAGCACATTTACACGCGGCAGTCGCTGTAGCGGCAACACAAGGGTTCGATGTCTCAGTGAGCACACCCTCTTTCCGCTCACCACTCTGGACCCTAAAATGATACCTTACCGACGGCCAGGAAGTTGCTGTGACCCTACTCGAACACACCCGAGTGACGGCATCGGCTCACGGCACCCAGGTTGTCTCGCCAACTTCTTGGAAAGAAGGCGTCCATCGCCTATTCCCGCAGTCCGTTGGACACTTGGAACAAGCCATTACAGGCCGTGGACATCAAGCCGGATACACTGCTAGCATTGCCCGCACCACCCTCATCACTGCATGACCTGGTGACCTCTTCATCCGCCTGGGCCATTCTGGTGAGTACCTTACCGACCACTAAGGGAAAATGCTTCGAGCGGCGCACCGAGTGCCGGACCGTTTGTGCGGCTGAGGTCGGCAGGCGGAACTTAAACCTCCAGCTTCGCTCTTTTGCCGCTCAATTCGAAACGGTTGATTGGCCCTCTGCGCGAACAAAGGAACAGAATAGGTTGCGGAGTGCTCCTCAGCGTTCCATTTGACTTGTCAATTGTACCGGGGCGATTACTACCACGCAGTCGGATCAATGTCTTTGAAGATACCATGCCAAGTAAAGGTATTTGGTACTCCGCAGATATAACCGTTGAACAAGTCGAATTGTTCTGTTACCTAGAGCAGGCAATAAAACGAAAGGAAACGAATGATAGATCAAGGGCGAATGAATCGTGATTTGATTCGTTGATCTTTAGTCTCATGATCTCCGTAACACTCCGTTGCCTCTTGTCACTTGGCGAGTCTCCCGCTTGCGACAATGTCTCTGCTTTAGACTCCTTGCCGTTAATCCTGACGAGCCACTGCGGCAGAAGACGTGCCTTGAGATGGTGAACGGACGAATGGACCCTGAAACCCCCGTCTTGCCCCTCAACAGAAGGTACGGAAGAAGGACTCGTCAACTGACATCCTCCTCTTGATCCTCATTGAGACCAGGATTGGCTGGCTTGAAGCGGGGTGGCGATAATTACTCTGTCCGCTTCGCGGCATTCGGGCAACGGACGACCTCAGCCTCGGCTCTAGGTAGCCGGCTAAGTTCCCCGCGAATATTCGTAGGAAACAGGGTGTGCTCAAAACGTCTCCTGTAAGCAGTTTACCATAGGAGCTCGGAAAAGCGGTCGAAATACGAAGTAGCCCCGATGCTGTTGAGGTTTCTTGCGGTTGGACCTGATTCACCCCGCGCTGAGACGCGGCTACGCAGCGAGGCGGAGCCATTCTCCATCGACGAGCGGAATGTAGGCGGTGAGGCGGCATGCACTGCATAACGTTAGTGTACTGTGTGCTCTCTTGCTTCCATTGTTGAGAGACTGGATCAGTCGCAAGATGTGCTGTAGGCCCGTGGCGGGGACAGGGCTGATAAGCTACATGACGCCTGGACAAACAGGGACAAGTCGCTTCGGGAGTTGCCTCTTTCAGCTTGCACCGGAAGCGACGATGCTTCCAACGTCAGTCAATCGGAGTGTCGAGCGCAAGGCCCACTCCTCAAGTGAGCGCTATGATACTCTCTCACTTGACTTTGCAGATACATCTCGCGATTCGCTCCAATCGACGTTCACTGCCCGTGGCATCTGATAACAAATGCGCCACATCCGTCATGTGGGACACCGCACGAGCCACATCTTCTGCAACGGGGCGAACGCACGTGGATGTGGGGTCACGGTGTAAAAAGGGACGAATCCACTGCAGAGTTTTGCGCCAAGCGTTGCAATGAGAAAGACGGAAAACGGGGGGTACTGTATAGGTATCATGCCTACAACTAACGCATTTGCAACCAAACCAACAAACTGACAGTGACCCAGCTAACGAAAGCTGGCGAGAGCAGGAAGACCGGCCTTGTCAGTCGTTACACAGTACATACAAACGAGAATGATGACCCTACTTAGGTACTGTACTGTGGGCAGTCGGGCCGTCACCGGCATAAGCCAAGGAGTTGTTTGGCCGAGGCGAATAATTCGGCCGCGGAGACAGGGGAGGTTACAAGGGTGGATGATGTTCTGGAAAACCCCGAAACTCTCACCGGCAAGCGGAGAGTGGATAATTTCCGTTTGCACGTGCCGGTTAAATTTCGCCCTCTTTTGACACTTGCAATGTGACGCCTGAATACTAGTACAGTTAACCGTCGGGAGCAAACTGCGGGGAGCCGATTAACGCTGATTCCGAGTTTCATACGGACTACGGCTCCGTCCGGTCTACACTACCTACCTTAGTTACGTCCTTTCGGTTCGAGCATCCATGGATTTGGCAACCTGGTGGCGGAGAGTATATGAGATCCGGACAGCAGGCGTCAATAATACCCTTTTACGTAGACAGAGCGAATACTATCCGATGCGGCAGATACAATATCTAGAGAAGGCACCATTCTGGTCATATGGATGATCCTGTGATAATTCCGATGGTCTAGTGAGCTCGGGACGGAATACCGTAAGAGCTACCCTCGCTTAAGCGAGTGCCTCGGACGCCTCGCCTGTCTGCGCTCCCTCTGTACTGTACCTTGGAGAAGCGCTCGTCTCCCCGGAATCTGGGCGTTGGCTCGCTTCAACAAAGCCGTTGAAATGGTAGCCTTGGCACTTGAGACGCGAAGAGATTCGATGTCCGGGGGCCCTAGCCATGCGCGGCAAACCTCGCATTGCTTCCGTTTTCCGGCAAAGAAAGTGGTCGGTAAAGGAGAGCGCGCCTAGTCTGAAGCCCCATCTACACATTTGAGGGTGGGGTATCGTATACGTCGGGATGAACAAGGCCTGGTTATCGAGAAGTGGTAAAGGAAGGTTGAGATTTTTGGGTTGTAGGAGCCGGATGATATTGGCCTCGCCGCGAGGCTGACAAGGCCGAATGGACCTGCGCTGCACGGATACTAGTATTTACCATGCCAAGGGCACATGTGAGATCAGGCACGGCTTTTCAGTATATAAGTAAGTACCTAAGCTATTGCTGATTCCGGCCCTTAGGCTGTTAACTCTGGGTATCTACACAGTAGGCTTCGTCTACGGGAAACTACTAGTGAGTTCGACAGAGTGCTCCAGAGATGAGGTGATTCGTGGATTGGAATTTCCGGAACTGTCTCCGTTTCTACTTACATAACTACACTACTACTGTACTACTGTACTACTAGTACCTACTAACTGTATGAAGACTCGGCCGAAGCCTTCTCCACCACTTCTAGGTGGAGTTCCCCAGGCTCGCTAATCTACATAGTAAGATTCTACATAGGTACCTACCTACGTATCCGTACACCCATCGGACAGCTTGCGTGTGTATTGCGCATATAAATCTGAGATGGGTTGTACCTCGACGTCAGGATTCACGACAGGAGCATCTAATGTACATCGGCACGGGAACAAACCCATCAAGTCAAGCCACCCTAAAAGACCTCCGATCATCTCGTCGATACGCACGTACGGTCAGTCATCTGTCTGCAGCGGTCTGATGGCAGCAGCAAAGAGTATCCGCAGATCCGCCACGGCCAACCCGGGAGATGCTATGCTCATTCGACTAGAATACGGTGTGATCATTTCGCTACACGAGCCGGACTTCGTCTGCGCCTACCGTAGGTACTGTGCGTTCCTCCAGGTCATGGTTTGACACGGCCATCTTAAAGTGGCCGGCATGCCGCCGATACCATAGGAGGTTCTTATGGTTGCACAGCATCCGCCTCGCCAGATCCGAACCGCGGCTTTCTGATGTGATGCGTCTTGCGGAGAGATGCCATGACTGCATATACAACCCCTGTTCGTTGGAGAGCCGCATTGGCACACCCAGCCAATGCGACTTCGAAATGACCTAATCGTGGGGGTTCCACGAAGCTCATTGTTGGAGGCTGTGGCGTGCAGGTTTGGGGTTCTCCCGAGACGAGTCTCGACAGTCGGCCCCTTGTTTTCGCAGCGCAGATGCCTCCCTAGGGGGACGGCTCGATGGATCGGTGTTCTGGCACTCCAGGCTTCGGGGATAGTCTCCGAATGCGTCGAGATTCCTGTTTAGGTTGTAGCTAGAATACTGCAGTCTACAATACAGGAAAAGGAAAGGCGAAACAGATCGGACCCTGATTACCAAGTGAGAACCGGTCCGCATGATGAACGCAGGCATGTACGGAGTATTGCTGTGTAACCCGTGACGTTGGCGCAGTGGCATTCGGTGCCTGCGGCGATATATCAGATCCTCCTCGACGGGCCCAAGTACGTAAAAGCAGGCCACCTCTGACGCAGCAGGGTTTCCGTAGAGTTCAAAAGTCTGCGATTGTCAATTGTCGTCTCGGTACAGGTGAGGATTAGGAGAAGTTGGCCGTTCAGGAGGTTGCTGTAAACATCAGCCTTTCCTCCCGATGTTCTCCTGTCGAAGTAGAGAGCGCAAAACCCCGATCTGCCATTATGCGTGCTGGATATGTACATGAGAACCAGGGTTGACAGCATTGCCGTACCTACTGTGCAATCTCATCAGCTGGTTCCAGGCCATTAGAGCTATGCGTGCCGACCTGGAGACGACCATTACAGCACACGAATGCTAAGGGGGAGCACGTGCGAGAGCTGAAGGACTGGACGTACAGGTGTATGTAGACGGCGAGAAATTGAAAGGTTACCACTTCGTGACCGAGCATGTTCAGGGTGGTGCGGTGACATCCTCGAAAAGCGACCCGGACGTGGGGGGCCACATGCTTGTGGGGTTGCTTGAAGGATTCTTGAGACTGGGGTCACTAATGAGGGCATCAGTTTGGGACTCTGGGACGGAACCCGCCCATCACGTTCGTCAAAGTTCCCAATGCTTGACGAAGGGGACCTGCCTAGGTTGGAAAAGTCAAGAGTGAGAGAACTTGAGCGCCCTCTGGCATCAACAGCAGGACAGAGACATATTGGTCGAACTAGATGGAACAGTTGTGAATCGGCAAAGGAACCGAGCATCGCCCTTGGACATGTGGTTCCCGGTACCCGGTTTCATCAGCTCTTTCGTGTATGTACTTGCCACAACACACATGCCTTACTGCGTCCTGGTCAATTGCTTCCCGAGGTGCCGGGTATAGCGGACGCCAAGTCTCCAAGGCTCGGCTACCAAGAAGACTCGCAATGCAACGTTAGGATTTGTGTGTTGTTAATAAATCATGCTGTGTAGTAACATTAGTCCGACGAGCACTGAGGCGTCAGGTTAATCACCGCGTAAGACTTGAAAGGGCACAGAGATGCTTGCTTGCAGCGACGGTGAATTCCACGGCGCCGTCAAACTGATGCCGAATCATACCTACCTTGGTACGTACTGTCCACTTCCCGCGTACGGACAGGAGGACTCGGGACGCGACCAGGCCTCAACCTGCAAAACTTCCAAAACACCGGGTCCTTGGAGGGATCCTCATCTCCCAACGGAGCGGAAAAGCAATCTCCTGGTGGTCCCAATGCCACGGTCCCGGCCATTGGCCATGTCGACAAGAGGACCGGGGCGGGTTGCGGTCGATAGCAAGGGAGCTATGACCCATATCCGGCAGTAGCCCGGCGTTTTGTCATGCTACCAAACGCGCCGGGAGCGCTTCCGTAACAGGGATCTGGCCATCCTTCTGGACGCCGGTAACTCCCCCCGTGAGGTTTAGGCATTGGACAGGAACACCTGAGGTGGCCCTTCTGCGTGGGCTATATGAGGAGCGCGGAAGAGGGCAGAAGCGAAGAGAATAGCATCATAGTATGGTTTTGAGCCAGCAGCTGGCTTTGCTTGAGCCGGTCGGGAGCGGCAAGGGAGGCAAGGCACCAACGCAGAGAATGGATGTTCCCATCAGACTCTAGCGAAGTGGAGGGCCGAATACGTCGGTAGTGTACCGTAGGTAAGCAAGATGGGAGTGATTCCAGCCTAGTAGATGCTGTGCCATCAGCATGAATAGGTATGGAAATCGACATGAAGCTGTGGGTCGGCGAGGTCGCTCGCGGCAATCAGAGGAGGCCGCACTGTGAGAAGCGCGATCACGAGGTCAGAGCGAACCGAAAATCGTCACCTGTGACGGGACCAACTGGGCGTCTCCAATCGGGTAGTGTCAGCACAGCACAGCTTCCAGACCAGTTAAATCGACACGCAACCCGTGTTGACCGACGAATTGGCCTTTGGCCAGTCGATCGGAGCCAAAATGAGGGGGCATAACATTAGAGATGCAATCTGGATTTTGGTTGTAGCTGCGCCAACAGGCAGCTGCGTCGTTTGTGCACGCATTACCTCACCTCGTTGCTACCGATCGGAAACAGCCAGTTGGCAGAAGCAAGCAATTTAACGGAATGTGCTCGTGATCACGGCCTGGATCAACTCTCAACCAGGCACGCCCTCAAGCCTCAAAACCGTGGGCCAAATTGACTGGACGAGGATTGGTGGCAATTTGCGGGGAAACCCGCTGGGCACCTGACTTCCTTTCCTCCTGACCTCCAGGTCCCGCCTCGGAAGCGGCGCCTGCTTTCACCGGAAGTCAAAACGGAAGTCGGAATGAGAGATTACAGTTTCCGACAGCAAAAGAAATACGGTAATAAGATGCAAAACTAGGAATACGACTGAAGCCGGAAGCGGAAGGACGATTGCGTCGTGTCGATGATGATCGAGAGGACATAGAAAAACAGCTAGACTTCTCTTCCTCTGCCTGGCGTTAACCCGTTTTGCTACAATCCTAGTGAACTTCTAGGTGTGTCTGTGGGCGAACCATTCTTCCGGCGACATTGTGATACTGCCTGATTAGGATGACTTCGCCGTTTCAGGGTCTGTGCTTGTCTGCTGGATTCGGATTAGAGAAACACCCATTCCGTTACGAGGCTACTCTGTGTGTGCGAGGCTTTTGGCTGATTGGGTAGGGGACCGTTTGCAAGACGCACATGACCCAAAAAAGCTGAACGTGGAGCTACCGGAAGTGGCTTAGCGTTCAAGGGCTTCAGCTAAACTGATTTTGGGAGTATTTCGTTGCGCTCTGAGGCGCCCATTTCAGTTTGAGAAAGCCAATCAGCGCCTCCAGGATTCTTCGGTCCGTTCGCGCGAAGACTCCCAGGCAGTACGAATCCACGTATTTATCCTGGTATCGGTCCAACCGCAGACCGCGCACATGCGTCTCCTGAAGGCAATTGATACAGGAATGCTCATAAGATAGTGTCTTATTGAAACTCCTGGCCCAGCTAAACAATCAAAAGGTGGTCGCCCCTTGGTGAGCTCTGTAGAAAACCACGACGGCTGAATTACAATGATACCTACCTAGGTCAGGTAGGTACCTAAGGCCCCGGCCGTGTGCTGAGGTCAGTCAGGTACGCAACTCAAACTGCCATTCTTTAGCCCTAAAGGCTCCACAACCCCCTCCGCCACTCAATCCCTCCTCTCGGCTCCGCTTGGCTGGTACTCCGGGAACTTCTGAGGCCTTGTACCGGTACCAGAAAACTGAGACCGACCAGGGTGTGCATGTCGTGTGTACCTTCCCTGGTACCTCATTGCTTTTATTCACCGCGCATCGAACCCGCATCCCACGCTACCCAGCCCTGGCCCAACACCTGCGCTCCGACAATTCCCTATACATACATGAACCGCCCATCCCCACTACACAACCTCCCTTCCCGTTCTTCGCATCTAAACCTCACCGACCGACCGCGCGACCGCAACACGGGAATTGGTCAATTACTGCACGACCGCACGTAATCGAGTGTCCCGAACGCCATCACCGGTGACTCGACAAGCAGTGGCACTTAGTCGAAGACAGGGTTTTACGAGACGCGATTTCGCCGACGTCGTTAAATTCATAACACCAAGGGCTCGATCACACGAATCTGAGCCAATTCAACGAAAGCCGAGAGGACTCAAGCAGTATCCAGCATATACGAGATCCGGATCACCGATCTCACTTCGCTACGGGTGCAGTGCAGATCCGAGAGCCGCATTCAGCTGAGCACTCTGATCGCGAACCTCCCACACCAGCACACGCACAAACGACAACTGTGGCCATCTTTGGCGAAATCAACATTGCTTCTGATAGGAATCCAGAACCTGCTCGAGAGTTCGAGCAGTACGTCGTCATCATGCCGTTGTCTTTAGAGGCGCCTGTCCTGCAGATTGACACACATGTCATCCACAAGGTCGACACAACAAACCCCGCGAATCTCTTCAGCATGTGGACCGGTCAGTTTGCCTGCTTGATCTCAGCATCAGCACAGTCCGCTAACACGTAGAGTAGTCTTCGCAAGGTGTCGCGAGTCGGTCGCTCAAGGAAGGAGACTGGAAAATTTGAGCTGGCGGCTGTGGAACCGGGAGACATTCTGCTGTGAGGGCCAAGAGCTCCTCGCGTCAGCCTGCGGTAGCAGCGCGACCAGCAAGCCGCAGGACATACAGTATCCCAGCGGGATGGTCGCCGACGACCTGCCTCAGCTTTCCGGAAGCGTTGACTCAGTGGCCGACGAAGAGGCCGTTGACTTCACAACGGACTCAGCACCGATGGACATCGTACGCCCGAGGATACAGAGACAGGATTCGTGTGCAAGCAGTCGCAGTCGCGGCCGCGAGCGCCACATCACCTCGGACGAACTGGAGAAAATGGTCCTCTCGATTGTGGAGGCCAAGGAGCCGCTGAACGCTCCCCTGCCCATCCTCCCTCGCTCTCTATCCGAGACACCGACGAGCCCGACGAGCCCCCCCGAGCAGGAGCGAACCGGTTTTAGTAGCACCGAGTCGCCGTGCGAGACTTCTGAAAATACCTCGCCCGAGTCGATCCCGATGGAAAAAGTATCGGAGACGGTGGCGCAAAGTCGGACCATCGTTACGCGAGGTTTCTCGCCGTCCCAGATACCCATGTGTCGCATCACCTCCCAACCTACAAAGGGCCCTTCTCCGTCTGCGATCCCTGAGCCCACGGATGGCCCAACTCCCAAGATTATCCTGCCCAAGAAACAGCAAGCAAAGTTCGCCCTCGGGGGATCCTCGGGCTCGGATGAAGAATCCTTCAAGGACGATGCGGAAACGAAGAAGCAGCTCGCCGTTCCACCGAGAACAAAGATGTTCCAGCTTGGTGGCTCGTCTGGCGAGGACGATTCCCCACAGGGTGTACAGCATCTTCAGAAACCTACGACGTACGGGCAGAAAAAGACCACCTCATTCAACAATCAAGTTGTAACTCAGACCTATACGTCGTCGGCTATTAGCGATACCGAGGATGATTATATTGATGAGAGCGCCATTGACGACGACGACGAAGATTGGGAGGAGGAGTCCGGCGAGGAAAGCGGCCGCTCAAGTGTTGACGAGAAGATTGACTTCAAACGCGTGGACTCCACCGCCCATCTACCCTCGCGTCGGTCACTCATCACCCTCATGCTCGCGGCCAATAATCCCCGTTCCCAGAGACTCGGCAACCTTGCGTCGCAGTCAACATCTGCTCTTCCCCGAACCCGGACATCGCTCAATGGACCCTCACTTGTTGCGTCACCGAATGACTCGGACGAAGCACCATTGATGATGAAAAGGGGTACCGCGCGCGCACCGCCAATGAGGTCCATCAACGAAGTACCCCGGTCCTCAGCACAGCCGATCAACGCGGCTGCCACAGGAATGCATCACCAAGCCGCGCTCTCCCCGCGCACAACTCGGCGTAACATGATGGCCACTGAGTTGACCGAGTCCCTCCGGAGAAACCTCCTTCTCGAACGGTCCCACAGGACCTCTACCGCCAACGCAGTCCTGAAGCGTCGGCACACCTCAACTGATGTGGCGAATCTGAGGCAGTACCCAGAGAGGCCCTTCATGAACAAAGACAAGGACGTGGATACCAATCCGAATAGCTGGGACCAATACTTCCAGAACCCCTTCGCTGGTCAAGCGCCGGCCTGGTAATGCATTCACCTTGCTCGCCAACAACCTTACGACAGATTTCACTTGTATCTACGGAAGGATACCCCAGAGCGGCAGCCTATTATCGCTGCTGTGTATTACATATTCGGTTCAAGCATTGCGGCCGGCCACGGCTTACGACACGGAACATCACTTGGCTTGCGATGCATCAGTCCGTATCGCGCTTTTCGTTTTTCTTTCTGGTTTCATCATCAAGCGGCGTTACCTTTTTCCCCCATCATGATACCACTGGCTGCATCTGCTTTTTCGTCCAGGCAAGAAGGGAGACGGATGTATGTACTCTATGGCTGGGAAGCGCCAGCGGGCGACCGCGGGAGGGCGCTTCCGTCTTTCTGCTTGGTAGAGGACGCATGGCGTGTCAGAGCGGGGTGTGCTCTCAGACATGCTCGCTTTAATGGGATGCAGTGAGGAGGAGAAAACGGAGTTAGTCGGAGAGGAAAATACAGTACAAGGAGTTGACACAGCAAGCCCAGCGTTAGGCGATGCGTCCCACGCTCAGTTGTCACATCTACACTAAAAATATTACAAGTCACCAAAAGACGAGGAAAACAGACTAAAAGGATATTTAAGACCATCCTTGTCCATTGCAGAGTCGGTGCCCTGGGTGCCCATCACAGTGAGCAGAAAGTAAACTCGACTCCGAACTCTGGCTAATAACCCGAAGCCCCTCGGGCCCTTCCAAGTGCTAATGATCAACGACAATGGTACCCAGATCAGGTGAGGTGTTGGGACTGACATCCTAATGTTTACGGAAATCTCTTTCTTTTCTCTGCGATGTTCGTTTGCCCATCCCTCCTTCGGCTTCCTCCGTAACCATACATCACCACTCTTCACTTAGAGCTATCTTTTTCATGAGTCAAGTCTAGACCGCGCGGGCAAATTGTTCTGTTCGACTGAGCGGTCCCGAATGGAGAGGCATGTGCCCGAAGAAGATTGTATTTTTCCCTTGTTCACTCTCTTTGGTCTTGTTCTCGACTTCGCCTCTTTGTTATTTGCTCGTGTGTGGCACACATTACGAAGTGGCTGAACTGTCACGGCACATGTATCATGTGAAAGGGCAGGATGCTGGAACATTCCGAGCCACGTCGGAGAGCATGCTGAAATGGTTGCGATACCTTGATCAGGTTCCGTGCTCGTTTGTTCCTCAATTTCATCGCCGTTGGCCCTCAGTTCAGGTTATCCTGGCAGTGTACGGTGATGTCAAAACTCGCCAGACTTGGCAGACACAGGTTGTACTGTTACTGTACTTCAGACCTCTACTTCCATTTGCAGAAATACAGTGCTTCGGGTACCAGGATCACGATTCACGACAGCAGACCGTCTACCCGATCGGATCGAGGCCACCCGAACAAGGCTCACATTATGCTACCTACATGTAGTACACTCGATGGTACCCTCTGGTGCAACTTGAGCCAATTTCTGCCGTTGGCCCAGACCTCTCACTTACAGCATGTCTGCCACACCCAACACCTGGTTCCAGTTTTCCTTCCTCCCCGGTGCAAGTTCGATCACTAGGAATGGCCTATTGCAGGTTGCGTTCCAAGTTACCACCGGTTCCGTTCCGTCCGCTTGTGTAAGGGGCACCGGCCCGGCTTCACGCCAGAATAATGTTCTTCACCCACAGACCGAACCGTCGAGAACCAACGACTTTGATCCGTTCGTACTGTATATCATTCGGTTTGAGGACTCAAGCAAGGAGGTCAAGTGGAAGTTAAGGCTTCGGTGGAGTGAGCGTCCCAAGTCGTTCTGGCGTGGCGTGCAGAGACATGATGCAAAACATCGGCAAGGGTCGGTTTAGGGTTGGTCAATCGGGAGGTAGCAAGATGGCTTTTTAGTATTTTATTGATCCTGCCGCATCTTGCTTGCTTGTTAGAAGCCTGGCACTTCTTACACATCTGAGTCACCTACAGAGCTATCCACTAACCTCGTTATCATCTGCCACAGCCGAAGAACTACCTCATGTTGTTAACCTTTTGCCCAAGCTCAGCAATGCCTAATCACCCCTCTCTGGCCTTTCCCGGACCCTCACCCATGGGTTTTGCTTACGCATTCAAGTTGTGTGTTCTTCTGATGGCCCAGTGCGCGGCGAGCGGGGTCCTGAGGAATTCATCCCACTTCTACGGCTGGTTGTGGGTCACCGTGGGCGGGGGACTTTTCGAGCCTGAAGCGTCTTGAATTAGTGTAAGCCGCTCATAGCAGGTATCTCTGTGAGTTCATTTGATCCCAAGGGAGTAAAATGGACCTGTATTTTATCTTTCAAGGCATGCGCGCGTCAAGTGAAATCTGCAATGGGAAGGGTGTGGAGGTGGTGCCAATCGCGGACGGCATCACCATCGCACACCACTAACCCGCGGTCGTTACAAGCCAGTCCCTATTAAGACTTCCAGGGCCGGTTACGATGCATCACGGCGGGTAGATTTCACGAGAAAATGACAAACAGTAGGCGTCGTTGCCTGGCAATAGATATCATTGGCGTTCTAACCGGTAGCTCTCCCACTCTTGAAGGGACTCAGCTCTAGACCGGGCATCGGGTGAACAATGACGCCATCATGACCAGATGGTACTTGTACAGCACCTATGTACTAGTATTGCTCCGTTTGGCAGCCGCAAGTGCTTAGGGTATTATCTTAGTTCTAGAACTCAATACCCTAGAACTGGGACCGCACTCGCATAAACAGATCGTTCGTAGATGTGCTTACTGGAGGACTTTCGCAGGTGTGCCCTCGTCCTTGATGCGGGAAGCGGAAGCCACTCGTCCCAAAGTACTAAAATAATACACAGTCCGTGGGGCCCAAGGTCGTTGAACGTTTCGCATTTGAAGATTGCCAGAGAGAAAACCCTGCCACGAAGACTCAAATAGCTCTCTCAGAAGGGTAGAGCGACGCGGAACCTCGAATGAAGAGTACTTTGTCCGATTGCCACAACTTGAACTTCAGCGGTTACCGATGTGATGACTAGAGCTTGCGCCTTCGTGCCGTGGACGTAGCGAGAATAAAGTCGCACCGTTTCCCCTTACCTAATATCACGATACCACCTACCAGGTAGATATATCAGATTGAAGCAAGAGATAATGAGCAGCGGCTGGCTGGGTACTGTACAACTAAGGCTCGGATAGGAAGCAAGTCACTTGTAACATGATGTGCGCACCGCGGTATGTACAGTACTTCCCCATATCCGACGCAAAGCCATGATATTGAGACAATTCCTTAACGCATGTAAAATATATACGAACAATTTTGACAAGTTCCTTATAGAAGCCGGGCCATTTTCACAGTTTTGTCTTGAAAACGGGAGACAATTCATCAGCAAGGTGCGGCTTGTGCAGCTCGGTTGGCTGACAGCTTCCGCTGTCGGGCACGCTTCAATGCATGACAGCAAAAGCCCCGCGCACAAGCGGGACATGGAGGGGTAGCTCGTGCTCGAGCGTCATCTGTTTCGTTGGGCAATGGCAGCTCTGAGCTGGCAGGGGAGGCAGATTGGTGGTGTCGTGTTGCATCATATCTGCGCGTAGGGCTTGTCGAAGCCGCATGGTTGCATTTGCCTCGCGACAAGCTTTCTGCCGTGAGCAATCGTGTACAAATCATCGCGGACTGCGCCGGCTCACCGACTTTTACAGCCGCATTGTTGCGCTTGACATTGGTCTCCTTCCGCCGGACTCGAACTTCACCACCACTCGGCAACCCGTCTATTCGTTTGACTGTCACTTAGCCGATGGAAGGGTGGGGGCTGGTGAATCTCTTCGCAGCTTGACGACCAGCCCTTTTCCGCAGTATCATCGATGCCAGCACAGCGTCGGTTTCCCGGTGGCTTGGGTCCCTCGGCCTATTGTTGATCTCTGGAGGTTACCCCGATGTATACCTTTCTGCAGAGGGCTTTACCACAATCCAAACCTTCAACGGACAGACCCGTCTGTTCCTGGCTTGGCCACTCTCCACCTTGGGTTTCGAGCGTCAGCAACTGGACCCAAGACCCTCCTAAACTCGCAAGTCGCAATGGCGCAGTGTGCGGGATGCGGCACAATTGGCCATGTTAACCTGCAAGTCAGTGGGATAACAAGTCATTCAGCTTGTTCCATTGACAAGGTAGGTAGTGATATCGGCGGTTTGGCTTGTCGAAGCCATGTCTCGGAACAGAGTTACGGAGACACCTCGGCCTATCGCATTATTGGGGCATGCCACCATGAGCTGAGCCAGGCTGTCAGGGTTTTTCGAAGCCCCCGTCACTGCTGACAAAATCACAACAGCAGACAACGTTGCCGGGCACTGCCGGGTTTCGCGGGCTCGCTTGACGTTCGGAGTACATATACCTACCATTAGTTACGGGTATCGGGCCTTCGTCGGACGGTATGTCTCCTTCCAGACTCCTGGACCCAGAGACCAAAGCAAAGCGGGGCCAGCGGCATTATTCCCGAAACATTTCCTAATTAAGAAGGCTTCCAGAAGCCTTCGCCGGGCTCCACACTCCCGAGGCAATTCCCGGCTATATGACTCGCCGGGCGTCGTAGCCGGACGCCGGCAGTTCCACGGGCCCCTGACGAAAGCTAACTCGGCAGATATTTCTGCGGACGGCACATGATGGGAGGTAGTCAGTACAAGTTCCTCTCAGTGGCGGCGGGCAGCGACCGTACCCTACAGTACTCGCTTCATGACTAAGTAATTAATCTCCTCTGGTTTCAGCATGGATGGCTCCATGCTCCGCCCGCAGGCAGTACACGTCGAAACTTGACCCGCCTATTCATCAGGGTATTGGGTTATGAGCGTGCAGCCTTTGCGCATCCTTCTCCCTTTCCTCCTACGCTTCTCTTCTCCTCCCACCCGAGATGATCCACCTTGGACCCTTACTCTCTTACCCAACGGACAAACCGGGAGGACCCCTAGACAGGGATGGCCTTAATTCGCGGGAAACCTAAAGGTTATGTGGCAAAGATCGTCAAGAGAGCGACCTCCTCCTCCACGTCGATGAGGCCTGTGTGAAGCATGTCAGGGCTAGCCTGCCTGAAAACAAGCCCATGTCGGGGTCATATTTCCTCGGCCAAACGGTGGGCAGACGTTGTTATGTCCATGTACGAGAGCCTGGCGGTGGATGCATGTACAATGCCTCGAGAATACATACCGGTTGACTGTGAGTATGTTGCCCGGCACAGGATGAGATCTCTGACTCGGTTGGGCAGCTTCAGAGTTCGTGGCTTGTGAGTGGCACGGTTTGCTCTGAAGTCGTGGTCGTGTGGAGCTGAAGAGAAGCAGAGACTAGACAATGATGTCAGTGATGAGCTTGTGTTCGTCGGAGAATTGAAGGTTAGTTCGCTCATCTCGTCTGATCTACTAGTAAATTAAATGAATTCTTTTTATTTTCTTCTAGACTGCCTGTATCTGGAAATATTTCGTGTTGGGACGGAAGACTATGCGGTTCCTACCATCCAGCCTGCCTAGCTCTTATCAACACAGAGAGCAACTCTAGGTACTGTAGCTACCACAGCTTTTGTACATCGAGATGGGGTTCTGCAACGCTCGTCTATTGTCGAGGAGTGCTTCCGAGTGCCGTCAACGATTCTCTTAAACTGAATCGGAGAAGCCTTCTCCCTTTCTGGTAATGAGACCGTTTATATGGAACGCGGCCACTGCTCGTGGGTGATCTGCATGTCCACGAGACAATGAAGTTACAGTCTCTGTCTCGTCTCGGAGCATCTTCCCATACCACTGTCTATCGGCGTATATGGGTGGCATTTTCACATGTCAGGGACACCTCGTTGACGTGCGCCAAGTTCGGTTGCCAAATATGGAGGGCTTGCAGAACCGGACAGACTGACTCGGTCTGACGTCGGACCCCGGGAAGATGCGGAACCGGATAACAGATTCTCCAAACGGGGTTTAAGCTTTGGTTATTCTGGCGATTTGCAGGTGGATGTAATACAAATGCCTAGAAGGGAGTGCGGAATCGCCCGATGGACGTTGGGAGATCGGAATGACCACAGCTTCTCGTCGAGCTTCCCCGCGAAGGAGGGTACCCTATGATGGAAGCCACTCTTACAATTGAGATCTATTGGGTATGATTGAAGCTGGTTTTTAGAGGAAGAGTATCCAATGATTGACAGTCTCGGTTTAGAGTCAGGCCTAAGGAGCTGGTGAGCGACATGATGCCGGACTGGTCAGCGGTCGTCGCAGCAACCGGGGGAGCTTTTGTTGACTTCAGGCAACCCCCTTTTTCGATTCCCTCTTTGCTGAATTTTAGCAACAGCCATGGATGGGCCGAACAACTACTCAGCGTGTATGTATCGTCCGTGCATTCAGACACTTTGCCGAAGTATAAGGCTACCGCATTATCTTCGTGAGCATATTTGCTTCCCTTCCTCCCAACCCTCAACCCGTGCGAAGTGTCAGATGCGCAGAAACCAATCTCCCGCGCTTAGTCCAGCATTTCCGTCTCACATTCTAGACCCTACTCCTTCCATCTTCCCATCGTCTCCTCGGCTAATAAACCGCGACTTCATGATTTCACTCGTGAGCTCTTTAGAACACGGTTCTAGCTGAAAGCTTGATTCTTCCTTCCTGCCCTAACTGGCTCTATCTGGACTGAGACAATTACTCGGGCGGCCACCTCCATCTTCCCCTTACCCTCTTTCTTAAGTTCAATTCGCCAACCACACTGCTGCGCCTTCTTCTCTCCGACCTAACCGACCAATCTCCTCCACCACCGAGGCGGAGAAGAGTAACCTTCTCTTGAGTGCTTTTTATACTGTTCTCCTTCCTCCTAGCCCCTTTTATCGCGTTCATTGATTCCATTTCTTGGAACCTACCTTGATCCATTGTGCTTTATTGCTAAGCGGTCAGAACCGTTCAGGATTCTGCCCGAATTATGGGACGGTAGGATCTTGTTTTGCAAACTCCTTAGACCTAATATCTCTTCTTCCTCAAGCAAGTTTCTTTCTCGTAACAAGGCGCGGCTCTTCTATCATCTCTACACTCTTTGGAAGTTCCTGGCTCTAAGTATTCGATGTCTGATTACCCGGTCGGTTCAATTTGCCTACAAGAGACTCTCAAGGTAAAACCGCCCTAGGGGCTGTCCATCGAAACACGCCACGCCCTGCAACAAATACATATAACACACGTGAGTGGATATTCTTTCGTATAAGAGTGTACTAATCTTGGATAGTACCTAAGAAATAAGTTCTCTTAAGGCAAGAACAATAGATTCGTCGATTACGCCCAAGACAGAGCCATCTACTAGCGCTAGTGGGGAGCAGTTTGCCTAGGTAGGTCAGCTGCTCAGACAAGGACATATGCACGCGCGTTTTCGTCAAGCAGTAGGCCGTTGATGATACCCTACGACATGCTTTAAAGCCGGCTGTCCGGTCCTTTGGGATATCAGGGACAGGGCGTGGCTGGGCGTTCGGTCATGGGATCGCCGACGAGTTTACTGGTTTGACCTTGGGATGAGTTATGTGTACCCTTCAAAAGTTTCGCAAGCAAATGGGTTTACAGATACCAGGGTTTGGCGCTTTCGTTTCACCGGTTCAAGATTGCGTTGAATTCCAATTCAGATTTAGGGACTTGCAGGGAACAAACAGGCTTATAGAAAACCACCATGTCTAACCACCACAGACTCAGAATGCATACAATAAATACACATGAGACAAATCACTAGCACCGAATCTCTGACGACGGAGTGGAACATTGGTCTCGACGAACCGAGGCTTCCTAGCATTTGAAACCGGCGCTCTGGAAACGGCGGCTTAGTCTTGCTCTTGAGTTACCACCCGAAAGGGTCATGGGCCTCCCATGATCAAGTGGCGCCTAGCTTACCTGAACGAAGGACATGAAGGTCACGAGAGAGCAACGCGGACAGACACAGACTCTGAACGTCGATCGAAGAGAATGCCGCCCTTTGTTTGTGCCATCTCATCCTATAAACCATCCCCCCCAAGTCATGAAGTGAAGGAAGATCCCACCCAAGCAACCATCATCAACCCATGGGTATTCAAACATAATATGTACATGTATAAACACGGCGTAGACCCAGTAATGCGGCTGGAGCATACACCGAGTGAATTGGCGTCTCGAACGGCTCCCAAGAGAGTATCGTGAGCGTCCTGCCCGATACCTATAGATCCAGCGATGAACCGGCTGGATTAGAAATTACTCAGGTGTTGTTTGTGTGAAAATCAAAGTCATCCATCAATGTTAATATCTCGGCCCACCTCCCCTCTCCAAGTCTTGATTCCATCCGTTGTTACCGTACCCTCCATGAGAAGGACCCGTCGGGTTTCTGGCCGTCATTGGGTTCGGCTGCCCCGCATACCCATACTCGCCGTTGGTGTCTGGCTCATCGTACGTGACCGCGCTGATCATGTTTCTGAGAGAACTGTTGCTGGCACTAGGCTGATGGTATGGCTGATTGTACGATCGGCCTGCGCTCTGCATACTCCTCATCGAGCCGCTGCTACCGGTCGGGCGATGGTATGGCTGCATTGGCGCCGTCCTGGATCTTGGAGGAGGAGCAAACTGGGCCGGCCCCCTAGGGGGCATCGAGTTGGTGACACTGCGGATGGGGTAGCCATCAGGACCATTCCCGCGCGGGGACATTGGACCGCTGCGATACGAATTCGTTGACGGAGCGGGGCTAGCACGACCGCTTGAGGGGTCGTCAAAGGGAGACCTGGCGTTGATAGGGTTGGGCCACCTGTCCTTCGATTGATTCGGGCCCTGTCCTCTGTAATTTTTGTAAGGACCAGCTGGCGTCGCGACTGGCAGCGGGAGGGACGGTGCGGTCTCAGAGGAATATGGAGCGGGGCTGGCTGTATAGCCGGCGCGAAGAGATGAACCATTTGAGCCCATCCGCTGGAGTTGTTGAACAGGAAACCCAAAGCCCCCGTTGGACGCGGGAGTCGCAGTGCGGACCGGGTGGTAGGCGTCAAGCTCAACCGGCGGCAGAGTCGGGATGCGTGACTCTGAACCGGCCATGCCCATATCGGCAGCGCTGTTGAGCAGTGACGCTTTCGAGGAATACGGACTCGCTCCTGACTCCTTGGTGTCTGACCGTAATGGAATCGTCGGCTTCCGATCCAGAGGGCTCATTTCGAAGCTCCCGGACATGCTCGAGAGCGAAGGCTTCTCAGAAAAGGAGGCGAAAGTATCCGCCCGGTTAAGGGACGGCATCTCGGGAAGGTTGTCGCCGCCAAGCACGGGGAGAGAAGGCTTCATCGTCATCGGCCTCTCTTCGCCTGTCTTCCGGGCGGCCTTGAGCTCTGCTTTCTTCCGCTTACGCTCCTCCTCGGCAAAGGCCTTGTTGATCTTGATGGAGACGATCTGTTTGAGTCTCTTGTTGACCTTGCGCTCGCAGAAGCCGGTCAAGCCGCCGTCTTCGCGAGGAATGTAGCTCCACAAGAAGAAGACAAAGAAGAGAGCGGCTAACAGAAGAGACAGGAATGAGAAAACCCAGATAACGAGAGTGAAGAGCATGCCAGATAGGACAGCAGCCTGTCGAGGTTCCTCCGCAGCAAGAGCCCTGATCTTATCAACAAAGTTGGAGAGGGACGACTCGAAGTTGGACCCGTTGATCTGAAGCTTGGCATTGTAGACCGAGTAGAGAGTGAGGGCATTGATAGCTTGCCGAGGCCCGGAACAAACAATCGTGCGGATCCAAGCTTCCCCAGGGTTAGCAGGCTGCGCCGAGGTCCCTAATCTCAAACTGGAGCACCTTACACTGAAAGCTGAAAAAGGTAAACAGGGCGATGTACTCGGCCCCCTTCTTGCTCTTCGTCAATTCCGCGAAGACAAGGAACCGCTTCCATCCTCTGCCGCTCCCCAACCGGATACTTTCCAGTCGCGCGGCTAAACTATCCAGAAAGCACTCAGCAACGCTTCCACGTCGCATGATGGTCACGGCGCGGAAATATTCGTATGCGAGGTTGGCGAATGAGAGGATGATGCAGATGGAGAAGATCCATTTTGAGATGTCGAAGGGAACCAGCTGAGTGGGCTCAATTTGCGAGGACCACTTGTTGAAAGCTAGCAGCTGGTATGCGGTGAAGACATCGACGGCATAGACGGCGAGGGAAATAATCAGAGAGAACCAGAGGTAGCCGTAAGCGAAGGGTGTGAAGCAAGAAGTGGACTTGAAGTCATTGAGGCTCTGAAGATCGCATATCAGCTTGCAGGTCGCGTTGACTCGTTCTTCGTATGTCACTCACGATGAAATCCCACTTCTGCTCTGGGTTAACTTCAACATCGCGTCGGCGATGGCTGAGGAAACCCATTGTATAGACGGCGCAAACCAGGCGCGAAGAACCAGGCTAGCCAAGTGAAGAAGATCGATATGTCGACGCTGTCGAGAAATTGACGAATTTCAAATTGTCGACACAGATCAATGTGTCGTCGGGGGTATCTCAAAGGTATTGGATAAAGTCAGATCGTCGTCATTCCCTCTACACAAGTCGGTCTTCGCCCGCGAAGAGATCGACTGTGTTTAGCTCGGCGAAGGAGCCAGACAACTCCAGGTTTTCGGCGACGGTGAGGTCACGTCGAGCGAAGAAAAGAGACACCAAAAGAGGGAAACGTCAGAAAGTGGGTCGAATGATGGGATTCGGAAAGGCCAGCAGCGGCCTCAACAACGTTTCGTCCCTGCTAGCATCGCGATGGTCGTGGAAGCCCGGGGTCCGTAGGTTTGGAAAACAATGCGACCACCAGAGAGACAAGGAGAGGGCTGCCGCGGTCCGCTAGTCTGGTGGAGATGACAGCAATGGACCGGCCTCTGCTTGGTCGGATTGGAGGAAGGGGAGCCCGATAGTGAGTGCGCGGTCCCGAAACGCCGTCGAGGCGTTGTTGGGTTGGTTGGGCAAAGAGTGATGATGACTTGATAGATTAGAGATTGTCTGCTGGGTTCCTGGTTTGATCGGCTGGGCGAGTTTCCAAGCCCTGGTGTCGGATCGGCCGATGGAGAAGAATGCGCGACAAGGCTGGCAGACGAGGGGTTGCTGCTGCATGTGTTGAATAGGCAAATGTTACAATAGCTGGAAACAATAGCCTGTTGTTGTGGTGAATAGTGAGCTGTCTGATTCAACGAAAAGCTGCCATGAGTCTGCTGTTGGGATAAAATGAATGACTAGACAGTCGGTCACCCTCGGGCAAGCTCATCTGGAGAGGCCGCCATGACAGTCCGGGAAGGGAGTGTGAAGGGGTCCCTGTGACAAGAGTGGATGATAAGGGGGATCAATCCGGACAGGGATGAGGAACGGATGGAGGAGGGTCCCACAATTCGGCCCCGGATGGCTTGTGAAATTGGCCGGTTTCCCGATCGAGTGTGGGGGAGGATCCGCTTGTCTTAGAATGCTACAAGATAGCAAGCCCAATTGGCGCAGGAGAGCAGCTTCAACTGCCAATTCTCTGTACAAGGCTGGAGGCTCCGAAGCCCTGTCAATTCTGCCCCTGGCCCTGAGTCGGGAGAGGCGCATTCACCCGTTGATTGGCCCAGTAGGCCGGCCCTTGCATGCCCCATTTGAGTTCACACGCCATGAAACATCGGCCCAACCACTGACGAGAACGTCGAGTCCAAGGGGTTTATTGCAAAACACGGAAACTCAATTCCGAAGCAGCAGAAAGGCGAGTGGCGTCTGCTCGGCATCGACGAGATGATGGACCGCCCTACCAAGCATTTCTGGAGAAGGCCAACGGTTTACACAACAGTGACCGCTGTGGGATGTTGAAGATGTTGAACTGGAACGATTCGATCAGATGACATAGGCTCGTCGCGGGAACACTGGCAACAGGCTGCCAATGCGATGCCACGTTAGCCTCACTAAGTGGTCAACCCTGCGCTGATCCGAACTGCATCGTGGCTTTCGCGGCCAAACGTGCTCGACAACCGTTGTATTGATGTTACACCTGTCAAGGAAAAGCGTGTTGGAGATGGCGCGTAGCACCAAGCACAATCCATTCTTGCCGCGCGCTTCTTAAAGTGTTTATAAATGGACCGAGGCACTCCGATCTGCATGCCGTGCATCCCGAACTGTCTACTCTCGCTGCCGTCTGCCGTGCTCTCTGGCTTCCAATGGTCGGTCTATAACGGTCTACCGATAACTGGTCTAAGCATCTATCTAGTCCTTGATATGCCGCACATTTGTTGCAGACGTCTCGATTCCCACATCGTGGGGGCGCCTCAGTGCGCTCTAAGAACCAAACGTCTAATGAAAACGACTCGATAAAACGCCGTAATTTAGGAGACCACGAAGATCACCGGCCTGCAGCACCGGCCCGAGCCCTGACCATCCGATCAACTTGACCCAGCCTGGCAAATCAAAGCTACCGGTTCCTCTGCTCAAAACTGACCCCCCCACTCCTCCTCCATCCGACTTTTGGTTGCAACCCTCAATTCCATCTGCTCCGTCTCGGTCAGGGGCTGTGCGCTTCCCCTCCTGCGCCGCCAGCTAACCTTGGTCTCCCGCAGACTCGCATCCGCGTCCTCGCCCTTTTCATCCACGAACTCATAGGTCCGCCACTCCGTGTTCGCCCACCCGGTTCCCGCAGCCGGATTCATGCCGTCCCAGTCCTGCGTCAAGAAGTGCAAGAACCCGCCATGCGTGACCACGATGATGTGTGCATCCACCCCGGGCTGCTCCCGCTCGAACTGCCGGCCCAGCTCCCGCAGCCAAACCCGCGCCTTGCGCGCCCTGGCCTCGAGCCGATCCATCGCCGGCGCAAAGGGGCTCGCACCCGCCTTGTCGTTCCACCCGTCCTTCACCAGGCCCAGGTCAACTTTCTCAGCAAACTCCCCCGCCAGAGTCTCCGCTGACGAGCCCGTGTCGCACGGCAGCGGCGAGACTTCCTGGACTTCCGGCAGAGCGATGACCCGTTTGCCTGCCTTGACGGCCGGCTCGAAGGAGAGCAGGCAGGTGTAGATGGTGCGGCGCAGCGGGGAGGCGACGAGGTGGGTGATCTGGTCCTGGAAGGGGAAGGTCTTCTGCAGTGCGGCACATTGCTCCTTGCCGAGAGGCGTCAGGTCCGGGTCTGGGAGTGAGTGATTTGCGGCGCACAGGTTGTGGAAACCTTGAGCATGGCGGACCAGATGCACGTAGGTGGGCATTTTGAGTCGGGGTTCCAGGTTTGGTGAGGTTGAAGGTGAGTGCTGGGATGAAACTTGAAGTGATAATGCACGGACAAAGACACAGGAAAGATCTGACCTTGTACAAGTACTTGGCCCACGTAAAGTGTCGGGTTTGTTTGTTTATAAGACCCAAAGTGATCTAAAGCAAGAGTACCTTGAGATCTAGAGAAAGATTTGCGTACGGATCAACGTAGGATCCGCACAATACGAAATGCTCAGTGAGTCATTGGCGGGTTCCAATCTACACGTGTACTGCGTAGCGAGGGTTTGGCCGACATCTCGTTAGGCTCCACCTGCTGTCCAACTTTGGCAGCTCCGATGTGAGCGGTGCTAGAAACCACGCGCACTCCCGCTATGCGGTCATTGGCGGGGTGGTTAAGGAGGATGGAGGAACACGACCACAGATCTCTTGAGATTCCTTATGAATAGTCCCATTCCAATGGATAACTCTTATCGTGAATGGTAACTCGACCCGTTCTCACTAGTCCTCATGTACGAAGCACGCTGTCTAGAACCACTCATGTGTGTCTTGTTAGACTGACTAGCGGACACCTAGAAAGTTATGAGCCGACGCACTGATAGCCAACATGTTGGCAAATGATCGAAGAAGGACGGCGCGATTGTTGGAAATACCGTCCTACCATTCTTCCCCAACCATTCCGCTGCATGTTATACACAATTGACATCTACCCCCCACCCCACCTCCTCCCCCAAGATGAAGCGCCTTGATTGTCCTTTCCCGAAACGCCCTACTAGACAGGATCCTAGCCAATGCCCCACATTCTCCCATCCGAACAACCCTTTCTTCTGGACTATGATTCTCGCCTGACTCCAAAAACGCCACCTCTGCATTCAAAGATCGATCAAGCTTTCCTCCATAACTGGCTGCTGCGGCTGCTTGGGAGCATGTTGTGGGACAGAAGGGAAGGCATCCTGGGCGTAGCCGGCGTATGCAGCACTAGGAGGAGCTTGCGATTGCCAGACAGGCGGCAGCTGCGTCTGCTGAGCGGCAGGATGCTGCCAGTACGGTTGCTGAGCTTGGGGCGGTGCCTGGTGCGTCTGCTGCGGCTGAGACGGTTGAGCTGGGATAGATGCGGGCGTCTGAGGGAGGGACGGTTGATACGAATGCATCGATTGAACAAGGTTGGGATAGGGGGACATGGTAGGGTCGGCCTGAGAGCTAGAAGGCTGCTGAGGCTGTTGCTGAGGTTGTGAGTTGAGATAGTAGGATGCGTTGGGATCGGCAGTCGGGGTAGTGCCGACGGAATCGCCTGCGGCAGGCACGGATAACTGCCCCGAAGCCGGTGCCTGTTGCGATTGATCCGGAGGAGCCGAGGCTGCATTCGGCGGATAGCTTGGTTGCTGGTGATACTGCGGTGCCTGGGCGGGCAACGCAGGGCCCCAGCTTCCTGTGTGATGAGGCATCTGTTGAGGGGGGTATTGGTTGCTCGGAGGCCCGGCAACGGAACCTCGCTTGTCGTATGCTCCATATTGCGGCTGCGGTGTTGGTTGGGGATATGCAGGCGGGGCCACTGGGCGGCTGTAATCCTGCTGCTGCTCGCCAGTGTAGAAGTTCTCCGCCGGTCCGGCGGCGCCCGGTGCACTTGGTGCCAATGAAGGATACGGACCAGGGGCTTGCCTCGGCGGTGGAAGATTGTAGCCCCCTATGCTGTGCTGGCTATAGGCTTTGGATAAGCGCTCCTCGAGCATCCGATCGTAGTAACGCACAACTGTCGAAAGCTTCGCATGCAAGTCAAGTAGTGTGTCTGCGTTGGGTCAGCCCTGTATTAGTGAAAGGATTTCTGGTCGAACGTACCGTGCTTGCTCATGGTCTCCCCATACGTCCGAGCGAGCTTCGGCCGCAGAGCACCAATGCTGTCGTAGAGTTCTTGAATTTGCGGCTCGCGAAGAATCGTCCCTGGGGGTTGCGTTTGGAGGCGGTCGACAAGAGTGGCGAACAAATTGATGTTCTCCGCTTCCACAGGCGTCAGCTCGTAGTCGTTTTTCGGAAGTGCAAAAGGCACGGTTGAGGACGATGACGCCACATTGGAGGCTTGCTCCTTCAGCGCCGCAGCATGTTTCTTCTTTTGTTCCTCCATATCTGCCAATGAGGCTGCAATGGCAGCCTTCAGGTCCTCGTCCTCCTCTTCAGCAACCTTGGATGGCGAGTTCCCGTTGACCTTCGGCTGACTGACAGATGTTCCATTCGTCGCAGAGGGGGCATAGCCAAGAGAATGTTTCTGTACTTCCTCAAGGCTCATCGCCAGGGCCTTCTTGAGATCTTCGTCAAAGCCATCATCCACCCGAGCGTTCCGTGGCTGCATGGAAGATCCTCGGACTTTGGCTGGAAACGACGAGTAAGTGGGGGAACGTTCTTGGCCATATCCTCCGCTTCTAGATGACTTGTCGGTAAGTCTGGCGTAGCACCCATCGTCCACGCGAACCGGCTGCATGATGCCAAGATGAGGAAGGGGGAGCGTCTTGCTGGAGCATTGCTGGTCGAAGCAGTTGCCACAATTGCGACAGTGGTGTTTCCTGTTGGTGAAGGTGAATGCGGTCCTGCATCGCATACATACGTCCGAGTCAACCCATTCAGGAGGCTGAACAGCGTCAGCATCTGGCCCACAGCATCGAGACAGACGAGGGACATACCGCGCTACTATCGATCATGCTGCTGGCGACGGTAACTCGGGGTGGAAACTGGAATCCCTCCCGCTGAAGGGTCCTGTACACTTCCCCAATGTAGCCTAGTTCATAGCGGCCCTCGGTTGCTGTGGCCCAGGACTGAATGAGCTCAAGAATTTTGGCCCGCACTTCGGCGTTTACGGTAGCGGGGCCGGCAGCCTTCAGAAGGGACACCAAGCTCTCCATGAACTCTCGAGACGCAATTTCGGTAAGGAAATGGGAACCGCCATTTTTCACACAAGTGTCGGTGAGCTGACCCAAGTTAGTCGGCCGGCGTCCATTCGCTCCTCCGGGAGGATGGGGGAGGGTTTGAGCCTTACGTACGTTTAGGGCGCTGAGCTGGGTGTTGGGGTTCTTATTGTTGATGCGCTTTTTCAGGGAGCGCATGGCTTCTTTGGGCTGGACCGTTTTCGATCTAATTACATCGGAAATCTCGAGATTGAGGGCGATATCTTCACTGCGGATGGACCCGGGTTAGCTCATGTCGCTGTGGCATCCCGGCGATGGGATCGTACAGGCTGCTGCTCGTAGCCTTGTCTATCTGCTCATCTAGGGCACTGTTAGCCCCAGACGACCACCACCCCATCATCTTGAGGGCAGATAGTTTTGGTCGAGAGAACTGCTGTTCGCGAACGCGTGCGCGAGGACGCAGTTCGTGGGGTCGTCGAGAGGTTGATGAACTGCTGCCGGGCGTCCTTGGCGGGTGTCGACCCAAAACGCGAGCGGACCAACTGAATGGCGCGACTCAAGGAAGTGCGCAGATCGCAAGTAACAGAGCGGATGTTGTTGGCGACAGAGAAATGACAAGTCGTGATGCATCTGCCTGCTGTTGGTTACGTATCGGTACGTAGGTGTGGGCCGCTAGGTCGAGCATAGACCTTGCCTCACAAGCTTGCCAAGAGTGCTACTCAATTCATCCTTGGCCCACTCAAGATATCAGTCAGCATATGGTGGGGTTATGAACTTCAAGGCTGTGGCTTTACGTATTACTTAGTGTAGTGTTACGCCTCTCGAGCGCCTCTCTTGAGTTACCTATCCTCGCCTATACCACAATCGGTTAAACGGAGCAGTTCCCCTGAGGATCTAGTTTTATTCCCTGTGCCTTTTTCTAGTTATTTTTTTCTTTCTTTCACTTTCTTTCTTTAGGAGCTCCTCCCAGAGGCTATGTCTACTATACATGGTAGTTGCCATCAGCACCTGAGCCACTGCCAAGCCCAAACACCGACGGATAACCGCCGCATTCGAGCGTCCCGCCACGGCGGTCCACCAAGGTGCCACTGCCCCAGACGCTCCACATGACAACACAGGCTGGGATGTACTGAATTCAAGAGAGCACCCGCTCCAAGAATTGAGAATCTTCCAACAAAGAATGGGTGCCGCCACTACAAAGCAGCCATTTTACGAATCTTCTGCGCCAGCTGCTGTCCTTCACTTACCGTTTAACCACTCGACAACGCGTCTGCTTCAGAAACCGCTTAGCAGCAGATTCCCATCCGCCGAGCCCCGCCCGGATCGACACATCAGCCAGGAAGCGGCCTCCTAGTCATGAACAATTTATAATCGAAGAGGATCCCTTTACTTCGCTCCGGTGCGCTGTCCTCGGCGTTTCTGCATCTATTCGCCGCATACCCGCTCCCTGACGAACAGCATAGGCGCTTGCTGGCCCCGAAATGCCAGGCTCGACCACCGTCCTGGACCATGCTGGGTCTGCGCGCGTAGGATGGCTCGGTGGGCACACGGATGGTGCCAAGGGAGGAAAGCGGCCCCTGCCGCATGTCGACGATGTCGTCTTGGTTACTGTTGAGGTGGACGCTTCCGCGCCCGTGGAGAAAGTAATTCAGATGGCCGAGACACTTCTGCGGCAGGCCGAGGCGTCCAAGTCATTCGGGAGGCCAGACCTTGCACTGAAGGACTACATACGGGCGAACCTTATCCTTCTGGACATCATAAAAAAAAACAAGGGATGGGTGTCGCTTCAGCGAGACAACAAGGCACAGTTCGAGCGCTACCAGCGGCTGCTTCGACAGGCTCACGCAGCCCACGGTGATTTTGAGGCCATTAAAGAACACATTAAAGCAGACAATGCTAGGACGGGTGTGCAGCCAACTCATAGTCGCGCACTGTTCGCCGAGAATGGGTACCTGAACCGGCAGGACATGGGCAACTCTATGAATGGCGATCATGCCGGGAAGGAAAATGGTGTCCTGGAGTATCCGGTATCGCCTTCCTCGAAAAGCAAGCCGGTAGTACACCCGAAACCCCAGGGCCTCCAAGGCAATGCGATCTCAGGTGCTGTGACTACGTCGATCAAGACCCAGGATCTGCTTCAACGGTTTTCAAATCTGCGGGCGGGTACTACCAGGCCTACACAAGACCCGCGCATCAGAACACAACCTATCGTCCCACCAGAGTTGCCAGGGCGCGCAAAGCCTCCGGAAGCGCCGCCCGCAGGCACGCCTATCTCTGAGATTATAACCCAATTACCCAAGATACCTGACGCCATTTACAACCCTGCAAGAGGGACCATTTCTAGTGAAACTGCTGCATTGCCCTCAAGTGCTCCTCGTGCCATGTTCACAAGGACGAACTCGACGGCATCCCTGAGCAAGACAAAGAGCGTCAAACCGACCACCGCTGCCGAGAGCTCAACACCGACCCAAACCTTTGGGCCGGCAAACACGAAGCGGACTAAGCTGTCTGTCCCTGACGGTGACACAATATCCGTCGAGGAATTTATGCGGCTTATGAGGGCGGGGGCCAAGGACTTGTCGATCCTGCTGATTGATATCAGAAGCCGCGAGGAATTTGATGACGGCCACATCATGTCACAGGCAACTATTTGCCTCGAACCTGAAGTGCTCTCAAGACCTCATATCTCGGCGAACCAGATCGCAGACAGCATGGTTCTGGCGCCGACAGCAGAGCAACTGCTCTTTGAGAAGCGGCACGAGTTTGACTTGATCGTTTTCTATGATCAGAACTCCGAACTCGTGTTGGGTAACCCACAAACCCAGGAAGAGAGAGCCGTATCAGGCCTATTCAATGCTCTCAGCCAGTACGACTTCTCGAGTGGGCTTGGGTCGAAGGCTGCGCCAAAACTGCTGAGGGGGGGTCTAGACGCATGGACGAGCATGGTTGGCAGTGGGAGCCTGCAGTCGTCCTCGACAACCACGACAAAGAAGTTCACGTCGACGCCCATGGCAAGGTCATTCCTAAACCCTCGCCAGAAGCATGTGACCCGACCAATTCAGGATCCCGCAGAGGCCAAGCGGTGGGAGGATTCCATTACACAGCGCGGTGCCATCTCCCCGCTCAGGACAACCGAAGACTTCCTCCGTCGGTTCCCTCCAATTGCGGAGACGCGGGAATCGATGGTGTCTCCGGTCAGCCCCCCATCGAGCCGGCCGCAGAGCCCGTTTCACTACCGTCTATCGCATGAAGAGAATCTCTACACATCTCTCCCTTCCCCGCCTGCTCGCCCTCCCCCCGCAGTGCCTCGTAGGAGCTATAGTGGGCTCGCTGAAACCGAAGACAGCTCTGTTGCACTGGCTAAGAAGTCTTCATCGAAGGCCATCGACACCGTACGGAAGAATCGGACAGGACTGCAAAATACTGGTGTCCTTTGCTTCGCGAACAGCTCGCTGCAAGCCATGTTCGCCACGCCGGGCTTTGCGCGAGAGGTATGGTCGGGGGAATGGAAAGATGCGTACAAGGTGCCAAAGAAGCCGGATGAGCAACTCGAAAACCCACAGCTACTCATCAAATGCTTGGCAAACCTGTTCCATTGGCTCAACCTAGGGACATTCGAGGCCCTCCAGGCCAGGACGCTTATGGTTTGTTCCCCATCCGAAAGCTGGAGGTGATTGTCTGCTTACTTTCCTTATAGGAGTACCTCTACTTCATCCATTCCAAGGGTGCGGACGGTAGAAAGAAGGCAGAGAGCGAGATCTTCGGTGGCCCCTCCCAGCAAGATGCCCAAGAATTCTATTCATTCATCATGGACAACATCCATGACGAGACGAATACCCATCGAGACAAGAAGCCTCCCAAGGAGGAAAAGCCATACACTCCCGACAATGGCTCCGTTATCCAAAACGCCGTGGACTACTGGCGCGAATACTCAAAGGCTAGCTCCTCTCTCGTAGACAAGTACTTCCGTGGTCTTGAAGTGTTCATCTCGCGCTGCCATAACCGCGCCTGCCGGCAAGAGATCCGCCTCTTCCAGCCCTGCGATGTCTGGATCCTCAACCTTGCTGGCATGGGCCACGCAACCGACCTTGACAGCCTTCTCGCAAATCACCAGACCTCGGAGGATTTCCCCGACCTCGTCTGCGAGACCTGCAAGCAACCGGGACGCACGCGCAAGGCAAGATTCGCCCGCCTCCCCGACCGCCTCGTCTTCTGCTTCAACCGCTTCCACGGCTCCGGCGCCGGCGGATTCAGCAACCGTTTGATGTTTTCGGGTAAGATCCACACCAAAGTGCGGTTCCCTATCCGCGATCTCGACCTCACGCGCTACTGCGCCGAGCCGGACCCGGACATGGACATGTCCGACGACCGGCATTTTGCGGGACGCATGCGGTATGATTGCTATGCGGTGACCGTGCATGTCGGACAGGGCATCAACGGGGGGCATTACTTCAGCTACGTGCAGGACGAGACGTCCAAGGACCCAACCGATTGGTTTCGGTGCAACGACCATATCGTTGACAGGGTCAAGATTGGGAGCAATAGGCCCGATGATGTGACCGAGACGATGTATCAGAGTGGGAATACGTCGGCGTATATGGTGTTTTATCGCCGGCGGGGCACCTGAGAGCTTACATCTGGAGGGTATTTTGCTTTGAGGGGTGGGGAGTTTGATGTGAATTGTTAGTTCGGCGTAAGGGGTTCTGCTTTTGGATAGCAGGGATGAACGTGACGAAAGACATAGCTACGACTTGTGCACATACAGCCTTAGGAGGACAGGAAGCGCCCTGTAATTCGTTTTGCATGCATATCTCTCAAGAGATGGGAGGAGCCTGGCGCTTGGGGGAAGCTGGCGGTGTTTTGCTGGTTGTTAATATTGCCCAAGATACCAATTGCATCGAATCCGTGCTACTCAGTTAGATGAGAACTATGCGTGACTTCATTTCTAGTCTAGATGAGCGCTTGAGAGGGAGCAAAAGATAAAGACACAGTTCCTAGACCATCAGGCTCAGCACAACTCCGCCAAACCCAATAATGGTCATACCCAGACGAACATCATCATACAAATCCCAACGACCAGATGCAACGACCATCCTGTTTCAACTATTTCCCAGCCATGCAATCCTTGATCTCCTTTTCGTACTTCTCTCTGATTGTCTTTCGATTGATCTTTTGCGTGGCCGTCACAAGGCCCTATTACGGCGTTAGCAATTCATAGCTCTCGGCTCTAAGCACAAGCAGAGAAACTGGTAAGCACTCACATTCGCGGGCGTCCACTCTTCATCAACAATCACCACCCCAGCCACCGTCTCCATGGCGCTGAGGTTCTCCTTCTTCGCCACATCCTGCAGCGCCTTGAGCACCGCACCCCTCACCCTCTTGTCGGTATGCATCCCTTTCTCCTCGACGCCTAACTCCCGGGCTTTCTTAGCCAGCGCCTTGTCGTTCGCCACCACAATCGCAATCGGCCGGGGGTTCGAGCTGTCCCCGTGCACCATGATGTTCTGCACATACCCGACGCCGCGGTAGATGGCTTCCAGCTTCTCCAGCGCGATGTACTCGCCGCCCTGGAGCTTGACCAAGTTCTTGACGCGGTCGATGACGCGGACATGGCCATCGGCGTCGAACTGGCCGATGTCGCCCGTGCGGAACCACCCGTCGGGTGTGACTGCCTTGGCTGTTTCCTCGGGGTTCTCAAAGTACTCCTTGAGTACCGGCGCGCCGCGAATGAGGATCTCTCCCTGCGGCGGGGTGGCCGCAGTGGAATAGTCCAGGTCTGGGAGGGAGACGAGCTTGACCTCGACCGCAGCGGGAATGGGCCCGATTGCGTCGGGCGTCCACTGCAAGGGGCAGCCGAGCGCGCCGTTGCCGCAGGTCTCAGTCAGGCCGTAGCCGTTGAGCATGGGCGCGACCACCATCGACATGAAGTGCAAGGTTGGGGCTGCGATGCCGCTTGCACCGTTGACAATGAAGCGCAGCCGGCCTCCGGTCATTTCGCGGACTTTGGAAAACACAAGGCGATCGAGGATGCCGGCGCCGGGGAGCCCGTTCCGGACGAGGAAGGATTTCAGGCTGACGGCGGACCAGAAGAGCGTGCGGGTGACCGCGCCGGAAGAGTTGACTTTGCTTTCGATGCCTTTCTTAACGGTTTCCCATATCTGAGGGACGCCAACCATGACAGTCGGTGCAAAGGTGCGCATGTCACCATGACAGTTACGCATGCTTGTATCTGCGAGAGTCCGCGGGTGGCCGTACCCGAGGGTGGCACCGACAAAAATGACCAGATTCTCGAGCACCAGCTCAAAGATGTGAGCTAGCGGCAGGTATGCCAGGACGTACTCGCGGTGGCTGACAGCCTCTTCCATAACGGTGTACAGGCCCGCCACGGCAGCGACGAAGCCGGCGTGGGACACGGGGACACCTTTCGGCGGGCCGGTGCTCCCCGAGGTGTACATGATGCAGTATAACTCTTCCGGACCAGGCAACACAGGCTCTGTCGGGTTGTCTTCGCCAAGAGCGCGAAGCTCTTCGAACGACAGAACGGTGAGTTCCGGGTAGGAGGACTTGAACTCCTCGAGTTCGGCCTCGGAAACGGGCAGGTGACTAGCCTCGTTGTACACCAAGACCTTGACCGATTCTGCCTTCTTGAGTGGGTTCCTTATTGTCTTGAAGAGGTGAGGATCGACAAACATGGCGTTTGCCTTGCTCTGCACTAGCGAGTGCTCGACGCCACTCTCGCCGAGAGTGTCGTATGCTGTAACTATGGCCATAGACTGCGAGGAGCACGCATGCGCCATTGCCAGCCATTGAGGACTACCAAGCCAGTCAGTACGAATGCTTGGAAATGCGACACGATTAGGGTAGCTCACCTCGTAGTGGCAAAAATGTGCAACCTATCCTTTGGAGACAACCCCAGCTTCCTCAAGCCAGCACCCACTTGCAGCACCATGGCAAAGTATTCTTTGTACGTCATGTACGAGTAATTTGAGAGTTCGTAGTATGTCCATTCTTTCTCGACCTCCTTCGTTTGACCGTCGACGACCTTGGGGATCTTCTTCTCTTCTTTGTGAGTCTTGATCAGCTTCCGGCTGCCCACGGCGGGCTCGTTGCTGTAGAGCTCTGCACTGCGCTTGAGAAGGTCGAAGGTGGTGTTGACATCGGGAGCCGGTCGCTCAATCAGGCCATATTTTGCCTTGGGATGCCGTCGCGGGATCGTCTCGCTCTCGACCGGCCGAAAGCCCGATGCTTCGACTGTGTAAGGAGGCTTTTGCACCTTGTGCAACGGGGTTGGTCCCGTGGCGTATGTGTGCGGCATCTTTGCAGCTCTACACAGACGATGTCGACACTTGGAGCTAGGAACTTTTCAGCCGGCGTTGGCGCAGTTGATATGGAGCGCGTCTTGCTGCGCAGATCGACCGATGTAAGCTTTAGCGGAGGCTCGTGGCGTGTCTTGTTCGTTGAAGCCTCGGCACACGGCGCGCACACCGACGACTGGCCTCGGTCCGCTGCTTTCAAATGCCAGTTGGGGTGGCCACAGGAACTTTCGCGGTGAAATAGATGACCAATGTGGAACAGACTAGGTTCCGTTGCAGTTTATCGCGGAATGATGACTCGAGAAAGTTTATGGTGGTTTAGAAAGGAGCAGTACTACTAGGAAGTGGTTCCAGGGTTCTGAGTGCTGGGCACATGCAGCGCAGCCAATTAAGGTGGTTTGATAGAAACTAATAAAACGATCAAGGCTAGGTGGATGAAACTCGACCATTTGAGCAGCTTATGCGTACAGTGCGCAATGTGTGAGGTCAATAACTTGGAAGATGGCAACACTCTTCCGTCCATGATTCTTGAGTATGACGAAGTACTGTTCGTCACATGGGAGGTTCCGGTGGTCGGACAGCTCCGGCATGTGGGCCACCGCTCGACAGCCCAGAGGCGGTGTCACTTGGGCCAAGCGGCCGATGACGTCGGATGGGTGAGCTTAAATCGACCACTTCTGGGTATGGCAGCAACTAATGTATGTAATTACACGTCACCACGGGAACAACTACGGTATCCGTCACAGGACACATCAGGGCCTCTTTCAATACATCTAGGTGCTGCACAAATCGGAAGGCTTTCCCAATGAAGATGAGTGCGCTTCGAGAAGCAAATAGACCTACAATCTTACGGGGTATCAATGCCAAGATGGAAATATTCCGTAAAAGTCAGGATGCGTCCACGTAATTAATCATTTCTGCACTTACTTAAGGTATATACTTCGTATTTCCGCTGAAATAGTCCCAACAAGAGACCTCGATTCAGAAGAAGAGATCAGCAAATATTCTTTCTGTAACTTAGTTAGTATCAGCATTAAGAGCACTACTCGAAGGATGAGGCTGCCTACTGCTTTCTCAAGGCCAGTCTTGGTGAAAACCAGAACGTTACCATGTAAGTTACTCACGACAAGCCTACGCACACCCATGTCGCCTAATCGTACATCATGCAACAATATAGGTGGGCGCCAGAGAGTCAAACCACCCCAAATTTTGTACGCAATTTCCTCACGCTTGCAGACAATACTGTACTACATACCCCTAACCCTCGCTCACCACCTCGACCAGCCAAAACATAAACCATAACTTGCTAGAAGACAAGTATATATAAGTATTGCCAGACCGCTTAAAACTAGCTGAATTGCTTGGAGAAGCAATGGAGCCTAGAGCTGTTAGTAATGCACGCTATTTTATCTGCGCGTTTAGTCCCTATGTATTTCGTAGATACGTGGTAGAGTGCAAGTTGCATCTATGTGCGACATGAGTGTGCGAATAGCCGGGTCGCCCCGACAAGCCCGCTAGACCCACATTGCAACGGTAGTGTACAGTTTAAACCCTGAATGATTGTTAGCGCGGAACAAGCGACAGGGGCTGAAATGCTGGGGGCTTTTCCTGGTCGTTCAAGTCAGGCGCTAATCATTCAAGGGTCGAACTGTATTACGTAATCCATACTTTAGGTGGCGGTGTTCTGTCAATACGCAGTAAGATGTGACATGAAAGCCCAGTTGGGTGCGACTACACTACGGAATAACAGTAGTACTGTAGACCCGACTGTACATAAACCAGCTTTGCACAGCCCGCTGCCCTCCGATGCTGACAGTGTCGGGACGCGTGACATCTTCGTTCACGAACGAATCGGAAATTCGGGCGTCAAGCGGCGCTGGCTTGGATTAGCCTTTCCGCTTTCCGCGCAGGACGGGAGTGGCTTATGGCCTCCAATGCCACGCGTCGGCGCCTTATCCAACCCGGGAGCTGACAAAACCCCCTTAGGCCTTTACGACAGCCTCAACGTAAGCTGCACGAGACCGGAAGATCTCAAAAGGCTTCAGCCGTCCTCAACCAGTAATCCTAAGCCCCCTTAGAAGACATTCTGATGGACGAGTCCGATCCGGGGCAGACAGCACATGCGGCGAATCCGAGGATGATGATGATCATGGAAACTGCGAGTTCGCCGGACGGAGCCGCCTCCCCTGACTCGGGCCCGCCGGCATCCACCACCGAAACTCCGCCCGCATCGGTCACAGAACTGAATATGCCACCTCGTCGAAGGCCGATCCCGAGAAAGGGACACACCAAATCGCGTCGGGGTTGCTTTAACTGCAAGCGAAGGAAAGTCAAATGCCAGGAGACCCGGCCAGAATGCTCCAACTGCACTCGCATCGGCCTTGTCTGCAAGTACCCGGACGGCCGGTCCCAGTCGGCGCCGGGCCTCTCGGCATCGGACGAGGCCGCATTATCCGTGATCAGTTCGCCATCAGCTCCGCTCCAGTCGAGCCCAACCTTCTTCACCCACGCCGACATGCGCTTCTTCCATCACTTCCTTGTCGCCGGGTATCCGCCGCTGCCCATCTTTGGCGACCACATATGGGGCAGCGTGGCTACGATGTCGCACACTGTCTGTTCCCTAGTGTCCTCCGTGCCCTTCCTACAGACAAACTGTAAGTGCTGACTGCCGAGCCCGTAGTATGATTACTTGATGCATGCTATGCTGGGAATGGCCGCCTCGCATCTCACCATCTATGGCGCCGACTTCTCGGCCCAGGCGCTGTCTCACCGTGTCAAAGCCATTCAATGTCTGAACCAGGCCCTGAGCACGCCTGCCCGGTCCGCCGCCGAGGGCGACGCCCGGTTTGGTGCCATGATGGCACTGGCCTTCCAGGCCTCGTGCATGCCTGATGGAATGAACGAGTTCATGTCAATGATCAAGGGCTGCCACCTCATCGCCAAAGAATCGCTGCTGTCTTTCAGAGATTCGCTCTTCCAGGAGTTCACCCAGGCGGGCTACTCTCAGAGCGTTAGGAGGGCTCTCGGACCAGGAGGGTTCGCGCTGCGGCGAGACCAAGAAGTCGTGATTGATGACTTCCTGAAGTCACTGCGGGCACTGGCTCCCCTATGCACAAGCCCGCTAGAGATCCGGCTCATTGCTTCGACAGAACGCATCGCAAAGTTAGCGATGTGGTCCGCGGCTGAAGGTCTGTCGCTAACTACCTGACCTAGCTTTCACCGAGCCCGCCCTATTCTTGTATGCACTACAGCTGACAGCTGCGTCCAGCCTTTGCCCAGTTCGCCGCTCAGTATACCCTAGTATTCCACGCGAGCAACGAAGACTTCCTCTCGTTGACAGACGCCAGCAACCACGGCGGTCAGCTCCTCCTCTTGCACTTCATCCTCATCGAGTTTGCCATCGGCCACATGGCGCTGGGCAAGCTTGGGTGGCGGTTCGCCTACCGTGCGAAGAGCTGCATCGCATGGATGGAGCGAGTTGTCAACGCACTGCCTCCTGAGTATAACACTTACGCCGAGTGGCCAACGACGTTTGTGAGAGAGTACCTGGCGGGCAATTGGTGAGCCATGCTCCGAGATCACCTATTTCAGATCGGGTCTTCCAAGCGAGGCAGATAGAAAGCGACTCTCCTCGGTTGCCTCCCATGGAGAGCACCCGGGTTGCGCCCAGAAGTGTACTTGCAGCCGTCATTTCAAGGCTTGCGATGCGAGATAGGTGCATGGCGGTGGCCTTGCTCGGCAACACCAACCGCATGTCCGAAACAGAGCACCACAACGCGCCGGGGGGCGCAATGAGAGAGGAGGACGGGACGGAGAGGCAAGATTGGAGTTTCAAGGGTCGGCTTGAAGAGAGCGCCGCCCATCGTCACGGGCAGTGGAAACGCAGTGAGACATACCGCCGGAAGCTCCCCCGAGGATTGCTTGGACGAAGGGATAATGTGCCGGCAGAGGACTTGAAAAGGTCGGCTACTTAGCGGATTGGGGTTACCAGCTTTTGACCACATGGAACCTTTTGTGAGCCCCTATACTCTATCTGTGCCCTTTAGAGGTCCTGTTGGATGTTGAATCGGTCGGCAAACTGGGGTTAGCCTTTCGTGTTTGCGGTAGATGAATAGAAAGCCTCGACTCGGGGACAACAAACAAAGCTCGGGACTACTGCACACGCCAAATGTATTTCACACCGAGATCAATTTCAGTCATGCTATGTGAGGCCCCTCCGCATTCGCGTAACAGTGCTGGGAAACAACCCCTGTAGGGGGAAAAAACCAACACCAAGGGACAAGCACGAGACACAAAAACTGCAGAACCTGCAAACCCGCAACGCCATTCCGTAACTGAGCTATACCAATTTAATAGTCGTCTCCACGACTGAAGACCTCCTTGTGAGTCTCACGAAGGAGGAAGGTCTGACCGGCAGGAATATGTTAGTCCCCCATGTTGTCCCATAACAAAAGACCAAATAAAGAATAGACCTACATGCTCGAATTGGGCCGAGTACGACCCTTTAATGTCCATCAGAGGTTGGTATTCCTCAACAATGCCATTCGCGACGAGGCAGTTCATCTGTCACGTTTCTGTCAGTCATCGACTCACCAACCGATACCACGCAACAGCCCGGAACTTACCCCGGCCAGATACTTCTCCACGCCGAGACGCTCGAGATAGCGCCGGCAGAAGACAATGGTGCCGAAATTCTCCCTGATGGTCTTGTGCAGTCGCTTGGCAGAGGAGAGCGAGACCGGCACGTTCAGCGGGGCATCGTTGTTGAGGCCATACCCGTAGACGCCCACCTAGTAGTTTGGGCAGCCAGAATCAACATTTGATCTCTAATTCCGGATAGGCGGGAAGACTCACATCGTCAACAATGTAGCCGCGGCCTGTGGAGCCAAACGTCTCGATGGCGAACACCTCTCCCTCTTCCATCTTGGTTTGGTCCCTGTTCTTCACAAACGGGATGGACTTGCCGCCGTGGATATGGTACTGCGCTATGTTGTGGCCAGAGAGGTTCCGGATGGGCTTGACGGGATAGGTCTTGCCGCGGATCTCGACCTCGTAGCTTTCCATTGCCTCTTGGATGGCCGCGCTGACGTCGCTGATGCGCACGTCGACGCCGGCAGTCTGTGAAACCTGTCGTGAGTACCGAGTGCAGCCAACTCTTCATGGGGGGTTTGCTACCTTGACACCAGTGTTGGTGGCATCCTTGACCGCGGCCAACAGGTTGTCATACGTCGGGTCAAACGCCATGGTGAAGGCGCTATCGACGATCCAGCCGTTGATATGTACGCCAAAGTCAACCGTCAGGACATCTTGCTGCTGCAGCACGACCGGCTTCTGGCCGGGGTTGGGCGTATAGTGCGCGACCTGATGATTGAGGCAGAGACCGGTGGGGAAGCCCATGCCGGACTTGAGACCGTCTCCGGGGCCCAAGCCGGCATTATCCAGCAGGGCCCGGACACTGTCCTCGATCCCTACCGCAATGTCCTGGAGAGTCTGGCCTGGCTTGGCTGTCTCTTGCACCCAACGGCGAGTCTGGCGGTGCACCTCAGCCGCTTTGCGGTAGTTCTGGACGAACGTTTCATCCTCCCAGTGACGTTGCCGGCTGTTGTAGCGCAACTCGGCAGACGTTGTCCGCACGGTGCAATGGTCTTCCACAGCCAAATCTGCAGGCTGATCGCGGTAGCTTTGAACTTCACCCACGGGGTATTCGCCGGATGGAAACAGCTGGCTCAGCGGGACTCTCGGCGGCGACGACTGCTTGAGACCTCCCTTGTTCTTCTTCTTGGGCCGCTTCCTGTTGGGCCGCTTACGTTTCTTTTGCGTGGCTGCAGCTTCGGTAGAGAGCGAAGCCGCTGCTGATGCCAGCCTTACTTCACCGCCCTGGCCCTCATGTTCACCCTCGCCGTCGCTGTCGCTCTCATCGTCTTCGCCGGCCCCATTATCTCCGAAGCGACCATCTCCGTCGCGGCCCATGTGTGAGCCTCGCGGCTCTCCGCCCCCCACAAGCTCCGATTCATGCCATTCAAATGAGTCGCCTGATGCGAATGAGCACATACAGCTCAAATCTAGGCCAAAAGGCGGTCACGTACCATGAAAGTTCCTGCGACCGTCATACTCTGGACTTCTGGATCCCATGTCGACATTGACAAGCCAAGAACCAGCGCTTTACAGATATCACAACGATTGAGTTTTGGGTCGTGGCCTCCTTGGCTGTTGAGAATTAGAGACTGGAGAGGGTGAGAAAGAAGTGGATGGAGAACCCGAGCACGGAGCAGATGTACTCCACAGTTTCTCCGATATAGCGGCTATGATTGGCTTTACGACTCGTACGACCGTCCATGCTTCCCTCTTACCCCAGCTTCCTAACTAGACATCCACCTGCAAGCATGAGGACTTCAAACGAAGGGTCTCTTCACCGAGCTGTTCCAGTCGCTACCACCCAAGCAGCATCTTGTCGACGAATCTTGAATCTTTGCGTTCGAAAGCCGTGTGTGGGTGGCGGCATGCCCCGGATGACGACCGTGACCGCGGTTCCGATTCGAACGCAGGATGCCGCTGGTAGGGAACAACCAGGGAACCTTCGGGCTAGGACGCGGGCAAGTGAGAGACGCACATGGATGGAGAATGACACTGCAACTACATAGTACAGTGTTATGCCAGAATATGTGAGAGTTAATGGCACCCGGCATTATCCGTTTGTTTCCCGTTTCGGCCCCTTTTGTTTACTCTGTCCGTTCCATATTGCGGAGACGCACAAGCAGAGAGCCTGAGTTTTGTAAAGACGAGCTCAGCTGTTGAACCACTAATGACCTTTGTGGTCTTTATGTTCAGTATGGCTTTCAAGCCCTCCCACATATAAGCCAGTTCCCTGGCTTAGGTGGGCATATTCAGACCGCTTGTATGCCTCTGACCTCTCTGCACACTGCAACATCAGCTGCGAGTCTTTGGGTTCATGTACATTAGGTGCGCATCAGGTCCCCCCCCCCCTTCGGGTCTCCGTTTCCAACTCACTGATGTGAGCAGATGAGAGTTGACTGTTTACCCAAACCCTAGGTTTCTCCCGGTATGGTAAACTGGTGACGCCTAAAGCTGGTATTAAGATGTGATTAAGTTTATTCAGCCTTAGATAGGTAACTTCTCCTCCGTCTTGCTGGTTCTTCTTCGACAACTGGCTTCATCAAGTGAACTACGGGAATGGGGGCCATCCCATCGACCGACTAACCTGCTACTCAATTTATCCTTCTACTTCCTCTCAATTGTCAGCTCCTTCTACCACCTTTCTCCTCTCACACTTTCTTTCTCTCATCCAGCTTCATTTGGTGTGCTTTCTTCCCAGCACCATTTCCCACTTTTTTCTCCCCTCTTCAGCTTCTTCGGTTGACATCCAACATCTCAGTCTCTAACATCAGATCACTTCTCCTTCTCGCCACTTTCCTGCAGCATCTACGATCTACCGACTGCACTCACTAAGGCTCGGTGACTCGGCCTTTTCAGAGCGGTACATGTATGAATCCAGGTCTATTCTCAGTCTCGCCCATCTGTAAAGCTCCGTATGGTTTTATGGTATTCGTGTTTTATACTATTTGCTTCCGCAAACGATTTCTGTAAAACCTTCCCTTGATCTTGCTCCTATGTTCTGTTCTTAGCATTTTGAGGTTGTTGTTCGCGAATGGAAAACTTGAATACTCTTTCCAATTTCGAGTGCCATCCTCATTCACTAAGGCGTCTGCCTTCTTTGATCGGAACCTAGAGCTAACTCGCCCAAAGGTTGGAGTCGAACGGGCTGCAGCACTTCTCACCGTCATGGAGAACAGAGCTTCAAATAACTCGACTGCGGAGCAGGCCGCCCCTAGCTTTGCGTGGCTTCAGTGCGCTAAAGACGATATCCATGCCAGAGTGTCATTGAATCAAAAGGCAACCGATGATGCCTTCACTTATGCTGATCAACTTTTGCGACCAACTCGGAGAAGGCATAGCCTGCATGAGTTCTCGCCACAGTGCAGCATTTAATCTGATGGGCGGCAATGAAATTCGTGACTGGATGAAGGAGATAGGTTGAGTTTCCCTTTCTTATTTTGCCTTATACAGCGCCCCGTTCAAGGCTGACACCTAATAGCGGAATTGGAAGAAGCAAATAAAGGCCTCGAGATTTTAGTGGGCGGTTGCAGGCGCCACAGGAGCAGGCAAAACCTCGCTGCTAAATGCTCCCCTCGAGTATCCCGAACTATTTCCTTCCAGCAGCACCGAAGCGGCCACAGCAACTGTGTGTCGGATCGCATGGAACTACGATGACACTGAGGGCCGCGAGTTCAGGGCCGAGGTCACTTTCCGCAGCAAGGACGACGTAGTCAATGAGCTTGAAGACGTCCTGGATGCCGTGGCCGAGCATAAGGAGATCAGGGACGAGGAGTTTGAAGATGAAGAGGAGCGTTTCCGGGCAATCGAGGAATTCACCGACATCATCTCCAGAGGCATCCACTAGGTATGCGCGGTTTGGGGACTCGACGAAAATGAGCTCGAGGATCGCGTCTACACGGTCGAGTCGGTCCTGGCTGAGCACCACGACATTGTCAACCTGCTGGGCGAAACCATAACCATACACTCATCAGACTTGGATGACTTTGCTGCGGATGTGAAACAGTATCTTGATTCGACGCCAACTGCGGAAGGTATTACGGCCTGGCCTCTCATCAAGGAGGTTCGCATCTATGTGAAAGCTGAGATTCTCAAGCATGGGGTTGTTCTGGTGGATCTTCCAGGGCTCTCAGACATGGTACGAACACCTTCGGGCTTTCGGCCTTCTACAAAAGTGACAGCCTCGGTTTAGGTGGAGGACCGCGCTGCTTAGCGGAAGGGTACTACAGGGAGCTCTCGGTCACGGCCATAGTGACTCCTGCCATTCGCGCAGTTGACGAAAAGACGGGCGCCAAACTGATGAGCAATCAGCAAGAGCTTCGTATGCAGCTTGACGGCAAGTACAGAAAGGACAGTTTCTGTGTTATGGTCACAAAGATGGATGACATGGATTGCGATGCCTTTTTGCAAAGGCTGCAAGGACGCAAGAGAAGATGCTGGGTTTCAGGAGGACGCCGAGGAGATCAAGTCCGTCTCAACCAAATGCAATGAGGCGCACAAGCTTCTGAAGAAGGCCGAGCGGAAGCTGGAGTCCATGACCAAAAATGCGCAAATCTGAAGGACAAGATGGACGCCCTTAAAGGCGACAGTAAGTAGTAAACCCGCCTGACTCGTCTTTCTCTCTGGGAGGTGTCTGGTAGCTAAGTCTCCTTCAGAGAACCAGCGAAACAAGGTACAGAAAATGAGAAACAAGCGGAGGGATTTGACGCGAGCTGGGGGCAAGCAACTCACGTTGAGGAAGAATCTCTCTAACTACGCAGCTCAACTCGACTGCGCCCTAGCAAGACTTGAAAGCCGGCGGAAGTACCGTTGCGTCTTCATCCGCAACCAGTACATCAAGAAGCGGATCCGTACGGACTTTGGCCGGCGCCAGAGGAAGCTGGCCCGCCTCGCTGAGCACCACAAGGAGAAGTACGATGGCTCCATTGAAGTCTTCCCAGTCTGTGCCACAGCGTTCCGCGACCTCTTGAAAAGAAAGAAACCGATGCCAGGTTTCCCATCGAAGCTATACACGGGCATTCCTAGACTGCGCCGGTGGTTGGACGAGGCAGTCCTCCCGTATCGCAAGGACCATCTCGATTCGATGCTTCGCAGACTTCAGCGCCTCTACGATGGCATCAAGTGCTGGTCCGATGGCGACAGCCGTGGCATGGTGTACTTCTCGCAGCTAGAGATCGAGACATCGCTGAAAGGCAGTCATTCCAAGTACCAGGATGTAAGTACCAGCAGACGAGCGCACAATGCAATGCGCGTTGATTGACAATGGGTTGGCAGCGAATCCAAGCGGCCCTCACTCGTGCTGCGGACGATATCAAGCAGCTGAGCCCATTTCAGCACAAGGACGAAAAGCTCGCATCCTGCAGGTCGAAGGCTGTCCAAGCAACCAGTCGTTGGCCGTACAAGTTTCCCGATGATCTCAACTCGACCAAGAAAATGGCATGGGTGACCTTCCAGGCTATTCTGGCGAGGCGCGGTGGCCCTTTCCAGAGTACGGGAGCCGGACGTCCCTGCTTGCATGTTCCCGCTGCGCGGATGCAAGCCACAGGCGCCGACAGCCCGCTCAACCATGCCATGCTTGCAAAAATAACAATGATGTCATCAACGAACTCAACGCGTAGATGTGAACTCATGACCATCGTCAGGATTGATTAGGTCCATAAACGCCCCTCTGCCGAGGAAGCACCTGTCTATGACCGCATACCAATACCCAGATAGTGGAATCGACAAGGCGCAAGCCATTATGGCAGCGGTCTGTCTTTCCATGTACGTAAAATGCAACGCGGGCTCGGCGCCCTTCTGCAGCCGCGAACGGCTTCCCAAAGCCACGAACGCCTCCCATCTGATACGTCTCGGGGTATCTCAAAGCCCGGTGTCGAGGTAATACAGTGTTGACGGCAGAACTCGTCGCCGTCTTGGACGATCGTTCTCACCGTTAAAATTCAGAAGATGTCCCCTTTCAGGCGGCATCGCTTCGCGATGTGTCGCTTATCATCATCAGCTTCTCTGTTGTGAGCATCGCGCTCACTCAGCCCTTGGCAGGCTTTTGATTTGACGGTCCGGCGGTGACATCCGGCGTGTTGTCTCTTGACTTGTTCGGCTTTGGCTCTTGGAAGAGGCCGTGCTCCTCGATGTACTGCCATGCATAAGTGAGTGCACGAAACTTGGGAGTTTCTGGAGCAGGGATGTCAAACCTCTACAACAGGGTCTGGGATTAGGTACCGAACGCTGAGGTCCTTCTTCAGGAACAAGCGCACTTTCGTAGAGCTGATATCGTTTTGGATGACCTGGCTGATCACCCAGATGTTGTGCTCGTACTGCCTGAGCGAGGCAAGGGCCTCGTCGATATCGGTTCCGGAGCGCTCGATGATAAACGCGCCATACTGACCGAGGATCGTATCTAGATCCTTTGGCGCCCAGAGGCCGGGCTCGCCTAGTGATGCTTGTTAGCTTGCGCGGTCCCCGATACGTGATGGACAAACATACCCATGGACATGACTAAATCGGCACCTATGAGTCGTGATGTTAGCGGCATATTTCCACGTCTCTCAAAATCAACCGTACCAGCCAGAAGCGCGATACGGGCTTTCCTCATTTGCCCGTCCGTTCCCTCAATACCTCCCAGCACCGTGTTGATCTCGTGGTCAAAGTGCCGCAAGACCTTAGCGGTCGGGACGTACTGCGGCTGGCCATTCTCATCGCAATTCACCGTCTCGTACGGGTCGACCATGAGCCATGGCGAATGCTCAACGGCTCGGGAGCACATGTTGACCCTGTGGTGGCCGGGGGCCAGCCCCACCTTCTTGTAAGCGTCGCTGACCTGCAGCCATGCGTCAGCGCCAACCCATGTGTGTGTCGAAACGGAAATTCGGATTGCCGTACCGGTGATAGATAACCGGCGCACACCTCGAAGTCCGTGTTGAACCGGACGAAATCGGAGGCCATCTCAAACATGCGCAGGTGGAGGTAGGTGATCGCTGGGATGGTCAGTCCGTCAGAAACGGCTGTCTTCGAATGCTACAAGAACGCTCAAGGATGAAACGTACGAGAGAATGACCCGCAAGCTACCAGCACAAGCGGCGTCTTTCCTGGCTGTGTTTGCCGTCGCTTCAACTTGTGGGTAGGAAACGTATATGGTGTCTGCGCGCCGTCAAGCGGTGACTGCTCGATGTGCGCGCTGGGCGTTTGCGTGCCCGAGTCGATGGATCCCGAAGTCATCGTGATCGATATTGCCTGACGGCGGCGATGTCGGAACGAGGGCTTTCGCAGATAGCAGCGGGTGACGCAAGCGTGTTCGGATCGTGATGGTTCTGCCGAGGATGCGGGGCCACGGCAGTCTGAAATCGGAGCCGCAGGTGTGATGCCGAACAGCTCTGGAAGGCAAACGTGCGCTATCGGGGCCCGGGCGCAACGACAGTATCAGTTGAGCGAGCGTCTTCAATCGTTGCAGCCGCCGATCTGCAGCGAGTCTGTCGGCGTCAACGAAGGTCGGAATATTTTTGGCACAGGTCAGTTGGGTTGTCTGTTCGAGGAACAAACCGGTAGGCTAGGTATAAGCGATGGAGGAGCTTCCAGTTGGTTATTAATTCAGGGTACGAAGTACTAACTAAGCCGGTGGCGCGGGGCTTTTTAGCTAGTACATACTGTACCGGGGGTCCTGGAACGGATCTTGTTATTAGCGGCCCGTTGCCAGAGTTAAGCTTAGACCAGAAATGATGTAAAAGACGCAACCTCTCACGCAACGGTTTTATCAGATGAATCCAGCAGGGTAATCAGAACGCCTTCCCCGGGCACTGTAGGTATCTAACAACCCCGTGTTGGTTCTGAGTCAACCATCGGGTCTCCTTTCGAAGGACTGCCGCCGTGCCACCAGTGCCAGTCTCATCTAGGTTCCTCCAAGCATTCCTGGCTTAGTTACGGTTACATAGCAGGCAATAGTGTAGGTGCCCGGCATAGATAGAAAGGTACCTTAGATATACCTTATCCAAGTTAATCTTATAATGTCCGTTGGATGCGAGGCCTCCCAGGCTACATACATGCAGCTGGAAATCGTGTTCCGATATCGTCGTCAATAACTGTATACCGCACTGTACCAGTACTGTGCCGTACGTACTATTACTGTGTATGAGCCGGCTCCCTCATCTTCTCTCGCAACCGCAAAGAGGAACCAAACATACGGTAGCTAAGATTCATTCCGATAGGACTCTATGGTGCTTATACGGCCGGAATACAGTTTGTATATGGCAATTGCAAAAACAAATCAAGTTCATTGCTCATTCAGAGCGCTCAGAATGGTGCGAAGGCTGGTCTCCTTGTCCCGTCGGTTGCCGGGGCCACGGCAACAGGACACCCAGCCCAAACACCCCCTGAGCCCCTGAGCATCCACCCCTACGGTATCAATACTCGAAACTCTCAAACGCAACTTCCTCTTCCGCAAGCCACTCCATTACCGATATAAGCAACCTTGGATTGGCGCAAGCAAAATACCTCGTCCCTCTCTCAGTATCCCTCACCTCAAGCACATCCGCCTGTCCGATCCTCCTAACATCAACCCGCGCTCCTAGCTTCCTCAGCCTGCCAATCGTCGCATCATTATCGCCATTGCCTTCATGGACGCCCGTAACAAATACCCTCGTCACGTCTCCCAGCCCAGGAATCCACTCAAATGCATCCACCGCCAACACCAAATCCTCCGCTCGCAGACTCCATAGCACCTCAAGGCGCTGCCGCCCTTGTCCCGATGACGACGCCGCCAACAAACCAGGCGCCTGCGCCAAAAGAGGCGTGATGCCTATCCCGCCTGCCACAAACACCGCCTTCTTGGTAGTCGCATGATCACCTGTCGAAGAAGCGATGCGAAACCGCGCCTCCCCGGCGATTCCCAGCACCGGCACCTCCAGCGGCGCAGCCGTCGCATGAAGCGGATGGGCGAAGAGCAGGTTTGTCGCTGCGCCGTGTCTGCGGAGAGTCAGCTGTACCTCGACGCCTTCCGCCATTTCGCGCGCCGACAGTGGTGCTGACGGTGGGGGATTGGAGATGGTGAAGGTCCGGACGAAATCGTCGTTCAAGCTCTGCGGATCGGCGTCGTTCATGTGGCTCCAGCCCATGTCGAGTTCTGATGCGAAGGAGAGGGTTATGTGCTGCCCTGCCTGCCACGTGCACGGCTTCACGCCATGCTGTTGACGCATGCGGAAGGTGAAGCGGGCGATGCTCGGTGTGAGGGGCTCCCTGCGGACGAGGGTTGCTGTTGCAAGGGGGGAGGTCTGTATTGATTCGACTAATGAAGGCGGACGTTCGCTCGCTAGTCGGCGGACTGGAGGGTTGTACGGGCTGGGCTCCCCTGTGGTGCCGCGGAAGGACAGGCCGTCTTTGACGAAGCGCGCCGAACGGAGCTTGATCTTGACGGCGAGGCTGGTGTGCGGCATGATTGCAGCCGCAGAGGAGCCGACGAGCACTTGTGTCTCGCCGGTGAGATACAGGACATCGGAGGTTTCGAAGTCAGGGATGACAATGCCAACCAGTGGGTTGATATGCAGGTTGCCAAGGGTTTGATAGAGACGGTTGCCGGAGTATTCTGGGTAGACCAAGACTACACCGTCGCCGTTCCCTCCGTCCTCAATAGGCGAGTTGCTCACGACGCGCACGAACCCCGCGGGGCCTCCACGATGGTTCGTGTCCATAGTCTGCCCGTTGGTTGATGAGAGGAAGAACATGTCCGCCTTTTGGATCAGAGCCAGGGCTTCTGATGGAAGAGGCAGAGCGGACGAGACCAGGTGGGGCGAGGGGACATGGGCGCGGACGGTCTTGCGGTTGAGATACTTTGGGCAGTTACCCAAGCTCTCTTGGACAAGCATCGCGAGCTGTGCTTCCGCGATGTCTCCGCCGCCCTGTCGCGTAGCAACAGAGCCAACGACCATCTTTCCAGCCAGCTTGACACGGTCCCGGGTTTCGAGATCGATGCTCAGAGCGCTCATGGTCGTGCCGTCCTCGGGCTGGAGGACTTCTCCGTCAGCCACGCTACCCAGCAGGGCCTCTACGACCGGGTCATGGGCCTTGTTGACTAGGCTCTGCATGGCGAGAATGTCTTGAGCTACCGCGCGTGCAAAGCCGCGTTCGCCACCCCAGATGCAGGTCCATGGCCTCCCTTGGTCGTCCAGTGTCCCGACGGCCAGGAGAGACGATACGGTAACACGGTGAGCATACGAAGCGGGCAAGCCAGAAGCTGTGGGGTTTTGGCGGCCTGACGTGGGCACCTTGAGCAGACTGTGGATGGCTTTCTCACCCGGGTGCCAGCCGTTGCTGTGTTGCAGCAGTGTTGTCATGGCAAAGTACTGGTAGTTGTTGTACTCGAGGGGGTTGAACACGGAAAGAGAGCTCCAGTCCCGGAACAGCGGTTGACTAGCGTTAGCAAGACTCTGAGATACAAATCCAAGGAAGAACAGTATGCACCCGCACACAGAGATCATGGGAAGGTTGCCTTGTAACACATCTTTATTCTTCAAATCATTTCTGGCAGATCAAGCTGCAACAGTTAGCTGTGCTATGTTGGACGTGGAATGTTCAAGCCTCTCAAAGGCCGCTCGCTGTATGACAAATCAATGCGGGCAGGAAGAACCAAAGGCGCACTGAAGGTGAAGCTTGGCACACCGTCCCATTGTTCTATGAGCTTATCATCCACACAAGTCGTTGAAGTTGAAGAGAGGCTCACGGCGACCATTCGAACCAGGTGTTTACCCTCTGGACTTTATGAAATAACTGGTTTTGACTTCCAAGACAGGCAACCGCTAACATTTACGGATTTCTATATACAAAAGCCACAATACATGTATCTGTAAGTTCCACGGATATTCGTCACAATCAAATCTCTCATCCCCTGCCGTCTTCTAGAAAACGCGTTGGATCGCCTAGCCCGCCCACTTTATGAGCCCAGAACGCCGTTCCCCTGAAAGTATGTACCATTGACCCCTGATATGCAATGCCGATGAAACAACGACAGATCGCCCCGCCCATATTTCTCATCAAACACATGCTCATCGTCATCTCGTATCCATCCGGTTGGGACTCCATCGCCTTCCGGTGTCAAGGAGCCGAAGGCTCAGCCTTCCTTCTGGAAGATTGATACCCCTCGTCCGCCCGGCGACAATCAAGTCAACCAGGTGGGGCCGGAAACCTGCACCATGTCCCATAAATGACATGCACGCAATAGCGTAACGTTAGATGCGCGGAGACCATCAAGAGAGTGAGCGTTGCACCCTCACAGGCAGCGCTCTGGTTTGGGTGCCCCGTAGCCCCTGACGCCACCGGGTCCCCTTGCCGCTTCTCCGTGTGTGAAACGACTGATCATCACCCACGGCTCGGTTAACGGCCATCCATCCCACTGCTCCCGCTGCTATCCGAGGATGTCGTCACCGTCCCGTGCACATTCTCCCGCGCAGCACTGACCAAACGATAGATGCCGAATGCGATCAGGGCCAGCAGGATGAACAGCACGATGATGATGACGGCTATGACGTCGTTTTGCTTCATTTTGCCTGTCTTTTCCCCTGTGCGGCAGGCGTGGTCTGTCCTTCTCCTTTCCTATCCTTGTGCAGGCAGGTCTTAAAACGAATGGGTGTGTGGAGTGAAGGCCCGAAAGGCAACCGGAGACGGCACGGGGCGGACCGGGAACTCTAGACAGGGTAGGCAACGGCGCAGGGTAGCTGCGAGACAAACTGCGCTCCTCAAGAAGGCGGTCTGTGGCCGGTGCGGTGATGGTATTGTTGGTAATTTGGTGGGTCAGTCGTGTAAGTGGAAGCTGAAGTGGGTACTGAGCTTTAAGCTATTCGAGCTATGGCGGTGCGGCGACGGCGTGGGGTCTGTCAGTCCTGAGTCCTGACAGTCAAAGCGAACTCTGTTGGACACGTTATTAGCTGCAACAAGTTCGGTAGGTAGCGACGCCTGAGAGGGAAGAACTCACAGCAGTAAGCACGTCGCTGTTGCGGGGGTTGAAGCGACAGCAAACTTGTGCAACGGGATGCCTTCATGTAAAGCAGACAGTACTCCCTTAACAGTAAGCTTGAGTGTTGTGATGCGCAAAAGCTAGACAAACGAACAACACCACATGAGAACCCGTAACGACATTAAACAGATGCGTGAAATGTAAGATGCACAAGTGAGGTTGGGCTACGCCAACCACTCGAGGCGGGAAAGCAGGCGCCGAAGTAAAATACCTTGTTGCCCCGCCACCCAATTGTGAAAACCAAATAAAAGAGAAGGCTGGTGGCAGCCAGCCTGTTAGCAGCCGTTTCGCGGCGCCAAGCCTAGCATGTCACAGGGTGGGCACGGACCGCACTTATGGAGCCGACCTCGCCGACCAGCCTTCTCAAATTAGGGTTCAGAAGGATGCGTCCAAACCAGGGGCACCTTAGCTTTGTCGAAGGGCTGAGGTGCGCCATAACGGCGCGAGTGCGATGGACAGTGTTTGCAGTTAGCTAAGGTAGGTAGGTCCTTTTCGTTGCAAGCTGCGTATTACTAGTAACTACAAACTCGAAAAGGGGTCCGTTGGATAGAAGCCCAACAAAACTTAACGATACAATCAACCGAACTCGCTTTCAGATAAACACTCAAGACTATGCAAAGAAGCAGTGAGAGATCTGACGTTTGCCAGTGAATTCCGAAGATCGGTAATACCGTCTCCTGCCAGATACCTCTTGGCCTGGATGGGCTGTGTGAATGTCTCTCCCAGGCACGAACTCATTGCCGAGGGGCGGTAGGGTGGCATCGAGAGACCAGCGCTCACAAAATTTTCAAGCGGAATCTAATTCAGGATCTCGTTTGATGATCCGAACGTGCCGCTCATAGAATTGCAACATCTAGAAATGGTGAGCTCTCTGAACTCATTGCACGGGTCGCTCATACATCACGTACCTTCTGTGGACACCTCTGGTAAATCACACTCGTCTCATGCTGGGTTTTGTGCCCGTTTTTCCACGTCACGTATACCACGAGCTTGTGGGTCACCTCATCCTCGCAAGCATCTAGTTGGGCAATGTGGTCCTCCCAGCTACCCGGTGGCGGCTTCCACGTTGCGGCCTTCGCACTAAGCGGCGGCTCCGAGTCCACCGGGTGGCCCCCATTCCTCCGTGACCTTTTTTGGGTGGGCTGTGGTGTGGATGGGGAAGGTCGCCCCCTCTTCTTGCTCTTAAGCACCTTTGCAGTTTCTTCCAAGAGCTTTTCTCTGCCGCCAATGCTCTGGAGGTATTCGTTTAGGGCTTCGGAGGCATTCTCCCTGAAAAGATGGGTCAGCGCAAATCCGTCGCGTGGAATGCGGCCGAATCTTACACCAGGTTCTCTTCTGGCTCCCATGTTCGGTCGGCCTCGTCATCATAGCCCTCCCACTTGACCTCGAAGTATGGTTTTCCCTGCTTGTCACTGTTAGACTTAGCCTGAAGGACTGGTTATGTGATCAGTGCCTCACCTTTGGATCAATCATATGTGACATGATCTTCTCCACGACATAGCTAACAAGAGATTAGCGAAGTGTGCATTGGCTTCAACGCATAGCTGTATTCATACACTTCCTCCTCGTCTCCATCCTCGTTATCATCGTCCGCTTCAAGATCATTCGAACCATTCGTTCCGTTCTTGACATCCTCTTCGTCGAGGTTGTCCTGGTACGACACGGGCTTTTTCCCGCGACCCAACTTCTTCGTGCTCGACTGTTCAATTTCGACGTCTGATGGCTCCTCGTCGCTGAATGCTGCAGCACGCGGTTAGACGATGAAGAAGCTGTAGGGCATCCAGTTGGCCGGCGATGGCGAGGTATTGCGACTGGCGACGCGACGCGACCGCTCGCGCTCCAATCGCATTGCATATCAAAGTGGCTACCGTGGGCTTACCTGGCGGCATCCTGGTAGAGATTAGGGGAGTGTCTCAGTCAGCAGGGAATCACAAAGCGATTTCTCTGAAGCTGGGGTGCTTGCGCTTGCGGTTACACTGTAGCTCGATATGCGAGATATCAAAGTCGCGATGGCTGCTTGTCCGGCGCGAACACGCGAAAGAAAACTGGGGTCTGGACCGGGGGCGCCGTTATAGTGGCTCGCTTCATCACGTGACTGGATTCCGTATGTACTATGTACTTCTTTTGCGCCTTTCGAACTAGTTATCCGAGTTTAGAAGCAGGCTGATGAGTTGCATGACAACGAATGTGCACAATAAGAACCCGAAGACTCGAAAGCAGTGGGCCAGCAATATCAAGTTGGTTTTCGGTTGAAAAACCGGAAATTGGAACTTCAATTGAATTGGAACTTTCTGCTGGGCAGACCTGGGAGCATGTTGTGGCAGGCGCGACCTGATTGATGCTTTTGGTCTCGGGCAGGTGCAAACCGGGCATGTCTCCCACCCCGCCGAGCTACACTACGTGCCCATTGCAGTGCTCACTTCGTGCACAGGTATTGCTTCAATTCATTCTGCGGGATCTCTCACCTACTCGGTACCGATCCGCCGCGCTGGTTTTCACGATGCCAGATTGGGAGGATTATTCGACCCCGAGGGTGGTATTGGCAGCCAGATCCGAAATTGAGAACCAAGGTTGCCGAACACATGGAGGAGTTGGCATTTTCCAGAAGATTGTAACCGTGTCCTTCCGCGGACACACCTCCCTCCGACTTTCAGACAAAGCTGAACGGAACGGCTCTGTCATGTTCTCTGCAAGGCGGAGGAGATATGTCGACTCGATCTGGTTCAACAGAGGCCCTCTGATCTTAAACCTGCATTGGTTGAGGGCACGCGGAGTGACGGGACGTTGGAGGTCAAGCACAGGTGATGCGGATTCTCTCCAATCGAGGGTCAATCCACTCCGGCGGAACTGCCCTGGAGACTCGCGAAACGTTCGGGTCCGCCAAGAAGCCGGCCATTGGTCCGGCAACGGACCCGGTACAGGCACCCCGGATACGACTCCACGGGACCTCATTTGAATCGCGTTGATGAGATGCTCCCACAAGAGAGTTCTGGTCGGCTCAGTCCCGATCTGCGTCAGGAAGACAATGGACGGAACATCACCTGCAACGGTCACGAGTGTTCCTAACGGTTGTGGGAATTGTCATGACAAGGAGCTAACCAAAAAAGCAATTGCTTGCCAAACACGGGAGCTATGGGATCCTAGCAAGGAAGAGGCCCCCAGCATGTGATACAGCACTACGGTGGCTCTAATAACCGTCAATAACCCCCGGGTGGCCCGGGTATTTACGTATCAATGCTGCTGCTGCTGCCGAAGCGGAGCTGGCCCCGAAAGCCTTGCGATCTCATGAGCTTGGACAATGGCTGTCACTTCTGGGACCCCGGGACAGATGACCAACGCCTGCACTCTAGGCTGAAGATCAGCGCCATGTGAATGACGGTGACAACCTGGAAGTGGTTCGGCTTCGCCCCGGTCAGATTTCACGAGTCGAATGAAAGGCGATTGACAGGGGTGCTGGGAAACGGTGAATCCACTTGCAGTGCACTGCGGACAGTCTGGAAAACTGAAAGGCCCATGAATAAGCGGGATGGATCTGAGCAGCCTTTGCACTGTATTGGATGCAGAAAACGAGGGAAGCGTTTGGCTTGCAGAGCATTGTTGCCGGCCAACAGGAGGACAGTCACGGCCAAAGATGACAACCCAGTCATGGTACTTGACTCGGGGTATGGATTACAGGACGTCCCATTACTTCCCACCTTCCTGAATCCCTTCTCAGTTACAGGGCAAACAGACACTGCGTCGAAACGACCCGAGGTCTACACAGTAACGTTCAGTATAATCTTCAGTCGGACCCTTGTTGTTGCTAATACCTGCCCTGTCCGGGGAATGCTACCCAGTCGGGAAAAGGGGCCTAAATAATATGAAGCACGTCTCTGGTGTTGATGGCAGTGTCAGAACTCAGAACCAAGAAGAGTCCACTCCTTCGAGTCGCCACAGGCACTTAAACCACTGATCTCCCCCAGGTCTCTCTGCCATATCCTTCTCTAGGGCTGTGGTCTGCAAAGCTCGGATGAAGGGAGCAACCGTCTGAGCAATTAACATTACCGTGTTTGGTTTGCCCTTCAATGTGCTTTCCTTCGTCTTCGGCTCGTCATCCACCCCGTCGATCCGACCCCAAGCAAGATGGAGGAGACAACGAACCGTCCCGAAGGGGCGAACATGACTAAGGCCGTGAAGGACAAGACCTGTCCCTACTGTCAGCAAGCCTTTACGTCTTCGTCTCTGGGCCGCCATCTCGATCTCTACATCCGGGAGAAGAATCCGAAGGCGCCGGACGGTGTGCACGATGTAGAAGCCATTCGAAAGATCAGGCAGAATATCACCCGTCGGCAGCCGAAGGGTAGTGTAGCACGGCGGGCCGCTTCGGCGTCGCTATCTGGCGCTCACACCACATGTTCAAGGAGGAGTCCTGGAAACACCGAGTCTCCTGCCGCGAGTTCTCCACTCACCCACACAAGCGGAACGCCGGCACTGGGCATGACTCCGAGGAGCTATCCGTTCAACACCTCCTGGGACGCCAGCGGGGTTAATAATGATCTCACGGCGTCAGAGGGCGGGGTGAGCGGTTGCTTCAATGCAGATGGAGCTGGTCGAGGACCAAAGCTCAGGTTACCTCAGCACCCTGTCAACCGGCAAACATTGAAGCAGCAGTTGGAATTGAGGCATCAGGTCCAGGAAGCCCAGGACACATCGCGAGCTGCAGAGCTGGCCTTGCGGGAACTGCTTGGTTCGTTGAGAGCTGCCAAGTCTGTTGCCCTTTCCCGCCGCCTTATCTTCCCCAGCTCCAGTTACTGACTTGATTTGACAGACAGAAACTCGACACTGGCTCGATGCCGTTTGACTTTGACCCGTTCTCGTTAGACTTCCCGGCTCTCACACTACAGTGCCTCCAGCCTCCACCGACGCTGTTCGCCTCAACGCAGCACGCCACGCTCACCTCGTGGTCAATTCTCCCTCCTGGGCAGAGCCAACTGGAGGCGCTACACGCCTACTTCCAGGAGGAGTTTAGGCGATGGAAGATTGCCTGTGTCTCAGCCACTACGGCCGTCACCGAGGGGCCGGCGTACGCTCGCCCCTTGAACCTCGCCGTTACGGACAGGGAAACCGAGGCCCGGAAGGCTGAAGCGGCAGCCGAGAAGATGGAAAAGCACGTGTACGATCATCTCAACGCAGCCTACGCGATTTGGAATGGCCTCGCGCAGGAGCAGCGCGAACAACTATGGAGGCTGGAGCTCGCTCGGGGTGTTGGCAGGAAACAGAAGGAAGTGAGCAAGCTGAAAGAAGGACAACATTTGCTCAAACAAGAGATTGCGACTTTGAAGACGCAAATCGAGCAGTTGACTTGTCTCCAACAGCCGCGGGAGTTTAATCTCGCACCACCCTCGACAGTTTACGTTGGGGAGAAAGTACTGTCACTCATGCTGGAGGAAGGGCTGACGGACGGAAAACATCCAGTGGGATTGGACCTTGCTGATCGCCACACGGACCTGAGTACTCTTGTTTCGTCGGTCATTGATCGATGGAAGACTGTCATTGTATCGTCTCGCTCAGCAACCTCCGGTCTCGAGGCGCAACGGCCGTTGAACGCAGGAATCCTGGGAGAGTCCAGCCCAAGCTCCCTACGTCAGCAAAATCACGGGATACACCAGTCGCGGCAGCAGTACCCGTCTACAACTATCCCACAAGGGACGACTTACCCTGCTTCTGCTCCCTCAGCAATAACATCCTTCCCGCCACATGCGATGAGCATACCCGCCGCTCCCAGCATAGCGCCTTCGATGAGCACACAAACAGGAGAGGGCGAGGATGAGGATATGAGCGGTCAGCTCGGCGAGTCAGATGCGGAGGGGGATCCAGATCCAGACCCTGCGCCGGACAGCGATGCAGAAGGCGATACCGATGCTGACGCTGATGCCGATATGGACGATGACCCAGGGGAATACGTCAACCAGCAACTTCAGCCGGCGCAGCATCAGTTCCAACTGGCTGTTCCTATGCAGGCACAGCAAATAGGACAACTGCAAGTGTTGCGGACACGGCCGCAAGCGGGAGGGTCCAGGAGGAGCACGAGCGATGGCGGCATGGCTGGCCATGGTGGCCTTGACCAGGGACAGATCCATGGACACGACCGGACGCCCAGCTGGACATGACCACTGCTCTGCGAGTTCGGCGGCGAGAACACAAAGATTCGGAATTGGATGCGGGATGAAACCACAGTCCGCGTTCAGACAGGGGGATATAGAACCTACTTTCTTGTAAGACTTGTTCTTACTCGTGTAAATTAAATAGAAAGGTAAGGGCGTATATTAACAGGACGGAGGAGTCGGTATATAGATGTGAGCATGCGAGATCTATTCAATTTCTCAACGGGGTTACCCATTGCTGATTACCAGTCTCAGAGGCAATAGTTACTGTGTTTACTGTGTAACGTTTCCGTACTAGTAGTACTCGTAGTTACTGCCAGCGTCAGTGACAGAGAGAAGGGCTGGGTTAGGGTTGTGAGCGTCAATCGTTGACCCACCCATCTCATGCCTCTCCGACGCCAGGGCTGTGACTCAACACGGTCTCAGGAAAAAATACCCCGCGGTGGGGTTTATTTTACAATTCGGTTGACTTGGGTCGTCGGCGCGATCAAAACCTGGCCCCCGCAACACGACAGAAAAGAATCAGACATCTGCATTGGGCTCTGGTCGTCGGTTGCTTTCCACAAGCCCAGAACAGCAATACTATCACCACCATGGCTGACTCGACCGCACCCGCGCCTCCGACCGACGGGGTTGCCAACCTCCACCTGGACGAAGTCACCGGCGAGCGTGTGTCCAAGACGGAACTGAAGAAGCGCCAGAAGCAGCGGCAGAAGGAGGCCGAGAAGGCGGCCAAGGCTGCTGCTGCTCCGGCCAAGGCCTCAAGCAAGCCGAAGGGTGCCTCGGGCGAGGAGGAGAAAGACCTGAACCCAAATCAGTACTACGAGATCCGGAGTCGGCACATCAACGAGCGTAGGTCGCGAGGGAGCAATTCCCACCGGCGTTCACGTCCACACAGCAACACTCGCTAACTGCCTCCCCGAATAAGTGCTCAAGAACCCGGAGACCAACCCGTACCCGCACAAGTTCCACGTCACATACGACGATACCAAGTTCTTTGAGGAATTCGGCCACCTCAAGTCAGGCGAGACGGACGAGAGCAAGGAGCTCCGGTTCGCAGGCCGCATCTACAACAAGCGCGCAAGCGGCTCGAAGCTGATTTTCTACGGTAATTCTGCCCTGCTTCTCACCCCTTTCAGACGCTCCCCCCTCTAACTCACAAGCAACTTAGACATCCGCACCTCCGCCACCACGGTCAGCATCGGCACGCAGCTGCAGGTCGTGTGCCAGGCGCAGCTGGTCAAGGAAGGCGGCACGCCCTTCGAGAAGCAGCACGAGCACATCCGCCGCGGCGATGTCATCGGCATTGTCGGCTATGCCGGCCGCACCAACCCCAAGAACAGGCTGGCTGAGGGCAAGGAGGGTGAGCTGTCGGTCTTTGCGACCGAGATCGTGCTGCTCAGCCCGTGCTTGCACATGCTGCCTAGCGTGCGCTTCCCGTTTGCGGACCCCGAGCAGAGGTGCGTAGTATTTTTTTTCTTTTTTCTCTTTCACTTTACTTGCTGCCCGGCGAGGGGTTATGTTGGGTTGTTGCTTACTGGCCTTTGTTTCAGGGCGCGCATGAGGCATCTTGATATGCTGTGGAACGACCGGACTCGCCAGGTACTTTGGCAGCGCAGCCGGATGGTTCGCTTCATCCGTGACTGTAAGTGTGGTACTTCGAATACCGCGGCCAGGGGCTAACGGTGTCCTAGTCTTCCACGAGCACCAGTTTATTGAGGTCGAGACTCCAATGATGCATGCCATTGCCGGCGGCGCCACTGCTGTAAGTATAAACTGCCAGGAGCTAAGGGGGCGGCGGGTGAAGCATGCTGACGATTCTCAGCTTCCGTTTATCACCCACCACAACGACTTGGATATCGACATGTACATGAGAGTCGCGCCCGAGCTGTTCCTCAAGAAGATGATTGTGGGCCAGTTCGGCAAGGTGTTTGAGATCGGCAAGAATTTCCGCAACGAGGGCGTCGACCTCACACACAACCCCGAGTTCACGTCTTGCGAGTTCTACTGGGCGTATGCCGATATGTATGACCTCATGGACATAACTGAGAAGCTGGTATCGTCGCTTGTCAAAGAGCTCACCGGCTCTTACAAGACGACCTTCACCACGCAGCACGGTGAGACGTACGAAGTGAACTGGGAGGCGCCGTGGCGCAGGGTTGAGATGATCCCTGCGCTCGAGGAGGCGACGGGCGAGAAGTTCCCTCCTTCGGAGGAACTCCACACGGAAGAGACCAACAAGTTTCTGCAGAAAGTCTGCAAGAAGATGGGCGTCGAGTGCCCGCCGCCGCTCACGAACTCCCGCATGATCGACAAGCTCACCGGTGAATTCATCGAGAGCACTTGCGTCAACCCAACCTTCATCCGTGAGTTTTGCTGGCAAGGGATTGACGGGAGGATGAATGCTGATCTGGCGTGCAGTTGAGCACCCGCAGGTGATGAGTCCCCTGGCCAAGTATCACCGGTCCAAGAAGGGTCTCTGCGAGAGATTTGAGTAGGTTCCCGTGCGGCATCCTGCTGGTCTTCCGGCCGAGTCTCTAACGGTTGGATAGGGCGTTTGTCTGTAAGAAGGAGATTGCGAACGCGTACACCGAGTTAAACAACCCCTTCGATCAGAGACTCCGCTTCGAGGAGCAGGCCCGGCAGAAGGCCCAGGGCGATGACGAGGCGTGCGTGCCGGATCCTGTGTACCGAAATGAGCAATGGCTAACATCAGTGCTTGGCTGCAGGCAAATTGTGGACGAGAGCTTCCTGAATGCGCTTGAGTTTGGCCGTAAGTGTCGAGCTCCGTGCTGATGCATGTATCAAGCAGATTACTGATTGGTGTAACCACAGTGCCGCCAACGGGTGGATGGGGCCTCGGAATCGACCGTCTTGCGATGGTACGGCATCCCCGAGATCAACAGGGTCTTTTGAGGCCAGACTAACAGGCTGGGCAGTTCATCACGAACAACTACGCGATCCGAGAAGTCTTGGCCTTCCCGTTCTTGCGTGAGGAGAAGCAGGGACCCAAGGAGCCGTTTGCGGCTGAGCTGGTTGACGTACAGCCCCTTCCCGAGGAGGGCATTCGTAAGTGCCAACTGCCGAGTGTTGTGGCCGGATCTCGCTTGCTGACGTCGTGCAGCGCACAAATAGATGAGGATACCTTAGATAGTGGTGAAAGAGCGTGGATGGCTGGGAGAGTAAGCCCTGGTTCTGTTTGCAGTTGTCTGGCTGATGTGTCGGGATCTAGGTTAGGAATGCACTATCAGCTAAGGGAGTAGACAGTTACCTAAGCTAGACACAGAATACACAATCGGGCTCACGGCGACGGCGATGCCCTGGACGACACCCTCATGTGCCATACCGGTATGAGGTTGTTTGACTTGTTGATGACGCGGCCCCTGACTTGGCATTTTGCCCAGTGGGCTGTGGGCCTCCTTCAAAGCGCTTAAAAGCCCCTGAGGGAAAATGCACCCCCACTTTTGTGCGGCTCAGCTGCGGAGATACGGCGAGGCACGGTTCGACCAAAGCCGATAAGCCGCGACCGAAACCGAGCCCGAGTCGGCACAACAGGATCGCCCGATGATTCATTGTCTTCGAGTCTGGGTGTCTACCCACAAGCGAGCGACAAAGGGCGCAGGCTGCTCCAATTGAATTGTGTTAGCGCTGCTTGGCCTTCACTTCTATGACGGAGGCTAAGCCTGGCAGAGCGTGACTGAAGGAGCACTCGCGCATTTGCTTCCCAAGCAAATAAAAGTACATACCCGGAATCTCCGCAGCGGCCCTACATCCCATCCCACCTTTGACACATCTCCGTGATCCTAAATTCTACAGTGACCGTCTTAATAAACGGCCGTATCACTACGATGGTCATCTCATGAGTCGTGGATAAATTCGGTAAGCCAGCAAGCAAGCAATCAGGCAGAGGGAGCAGACGGAAAACAGGCCCAAGACGCTCGTTTCAATCAAGCAACTAACTCGACGACGCTGGGGATTCGACCAATTGTGGTGGCCCGAACCGACGCCGTAGCACCGGCACGACCCGAGACAAACCAACTGCAATCGTGAAAACGTCACGCCGATCGTAGGCCGAGAACGGGAACGGGAAGGGCCGACAGACAGTAGTAAAATACGCTAAATTAACCTCCGGGCGGGCGCCGACATGGCGCTCCTCCGGCAAACATGGACGCTGGTGCTGAAGAACTGGCTGATTGTGCTGGGGAGGCACAGTTTTGCGACGGTGATCCGGGCACTCGTGCTGCCCGTCATCCTCACGGCCTTCCTGAGCTTCGCCAAGAACCTCTTCTCGCCGTCGGCACGGTTCGGCATCAGCCCTGCGCAGCCGATCCGCTCTCTGCCCGACGCGCTGCAGCTGGCACAGGGAAGCGGCAGGGAGCACGTCGTGTTTGTGCACAACGGCTACACGGGGGGCGACATTGAGCGCGTCATCGGCGACCTGGCGGACACGGTGAGGGGCGCGGGCACGAACGCGACGGTCCTGGCCAGCGAGGACGACGTCCCCTACATCTGCCGCGCGTCGCTCCGCGGCGTCACGCCGTGCTATGGCGCCGTCATCTTCCACGGCTCTCCCACCGAGGGCGGAGGCGGCGTGTGGAACTACACGCTCCGCGCCGACGCCTCGCTGGGCGCCGGGCGCATCAACGTCGACAGGGACACCAACGACGGCCAGGTCTACATGCTGCCCATGCAGCACGCCGTGGACTCGGCCATCTCGCGGCGGAACAACGGCACCGACGGCGGCGCGGTGGCGCTTCCCGCGGCCGTCGACCAGTACCCCTTCACGACGCTCACGCAGGACGAGCTCGCCGACCGGATCCGCGTCAACTACCAGGCCGTCATCATGAACGCGCTGGGCGTCGTCTTCATCGTGTGCATCATCGGCATCGTCTACCACATGGCCGGCTTCATCGCCACGGAGCGCGAGTCGGGCATGTCGACGCTGCTGGAGGCCATGATGGCGACCCGGAGCCGGTGGCAGCCCCAGGCGGCCCGGCTGCTGTCGTACCACGTGTCGTTCTCGCTGCTGTACGCGCCGGCTTGGGTCATCGCGGCGCTGATCCTGTGGGGCGGCGTCTTCCCGCACACGAGCGCGGCCGTCATCGTGCTGTACTTCATCTTCTCCGGGCTGGCGCTGGGCTCCATGTCGATCCTCGGCGCCGCCTTCTTCAAGAAGTCGCAGCTGAGCGGCGTGTCGCTCACCATCATCTACATCGTGCTGGCCATCATCGCGCAGGTCATCAGCTGGCCGCAGACGGGCACCGTCATCGCGCTGAGCCTGCTCTTCACTCCGTGCAACTTTACCTACTTCATCTCGCTGCTCGCCCGCTGGGAGCAGCAGCTGTGGCCGACCGACCTGCTCCAGCCGCCGCCCACCAGCCCCTGGAGCCTCCCCGGCATCGTCTTCTTCGTCTTCCTCGGCGTGCAGGTCGTCTTCTACCCGGTCCTCGGCGCCCTGGTCGAGCGATGGCTGCACGGCACCACCTCGAGCGGGCGTAACATCGTCGTGGGCGAGGACCGCGGCGGCCTCGGCGCGGACTGCGCCGTCCAGCTCGACGAGTTTACCAAGGTCTACAAGCCCGGCATCCTCCGCCGCATGTTCGGCTTCCTCTCCAAGCCCAAAGAACCCGTGGTGGCGGTCAACAAGCTCACGCTGCGCGCGCACCGCGGCCAGATCCTCGCGCTGCTCGGCGCCAACGGCAGCGGCAAGAGCACGACGCTCGACACCATCGCGGGCATTAACCGGGCCAGCAGCGGGCGCATCACCATCGACGGCACGGGCGGGCTGGGCATCGCGCCGCAGAAGAACGTGCTGTGGGACGAGCTGACCGTGTTCGAGCACATCCGCATCTTCAACAAGCTCAAGTCGCCGCTCCGCCACGCGACGGCGGACGAGATCCGCCAGCTCGTGCTCGCCGTCGACCTCGAAACAAAGATCAAGGCGCAGTCGCGCACGCTGTCGGGCGGCCAGAAGCGCAAGCTGCAGCTGGGCATGATGCTCACGGGCGGCAGCGCCGTGTGCTGCGTCGACGAGGTCTCTTCGGGGCTCGACCCGCTCAGCCGCCGCAAGATCTGGGATATCCTGCTGGCGGAGCGCGGGCGGCGGACCATGATCCTGACCACCCACTTCCTGGATGAGGCCGATCTGCTGGCCGACTACATCGCCGTCATGTCCAAGGGCAACCTGCGCGCCCAGGGCACGTCGGTCGAGCTGAAGGACCGGCTGGGCGGCGGGTACCGGATCCACGTGAACACCCCGAAGCTGATCCCGCGGCTACCCGATATCGCAGGGGTGAGGAAGAAGGCGACGCATGAGGAGGCTGCGTACGTTGCGAGCACTTCGGCGAAGGCTGCCGTGGTGATCCGCGAGCTGGAGGCGGCGGGTATTTCGGACTACCGGTTTTCGGGCCCGACGATCGAGGATGTGTTCTTGCAGCTTGCGGAGGAGGTCCGGGGTGAGGGTGGCGGTGGCGGTGTTCTCCGCTCGGCGGACGAGAAGTCGTCAGAGGAGAAGGCGACCGTGGCCGAGGCCACCGAAGCGGAAAAGGGCCTCGAGCTCATGTCGGGCCGGCCGATCGGGTTCCTGCGGCAGACGTGGGTGCTGTTCCTCAAGCGGTGCGTCATCTTCAAGGGCAACTGGTTCCCGTCCATGGCGGCGTTTGTGATCCCCGTTGCCGCGGCCGGCCTGGTGATGCTCTTCGTCCGGCACCAACAAGCGGCCGGGTGCTCGCCGGGCGACCAGTCGACGAGGGAGACGGCCATCAATATCTTTGACGACTTCGAGCTGTTCCTGGTCGGGGGCCCGCCGGACAAGTTCAGCGAGTCGACCCTGATGCGCCTCTTCGCGCCCATCTACCTCAGCTCCATGGGAATAATGGGAGACAGCGGCAATGCGCTGGCTGCGCGGGCTGCGGCCAGCCCTGCTGGCTTCTTCAAGAACCTGACGCTCGTCAACTCGTTCGACGAGTTCAACCACGCGGTCGTGCAGTACCGCAGGAACATCACGCCGGCCGGCATCTGGCTCGGCGACGACCACTCCCGCCCGACGCTCGCGTACATGGGCAACGGCGCTGAGATGATCAACGCGTGGTTCGGAAACTGGGCGATGGACATGCTCCTGACCAACCAGACCATCGCGTCGACGTACGTCTTCTTCGACCGGCCCTTTGCGCCCGACGCGGGCAACTCGATCCAGCTGCTCGTGTACGTCGGCCTCGCGCTCTGCGCGTACCCGGCCTTCTTCGCGCTGTATCCCAACCTGGAGCGGCGCCGCAACGTCCGCGGCCTGCAGTATTCGAACGGCGTCCGGCCGCTGCCGCTGTGGCTGGCCTACACGGGTTTTGACTTCCTCGTTGTGCTGGCCGGCGCCGTCATCAGCATCGCGCTCTTCGCCGGTCTCGCGCCCAACCTGTGGTACCACCTCGGCTATGTGTTTCTGGTCCTGATCCTCCACGGCTTGGCGTCGACGCTGCTCGCGTACAACGTCTCGCTGTTCAGCGCCAACCAGCTGTCCGCCTACGCCTTCACCGCGGCGGGGCAGGTCATCATGCTGCTCCTCTATCTGATCGCCTACATGTGCGTCATCGTGTACGCGCCCGTCAACCGCATCGACAGCCTGATCCTCGTCATCCACTTTGTGCTTTCCGTCGTGGCGCCCATCTGCTCCGTCGTGCGCGCGCTGTTCGTGGCGCTCAACCTCTTCTCGACCGCCTGCGACGGCCACGCGCTCTCGTCCCACCCGGGCAGTCTGGTGCAGTACGGCGGCCCGATCCTGTATCTGATCATCCAATCCATCCTGCTCTTCCTCGTCCTGGTCTGGGCCGACGGCGGCAGCGCAGGCTTTTCCGTCTGGCGCATCTTCTCTCGCTCCTTCCGCTCCTCCTCTTCCACTACTACCCATCCCGCCGCCGCCACAGCGCTGGACAACGAACGCGCCGCCATCTCGGACGAAGAAGTCGCCAACGAGCTGGTCCGCGTCAAATCCTCCTCTGCTACTGCCACCGACAAAAACAACCAGGGTGGTAATAATAATAATAATACGACCAATAATCCAACCGACGGCCTGCGCGTGATCAACCTGACCAAAACCTTCCGGGGCAACAACACGGCCGTCGACAACGTCACCTTCGGCGTGCCGCACGGCGAGGTGTTTGCCCTGCTGGGCCCCAACGGCGCGGGCAAGTCCACGACCATCTCGGTCATCCGCGGCGATCTGAAACCCTCCTCCTCGGGGGGCGACGTGTTTGTCGAGGACGCCTCGGTCACGCGCCACCTCGCCGCCGCGCGCACCCACTTGGGCGTGTGCCCCCAGTTCGACGCCGTCGATGCCATGACCGTGGAGGAACACCTGCGGTTCTATGCTCGGGTCAGGGGCATTCCGGACGTGGCGCACAACGTCTCGGCTGTCTTGAGAGCAGTCGGGTTGGCGGCCTTTCGCGATCGGCAGGCGCATGCCCTGTCCGGGGGCAACAAGCGGAAGCTGAGCCTGGGCATCGCGCTGATGGGGAATCCGACCGTGGTGCTGCTCGACGAACCCAGTTCCGGGCTGGACGCGGCGGCGAAGCGGGTCATGTGGCGCACGCTGGCGGCGACGGTGCCCGGCCGGAGCATCCTGCTGACGACGCATTCCATGGAGGAGGCGGACGCGCTGGCCGGGCGGGCGGGCATCCTGGCCAAGCGCATGCTGGCCATGGGCAGCATCGACGCGCTGCGGGCGCGGTTCGGCGACCGGCTGCACGTGCATCTGGTGTGCAAGGGCGCGCCGAGGACGAGTGACGAGGACGTGGAGCGGGTCCGCGACTGGGTGCGCCGCACGTTTGGCGACGCGGCCGCCGTCGAGGACAAGACATACCACGGCCAGATGCGCTTCAGCGTGCCTGTCGGTGCTGTCGCCGCGCAGCCGAGCCGCCGGCATGGTCGTTCTCCTTCTTCTTCTGATGATTATGATGATGCTGATGATGATCGCCGGCGGCTGCCAGATGAGATCACGTCTGCTGCTGTTGCCGGCGGACTGGCCTCCTCCTCCTCGTCGTCGTCGGGGTCAGCCATTGGCAGGCTGGTCGTGCTCCTGGAAGAGAACAGGGAGTACCTCGGCGTGGAGCACTACAGTGTCAGCCCCACCACGCTGGACCAGGTCTTTTTGACCGTTGTCGGGCGGCATAATGTCCGCGAGGAGGGGTATGAGAATCAGGAGGGGAAGAAGAAGAAGAGCTGGTGGCGGTCTGGAAAATAAAGCAGGGGGCGTTGCTCTTTGATTTGAAGGTCTGCATCTATTTGGGAGGGAGGCCTTTCTGTTGTGTTGGTCGGTTCAAGTTGGTTGCATGGCGTGGCATCAGCGTGATGTTTTGGAAAGAGCGAGGGAAGCCGAGTCCCAGTATAGACCCTGACGGGAACTTTTCTTTCTGCATATTTATTTCTTTATTTATTTTTTTTTCTCGCTTGGCATCTTCACACATACATTCTCTGTATATATCCTTTTTGGCTGGTCATGATACACTGGGGTCATATGTAGAGTGATTTGGAGGTGCGAAGATCAGGTGGTAAACTTGGAATCTCCTGCACAGAAAGCGAGCAAAACAGTACAAAGGAACCTAGTAGTGTACTAGGTAGTACCTTAGACTTATAGATGATTCCTTGTTACAGGGTCGGGCAATATGTGCTGGATAAAGCGTTCTAAAGGCTCGATTACAACCATTGACTGAACACGAGATGGAGACGAGGTGGCAAAGGGCAACGCCAATGGTTACTGCCTATTATCGCAAACTGAATGCTAGTAGTAGCGCTTCTAAGATGCTCATTCCGGGTAACCCTCATATATTCATCTGCCCTTATCCAAAACACACACTTAGCCACCCAAATCCAAAAACAGTACACATCCCGCTCCCGACTCCAGATGCCCGCCTCTTTCGCAACCCTCTCAAAGCTTCCCGTCTCGCGCGGCCCTCAACTCCGCGCCCAACCGCGCAATCAGCCTCTCGAGGATCCACTCGGCCTCCTCCTGCGAGCCCATCAACGGACTCCTACTCCCGACCCAGCTCCAGGGCAGCGCTGGCTCTTCCGTCTCCTTCTCTCCTTCTTTCATGTCCCCTTCCCCAGCTTGCCCGCCCCGACCGCCACCCAGACGACCCTGATCATCCGGCGCCCTCCCTGCCACCGGCCGTCCCTTCTTGGTCTTGACATGCGGGTTCGCCTTGCGGTGCCGCTCCGCATTCGCCTCGTCCTCGCCGATGAGCCGGAGATACCAGGCCCATTCGTGGAACGAGTATTTTTGCGGCGGGTGGTGCTTCAGGTGCTGGGCGACGCGGTGGATCTCGTCGATCAGGATGATGTGGTAGTCGTGCTTGTTCGTGGGGATGGACGGGAGATGTTGGCGCGGGATGGAATGGCTGCGGCTCCGGCTGCGGCTGGATTTGGATCGCGACGGTGAGTGTGGGCGTGGTGGTGGTGTATGTGAGTTGTTGGAAGGAGGGAACGGGTCGGAGAAGGTTATTCGGTTGTTGGGAAGATTTGTTGGATTGGGATTGCTGCTGGGGGGATGATGCGGACGGGAGGCTTCATCGGTAGCGTTAGCTTCGACTCTCTCGGAGTGAAGCCCTTCGGATTGCTCGCGTTGGGCACGCTTTCCTTTGGTGCGGGCGGTATTGACGCCCTCCGCTTCGATGTCGGCCTCGTCTTGCTGCATTGCCTCTTCGGGGTCGTCGTGGCCATTGTCGTTATTGCCGTCGGTCACGCCCAACTTGAAGTGCGCGGCTTGGCCGAGAAGGCCCGGGGGCTCTTCCTTGACGTTTTCATCGTCGCCGAACAAGGCGCCGCAGGACAGTGTCCGCAACAGCCGCTTGAGGTCCCTCTTGAAGCCCTGCTCGCTGGGAAGGATGGTCACTGTCGCGATCTGATCGGTGGCGTCCCGGATTCCCTTGACCACGGTGTCTCCAGCATCCGAAATCAACACGGTCGTGGTCGGCAAGGCGAGCAGCGCCCAGAACACCCAAAACGACTTGCCTGCGTTGGACACGGGCGTGATGTCGCCGTAGCCGATAGTGGTCAGGCTCACAAAGGTAAAGTACACTCCATCAAAGTAAACCCAGCCCTGGTACGGCGCTTCGCATGTCTGGAATACCTTGGCGCCAACCAGCCACAGCATCAGCCAACTACTTGTCGATACGCACAGGGCAATCCAGCGCCGGCGGCGGGCAGCCGTGTCCTGTATCTTGCGCATCAACTTGAACTCGAGCTCCCTCCGCTCAAACTCGGTCAGCCCCAAACAGTCGGTTCGGCGGGAAGCCATGGTGGGCGGGCCGTCCGTGATCGGCACCAGAATGTCGTCTTGTCCCTTCTGTGTCAGCCGTCGCAGGGTCCTCCGCCGGCCCTTTTCCACCATGCGAGCACCCACCCGTTGTTTGCCGCGGTCGAGCACCAGGCTGCGGATGGAGCCGATGACAAGGCCGAGACTGATGATGCCGACGAGCGAGTAAGGGATAAGCAGGCCTCGCGACGCGCCTTTGGTCGCGTAGAAATCACCAAAGCCTACGGTGAAGAGCGTCACCGCGGCCCAGTATACGCCGTCAAGGTAGGACCAGCCCTCCAGTTTGCTGAACAACAGCGCTCCGAGAAGCAGATACAAGAGGAACAGAATGGTCTGCAGCATCAGAGTGCGCTGGCTCGGCGTGAGGATGAAGTCCTTGGGATAGCGGCCGGCCTGAGCACCGATGTAGGTGACGACCATGAGGGAGGCGACCAGGAAGTAGAGCACTGCGGAGTAGATGCCGTAGTAGAAGGCCTGTGACCAGACGAATTCGTCGGATGGCTGGATGACGAGGGGTCCCGATGCAGTGGCCGTGAGAGAGAGCAGGGCGAACGACGAGACGTACCACCCGACGATGGTGACGGGCTGGGCAATGGTGAAGCTGAGCCTCCGGGTCATGTTCAGGAATAGGGCCATGTTGGCCAGGATGGCGATAACCAGTTGAACGGCGTTGATGGCCGTCAGCCAGCGCGGGTCCGGGATGAACGGGGCCGAGCTGATATCAGTCCCAGGCGGGTAGCTCTGCCGCCATGGCTTGACGAGTGCGCAGATGCTGAATGCCGACGCGACAGGGCCTAGGGTGCCGGCGATCATCGGAAAGGCCGAGGAAGCGAACCACCAACGGCTTGAGCACAGGCGTTTCTGTCAGCGCACTTACAGATCATCTAACCACCTGACACTTACAACACCTAACTCACCTAGGGCCCAGGTGGGCTCGGTCGTCCGCTTCATGTTGGGACACCTCATGATCGTGGACGTCGGTGCCGGCGTCGTTCATCGTGTCGGCCAGACCAGACCGAAGTACGAGATTGACGGTCCCTACCAGACTTGCACTGCCTCTTGCTTCGCACCCATCATGGTAAGCTTTCTGGGAAGATCCAGGCTACTCAGGGCCGGTTCATCTCATTCGTTTGATCTGATTCCAGCCATTATTAGCACCATTCCGGAACGTGCCATGACGTCGAGCTGCAGTGCAACAAAGCTTGGCGAGCTTGGAATCCCAGCGGGTTGGCACCGAGGCACCTTATCTAGCTTATCGAGTGAAGTATTATTATTGGTTTAGATCTCTTCCACTTATGCAGGGGCTGGATTCACATGAGAAACTACAGTCAACAACCTTTGGGGTCCAGTGTGTCAAGGGGTCCTCGATAAACTCAAATATACGTGATAGATAGGGGGCCAAAATCTTTGTCTTGCCTTTCTCATTCCACCAGCAGTTGTATTAAACTTTCTATTTACTTTTCCCCCTTTTCTTCCTTTTATGTCTCGATGGCTGCGGTTGTGGAAACCCCCGGTTTGGCGCGTCCCTCGATCTACATCCCGATGCTTCCAAGTGAGGTTCCTTAGCGCCCAGCCCACGATTGAACACGTCCGTGTGCCTTGTGCATCCGCGGGCGACATTACCGTCAGGTAAAATGCGCTTCACCGAACGTTTCCTGTCCACAATCTAATCTGACCCAGTCTCCATAACGTGTCGAAGCAAGACGCGGAACGCCCCTTGCTCATCTTCATACCACCTTTCTCCCAGCCTGGCCCTGGCCTCAGCACGCCGCTACCATCATGTCTTGTGGACTACCCAACAGCTGTCATCCATTACAGGTGGCAGGCACAGGAGGAAGAGCACAAGCCGGAACTCCCCCTTCATTGGCCCACGCCTCTCCACGACGTCAGCTTCGGGTACTCCTGGATTGCGGCCAACCTCGGATCCGGCAGCGATAGCTCAGCAAATCCGCGTCCTGCCTATGTCTGCGGTTCCTATCTCGGTGCGAGCCTTGCCGCTGGCCTGGCGCTGACTGAAGCTCACGTCCCGGTTCGCTCCCTTCCAATGACCATCCGCGGGCTGGTCGCCCACAACGGCATCTACAATTGGACTATGTTTCTTCCGGACCACCCGATCCACAAACTCAGGTTCAAGCCGGAATCCCCCGGAACGGGGAGGGGTCTGGGATTCGGTCTTTCTTCCGCCAGTGTCGACGACAGTCCAGCCCCTTTCGAGGAAGAGGGCATCTTCACCGAACTCAAGCACCTAACACGGGCCCTCTTTTCCGACCCATCAAACCTCTTCGACCCTTTTGTCTCGACATGTTTGTTCTTCCACTCCGCAGACCTGCATGTCCCAGACGATTTCACCACCCCGCTGTTTCCCCCGAACTCCTCCCTGTCCGATGAATTCACAGCAGCAGTCGGCAGCCTGGCCGGTAGTTCCACTTCTAGCTCCTCCACGTCTTCCCCTACTCCCGACACCGAATCCGCCGCCCCGGAGGAGGAAGCAGAATCAGCAGAATCCCTCCTCGCCAAAGCCGCCACCCTCGCGAAACAAGCCAACCCGCCACGGAAAGGCTACCTCGCCTTCCCACCGCGCGACTCAACCCTGCGCCTACCACCGACTCTCTTCCTTTACGACCGCCCGCGCGAATACTCCTCTCTGCATTCGCTGCCTCATCCACCGGAATCCCCGGTCGACGCAGGACGCCGCCTCCGCCGCCGAGGAGCAAGCACCAGCAAAAGCAACTTCCGCGTGCAAGCGATGGAGCTCATCGGCCTGATGATGCGCAGCCTGGACATGCAAGAGCTGCGACCGAAGGGGCCCCCGCCGTGGGAGTGGGAGTGGGAGGGAGATCCCGGGGGTAGTGGAGTTAATAGTGCTAGGGGCGAGGAGGACCCGAGGATGCGGGAGATTGAGCGGCGCGTGCAGAGTTGTGAGCTTCCGTCTTCTTCCTTCCATTCACTGGAGTCTCTGATGGTGGTGGATAAGGAGAGAACGGGGATGGGACTGGGGTTATTGGGGAAAGAGGGGGAGGCGATGGTGGCGGAGTGGTTGAGGGAAAGGATTGATGAGGACTTTGGGGAGTAGTGGTGATGATCTTGTAAACATGGTACATACCGTATATGTCTGAATGGATACCCATTGTTTTGTTCATGCTCCCACCCGCTGCTCCGCAGGGTACCCGGCAAGCTCATAGTAGTCAGGAATTACTGTGGATTCCATGTTAGGTTTGATGAGGTGGTCTTCATTTTACTTTAGCGATGGCATACTTACACCACCGCATCGGTTGAACTGCTCTTCGTCACAGAAGGCAACCCAGCTACGGCCTCACCACAACCTCCACAACCACAGCCCCTTAAGACCACCATCACAATCACCATGCCTGCATCTTGCAGCACCGCTCACCATGTCCACCCGCTCCTGACCTCACGGCGGGCCCTGGGACTGATCAAGCAGGAGCTCGCTGCCAGTCTCAATGCGGCCTAGCGATGCAGTGTTGAGCAGGAGCCGACCCTGAGGTCCCTGACAGGCCTGGAGCTAATTGGTGTACTTTACGAAGAGAAATTCACTTCTTTATTATTCCGTCCATTTGCCACTCACCTACCTCCGTCCAAGTCAACCCGGATCACTTTACAACGCCAACCTGCGTCATGAACCCATACCCCCCTCCCTGTCGCCCAGGTCACAGCTGCTTCGGTACTTCGTTATGAACAGAACATATCAGTCCTGTGCCATGGTATACTGTCACACAAGCATTCAAATAGTTCGAATGCTTGTGATGTCGATGCTGATTAACAGTAGTTATGGTATACACATCAAGCCCAAGTGTCTAAGACTCTAAACATCTTTCGCGCAGCAACCGCTGAACAAGTACGCTCAAACAGTTTCCCACAACATCTTCCATCTCTCCATCCTCATCCCCACTCCCGTTCAGCATTCCACCCCCTACTGGACGCTGTTCTGAATCCAAGCCTGCCCCTCACTCTGGACAATCTCCCCGCCCGTCTCCTCCCCAACCTTAACCGAGACATTAAACCCCGTAACCGTCGCGCCTCCACTAGCACCATACAACGAATAGATTCCCACACTCAACAAGATCTCCTGACCTTTATACGCGTCCCCCGCCAATCCCTCCGGCACCGTCGCAGTAATAGTAACGTTATCTTGCCCCTGGTTGCTCTTCTCAGCACCTAGGTACGCGGAATCGCTGAAAGAGCCAAGGGAACCGGGGTAGCCGGGGGCGAGGGAGAAACCCCAGGCTACGGCGACGTCGGCGACGGTTTGGATGTAGCCTTCCGAGAGGAGGGTGAGGGTGAATGTGCTCTTGGGAGCGAGCGTTGAGGGGGCTGCGATGCCGATTAGGCGGGAGGACGCCAGGGTTGCCGATGTGAGGGCTGTTGCGAGAGTGGAGAAGCGCATGGTGCTGGTTAGATGGGCTGGGGTTTCGTTGGACCGAGGTGGTGTGTGAAGTTTGTTTTTGATGGGAGGGTTGTTTTTGGTTGAGGTTTGGTTATGTGTGTAGGAGGTTTTGTTCGAGATAATGCGGTGTTGAATGGGTAGGTTATATACACAACCTGAACTCACACATAGTAGTAGCTTCCCAAGCGGACCGACACCGAAAGTGCACAGCCATCTCACATCATATCATAACTACCGTCCAAAGTAACCCCGGATCCACAAATATTGGGAGAGAGTTGCCTACCTCCCTACGTATATACAGTGTCATCGGAAGATTACTCTGCCAGCCATTCCTTGCCATATCACAGCCTCAAACAGAGAAGCTTATGCAGATCTCCTGGCGCAGCCACGGCGACCTCTCGGGTGCGCTGTGTCTAAAGCGACGGTGTCTAACTGTATCTGGAAGCACTGTAATCTAACATCAGCCACATACCAGAATTTGGCTAGTAGCCAGATCACGCAAGTAAACATTACAAGACAACATATCCGTAGTCGTGCCTGTAAATATTACTTATGCGACGTGCGCGATCTGGCTACCAACCAAATTTCGGTGTGTGGCTGATAAAGGTGGCGGGCGATCTGGATTCCGGTTAGACACCAGAGGTTTATCATTGGCCACCGTCGCTTTAGGCACAGCACTTGGGTGGCGCGCAAACCGCGGATCATTTGTTGACGATGGTCTCTATTTTATTAGGGTCAATACGAGGATGAGTTGCCGTAGCTTCCGAGTTGTCGATGAGGAAGATGATGTTTCGAGGAATGATACGTCATGCTGCGGGCTGCAGAAGCGGTGTGGAAGCGGTGGAGCTCGTATAACAAGTGGCGGAGATAACTTGAGACCGTTGCACAAATAGAGTTGGGCAATGCAAACTTGCAAATGCGCAATCCCATCGATTTGGCCGCAAAGTTAGTCTCCAATTATAAGGCACAGACTTGAATCAAGTGAGTATGTGTGGTGAAAACAGGGGTAAAGTTGGTTGATTCTTCCAAGTGCCGGAACGGCTGCCCGAAAAGTAAAGGATTCTTTCCAGCATTCTTTCGGGTTAAGGTTATATAACGACAAACCCCCCCCGCCCCCTGCCCCCACCCAAATCTTCCCACTGCCCAGCGCTTCTTCGGATTGGAGAACAGAGATTGCCCCTAAGCCCAAGGCGGTTACTCCTTTTCTTCATTGAATAAGTGGAGACGGTAGTCGAATGCAGTCCGAATGTACTACTTCGTAGTACGGAGTAGAGAATGCAATCCTTCAAGGGTAATGAATATGGTGATATTCGTAATTGGCTTGATGTTATGTTGAGCGGTGTTGAGTGGTCGAATGTGCTTAGGTTCATGGCTAGGCTAGTGTAAGTCAGATCTGGTTTGCACTAAGCCCATTATAGTGGAAATAAGTGCTTATACTGTAGAAAGAACTATGGCACCACGGAAGAGGGAGGCACACCGAAGATCAGAAGGTTTGAGAGATTGAAAGACAGGCAAAGACAGAGAGAAGCCGCCGAGCAGGCCGTGTCCGAGCAGTTGGGCCGCCTCGATATCCAGGAACAAGCGTCGCGAAAGCCGCCACGGACACCGTCTCCGCCAGGGCGAGGAGATGTGGGTTCAGCGCTGCCTCCAACGGATCAGCTAGAGGTCATTAGTCCGGAAAGCATGGAGCTTGAAAGGGACCGATCCAAAGATGAAGAGATCGTCAACTCGGCGTTGATACACCTGCTGGTGACCACAACTCTCTGTTCGGGTATTGGCACCATCGCAGGGCGAGAGGGATTGGCATGGATGCCGACCCGACAGACTTTTCGGCTTGGCCCCGCGGGCGATTCTATCTGCGAGGCGAAAACAGACGGCATCCTGTATAACGGTATAGGTCCGGGATATACGCTTGCGATCCTGGAGGTGAAGCCGTACGTGCGCCGTATAGCCCAACAGAAGATCGAGTGGCAGGAAGCTTGTCAAATGGCGACATGGATCTCAACTAGTCTGGACGCCAAGACGAAGGACAAGCGAAGGGAGGGTGTGCTGCATACAAGCGACGATGGGAAATACCGGTACAGTTATCCGTCTTCTCTTCTCTTTCTTCATCTCTAAATGAACAAACTAAAGGAAAATGGAAGTTTCCCTCCCTGCCATAACCCCCACCGCATCACCTTGCTTGCCTCCTATTCCCGCTCCATTGCCTTTGTCTGCCCCCGAACCGTTCATTGCCCGTGGCCGAAGCAGCCGTAAGTCAGGGACATACATGCTGATGTCAGGATCTGGCGTACAGGAGGATCCTTATCTCTCAGGACTACCGCTATTTGTTCATCACGATTTCCGAGTGGGGCCAGGCGTACGAAAGGTACCTCCGCGGAGGATCTCGTCCTGTGACACCGCCGTCGAAGAACAGCTCGCCCAGCCAGAACCGAGGACGGACCGCAACCGCCGCGGCCATGGCAACACAACAGACAGCATCATGGTCGACGGGACCGACGGCGGAGGCGGCAACAGGGACAACAGCAGCAGAACCGGCATCAACGAAAGCTGCGGCTACCGGTCCGGGGACAAAGGAGGCCACTGAGAGCGCTAGGCATGGAAACAAGGCGACCGCAGAAGATCTTGATGATGGCAACTACCTGATCATGAACTGCTACGGGCCATACAGCCTTGACGACAAGAGGCATGTGACAATCTTCCTGCGCAACGTCATAGCCTTGATCCTCGAGGTTTCTGACCCTTGGGAATAGTCTTCCTGATATTCGACCTGGGAAACTGCCAATGGTCGAAGGTTTCATCTGTGTTGAGTCACACTCAACCATGGCTTTATCGGGCGTCTTTATGGTTACGTTTGTCCACACCAGGAAGGTGGAAGTCTTTCCAGACAAGGGCGCTGGCCTTACGCAGTGGTCGTTTCATGCTGAGATAGACAATGAATGAAACGTGGCTCGATGTATACGTTTCTAAGCTGCCCAGGGATAACTGACTGCAACGATACCAATATCAAGGCGGATTACAACATACCTGCTATGGAACAGTCGCATTTCTGCGGTTCCTCCAACGTCTTGGAGAGGCGGCTCTGCCACTCTCGTTGCGGGGACCGCCGGTGGGCCAGAGATTGGGCGGCGGGCGGGAGATCCGGAATTGCTCTCTCACATCCTCGTCCACCGGTGACCCTTTCTCGAGCTGCCTCAACTACCTGGTAATACCAGGCATTTTTTGCGTATTCTGCTCACGCCTTGAAGACACGGTTCCTGTTTTGAAGGGCCTCTGATATTGGGAACTAGACCGATATCGTAACTGTAAGCGTCGTTTTGTGTTTCGCATGATCGTTCGGCCTCGTAAGAAACTCAGCGATAGGGATCCGAACCTGGCGGTCAACAGGTATGTTTTTGCTGCTCCATTGCCAGTTTTGGGGAGGCTCCCTCCTCTAAACCGATTCACTGCTAGGGAAGGGAAAGAGCATTACCTCAGACGGCACTGACGACGTCAGGCTTAGAATGTAGGATGGGTGGGTGTAAAAACTCCTGTTTTGCTTGGGTCTGCTTGGCTATGCTATGCCGTCGCCCCTTGGTCATGACCTCGACAGACGTCTCCCCCAACCCATTTGCTGCCAGGGCGTCTGAAACATTGGCAGCAGAAGTTGGCCGTGTAAGCTCATCATCTTCATGAATCCACCGGGAAGAACAAAATACCAAGGCTATAAGCAAGAGAGGTAAGTCGAGCTGACGTAAATGGTGCGTCAGTTGATTGTCGAGCCTGCACGACATATTGCACAGCGGGGATCAGATGTGACCTTTCCGAGGGATCACGGGAGAGTTACATTTTCTGAACAAAAGCCCCAGTCTGCTATCTTCATTCCATTCACCGGTACCGTATAGGTACCAAGGTAGGTAGTGCTTACGTCTTGTTACTTGCTGGAAAGATCCAGGTTGGCTGTGCTTACATACGATATACTTTGCCCAGTCACTCGGAATTGTCCCTTATTCGGGAACTGGCCAGTTCTAGGGAGTTATTCGACTTGCCAAAGTTTGTATCTCAAGTCTGTGATACCGGCCAGGGTATTTTGTTCCTCGCTATCATAGCTATGGACGATGCAATTGGGTATCTCGCTATGATATAATGAAGTTCCAAGATCCTGCGATGTGCGCTAAAAATGGCTCTAGCCCCCCTCGACCCGCTGCAGATACTGAGCGTTGTAGACAACCGGACGCCGTGCGCCAGAAAGGAAGACGATTAGAAAAAATGGTGAAAGAGCATCGACCGTCAGAGTGAGGATGCCGTTGTATTGGTCGCAACGTCCCAACCACCGAATAGCTGGGCTGTAAGCTGATCGTAACTTGAAACCACCAAACCGACGAATTCGCCAACTGCCAGCAACCCGAGGTTTCGGAAAATGGATGGCGGGAGCCCGTATGATCCCATGACGAGAGAGGCTGTAGGGAAAACAAGCAACGGCCACCAGCTCCGAGTTGTCGCGCCAAGGAAGAAAGATTCCGTAATCGAGGATGCGGCGGCGGCAGTTTCTTCTAGCGAATCGAGGATTTCGTTTGTGATGTTGTTGGCTTGCTTGAGCATGCTTGAGTGGTCTTGAAGCTTCGTGGACAGGGTCTCAGTTGCCGTAGCCAACCGGTTCATGCCTTGCTCAAGGGTGTCCTGGCGTTGAGCGAGCACCACGGCGCGTTCATTGGTGAATTGCTTGGGAGAGTGTCAATTAGGCGATCTTTAGGAAATGAGATCAAACTGTAGACTCACGATTTGCTGCTGCAGAGAAGTGGAAGAGGCTATGGCTGTAGAAACAACTGCCATCAGAGCACCCATATCCTCATTGACCCTTTGAGAGGCTTGCTGGAGTGACTGTTCGTGGGCGAAGGCTAACCTGGAGTTGCTCTCGAGGACATTGGCGAGCAAGACTCCCAGAAGTTGCTGAAGGTTTTCCGCGTGTTGGAGTCCGTCGCGGGCGGAAATCGAAGACTTCCTGAGAACCATATCCAAGTCCTCTGAGAGATAGCTCTCTACTCGAGCCAGCCCTTCACTGAGTCGCCCAATCTGTGGCGTCAGCTGCTCGAGCCTCTCGATTGATTGCCGGGCGCGATTATCAAGATCATTCATCCGTTTCTGCAGCTCAGCCTCAACCCCATCGGTTAGGCGGGAGATAACTCGTGTAAGTCGCTGATAAAGCAATATGTTCTGAGCTGCCAAGTCCGTCAATCGCGATCCAGCATTCGTTGATCAAACGCACTCACCCTTCTCGTTATCTGCTCGAGCCGCTTCACAAAACCGTAATGCTTTATGGCGATAGCTCACCCAAGTACTCCAAGCGGCGTCTGACGCCGCGAGCGCAGAGAGACACAGTCCGATTTCGCCCGGGCTAACATGCAGTTGGGGTCCGTTCCTCATAGCGATTTGACTGAGTGATGGCTCCCGAAATTTGGCGCACTCTTTCGGTATTGCGAAGCTTCCGCGTTCAAGATCGCAGATAGCTAGACTTGCAGCGTAGGAGTCGACGAAGTCACGAACCTGCCGACCGCTGTCGGTGAGGATTGTCGCCTCGTCCTTGCCGTCCACCAACTGACAATTGTTGACTAGAAGACGCGCAGCCACGCGATGGCAGAGAGGTTCTGACTCGAGTTCTTGTAGTTCGCTGAGGGCTACGGCGTAGATGTTTGGTAACCTGGAGTTCTCGACGAGCTCGGATGGCTTGTCCGAGCTTGGTGCTGCTATGGAATGATTGATTAATATGACCCAGGCACCAAAGGATGACGAAACAACTCACTGACTGACGATCTTCTCTCATTTCTCCAAGTCAAGGCACCGATGCAGCGCGCCGAAAGTGTCAGGATGAGTAGGAGGGCCTGCATGTTTGTCATTGTATGCTGAAGAGTTTCTTCGATGTTAGAAAACCCTCAAAACTGAGAGAGACGGGCACTGTGATGGCTGAGATACCTTAGTAGATTAAGAGATTATGAAAGAAACGGAAAATCAGTTAATGCTTGTGGGCGGCTATTGTGTTGAAATGAGAAGGCGCAACCTGGGGAAGGAGAATTTTCGTGGAGCCTTGGAGGTCGTGATGATAGGGAAGGAAAGAGCAACTTGCACTGCAGTGGAAGCTTGGAACGGTGTGGCAGGGGACGAGTTGTCGCTGATTGTGGCGTGAGTCAAAGTGAGGTTGACAAACTGCTCACGAGAGAGTTGCGATAGCTTAACCTGGCTCGGCCCGGTACACATGTTGTTGAATCATTGGCTGGTTGCACAGGCTCGCACCTTGGGTCTGGAAAACCGGGTGGCGGACAAGTGATACTCTGAAAGGGAATGCAAGCGTGTCATTGAAGCGAGGGGACTGCTTCCCAGTACCGAATTCCTCTTGCTAAGGAGTATGTCCCTTGTGAGAACCACTTGGCGAGATACATTGATACTCTCACCAACGCTCTGCTCATTCCCCCGGGGCTTCATGTGCTTTCAGGTCTTCCCAAACAAACTCTCGAAAAATCCTATCAGAGTCGTGGCACAAACGGTATCCATTCGGCAACCCTGCGAAGGCTATATGTCCGGTGTTGTTACAAGCCACATACTATCCTTAATGTGTTGAATGTTTGACATCTTCTCAAAGTTTGAATGCCTTATATTTCCTCTTATATTGCTCGAAGTCCTTTCTATGTTGCAATTGTACTCTTCAAGTTGTCCATTGGAAAATATCATGCTCGGACTCTAGAGTCCGGATTTCTAATTACGAGCATACCGTGTTACTATCCACACAGCAGGGATCCCAAGTAGGAGATTGGAAGATAAAAAATAAAAGAGGAGGCAGAAGTCATGTAACCATGTATTATACTTCTTGTATTCCAGTTAAGTTGTTGTGACGTTCCAGGTTGCAAGTGCTGTGTTGTCTGGACTCTCAGTTGTCGTAACGTCGTTTATTGCAACACAATGTGGGAAATGTCACACTATGTAAGGGTTAGGGGTGACATGACCGTGGCGTGGCTCCTTAGCGTATCGATAAGCGTCTTCGGAGTGGGTCCACCCGATGCTTTGCCGGCGTCCGTTCTTTTTTGAGGGCAGGAGCGACATCCAGACCCGGTCGCTGCGCGTGTCGCGATCCCGCAGTCCGCCATCACCCACAATGCTCGCACCAAGGATAGGGAGGCAGGTCCTGCAACGGCTGGGGACCTGCTCGGCGCCGTCAACCGTCACATTACCGAGCTTCCTCGTTCCAGCCTTCCAGACACTAGCTAAGCGCAGTTTCTGGGCGACGACGAGCCGGCCCTCCAAGCTCGGCAGGACGCCCCTCTCGGTGCCGCCCGGCGTGGACATCGAAATAAGCGACCTGTACCTGAAGAAGAACATGACGTCGTACCTCAAGACGTATAAGAGGAACGTGAGGGTGAAAGGGCAACTGGGTGAGCAGGCCTGCTTTGCGCCCGGAGGTGGGAGCTGTTGGGACAGGGGTTGACGTTTTCCAGGGGAACTTACGCTTGAAATCCCCGAGTTCATCAATATCGACCACGATGAAGAGGGGCGGACGGTGGTGCTGAGCGTGAAGGATCAGGAACACAAGGCGCAGAGGGAAATGTGGGGTATGGGACCGTGAAAGCCACAAACGATGCAGCGAACCCAAGAACTAACATGGTATCTTGCAGGGACGACATGGGCGGACCTCAACAACAACATTATGGGTGTGTCAGAGGGTCACACGGCCGTGCTGCGTCTAGTGGGAATCGGTTTCAGGGCGACGGTCGAGCCGCGGCCAGAGAAGGAGGAATACCCCGGGCAGCAGTTTGTCTGCCTGAAGCTAGGCTTCTCACACCCGGTGGAGATGGGCCTGCCCTTGGGAATGAAGGCCAGCGCACCACAACCGACGAGAGTGCTACTCGAGGGCATCAACAAAAGGCAGGTCATGCAGTTCGCCGCCGAGATCCGCAGGTGGAGAGTGCCCGAGCCATACAAGGGCAAGGGTATCTTTGTCAACGACGAGACGATCAAGCTGAAGCAGAAGAAGATTAAATAAAGTCGCGGGACGTGGGTGCTTGTATGTCTAGAAGTAGGGCCTCGCGCCGCCGGACTTTTGTGTGGCTGTATCTGTGCAATAAAATATATGTACATTATTGGGCATTGAATTGCGCCGACTGCTTATTTCAGCCCCAGCACCTCCTGAACGGCCTCAAGCACTTGGCTGTGGACTGCAGCGGGCGCCGCAATCACGCCGCTGTTGGTAGCCAGCGTCCTGCCGACCCCAAAGTCAAGACGCTGCCCCCTGGTATCGGTGACCTGGCCTCCAGCCTCCCGGACGATCAAGTCACCCGCTGCATGATCCCAGATCTTCTCCTGGTAGGTCTTGGAGGTCGGCAGACGCAGGTAGATATCCCCAGCACCCCTGGCAATCGAGCCGTACTTGGCCTGCGAATCCATCCTGACGCTCGGGTTCGTAATGCCCAGCTTCTGCGCAATCTGCGCTGCTTCAGACTGGTTCGAGTGTCCCGCCTCCACACTCTCGCAGAAGCTCGCGTTCTTCATCTCGGTGGTCGGCTTCATCGAAATCCTGGTACCCTCCGCCAGCGCGCCCGTGCGCAGCGGCCTGCTCGTAGCCCCTAGTCCGATCACAGCGGAGAAGATCACGCCCCTTCCCTCATCATCCGTCTGGTTGGCGCCGATATCCGCAGTCAGTGGCGCGGAGTCGTCGACCGGTAGGTTAGGGCACCCCAGCACGCCGACCTTGACGTCGCCGTCCTCCAGCAGCGCCAGCGCCACGGCATATTGGCCGCCCCGCAGGAACCCCTTCGTCCCGTCGATGGGATCGATCGTCCACACCCGCCCAACCCGACCGCCTTCGCTGCGCCCGCGGTCCAGCACCTCCAACATCTCATCGACATCCTTAATGCCACCGCCAAGCAGACCCTCGGCCTGCACATCATCCAGCTTAGTCTCCCGCACCAGCTGCCAGATCTGCTCCCTGAGCTGCGCGTCCTCGCGCAGCTGGGCGGCCTCCTCCTCTGCGACGATGGCGTCCTGCGGGAAGTTGGCCTTGAGCGCGGCAATAATGAGGGCCTGCGCGCCAAAGTCGCCAATGGTAACGGGCGACTTGTCGTCCTTAGACACGGTGCCCTTGGCTTTTTCGTGGAAAACACGCTTGGTGAGAATGGAGGCGCGCTGCACCGCCAGCTGGGCGACCTCGAGCTCGCGGGCGTAGATATTGGATGTCATCGTGGTGATGGTTGTCTTTGAGGAGTGGCGGGCAAGGTGGTTAAAGATGAGATTCAGGCGGGGGAGAATGACGGCCAGGATCACGGGCAACACAAGGAGTGTAATGAGTTTGATATACGGCCTAGCCCTGGATTGTTTGTGAGATTCGGACTTTCCTACGGGCATCGACTTTCGGAATCTTCAAGGTTGGGTAAGTGAATTGTGAGCTTTCGGTCGTCGGTTTCCCCGCACCTTCAGGTTGGGAATCGCGATGCCAATGTGCTGACGTTTCAGTACTCCACAACGGAACAGACGGAAAAAACACAGCAAATTTCAGTGTTCATACAATCACTTCCCTGAGATTTGGTGCGTGAGGGCCATGGCTAGGAGAAACAACATTGAATCATCCTGTCGCCATGCTCAAGGTCCAGGGTAGGTGACAAAATAAGCAAAATACTCGGTGATCAGTTGATAGCCGGAAAAAAACGCAAAAGAATGGGATAACCAGGAATCGAACCTGGGTCCTCTCGGAAGTCGGTCCTTGACCACAACGAGAAGTACTGACCACTATACTATTATCCCTTGTTTGTTGCTGTTCGACTTTTCATTTGGCCCTATCAAGGTATTATGGCATTGGTAGACCGTCGCAACCACCACAAGCAGCCACCTGGTATCCTTAAAGAAGTCTGAGAAATATCTAGGTATCCGAATGAAACTAATCAGCCTCGCCATGTCCGCACGAATGTTGAGTGTGTTGGTCGACCAGTCTCTTTGCGTGTCCTGGAGCGGACCTGTGTACAATACATGTTGACGGCGTCTCTTGCACCTCGCTCGAAGTATGGCTGTCCGGACTGAGCTGCTAGATAGTATACCGGGTACATAAACCAAAGTCATCATGCGCAACAGCTATACTAACGTGCGAGGACGGCACCTCGTACGTCCCTTTGATGATAAGATAGAGGCAGTCTGTAATCCCCGGAAGACGGTACTACCTGGTAGGTACCTTATGTCTGACCGTATATCACGTATTAGTACATCTTGGGGGTTTCCCACCCCGGTCAGAATAGAAGGAGCGCGCTGTCTTGACAATTGTGGTATATTCCGTCAATTTCGCACTACACACTAACTACACTCAGTCATACCAGATCGCATTCATGCCAAACCCGGGCTCGGGGATGCGCACGCGGGCGACGCGGTGCAGGAACTCGTCCTTCCAGCGGTACATCTCGAGCCAGCCCTCCTGGTCGTCGGTGATGGCCAGCCACTCGTCGCTGAAGTCGCACGGCGAGACGGCATTGCTATGGCCGCCGCTGGTCGGCGTGGGGTTCAGGCAGATCTGCCGCTCGATGCTGCCGCAGTCGCGCAGCCTGAAGGCGGCGACGTAGCCCTGCAGGTCGAACCGGTTGGCGCGCGACGACGCAAACATGTACCTGCCGCTGACGGTGAGGGCCACCACGTCGGCGCGGTACAGGCCCTTGCCCGTCTCCCGGTCGCGCGCGGGGATGCCCGGCGGGATGAGCGGGTAGCTGTGGTGCGTGTACACGGGCATGCGGGTGGCCGGGTCGATGACGTACTCGCAGATGCGGTTTCCCGCCTCCATCAGGGCGTACAGGTAGTTGCCGGTCGGGTGCATGGCGACCCAGCGCGGGTGGTCGCCCGGGTCCGGGGCATCGATGCTGCCGACCAGCTCGACCTCGCCCGAGGGCAGCTTGTGGTGCGTCCACAGCTTGTTGGCCGTCAGGTCGGCCGAGTAGAGATACGTCTCGGTCGGGTCGAACACCATGCCGTGGATGCCCGTGTTGGGCTGATACGCGTAGTTTTGGACGTTCTTGTCGAGCTTGCCCGTCTCCGAGACGGAGAAGACGTTGCCGTAGCCGGCGTGCTTGTAGAAGGGGTTAGCATAGACGGCGTACGGCGGCTGTTTGGCCGCAAGGAGAAAGATGGCGCGCGTGTTGGTGTCGGAGCTGTTCGCCAGGGCTGCGAAGCTGGTCAGGGCTCGCTCGCGGTCTGTAGTAGTAGCGACACAGTGGACTTGACTGGAACGGAGTGAAACGCACGGTCGCCGCCCATGGGATGTGATGCCTCATGGACAATCTCGGTCGGACTACGGACGGCGAAGCTGGACCATTTCTTCATGGCCGCGCCGTAGAGGTTCTTCTTGGCATGCTGTTCCTTTTGTAAGCTGCTTGGTGCTGTCCCCGCATCACTTCACAGCCAGTTGGTGTCCTACGTCGAAGGTCATCCATGATATCGGCTCGTCGTGCGGAATCTCTGTGCGCTTGACCAGCTTCAGGGTGAGGTTTTCGTCGTCGAATTGGACTGTGAAGATGGCCCCTGGCGGGGTCCAAGTCCCGATCATTAAGTGGTGGAGGGGCATGGCTGAGAAGCGACGTCGGCTACGGAGGCCGGGAGTTCGGTATGCTGGGCGTTGGGACGGCAAACGTAGGATTGGCAGCACTCTGGGCAAAGAGCAGCCGCAGGATGAAAGGCGGATCATACGATATCAGAAATGGTGTTTAGCTGGTAGTGGGTGTTTGGAATTATGGCTACACTAAAGGCGCCTGTCAGTCTCCAGTTACGATTCTTCCATTTTCTTGCCAGGCTGCTTTCTTCTTGGCACAGAGCGGTATCATTCTGTAGGACGCCGTGTGAATCTTTACCCCTCGCTGGCGCTCCAGTCTTCGGGATCGCAATGTGGGGTTACGGTAACGGTGGCGGGAGATGGAAAGCAGATTTGGTCACCACCCACTCGGTGTGCTCGGAATTAACGTCAAGTGGATCACACATGACACGGCCTTTCGCGTTGTCCGAAACCTTCTTCCCCAGTCCGGGCGCATACACTATGATATGCGCACCCACAACCGGACCTGAGAGGTAAAAGGCTCACCCAGGGGTTGTAGTGCCGTCTACTCCGTACGTTGCTGTGTAAAGCAACCGCGAAGCCGGGTCCCATTCCTCACACTGCCGCCGTTGGACGACGTGGCAAAACACAGAAATGCGAGGGGACAGAGAGCGACGGGTCCTGCCAGTTTGAGATTGAGAGAATCGGAAAGTCGCAAACATGAGACCTGTTGGTGTGGATACCGTGTGGTGAACATTTTGGTGCAGATTGACAGATTGATGATCCAGACGGCGATTCATGAAAGGTCACAGCAGCGCCAAGAGCACGGCACGTTAGCAGGCAGGCGACCGGGGTGCAGCGCCCGGGGTTTCCGGGCGCTCGGCTGAGGGGCAGCCGTTCCTTGCGTTCTGCAGGCGTGACGATGGGATCTCCAGGCAGGGCTAAATTTCTCCCGACTTTGCCTTCTGCGCCGACCCCACTCCCGTGCTGGTGATCTGGGGATGGGCCAAGCTGCCGTGGCAGCCCCCGAGTGTCCTCGGCGGGGAAATGATGCCACTTGAGTGGCCGGCATCCTCTCTCGTCGGCTGGGATGCACTCACCATCCGCGGTGATGCTTCACAGTGTGTAAGGTAGGCAGGGCGAGGCTGAGGCGAGTGCCTGGCTCCGGGTCTATTTAAGTCGCAGCGCCGTGCTCTGTCTGGCACCGTTGCCTCCTTTTCCCTTCTCTATTCCCAGTTCTCTCAGTTCTCTGATACCCAAGCCTTTGATACTTATTGTGTATACTCCTTCTCCATATATTTCCATCTTTGGTCAGTCACAATTGCCACACAACCACCCTCACGTATCCTCTCCTCAAGATGGCGTCCGACAAGCCCTTCCACAGGTTCGACCCCAACTTCACAGATCAGGTTATCAATGGCATGGGCCCCAACACCACACCACGAAACCGCGAAGTACTCGGTGCTTTGATCCGCCACATCCATGACTTTGCCCGGGAGGTTGAGCTCACTATTGACGAGTGGATGGAGGGCGTCAAGTTCATCAATGCCCTCGGCGAGATCTATGTGAAGAGCAACAAGACACGGAACGAGACCCATCGCATCTGCGATGTTATTGGGCTGGAGTCGTAGGTTCTTCCCCCTTCGAGGCGTGTATCAAGAGGGACAAATCCTCCCTAACACCACTCTTTTAGCCTCGTGGACGAGATCGCCCATAAGATCGTTTCTGAGACGGGCATGGACCCAACCTCCTCCTCCATCCTGGGGCCGTTCTGGTCACCCAATGCGCCGTTCCGCGAGCTCGGTGGCATCATCTTCCAAGACGGCGTGCCCGCTGGCGGCCGCGTGACCAAGATGCACGGCGTGATCCGCGACATCACCACGGGCAAGCCTATCCCCGGCGCCGTCTTCGACATCTGGCAGGCCTCGGCCAACGGCAAGTACGACTTTCAGGACCCGGAGAACCAGACGCCCAACAACCTGCGCGGCAAGTTCCGCGCCGACGAGAACGGCCGCTACTGGTTCTACTGCCTGCACCCGACCGCCTACTCGCTGCCGCGCGACGGACCCTCGTGGCAGCTCCTGACCATGATGGACCGCCACCCCATGCGCCCGGCCCACATCCACATCATGGTTACGCATCCGGAGTACCAGGGCTGCACGACCCAGCTGTACCCCAGCGACGACCCGTGGATCAAGAGCGACACCGTCTTCGCCGTCAAGCCCGATCTGGTTGTTGACTTCAAGCCGCTCCAGGGGGACGACAAGGCCACGCTGGAGCTCGAGTACAATGTCAACCTCGCTCCCAAGGGCTACAAGGGCCGTCTCTGAACCGAGCATGCGATGGGGGTTGTGTTTGAAGGGAAGGCGACGGGAAGAGGCAGGGAGCATTCTTTGTACATATATCGCCACATATACCCAGCTTTGGGCGACTAATGTCTGCCTCAACGCGGAGAGAGGGGGGGGTTTGGGCTCCGTTTAGCACTGGCATAGTTACGGTTGGATACTCATTTGCTGTTGGTTAATCAAAAAATTCCAAACACTGCCGGTGGTCTAGTTAGCATGTGATCGACTTGGATGTCCTCTCCATTGTCAGAGTTCGCGAGTAAGGGCAACGATCTCTCGTGAAGGGGCAGACAAGACTCGAGAGGCGTGACTCGGAAGACAAGACTCGCTAGGCCTGAGCGATTACCTGAGTTTGAAAGACGTAAAGCACTACATGCAAAACCCCTTGATCCATTACGAGGTACCAACAGAGGTGAGAATTGCGACGCACTCCACTTGGGTGCCACCGAGTCTGAGACTCTGCGTCCCTGGTCGGTTAGAAAAGCCCGACTCTGACATGGCGCGTCAAGCAATTTGAAACGTTGCGCCTTTCGACATTCTGGAGCTGTGTGCTAGGAATGGAAGGAGTGGATTAACCGGCACGTACTGTACTTAACGGGGGAATGAGGTGGCTGATGAGTTGGCCAACTGACTCGGGGGTTCATGGGTCGCATGATATAGCGTGGGCTACTTCCGGGTTAGGGTCGGCGCTCCCATGAGCGGGGTGCCATTCTGCGGGATGATATGCAAATTGAATGCTAGCTGTCCCAAGGGTGACAGGAGAGGATCACAGAAACCTTGACCGGTCACGGCTGCTTAATGCAACGAGTGGACGGAGTTCTTTGCCCGGCAGGTTCGTCTCCCACATCCCCAATCCGCTCAAGAAAGCAGTTGATGTATATCCTCTACTGTCGTGTTTCGGTACTGGTCAAAACGGGCGGGTTCGGAGAAAGGCTGCTGAGTAGATACAGAGAACTCGCCGACTCCAGCACAGCGACAGACAGGTTCAGTCACTCCGTATCCCAACTCGCGCCAGAACGGTAGGCTGGTCAGAAAGAGGAAAAGAAGAACGCCTGCGTGTCCCACTCGCTCATAGGCACCGGGGTTGGTTGTTGTATCTTTTTGTTGGCACAATATGTACAATGTCACCGAGGCTGCTCTATTTCTTCTCCTCAGTCTTCTCTTCCGGTTTCGGCGTTGGTAGCTTGAATGTGTCGGGAGTCCGGTCCACGCCAGGCCCAATCTGCTCCCAGGCACTGGAACCTCCCTCGAAGTTGCGGAACGCCTGTGTGAGCTCGAGGGGCTCGGTCACGATACGCTTCTTCTCTTCGTCGTACCGAATCTCGGTGTAGCCGGTAACCGGGAAGTCCTTGCGCAGCGGGTGGCCCTCGAAGCCATAGTCTGTCATGATGCGGCGCAGATCCGGGTGGCCAACGAAGAACACGCCAAACAAGTCGTACACCTCGCGCTCGTACCAGTTGGCGCCTTCGTAGATGCTGGTAATGCTGGGAACCGGCGTTACCTCGTCGGCGTACGTCTTGACCCGGATCCGCGCATTATGGCGGACACTAAGCAGGTTGTAAACAACCTCAAATCGTTGGTCACGGGTCGGGAAGTCGACGGCAGTGATGTCGCTGATCGCAGTGAATTCGGCAGCGGTGTTGTCTGGGTCCGATCAGCTACCATGACTCGAATCGATACAAGCGCCCAGTCTACTAAGGTTCTTACACTTCAAGAAGGAAAAGACTGGAATGACGCCGGAGGGGCAGATGTAGATAGTCAACTCGTCCTTCCAGACCGAGAACTGCTGAATGAATTTGGGGAGACAGCCCATCAGCCAAGAGCCGTACTTGTGCAGGTCGTCGGCCTTGGACTGGAATTTGTCGGCTGGATTGACGAGGGGCGCCTTGAGAGTGCCAACATGATCGCGCGGCGCAGCGCGTGGGTTTGGTGCGTCCTTGGGAACTGCGACGTCTGCGCGGGCAGCAGTTGTCGCGAAACACCGCACCACAACGTCGGAGCGAGTTGCGATCGATGGCTTTGCCGGCCGTAGAACGGACGCCAGGGCCCGGCTTCTGCAGAGTTTGGTGGCCATGATCGAGGTTAGGCAAACTGGGAGCCAATTGATCGAGAATCAGCCGGTGGCCTCGATCCACGACGCTGCTGCGGACGATCGGGTTTCTGGTTGACGTCGACCCTGGAGCTCGGTTGGCCAAAATCGAGTCACGTGATGTCTCACTCACAGAATCGAAAAGCTGCGAGTTCGCGCTCACCAACCATAATCGGCGCGACACGTGCAAGGGTAAGCTAAGCCGAAGCGGGTTTAGCGCATAAGGAACCTTCTACTGAAGGCTCTGCGTCGACCTCCATTTGCTCCTTTCACCCATTCCCCACGCCGATTTCAAAACCAAGCATTTCGCAGGACGCTCATGTCCTCATTGTAATTCGTACCAGGCGTTCAATAGACGGATCTCTTGTTTTCCTTTCCTTTGCACTGTGCGATTCTCAAACATCCAGCGATACCTGGCCTGATCCTGCTGTACTCGTTGCGCAAGCGTAGCAGCTTCCGATCAACCGTTTGCCTCCCGACCTTTCCTACCGAGCGCGACCACACGTTGCTGGGTAGTGCTGCACCTTTCCACCCGCCACCGACCACATCAAAACCATGGCGCCTCAAGACACATTCATCGACGATGAGGACGACTGCTGGTATGTGCTTCCCAACGGCGATCCTGCCGAATATCCCTCTCCCGCCTGCCCGCTGTCTAGTCCACCGGTTCCGCTTCCCGTAACAGCCTCTCCTTCCTAACACTTTCGGCAGCCCCCTTTGCATCGAGGAGTTCGATCTGTCCGACCGGAACTTCCGACCATGTCCGTGTGGATATCAGATTTGCCAGTTCTGTTTCAACAATATCCGGACAAATATGAACGGGTTATGCCCGGCATGTCGCCGACCATACGATGACAAAACCATTCAATGGAAAGTCGTCACGCAGGAGGAGTAAGCCGACTCGTCACGCTTTGGAGCTATCGCTCAGTGCTGACAGCAGCTAGAATCGCCGAATTCCGAGCGAACATACAGAAGAACCAAAAAAAGCGAGCCGCTGAACAGCGTCAGAAAGAAGCACAGAAACGCGAGGCCGAGAAAGAGAATCGCAAGAACTTGGTTGGCGTTCGAGTTGTCCAAAAGAACTTGGTTTACGTGACCGGGTTGACGCCGACGGTCCGCGAGGATGAGTTGCTCAAGACCCTTCGCAAGCCCGAATTCTTCGGTCAATATGGAAACATACTCAAAATCTCGATCAGCAGTCGCAAGGGCAACGACGGCCAGAACCAGTCTTTAGGCGTCTATGTGACCTTCGAGAAAAAGGAGGACGCAGCGCGGTGCATCCAGGCAGTTAACGGCTCTCAAAATGGCGACAGAGTGTTGAGGGCCCAACTCGGGACGACGAAATATTGCTCGGCCTGGCTTCGACACGAACAGTGCACGAATCGGCAGTGCATGTTCTTGCATGAGTTGGGCGACGAGGAGGATAGCTACAGCCGGCAGGATTTGTCCTCGATCAACAGCATCAACTCACAGCGGCCTATCCAGAACACCGGCGCCTCACGTTCTGCTTCGCGGCAACAAGCTCACCCGTCACCATCCCCCGCTGTCGCGCAGCCGATGGCGAGAAGCTCTAGTAAAGACGGATCCGACAACGGCGATGGCCCCGCGCTTCCGCCTTCAGCAAACTGGGCGCGCAATCCGCAAGTTCGTAGTCGCCGCGGCAGCCATGCCACAAGTGGTGCGGCGCCCAGCCCAGCCATCTCGAGCTCGTTACCAGCGACTGCCGAATCCGCCGTGGAAGATGCCCCAGCAGAGCCCTCGACGACTGCAGCCGGGGCACGGACTGCCTTAGCCGCGGGTCAGTCGAAGTCCGCCAGTACGCCAGTCGAGAGAGCCAAGCGTATCCCGCAAGACGCTCTCAAGGCCCTGCTCAAGTCACTGGAAGGCTGCTCACTCACGTGGCCGAAGGTTGGGGGTGATCTGTTGCCCGATGAGTTCAATAGGCTCTATCCGCCGCTTTTCGACGCCCGGGGTGGGATGCGCCGGCGCGCTCTCCGTGCATCCGAAGACAACAGCAGCGTGGGTGATCAGCAATCGGGTGGCGTTAGGGAACCCTCTGAAGGCGAACCTGAGAGCAGCGGCAGCCTTGCGCTAGGCGGCGAGCCCGAGGACCGGGATCATAGCCGCGACGCGCCTGGCTTTGACCCGCGCCGGGTCGCGCAGCCGCCCATTCAAAGGGCCAGTACGGATGGACTCTTCAGCCAGGCTGTCGGCTCCGGCTTTGCCCAGACGGCCGCCAATCTGGGATCCATCGGCAGCCGCACCGTGACGCCTCAGCAGCCGGCGTTCATGCGACAACCGGGCACGTTCGTCGACCACCTGTCCGCGCAGGCGAACCTGTTTCAGGGCCAGGGGCACAACCGCCAGGGCTCCCGCTTCAGTTTCGCCAACGATAACAGAGATGCCACATCTGCTACGTCTGTGAAGCTAGCAGCGAATCCCCGCATCATGGCGCAGCAGTCGTCGATGATGCCAGCAATACATCACAACCAATCAGGCGGCCAGTACTACGCCGCTTCCATGCCCGGCCCGCCGCCGGGACTCAAGTCGACGGGTACACCGCCGGGCGTGTTTGGACAGCACGGTTTCCCCTCGGCAGCGTTCGGTGGCGCTTCCAAGGAAAGCGAGATGCTGCAGCTCTTCCGCGGTCGGGGTGCTGGCTCCCAGGCTCATGATGCCGGAAAGCGTGAGTACATGTTCTCTTCCTTCCCAAACCAGTACCCACCCTCCACCTCCTCCACCCCAGCTCCTGCCTCGAGCCACCTGGCAATGCTCTACGGTTCTCAGCCTGGAGCCTTCCAAGACTTGGGTTCAAAGCAGAAGAAGAAGGGGAAGAAGCACAGACACGCTAACACTTCCTCCTCTGGGGGGAGTGGCTTAGTAGATCTTGCGGACCCGAGTATCCTGCAGGCGAGAATGCAGTCCCAGCAGCATCTGCAGCAACAGAGCAATGCCGGACTCGGACAGGGACTGTTCGGTGGTCAGTCGCAAGGTGGGTACAACAATCCTGGCATGATGTACAATCCGGGATACAGGGCATGGTGAGCCTGCTACCCAGCATCTTGCCTGCCGCGACTGCGACTCTTTGCGCTTTTCGATGATATTCTTTCTGTCAATCTCTTGGGAGGGAGCAAGCAACACGTGGTTTCCTTGACTGTCACATTATATATCACAACGGCGTCATTGGCAACGAGCGGCATGAGTTTTCACGAGGGCAATTAAGGGAGTTGCGCAGAATCTATTATCCATGGAGCATCACAGAAGCGCTGTTCCTGACGGAGGAGCCGCCTTTGATTTGGCGTCATTTGCACATTTTGGGCGCGGAAGGGAATGGTGCCCTTCTCGGGTTTACGCAACTTCTGGACCCCCTCTGTCCATTTGCTTTCTCGGGTTCGGGGTCTTTGCATCGCCGGGATTATCGGGTCACGTCAGGCAAGCTCCTCATCGTCTTCCTCTAATGTTTTTTCCATGTACGTTAACTTGGGCCCCAGGTTTTGCACCGTCGGGGCCGAGGTGGTAACGGTGGTCAAATAAAGCATCATTTACATCGCTTTCTTCGATAACGGCGAACTTCGCACTTTCACAGTTCCTGGAAGACGATGATGGTACTCTTGACGTAACCCAAGCCCTCTTGTATATAGCGGCGCTGGCTTGTTGTGTTGCTCCCTCCCCTGGGCAGTCGGGGTGCCTCGAAGTCTGCTTTCTGCTTTCTGCTTCTGCTTCTGATGCGTCCATTTCACTCACGTGAGAGAAGAGGCTAATATCGGACTACTGTAGATGACGAACTTGAACTCTCCTCCCTGGACGAGGTGAGGTTAAGCATCGAGGCGCTTGTCGCTGACGAGCCTGTCGACACCAACATTCGCCAGCCCCCTGGCTCATTCGACTCGCCGCGCCGCTCTGGGACTCCGGCCGTTCCGCCTGGGTTCTCGTTCCCGAGCGCACATTCATCTCCGGCCGTCTCGCACTTGTCTCTACAAACCACGAGTGTCGGACGTCAGACGCCACCTGTTGCGCTACCCAAGCTCCCCGTGAAGTCAGCCGTAGCTGTTTCTAGCCCGCTCACCAAGAAGGCAACCCTACAGTCCTTGTCCGAATCATCCAAGAAAGCCGTCAAGGCACTTGCCGCGGAAAGCGGCCTGTCAAAGGAGATTGCCAAAGCAAAATCGCAAAAGGTCCTGCAGGATGAAGACTTTCCAGCGCTCAGCTCGCCCAAGTCTCAGCGAGCTGCGACTCCGGTTCCTCAACCAAAGGCGGTGTCTAACAACAAGGCTGCTGCATCAAGTGGTAAAAAGACGCAAGAGAAGCATGCTGAGAAGGTAAAGGAGAATGCAAAGGAAAAGGAGAAGACTTCGATCGCACCTTCGCCTTCACCTGCGTCTGCGCCTGAAACGAGCGAGGTTCCGAAGCCAGAGGCAAAGGCCATCGAAAAGGGGCGGGAGAAGGCAGCCGACAAGAAAGAGAAGCAGGAGAAGCGCCCAGTTCCTGGCATCTTGAATATCGCCGCGGCTACCAAGGCGGCCCAAATCAGGAATGTAGAGGCGCCGTCGGCGACAGACAAGACGCCGGCGGATCGAGACTCGGTGTTCCCGGCGCTCCCGACTCCCACGCCGGTTTCCGCCCCATCTCTGACCCGCGCAGCGCCGAAAACCCTCAGACTAGTGTCGACGCCCAAGACAGAAAACCCTTCGACTCCCATGCTATCAACTCCAGCCGTGCGGTCGGTCGCGGCTTCGGCCATTCGCCCGGAGACGCCGGTCAGCGAGATGATCTCTGACAGCGCGTCGATCATCTCGGCTTCCATCTCGGCGTCCCGCACGGACTCTCCTCCGCCGTCCAACAAGATTGGCTCCGCTCCGATGCGGACTACCACCAAGAGTCAGCAACGTAAACAGCGCAAGGAGGCGTTGAAGAAGGAGTCAGCGACCATTGCGGCGCAGCCGGTCAAGGTCGAGCCTACCGTTGAGATCGGCCCCATCATCGGGCGTAAGAAGAAGCAGAAGAAGGAAAAGGAGAAGACGGGCAGCAAGACGGCGACGCCCGCTGTGAGCCGTCCAGGGACGCCGCTAGCGGCTAATTCACCGTCTGTCAAGGAGACAAAGGAACCCGCAGAGAACACTGAGCCTGTCGAGGTCAAGGAAGTCAAGGAAGTCAAAGAAACCAAGGAAGTCAAGGAAGAGTCTTCGGCTTATCGTTCGACGGCGAACGAGACAACCACGTTGACTGACGAGCCGTTGCTGCACAAGGGCAGGTTTAGCGACCTGAAGCAGACGAGCGTAAAGAGAGAGAGACATCTGGATCCGTCGACGCCCCGAACCCTGCCAACCCCGGCTTCAGTTCTCCACGACCTTCAGGCGGCCGGACTGGTGTCCGACACGCTCGATACCCTGCCTTTCTTCCGGCCGGTCAATGTCCAGTTGGACAAGTCGCGGCCCGATGCGAATCATAAGCCGGGGCTTCGGGACCTGGTGGCCAGGAATTCCATGACCTCGACCAAGTCCATCGTCACGGAGGACGACCAGGCCGCGCTCCTTGCCGGCAAGCCCGTCCGCAAGATCATCGACGGCACTCGCATCCTGCTGACTCCCAATGGTGACTGCATCCGTAATCTCAGCACCGAAGAAGAAGATCGGTTCCTCGAACTGCAACAGCTCGTTGCCGAAGCGACCGCCAGTCCGGCCGCCTTCGTCCCCTTGCGCCACGAAGCCGGCGGCGGATTCAGTCTCATCAAAGGACGCGCCGTGCCCAACGGGCCTCCCAGCTATTTCCCGCCTGCCCCTGGTGCCTACCCTTCTGATCCCGTCAACAAGATCCAGCGCGAGGAAGCCATCTACTACATCAACCAATATGTTCTGCCCCGGCTGAACCTCAATGCTAGAGACATGAGTCTGCCAAAGGCGATGTCCACGTGGACCGCTGATCCGCGCGGCACGGCAACTGGTAACCTTAGTTCGGTTGCGCCATGGCTGTACGGCAGCATCGGCAACCACCCAGGATCCCACGACATGTTAGACGCGGGCGCCGCGCCTCCAGAGCTGAGCTACCCCGGCCCGGTGGGCGCGTTCGCAGATGATTCTTCACACCGTCAACACGGGCTTCATCATCATCATCATCATCAGCATCACTACCTTCCTCAGCTGCCGCACGGGCTGCCAAACCCTTCTCTGCACGAGGACCATCTCGGCGATATCAACGCTCAACTCCCCAGTGTGGAGGAAGTCTTTGCCTCCTCCGCATCGGGGCACCACCACCACAGCCACCAACAATTGCAGCAACAGCATCAACAACCGCCTTCCTCGCCGTCCTCCTCCGCAGTTACAGCCGCAGCCGCCACGCAGGGTGTCAACTTCTCTTCGCCGGGCCCCTTCGGCAACGTCCCGCTCATGTCGCTCGAAGACGCAGAGCAGGCCCTCTCGGCCGCGCGCAAGGAGACGGAAAAGCTCGAGAAGAGCCTCAACCAGCTGATGAGAAAGAATCGTCGGCTCTTGATGGCCACCGCTGCCACCACCTCCACCGCCGCTGCCGGTGTGGGTGTGGGTGCGGGCGGTGGAAGGGGTGGTGGGCATTGACTAGCCTGGACCACCGCGCGAACCCGGAGCTGGACGTCTTCCCCTTCGCAATATGACTGTGACTATGAACTGGGCCTGGATGGCCCCGGTGCTGCTGGTATAGCACGAAGAGGAAGGGGGAGGGGGACGGGCCCCGGGCGTGATGCCGTCGCTGCTGTGGCCATGGCTGTTGCGCTGGCCTGGGTGCTAAGGGGGTTGAGCACCATGCGCGAGGCGGCGTTTGCGGCGGTGTGGATGGCTGTGCTGTTGGTAGAGAGCGTGGTGGCGATGGCCGCGAGGGGCGCGGTCGTGGCTGTTGAGGTTGTCTGTGCGGTGCTGGACTGGGTTGGGGCGGAGTATTGATGTTGCTTGCGGGGGGAATGGCTAGGTCGGGTCAGCGAGCTTGATGGAGGAAGGAGGTCTATGAACTATGGAGGTTGGGGGTCGTAGCGTTATGGCGGGGACTTTCGAGATCGAAGGCTGCACATTGTAGCATGACGGAGGGTGAGATTTCAGCTAGGATGACGGCGTAAGGGGTTGTGGGATATACACAGATTATGTTGAGGCCTTCTTTGGGATATGTACGATCTGTAGAAGCAGTGTAGATCCAATTTGTCCTTCCTTGTACGGCGCTCATAAATGCGTTTCTGTCATGAGAGCAGGACATGTGTATATTTGCGGCCGCTGTTGAGCGACGGTGCGTCGTAGGTCGAGATATCAGACATCAGATGCCTTAGGTCCTCTAAACAAACTGGGTTCGACACATGCAACAATGTCGTTGGCGTTGGTGCTCTTGTGGCACGTAGCCGATGAAAGTGGCTACCAGGGTGACACAGCATGGCGTCCACGTTGACTTATTCATTCCATACTATGTTGGAAAACTGGCGAAGTTCTGTGTCGCGGTGACATGGTTGTATGACCTGTTAGGAGCGACACACAAGTCGTCTGGGCTCAATACCTATCAGGCTACTAGTACTAGGTAATGTGGTAGAGAAGTAACATGTCGTGTTTGGATGATTACAGCAATGTGGTATCATAGGCGCGAAAAACAGCACGCAATGAGATAACTAGCCAGCCACGTTTCTGTCTTCGCGAACTGAAGCAAACATGGCCAATCCCGAGAGCCTTGAGCCTGTTAACGACAAGATGGCCAACAAGAGCTTGTAAGAGAGCATGGAAACGGGAGCGGAGCGTTTGCGAAGGAAAAATGTGAAGGAAAAATGTGAAGGAAAAAGGGTGGACGTAACAGCAAAAGTCATAGATTTCTTGGAGATAGGGCTCAATCGGGGATCGAACCCGAGACCTCGCACATCTTCTGCCTGTTCTCAGGCGGTGGGTTATCCACCCGAAGCGCGAATCATACCACTAGACCATTGAGCCGAATCTGTTATTGAAAAATGTGACTGAAATTGCGTTCTATGTACGGGATATTCGAATTCAATCGGCACATGATGTTTATGGCTAAACACAAAGCAACCCCGTTGGAGATTGTGCATAGAAGCAGCGACTAGGAATCGACAAATCAATCCAGTTTGACCCGGCGTAGCTGCAGCTAACGTTAATAGAGCTCCGAAGTTTTTTGATTTCGAAAGCCAAGTTATGGTGGAAACTGACTTAGTACTCGATCCAATTCACTGCAGGCTCTAAGGTGCAGGTGCTTGAATGCAGATGCTTTCTTTCTTAAGAACAGCTTAAAAATAACTAGGAAACCGAGCAGGCAATACAATGCTAGGTCTTGAAAACTTATTAGGAAGTTTCATTGACCGGATTATTAAATGCGTTTGTACCTCTTAAAGGCATCTAAAGGCGTGTTTGCTGAGCAGACTACTATCTTATGACCAATGCTCATAATGCAATGACCCTCTTAAGCCTCTATAAAGGCAAACTTTACTGTGGGTGGAAACCTATAGAAGCTGGTAGTAGAGTATGTTAAAAAACCTAAAAGTGGTCTATGCACTACTACACGCATACCTTCTATATCTGTATTAAATGCTCGGTACGTATAATATGTAGTAAGTGTGACAGTGGAACTCATCATACTATTGTTATGGTGACTGTCATTGTAGGCCAGACTCAAGGTTCTAGTAGGCAACTGACTGCATTGTAAGAATATTGAACTTACAGGAGAAAAGGAATCCTTGAAGACTGCAAGGTGTAAAGAAGTCTAAATATAGGATATAGGGCATGTACTCAGATGTGGAAGGTAGGGCACTAACTAGGTTGACTAATCATGCATGCATGCATTAGAAGCTGGGCACATAACTAAGCAATAGCCTATGCTATAGTATGGTAGGTTCCACTATCACACTAACCTTTAAATATAGAACTAACTAGTATAAGTAAGTCTAATAAAATATAAGTAAGTATAATAGTAAACTAAAATAATTCTACTTCTATAAGTATTAGAATAGCTCTTACTACATCTACTAAGGCTATTACTACTCTAGTGTAATAACTAGATGTAATTGAATAAGGTCAAGCTAGCTATTATTGTCATTCTATTTCATGAATCTAAGATTGAGAAAAGGAAAGAGAAGTTCTAAGTCAGTAGCCCAGAACATTACAAGATATTCCTAATTTGTGATAGTGAAACGCACTGACCATGATGATGATATCATTTATATGTATAATGATTCATCATCCTAAGTAATGATTTATTATACATGTTCTATTACATCATGCATACAAGCTCAGACCTACTCGCATCTTGTATTTAAAGCCTACCTTACAGTCTCGAGGATTTCTTTCCTTCTGCAAGTTCAATATTCTTACAATGCAGTCAGTTTACCACTAGAAGCTTGACCCTAGCCTTGAACGACGGCCCTCATGACATAATTTGTGGATCATATGACTAGTTATATGATTGGTGCTTCATAACAGCCATCAATTAAGGAGGTCATGAGTTCGACCCCCGCCTGGAGCGACACTCATACCAACTGTGACAATATATCAGATTGCAAACCCGGTTGATGTACTATAGCAGACAGGGGTATTATGCACGCGCATGTGGCTATAACGTACATGATAAGCGAGTGACCCAGACAAGCGAATGACCCACTCTCCACTACCCTACAAACATTATCCTCAATTATAAAACAACAAAACTATCAACCAACTACAATTACATCAGAAACGGCTGAATCAGATGCTTCTGCAACCTCCTGGCAAGTGCGGGCATTATGACCAGGCTTGCCGCATACACCACAGCACCAAACCTTCGTACGACCCCCACCAGCACCACTACCATCCAGCTGTGTTTCTTGCATTGCCTCCCCACCTATAGCCCCCTGGCTTACCACCTCCTGTGCCTCCTGCACAGTAAGTGATCCTCCAAGCCGCACACGTGTTTTTTTTGGCTCTCCGGCGCTTGCTTAGCGCCTCGTTAGCCTTGCGGAGCGAAGACACCTCTGCCTGAAGGAGGGCCACCTGGTGCATTACAGCCATCGTACCCTTGCTTCAACGGCCCAAAGCAGCCAACATCAAGTGGCTGGAGGAGGTGGGAGGAATGTGGAGGCATGCAGAGCGTGATAATGTTGTTCTGCTGGCAGTAGAGCTCGAACTCGGTCGAGTGGTGGCTTTCGTGGCCATCGAGGATCAACAGCCGGTATTTGCCCTTTGTCCGAGGCGCTGTATGGTAGTTGAAGTGCTTGATCCAATCAAGGCCTACTGTGTTGGTAGTCCAGCCGTTCTCGGTGGTTGCGATGCGCCAGTCGGCCGGGAGGTTGCACTCGGTATACCAGTTGACGAGGTGGTATTGCACGGCCAAGATGATGAACGGAGGGATAGCCTAGCCGAGAGCATTGACTCCTTGGATCACTGTTGCCCACTCGCGAGTGCCAGGCTGGGCCAGCTTAGCCTTGCTCCGGCCATCTGAGGTCGTAACAACCATACCCGTAAAGATAATGCCTATCATAAACCCGGTCTCGTCAAAGTTATAGACATCGTCATCCACAATACTATACTTGGCCTTAGTGTTCTGCACAAGCCTAAACCACTCGCGAATAACGTCTGGATCTTTGCATCTAGCCCTCTAGTAGTCGTATCTACGTGTATATCGCGTACGGAGCTCTGGCCGGCGTTTAACGAAGTTGTAAGCCCAGCGTTTGCCAACAGGGGGCGCGTCGCGTTCGCGCAGTAGTTGGTTGGCCATATCTTCCACACCATACAACCTAGGCGGGAATGCACGTGCAGATAGCTCATTGACATATTGAACTATCGCCTTCTCTTCTAGATCTGTGAGCTTGCGCGAGTTGGCTGGAAGATCGTATCGTGCAGGCTTGCCGGCGCGTCGGCGCCCCAGGGTCCTACGGTCAACCCCATAGATCTTAGCTGCGGCTCGTTCGCTTAGATTCTTGTCGTTTTGAAGAGCTTGGAGAGCCAATATTATCTGGCCTTCTTTTGAAGTAGAGGGCATTTTGGATGGTAGAGGAAATTTTGTTGTTGAGTGCAAAGATGTCGCGTCGTGTAGGAAGTGGGTCATTCGCTTGTCTGGGTCACTCGCTTATCATGTACGTTAAGCACTTGGAATAGGGTAATTCGAGGTCCCTAAATCTATGAAACTATGTAAAATGGCCCTAAAAGCCTAGAAAACGCTGTTTTAGCCAGTTTGATACGTTTTACCATATCTGTTTAGCTGCTTGACCTTTGTTGTTCTTACTTATGCTGTCAAATGCAATGCCAAGAGGACTTGGTAGTTTTCGCCTACAGTAGCACAATGCTAGTCCTTATAAGCCTAACATTACTAGAGGCGCTTCCCCTAAGCATGACAAACCAGAATCACACTCAAATACTTCAAGCTAGCTACAGGAACTCCCGCTGCGATTCCGTAATATACCCGAGGCTGAAGCCAAATGTTCCCAACTTCCAGTCAGGAAAACAACAGTGAAGTCGGAAGAGGCTCAGTTGCGCGCTTATGAGATGCCATGACGTGTCGGAAACTCCGATATCGCACACGCATAACTGGGCTGTTGGTCTAGTGGTATGATTCTCGCTTTGGGTTGCCTGATTGGATCAACCACAATTCTGCGAGAGGTCCCGGGTTCAATCCCCGGACAGCCCCTGAGTTCGGATGAATGTTTATTTTTCTGTTCTCATTACGACCGGGGCACAATTTCTTTTTCTTTGATCTCGCATGTACAGACAATAAGTACTTGACTACGCTTGCTTCCGTTCCCTCATGTCGGGCTTGCAGCAGCGCTTTGTTTGGTTGCGAGGAAAACCGCTTGGTATTTGAGTCCGTCCTTCTCTGATGCTTCCAAAATTGCAGAGGTCTAGATTACAGCCATGCTATCTGACAACTGCCGGTTATTATGTCCAGTTCACATGATGTCCTTCAATGCAGAATACGCAGCCCCTTGGCCCCTTACTCCCCGCCGATATTAGAATGCGAAGTTCCCGGCCTGCTACTCAGCTTCTTCAACTTACCCCCTGCCTTGGTGTTGAACAAGCTCTTGACCCTCCTCAGCCGCGACATCATATCCATGTCCTTCTTCTTCCTAGCCTCCTCGTCGTCCACCTTTTCCTCCTGGAGCCCATCACCACCCCTTCCCTCTTCTTCTTCCGCATCTCCAACCATTATCCTCGGCGCCCCCGCCACCGTGGTAGGCCGCGCACGCTCGGGCGTCTTCGGCTCACCGGTCGTCGCAGGGACAACACCGCTACTCTTACTCCTCCCATGCCCAGCCGCCGCATCGTTGTTCTTCTTCCTCTTAGTACTCCCCCCGTCCACCCTCTCCCGAATGAGCGCTTCATTCCTCAACCCCTGAACAAGCACCTCCCACGCAGGCAGTTCCCTCTCCCCCTTAGCAAGGGGCCTCGCGAGGCCCGGGTTACGCTGCGCCACCGCGTTCTTCCACGGACAAAAGAAGCGGTGCTCGCGTAGCGGGTCAAGGTGGTCCATAGGCGCGGGTACAAGGACCTCGTTGGTTGCCGGGTCGATCTCGCGCGATTTGAACATCCATAGCCCTAGGCGACGCAGGCAGGTGTGGCAGGAGGCGCTGTTCGGTACGGGGTTACCGAGCGTCGGATGGGTGAGTGATTGCCAGCCTAGCAGGGCGAGTGCGAGGGCCGGACGGTTGATCGGTGGTGGAGAGGACGCGGAGGTTGAGGAGGGATTCGGTGGGTTGGCTTTGTCTGGCGGTGGGGGCGGGTCGGTGAAGAAAGTAGGCGGGAGATCGCAGATGACCGTATCCAGGTCTAGTGTCGGTGGGAGCCGGAGGTTGAACTCGTATGGCAAAAACGCAGCGCGTTCGCAGAGCTCGTCGTAGCGTTGCCGCAGGCCTTGGAGGGCGAGTTTGGGGTTGGGAAGAGGCAGACGAAGGAGCGATTCTATGAAAATGTTAGTACTCGAGCACCGGTGTAAAGGGATGGCAGACGAGCATTACCTTCACACCCCTTCTTCCGCCATAGACAGTCCTCCGCATGCGCCTCAACAATTAGCTCGACGTATTTGCTCACCACCGACTCAGCAATCTCCGATGCAATCAGCACCGCGATCTCCCTGCCGTCCACCTCTTTCCGGTTCACCTTGACGACCAGCTCCCGTCCACAGAGCGTGCACTTCACGCGCTCCTTGCCCTGGCACACCCAGCCGCGCCTTGCCCACTCCACCTCGTTGACCCGGTCCGGTTTGGGCGCCCAATCGGTTATCTCCTGGAAAGTCGCCAGCCGCCTGAGAAGCTGGTCGCGATCACCTGGGCAGTACTTTGGCGGTGGTGGAAGGCCCTCCTTTCCGTCTGCCGCAGGACTGCCGGACCCGGGCGTCCATTTCCGAAGAGAAATGTTCGAGACGGAAGTCGTCGGCGGTACGGTACGTATGCTAGCTGGCGACGATCGCATTGGGCTTCCCTGTAGCATGCCGTATTTTGAGGGTGTCGAGACCGGCCCGCCGACCCGGCGCTTCTTGAAGCTGTCGAGGGTGTCATCGCTTGTCATTGTTGCCGGCGGATAGTGGGAGGAGAGCTGCGAAGCTGGGGAAGATGCGGGTTCGGCGAGGCTGCTTTCTCGGTCGGTCGGCGTTCGGTTGCCGATGCCTTGGAGGAGCACGTTGAACTTGCGCTTGACAGTGGAATTCATGATGACTAGGAATTGCGCCGCAGTTCGACTAGTATTTCATGTGTTGTACTCTGCCGGCTGTACTGCGCTCCGCCGGCGCGAGTTTAGATGCGGCGCGCAGTAACGTTAACCAAATCCAGTGTTAGGTCAGGTACCGGTAACCACGGTGATGACCCCACTGTTCTTCAAGACTGATCGGCTTCAGCTTGATGGCGTTTGAAACAAACAGTCCTGCTTTCTGCGACACGAAGTGACAAATTTACTCTGAGCTTCACAAAACCCAAAATGATCATGCATGTAGGTCCGAAAAGTTAACGATGGAGCCGTGCTGAAGCTGTTTGCTTCTTTGTTTGGGCAGTGTTCGGAGGAGTTTGGAGCTTGTTGGGGGGCGACCAGGATGTTCCAATCTATACCTCCATGGGAGGAAACCATCATTTGACGGCACAGGTAAGAACAACAAAGGCTGGGCAGTGTCACGGTCGGTATGGGTGTCGCCCCAGGCGGGGGTCGAACCCACGACCTCCCTGATTGACGGCTGTTGTGGAGCATCGGTCACATGACCCACAAATCAGGAATATCTTCGTGTAATGTTCTGGGCCACCGACTCAGAACTTCTCTTTCCTTTCCTCAACCTTAGATTCACGAAATAGAATGACAACAACAGCCGGCTTGACCCTGTTCAATTGCATCTAGTCGTCACACCTAGTCGATATACCTAATTGCAAATGTCAACGACTTACTATATCGCAGACCCTGTTGACATACTGTATCGCGAACCTAGTTAGGATAATACGCGCGTGTACATAGTATATTAGATGCGTAAATAGCTAGAATACTGTAATTCGAGGTCCTAGAATCTATAGAAATGCAATAAACCTATCAAACCCTTCAAAAATGCTCTGTTTTGGCCAGTTTGATGCGTTTTACCATATCTGTTTGGCCCGGCCATTGTTCTACCTGCCCGGCCTTTGTTGTTCTTAACCTGTGCCGTCAAATGCAATGCTAAGACGACTTGGTGGTTTCCTCCCACAGCTACGATACCCCTACGATAACGCGTGGAGAGTCCACACAGTGTGAGCTTGCTCACCAGATCAAACCCCTTCCATTCTCTCGCTCGGTCTCTTGGATCCCCAACTGGCTTGAAAGTCACCTCACATATTCACACTACAATCGAGGTGACGCCTATCCGTAAGGGTAGCCTCAGTATTCACGCTAGGGTATGAACATGCCACATGCATATCCGTACGTACTAGTACATGTACTTCCCCAAACCAGGCATTACAAACGCTACGGGTATCTATCAGTCCGCTGTGTGCAACCATCCCTCTCATGCTGCCCATCCCAATCAGTTGTCCCTAATAATCCCCTCCCTGTTGCGCTGGTAAGAAATAAAAGAATCAAAACAAGAACACCTCAATCAATCTTCCGGTGCCGATACCCAATCCCTCTCACATTCACCTTCAACGCAAGCGAGCTCAGCACCACACTAATACTGCTCAGCGCCATGGCCAGGCTAGCCCACACAGGATCGAGCCGGACATGATTCCCATGCTGATCGGTGATGGGATAGAGCGCGCCTGCCGCGACAGGCAGCGCCAGGCAGTTGTACACCACGGCCCAGCCGAAGTTGAGCTTGATCCTCCGCAGCACGACCTGTGACAGGTCGTGCAGATCCACCACGGCCCGCAGGTCGCTCTTGACCAGCACGAAGTCGGCCGTGCTGATGGCCACGTCGGCGCCGCTGCCGATCGCGATGCCGACGTCGGCCGTCGCCAGCGCGGGGCTGTCGTTGATACCGTCGCCCACCATCGCCACCATCGCCCTCCTCGTCGCAGCCTCTTGATTCCCTCCGCGGCCAGTGCGTGCTCGGACGGTGGACTGGAGATACTTGATCTTCTCAGCCTTGCCCGTCGGCAGGACGCCGGCGATGACCTGGTCTGCGGGGATGCCCAGTTGTGAGGCGACGGCCGCCGCTGTGGTCGGGTTGTCGCCGGAGAGCATCCAGACGCGGGTGCCGCGGGACTGGAGGGCACGGACGATGCCCGGTGCTTCTGGGCGGATCGGATCGGAGATGGAGAGCACTGCTGCCAGGGTCCATGTGGCGGAGACTTGCAGGGGCTTCGTGGCGACCAGGGCAACGGATTTGGCTTCGCCTTTCCAGCGCTGAAGGGTCTGGTTGGTCTCTGGCGGGATGGCAACAGAGAAGTCGGCCATGAAGGACTCGTTGCCGACGGCGAGCTCGAATGACGAGGAGGGTGTGATTCCATGGTAGACGGCTTTCATGCCTTTTCCGGGCACTTCTTGGAGGTTGTCGATGGTGGCCTTGGAGGAGGTTTGCGCGCTGCAGAAGGAGACGATGGCTTTGGCAATTGGGTGGCTGCTGTTCTCTTCGACTGCTTTCAAGGCTGCCACGAGGGAGTCTCTTTGGGCCGCGTCTTCTGGGAAAACCTCCGAGTCGGTGATTTCTGGCTCTCCGCCCATGGTCAAGGTCCCCGTTTTGTCGAACACAACACAGTCGATCCGACTGGCCTTTTCGAAGGCCTCACCGCCGCCCTTGGCTAGAATGCCGTGCTTCGCTGCGAGGCCGCTGCCCACGAAGATGGCGGTCGGGGCTGCGAGAGCGAGGCCACAGGGACATGCCACGACGAAAACTGCGATCGCGAATTGCAGCGAAAATGCGACCCAGCCACCGGAGGCGACGTCCAGATAGTGGCCCGGGATGCGGCCGCCTAGCCCGAGGGAGAGCCAGATAATCCAGGTGAGGACAGCGATGAGGGTGACGACAGGGACAAAGTAGGACGTCAACAGATCGGCAACCTGCTCGATTGGAGCTCGCTTCGTCTGACCCTCGCGGACGACGTTGACGATCTGGTCCAGAAGCGACGAACCAGCCGCACCGGTTATCTTCACCAGAACAGAGGCACCCTTGTTGACCGTGCCCGAGAACACCTCGCCGCCAGGCGCCTTCTTCACCGGCCGTGACTCGCCTGTCAGGCTAGACTCATCGAAGCTGCTTTCACCGTGGACAACCGTGCCATCAGCCGGGGGCGAAGCGCCGTGTGTGACGCGCACGACGTCGCCAAAGTCGAGCAGGTCCGCCTTTGTGACGACATCCGCCTCCTTCTCAGAGCCGTATCCTTCTATCAGGACCGCCGTCGTCGGCCGCAGCTTCCCTAGCGACTCCACGGCGTCGCCAGTCTTCGCCTTGCTGTAGCTCTCGATCAGTCTCCCCAGCAGCAGGAAGAAAGTCAGAAACACCACCGAGTCGAAGTAGAAGTTGGAGTCGTTGATCTCGTCCGGCCGGTGCGCCGCAGCAGCAATCATCTGGCTGACCGAGGAGACGTACGCGATGGTGGTGCCGAGCGACATGAGCGTGTTCATGCTGCCGAAGCGGTAGAACCGCTGGAGAAAAGGAACTCTACTCGCCGGACGCCAGATGGTTCTTATCTCCTTGACGGCGCGGCGGTGGAACAGGTCGGCGGCGAAGAAGTAGACCGGCGTGGCCATGACAAACAAAGCGATCTGCGCCCGGCTGATGCCTGATGTCCATGGCGCCATGATGAAGTGCTTCGACTCACTGTCCGGCAGCAGACTCATGTAGACGATGCCGATGGTGAAGGTGGGGATGCAGACGATGCCGGTGAAGATGACGCGCGCGAGGATCTGCATCCGGTGTCTGCGCTGGATCTGCTTGGACCGCTCCTCGAGACTCGGAGGGTGGTAGATCGAGGCGGTGAAGCCGGGGTCGCTTGCCTCGATGGCTGCCAGGATCCTCCTGATGGTGAAGGACGGCGCGTCAGGGACGTACGAGATCTTCATGATGGGCCTTTGGCGGGTCGGTTGGGTGATGACCTCCAACTGCCGCCTGAAACCCGCGAGACTCTGGGTGACTCGGTCCGGGCAATGCTCGCAGTATAGGCCGTCGATCTTTATTTCGACCGTCCGCTCGTGCTCCTCCGAAGCCTCTTGAGCCAGGCTGACCACGGCATCAAGGGCTGCGTCGTACCCAAGATCCTCGATCTCCTGCACCAGCTTGTCGGCGTTATCCCGACCGTCGAAGTCGACTGTGGCGCTGTTGGTGAGCATATTGACCGTGATATCCTTAACCCAACCCTTTTTCTTCATCTCCCTCGTGATTCCGTTGGCGCAGGACGCGCACGTCATTCCGCCGATGGCCAACGTTGCCCGCCAGGTGTCGGAGCTGCTCGCGCCCTTGCGCCTCCCCTGGCTGAGCTCGGCGACCGAGTCCAAGGTTGCTTCATACCCGAGATCCTCGATGGCTTGGACGAGCTCGTCGGCCTTGTTCCCGTCCTTCAGGTCTACCGTGACGCTGTTGCCGAGCAGGTTGACTGTGACACTGGAGATCCAGTCGTGCCTCGTCAGGCCCTCTGCGATCATGTTCGAACATGCGGAGCACGTCATGCCACCGACGGCGAGCGTGGCTCTCCAAAGCGGCTGGACTGAGGCATCTTCAGTGTTTTCGGCCACGACGAACGGCTTCGATTCCCCGCCTATCTGCGGGTTGGGACTGTTGCTCGACGCCAGGCTGACATGGGCGGATCTGTCCTCCAGAACCCGCTTCACGTCCAACACTGACCCCATGGTGCTCCGGCACTGTTCGCAGTTTTCGAGGTGGGCTCGAACCTTCTGTGCTTGAGGCGCCGGTGACCCGGACGGCATGAACCAGCGGCTGAGTGCGGACACTGGGTGATGCCTGCTGTGACTGCTGCTCTCGCCGTTCCCCTGGCTCCCACCGGCTTCCAGGTCCACGTCTACGTCAGATACGTCGCCGGCAGACGTATAGATTGCGCATACCTCGAAGCCGCTCTCCTCAAGGGCCATGCGCATTTGCTGGAGAGATGCTGCTGGGGCGTGCTCGACCGTCACCACGGAAGTGACCACATTGGGGGAGACCCAGTTGATATGTTCGCCGCAGGATTCCTGAAGGGCGCTCTTTATAGCCAAGACGCAGGTAGGACAGTGAAGGTTGGCCAAGAGGAACGAGGTTGAGATGGTGTCGGGTGGCCTGGCCGCTACGGGCCGGCGGTGGGCGGGTGCCATGGTGATATTCGGCTGGTCGGAACTCTTGAGTGTGGTACGCCTGTACACAGGACGTTCGGCTGCTCGCTGTCCAACGTGGCAGACTCGTGGGTGACCAGGGCGATTGGCGATGCTGGTCTGGCGTGTGGCACGGAAGGACGTATATTAAAGAATTTCCCTAATAGGAAATCGGGGGCAAGCAGCGCCGGGATCTCGGCTGAAGTACGCTCCCCCGTCTCGGCGGCGTGTTTGCTACGTTCTTGTGGAGACGTGGGGGCCCAACGGCTGAGAACGATTGGTAACTCAAGGCGAGGCAATGTACGGGATAAGTTGAGAAGGCACCAAGTTTGACAGGAAACAAGGCACGCGGGAGAAGCGAAGGGCGAAGGGCGATGGAATGGCTGGCTGTCACATTATTAAATAGTTGCAGTTGCTTCGCTCGCCATCCGTGGCCGCAGACTTTGTCTTGCTTGGAAGGGGAAAGAATCGGCAGGTTTCACGCACAATTCACGCAGTGGTCAGAAGTTGATCAACTAACAAAAGAATGTGTGAGGGAAGTCAGATGTCTCTGTGGGGCGATTTACAAAGTGGATCTTATTCAGCTATCAGTTCGAACAAGTGGGAACGAATGCCCTGAATATGCCGGGCATGAATTTTGGACGTCAATTGAAGCGGTTCAATACCTAAGGCATGTAAGGATAAATGATGTGTATGCCCGACAGTAAGACCACAGCCCGAGGCTCTGCAGCTGAGGTGTACAGGTGTTACGGAATACACGTAGTAAGGTACTCAAGGGCTGCAACGCTGCTCGGATGACGACATCGCTACAGGGGCCGCAGCCGACACGTGACCACTTGGCGACTACACTGTCCATGGTTCATTTAGTAGCCCTCTATCTCCAAGCACGGCCGCCTCTTAGTTGCCCAATATTCAACTATAAATCTGCCCGTTCATTTTTATCAGAAAGCTCTAAGCACCGCCGAAATGCTCGTTCAGGGTAACGGGGCAAATCAGGGCAAACTGCATTTTTCTCAGACTAAGTCGGTTTCTCTTTTGGCGTGACATCCATTATTCCATTCTCTATCTTGCTTCACAGTTCACACACATAGGAAAACGCTAAGAGTGACTTATAACTCGTGAGACATTCTCTAATGCTAACCTTAGTTGCCCTGTGGCCATTGTTGTGCAGCGTACAAGGCCAACACCGATCCAGATCGCAGGTAGACTGGACCCTCGAAGTTCGATCTCTGAATTACAATATCTTGAATATGGCACGCTTGCCCAAGCTGCCGCTGCTTCGGATTATTCAATCAAACCCCCCATACCCTGCAAGGCTCGGCCGCAATATCAACCGCAATCTTGGGGCAGTCCTAGGACACTACTGCTCAATTGGACTGTCTCGGAGCTGAAAACTGGAATGATGCCAGCGGTTATCTGATGCCTTGGCCAAGGTCCTGTAGCCACTGCCCGCTTCTAAGTCCTCGGCAATGAGCTGATCCGCAATCTTGCGTGGACCGCTATCAAGAGAATCTAGACCTAATGCGACGACGTCGCGGAAGCAAGTAGCGCATCGAGGGGACAATGGGCGGTTGAAAACGCGGAATGCTCCAGAGATATCCGTACTGTGGGTAACGGCTCTAGAGAATGAATCGTGTCCACGAGGCCATATATCCGCAATTCATCGATCTTAATCTACTAATGGAGTAGCTGAACCAAGACTTGGGCTGGAGCTGAGGCTATAGCTATACCCCTGAGCGGCTGCAAATCCATGATCACAAAGGCCCGATCCGGGTCCGACGTTGAGAAAGTGGGTTGTCCGCCGTGCCAAGACATCGCTTCCGGGCCGCCACCGCACCGGGATCGGAGCCCAAGATGTGGCACGGCACGTGCCTGCTGACAAAAGCGAGAACGCACGGGTTGTGGATACCAACCTCGCCACATCCGGTTAGCGTCAATCACGCAATCGACCTCCATCAACACGACTTCGAGTTGATGCAGCATTGGTGAGCAAGCAGTCCAGAAATTTTGCCATGCACTAATGTCCCGCGGCACTTATGGAGAAGGTCAGCCGCTGGCCGGCGCGGGTAGCCAAAAGGGCGCCCAGGTAGGAATAGGATGAACATCTCCTTATGCTGAATCTTCTCCTTGTCCACTCTTTTCCAGCCGTGCAATTCCAGCTGTTCCCGCTGGCGCAGTCGTTCCTCTCTGTTCTCGACGTCTGCAAGCGGTTTGAGGCAGGCCCAGGGTCACTTTCGTCACTCCTGCCTCGACACTTTGCGAGCCGCCGAGTCTCAGATCTTGAACACGCCTTCAAGAAGCTCCCTACTCCTGCCATTGGAGCCTTGGGCAAGTCACCCATCATGCAATTGAAGCAGGATCTGGCCACGGGGGGCGTCGCGCCCGGTTCAGATAGCCAGCGCGCTCCTGAGAGGCTCGAGAACACCGGCTTCGGGAAGCAGATAATCCCGCTTGGTGCCATTTCCGGGCCAACCTATGTCACCGGCCAGCTGCTGGTCCAGCAGACGGCGTACAAGCTCTCAGACAAGATCTTCTCATTCTCGCCCGAGACCTTCAACCTTGATGAGGCCGTTAAGGAGTGGTCTCGCGTTGGCGAGAAGAACATCCACGGCGAAACCACGACCGTAGTGCCACTGCAAACCCGAGCCGGCGCCGGCACCTTTGCGCTGGGTTACATCTTCTCCAAGGACTTCGATCTCAGCAAACGGCATATCCCCCAGTCCCTGCTGGCTCCCTCGCTGAGCCTCCGGCACCTTCGCGCTGCTCTGGACCAGCTCTCTCTCCTCTACGGCGTTGCCAGTCCCTTCGTTGCGCATATCCCAGCAGTGGACTACTCGGCCCGCGACGGCCTCATCACCGAGTACGAGAGCGCGCTACACATTGCCGAGGACCTCGGGCTGGCCCTCGTTTCCACTGCGTCCGCACATGAGGCCCAGCACATGTCCCTGCTGGCGACACTCCTGGCTACCTTGCTGCCGACTCTCCACGTCTATGACGGAATCCGCACCGCAAGGGAGACCCTGAGGGTGGTGGATGCTCTGAGCGAGACGGCCATTGCCGGCATCTACCAGAAACTTGCCAAGGCGGCCGGCGCCCTGAACAAGAGGCTGGACACTGCTGGAAAGGTGGTCGAGCTTCTGCACCTGTTCAACAACGAACTGGGCACGCGGTATGCCCCCTTCGAGTACCATGGGCACGAGGCGCCAGAGTTGGTTCTTGTCGTCTTTGGCAGCGTCGAGGCACGACTTGCCAAGCAGGTTGTGAACACGCTGGCGGCTGAGGGCAAGAAGGTGGGCGCGGTCAATATCCGCATCTACCGGCCGTTTATCGAGGAGGCGTTCCTGGAGGCCCTCCCCGAATCTGTCCGCCAGATCGCGGTGCTAGGGCAAGTTCGTGATGGCGCGGCTGTTGACGACGCGTCGATGCAGTCCGTGCTGTACTCGGATGTGCTCACCGCCGTCTCGTTCGCTGACCGCTGGTCGCACGAGCCAGCTGTTGTCGACGTCAAGTACGCGGCGTCGACTGCCCACACCCCTAGCTCGATTGCTTCAATTATTCACCGGCTCAGTAACAAGGACGCCCAAGGCGAGGTCAGCCTGGCCCTGCACTCTCTGGAGCAAGCCCTCCAGTATACGTTCTGGGACGTCGACAACTCGGCGGCCCTGGCAGCACCGTCGGCTCTTGGCAAACTTCTTGCTAGCGAAGCTCCAAACAATGTGTACATCCACGAGGTCTACGACAATCTCGTCCAAGGCGGTGCTGTTCGCACTGATGTCCGCAGTTGTGGGAAGCCGATTGAAGCGCCTTTTGCCATCGAGGAAGCTGATGTTGTCTTCGTCGGTGAGGAGAAGCTGCTCAAGGATGTCGATATCGTCAAGGGATCGAAGTCTGGTAGCAAACTCATTCTGCGGCTGCCCAACTTCAAAGAGGAGGATTTCGAAAAGCGGATCCCCGCTTCGTCAAGGAAGGAGATCCATGAGAAAGGCGTCGAGCTTTTCGTGCTGGATTCTTCCTTCTCCCCTGCCTTGGAGAAGGATGTCCAGCTGCTTACCCAGCTTGCTTTCTTGCGGGTTGCTCGTCCCGATATCACGGTGGAGGCATTCCGCAAGTTGGCTGAAGCCGCCGAGGATCAAGTGACCATGACCGAGGTTGCCGACGCCCTTCAACAAGCGCTCAAAAAGGTTGATGTCCCTGCCGCCTGGAGCGAGACTTCGCCCGAAGCCATGACAACCCCTCTTGTCCATACGCTGAAGCCCACAAGTTTTGTGGCATTCCAGAAGGACGAGCCGGAGCCTGCGCTCAAGCTCGATAACTGGCAGGAAGCGGCCAAGGGGCTCGTTTTCAAGGAGTCCTACGGGACGCAGGCCGATCTGCGTCCGGACCTCCCGGTCAAGACGTTCACCATTCACGTCAAGGAGAACCGCCGGCTAACACCGCTCACCTACGACCGGAACATCTTCCACATTGAGTTTGACCTTGGCGATTCGGGTCTCACATACAACATTGGCGAAGCCCTCGGCATCCACGCCGACAACGACCCACAGCAGGTGCTCGACTTCATTGAGTTCTACGGCCTCAATGCCGACGATCTCGTTCAGGTGCCCTCGCGCGAGGACGCTACCGTGTCGGAAACGCGAACCGTGTACCAGTCTTTGGTTCAGAACATCGACATCCTGGGCAAGCCGCCCAAGCGCTTCTTCGAGTCGCTTGCCGAGTTCGCCACGGACGAGGCCGAAAAGAAGAAGCTCGAGTTCCTCGGCGGCAAGGAAGGCGCCGACGAGTTCAAACGGCTGTCCGAGGTTGACACTGTCACCTACGTCGACGTGCTGCAAACCTTCCGCTCGGCGCACCCGGCCTTCGGCGACCTCGTGCGCATCGTCGCGCCGCTCAAGCGCCGCGAATACAGCATCGCCTCTGCGCAGGCCGTCACGCCAACCTCGGTCGCGCTCATGATCGTGGTCGTCGACTGGGTCGACACCAAGGGCCGCACGCGCTACGGCCAGGCCACGCGCTACCTCTCACAGCTCAAGCCGGGCACCGCCGTCACGGCGTCGGTCAAGCCGTCAGTCATGAAACTGCCCACCGAGGACACGGCTCCCCTGATTATGGCCGGTCTCGGCACGGGTCTCGCCCCCTTCCGCGCATTCGTTCAGTACCGCGCCATGCAGAAGGCGCAGGGCAAGGAGATCGGCGCCATCCTGCTGTACCTGGGCAGCCGCCACCAACGGGAGGAGTACCTGTACGGCGAGGAGTGGGAGGCCTACCTGGATGCCGGGGTCATCACGCTGCTGGGCGCGGCCTTCTCGCGCGACCAGCCGCAGAAGATCTACATCCAGGACCGCATGCGCCAGACTATGGCGGACATTGTCAAGGCATACATCAAGGAGCAAGGGTCCTTCTACCTGTGCGGACCGACGTGGCCGGTGCCCGATGTCACGGCTGTGTTGGAAGAGGCGATCGCGGTGGAGGCTAGGGAGAGTGGGCGCAAGGTGGATCCGAGGAAGGAGATTGAGCGGTTGAAGGAGGAGGGGAGGTATGTGTTGGAAGTATATTAGTTGGGTTAGATGGGTGGTGTTAGGGCTGGTGTTCACTATTGGCAAATTCAATAAATTACAGCATGGACGAGTTCCAAGTCGGTCATGTGTATGTTACCGTTACTTCCGCCGAGATCACTAGCTGTAGTGACTAGCGGCCTGACTGATGTCACCGCCATCGCTGCCATCGCCAAGAAATCCGGGGTTAATGCGGGTAGCCTATGAGAAGCGAGCGGGGAAACGAGCTTAATCCCGCCACGATCCACCCGCTCGGGAGTTGCTTAGCCGGAGTGTGGGGAAAGCTGGGGCTCGGTCCGAGGGGTGACGGCAATGTGCTCGGCGTGTTTCTCTGCCGCGGGAACCACGTCGTTCCTGCCTTTGAACTCAATACGAGGTTTAAACCTCACCATCTGTTAGGAACCTCCGAATCCTGAGCCACCAGAGTGTAGATAGGTTATCTCGATCACCTCAAAACATGGGAGCAGCAATTCGGATCGTGCCCAATGTAAGTCAACCGCCCTTCTCGTCTCACCCCAAACAAGGTAACTGCCACGCTCCGGTGACCAAACATTAACTTCCCGATTCACCCTTCTTACAGCGGGCGGCAAGAGCAGTAAACCTCCTACGAACCATCCAGTTCTCACATCCACCCTCTTGCCCCTGCCACTCCAACCCTAACCATCATCACCACAACCATGCTTCGCCTTCCGTTTCATCCACCATCACCCGCTTCGCGGACCGCACCAACTCCCGTCTCGTCAACACCGGGACCGGGACAGGGGCACGTGGCTACGCCACGCCGCGGGACGCCTCCCTGCAGAAGGAGTATGCCTTTGAGATGGCTGCGTCCTCTATCCGGTTTGGACCGGGCGTCACGAGGGAGGTGGGGATGGACCTCAAGAACATGGGGGCCAAGCGGGTGTGCGTGGTCACAGATGCGACGGTAGACAAGCTGGAGGCGATGAGGCAGGTGCGGGAGGCGTTGGACGGGGAAGGGGTGGAGTACAGAGTGTACACCGGGGTGAAGGTCGAGCCGAAGGATTACAGCGTCAAGGAAGCCATCGAGTGGGTCAAGCCGTACGCACCGGACGCCTTCCTGGCCGTGGGCGGGGGGTCGGTCATCGACACGGCCAAGCTGATGAACCTGTACTCGTGCTACCCGGACGCCGACTTCCTGGACTTTGTCAACGCGCCGCTCGGCAAGGGGCGGCCCATCGACCGCAAGCTGCGCCCGCTCATCGCTGTACCCACGACCGCCGGCACGGGCAGTGAGACGACGGGCACCGCCATCTTCGACCTCGCCTCGCGGCGCGCCAAGACGGGCGTCGCCCACCGCAACCTCAAGCCGACGCTGGGCATCTGCGACCCGCTCAACACGCGCACCATGCCCGCCGCCGTGAAGGCCAGCTCCGGGTTGGACGTGCTGTGCCACTCGCTCGAGTCATGGACCGCCATCCCGTTCAACGAGCGCACCCCGCGCCCGACCAACCCCATCCTCCGCCCGGCCTACCAGGGCGCCAACCCCATCAGCGACATCTTCTCGCTCAACGCGCTGCGGTCGACGGTCAAGTACCTGCCACGCTCCGTCCGTGACCCGGAGGACATGGAGGCACAGAGCGAGATGCTGCTAGCGAGCACGCTGGCGGGCGTCGGGTTCGGCAATGCGGGGGTGCATCTGTGCCATGGCATGTCGTACCCGATCTCAGGCCAGAACCCGGGCTACAAGCATGCCGGGTATGAGGTCGATGCGCCCATCATTCCGCACGGAGTTTCCGTCGCCGTGTCGGCGCCGGCCGTGTTTCGCTTCACGGGGCCGTCCAACCCGGAGCGCCATCTTGCGGCGGCGGAGGCGTTTGGCGTGGATGTCAGCAATGTGAAGAGGGAGAGTGCGGGCGAGGTGCTGGCCGAGGCACTGACCAAGTTTCTTGCGGACTTGGGCGACCAGCCGAAGGGCCTGAGGGAGCTGGGATTCGGGCGCGAGCATATCGAGGAACTGGTCGAGGGCACAATCCCGCAGGCGCGGGTGTTGGTGCTGGCGCCGGGACTGGCGAAGGAGCTGGAGCAAGAGAGGGACCAGTTGAGAAGGTTGTTTGAGGATGCGCTTGAGCATTGAATTTGAGCTGGGAATAGAGGATGGCTATGATGCTATTGTGTTATGCGCTGGTCGTGTGGCGCGAGCCGGGAGTCCGGATTAATGAATGAAGCGGCGCGCCTTCCCAATGGACTACATAGCAATGCTATCGTGGGCACGGGTTTTGGAACGACTTTCGGGCCAATTCAGTTTTGATCAAGCGTGCCGTCGCATATGAATTTGCTGAACAGAACCCCGACAGGCTTGCTTTCTCCTCCCCAAGGTTCCTTGAGGTTCAAACCGACTTCATCATCACAACTCCACAACATATCATCCCATTCCCAATACACCTCATCTACCTTTTATCCAACACTACGCCATACCATTGGCTCAATCGCCCGTTTTCATCCTATATCTCTCCAATTAAGGAACATTGCTCTAAAGACATCACCGAAAAAGACGACCGAAATTGCGTCGACACTTTGATTCCGGTGCTTGCTTCCATCGGATCTTAAGAGTCGTGACAGCCTCATCCCCCAGCAACGCACTATCAGACTTCAAAATCTCTAGTCGCTCATACGTCCAATGTCAAATATGGCTGATATCGGTTCGGATCTCCACACCGTCACGATCCGATATACGGCGCGTCAGGACTCCCCCCTGAACGCGGACCCAATGGACCACAACAGTTTGGCCCCTACAACTGGTGGCCTTTTGGCCTATGATAGCGAAGGCGAAGGCGAAGGCCAGAGCAACCATCACGACTTTGATTCTCCTTACGACGCCGACGACGAGTGGGAGAGCAGCTGGGACGCTGAAGACGACGAGGACACTTTGTCAACCACCAACAACAATCTCCCTTTTAATGCACCTGCAAATACGATTGCCGCAACACCGCTGCCCACTCTGCCGCGATCATCTTTGCCGCTCAGCGATGAAACCCTACTACCCCACTCCACTTCGGAATCCTCACTATTCTCCGCTCTGCGGGCATGGTTCGACATGCCGTCACCGTCCGACGCGGACTTCAACATCAGTGATGACACTGATTTCGATGTCCCGTCAATACTCGAAGGCATGTACACTTCATCGCCCTCCCTGTCCTCGTCTTGGCTACTTGAGGACGGCGAACAGGGGGCGGACGAGCAGCAAACCGATGATCAGGCGGACGACGAAGAGGACCCTATCTCCGATGACGATAGCAATGACGACGAAGCAATGGCCAACTTCTGGCTCAACATTTTCATGACGACCCCGGCGGGCATTGCCTTCATGGTGAATGAAGTGGACCAGGAGCTGGACGATCTCTCCGCCGAGGAGTTTGACACGCTGATGGGGTTGATAACGGATGGCGAGGTTGATGATGAGTCCAGTTCGAGGGAAAGGTGGGAGGACGAGGACGAGGATGGGGGCATGGCGGAACTCTGAACTTCGCAGGTTTGATGGCGAAGTAGACAAGAGAAGGGGGGGCTCCGTTCGTTATATAACCGCGGGCAGCACGTACTGTACAGCGCAAATCGACTTGATGCTGCTAGAGCACATCAATGCCACGTACGCCCTCAAAATCAAGAGCAACAACTCCACCCATGATCACTGTATCCAGTGTAACGCCATCAAGAAGGTTAAGGTCTACAATCCCCCCGAACTCCTTGCGTATTCGCTTCGGTTCCGCGAAGGGGTTCGACTGTCTCTGACGACCAGGAACGGGGGTAATGCGTCCGAGCATGTGTTTCAGAGCGAGGATCTGCAGAAGAAGCTTCAGGATGAGTGTCGTGGCTGGGTATGGCACCAGTCCTTACGGTGCAGGGACTTTGCGAGGCGGTTCTTGCCGACTTAAGGGGAACAAGAAGTAATTGCGGTTTGCATTATAATCGATTATACTGGGGCGGGTTGATCTAGTGGAGAACATATTCTAGGTTGGGACTCGTTTTTCGATGTTTTCCTTGCTCTTCAATATCTTTCATCAGAAAAGGGAAAGCATACCGCCGGAGTGGCAGGAGGACGGGTCGGACTACGGGGGGAGACCTTCTGTTGTTCTTCTGTTTTTCCTTATGTCCTTTGTTTTCCCTTGGCGTCGGCGGAGGAGATGGGGGGCACGAGTTGCAGAAGGCGGACAGGCTGGTTGGAGGACGGGTGATAGGGGGGAGGGGACTCTAGTAAGCTACCTAGTCTTACCGGCGTTCCTCGTTTAGGACCCTACGGCATCTCTTCTTCTTCTTTTCTTTTCTTTTTCTTTTTTTTTTTTCTTTTTTTTTTTTTTTTCTTTTGAACTCGCTTCCGTGTGCACCGTTGCGAAGAATATCTGGATGACGCACAGATAACATACCGTTTTCTGTTCTCAGGCAGACAAACCGCGTATTGGAAGAGTTAACTCGTTGGCGACCACTGGCAATTCATGTTTTGAAAACGCTCGCCTGTCGCCGACGTTATCACGTTTTTGTCAAAACTTTCCACCACAACTAGCCGCGCTCCTTTATAGGTTCAGCTCGCTAAATCAACCACGGTCCCCCGTCCTTTGAAACACGGATAGACATAACGAGAACGTATATATCGTCATCAGGGTTCTACCGAACGACGCGCTCCGGGTGTAGTACTATACTATTTGTCACGCATGCTGTGCAGCAATATACCCTACCTAACCAAGTTCCCCTCCCCAATCCCTTATAACCACGCTCATCAGTCATAAGGTAAAGGTGCCAATCACCTCCCACCAACATTGGAAAACGCCGCCTTAACTTCGGCCCGGGGCCATTCAAACAGGACATCGCCCCCATACACGTCCGTCGTGACCCGTCCAATGCGCATCTCCACATCCCCGTAGAAGCGCTCGCACTCCCTCAGCACGCGATTGACCAAGCTGCTGTTGATGCTTCCACCTCCTCCTCCTGCCCGAGCAGCGCCAGGTACGGTTAACCCACCACCACCGCCGCCACCGGAACCGCCTCCGCTTTCCTCATCCCCACCAAAGTGCTTCTCCACTCTCTTCCGTAACGCCTCAATTCCCTTCCTCACCTCGCGCGCATCATACCCGCCCAGCACCTTGTTGAACACGGTCTTGCTGTTACTGGGCTGCGCGGCGACGCCGGCGGGGCTCTTGCCGCCGGCCAGCTGCGCCTCGACATTCTCGAGGTGCTCGAGCAGCTTGCCGAGCGGGCGGCGCATGACGGCGTTCAGGTACAAGCCCATGTGCTCGGCCATCTCGCGCTGGGCGGCCTCGCGCCAGTCGTCGAGCACCTCGAGGCCGCGTGGGTTGTCGACCTCCTCGAGGAAGTGGTTCATGTTCTCGATGAACAGGATGTGGAAGTTGAGAGCCTCCTTGTCCTCCGGGTCGGCCACGGCCGAGTTGGCCGTGTGGATGGACGCCGTGGACATGGAGGGGAGGACGGCAGCGGTGCCCAGGGCCGGGTTCTCGCGCGCGATGACCTTGAGAGAGTCGAACATGGACTTGAGGATGCGGTCGTACTCGCGGTCGACCATGCGGCGGACAGGGAGGGACGGGTCGATTCCTGCGAGCATGTTCTCTACGGCGATATTGAAGTTCGGGAAGATGCGAATGAAGTGGATGACGCCCTTTCGTTTCTTGATCTTGACCTTTGTTTCTTCGATGGCGCGTATCTGCTCGTCGACGAACTTCTTGAACTTGGCTTCGAGGTTGCCATGAAGCTTCTGCAAGACGTTGTTGAGGAAGTCCTGGTTGGACTGGCTCATCTCGGCCATCTTGCGTTCGAGCGTGGCGAGGATGCCAACGCCTTGCCTGCGAAGGGAATTGTTAGGGTGATGTTGGAAAAACACGGGACGGCTAAATCGACTCACAGAGGATCCATGTGCAGCACCCAGTCCATGAGCTGCTGCAGACTTGACTCCAGGAAAACAAAGATCGACTCCATCGCCTTGGTGACCCTGCGCGCCAAATCGCGATCCGGCTCCATCAGACGGTGGCGCTTCAGATCACCCCCGCAGCGACCATGGGGTCGCGAGGCCGTCACGAGGTCGGGGAAGTCGGACTGGTCGAGCGTCGTGGCATGGAAGAAATCGACAATGAAGTTTTGTTCCATTTCCACCAGTGGGAGAAGATCGTCCAAAACACCAGCAAACACCTCGAAAGGGAGTGACCGGCCGTCTGGAGTCTTGTCGGCGAGGTTTGTCCGGCTGCCCGCGTCGCCGAGTGGAGACCGGAGACTCCTTGCCAGCGTTTGGCTGCGCTTGACGGTGAGTTTCCGTGCCGTCGTCGCCAGGCCTTCTTCCTTCTTCTCCTGATACGACGTGAATAGCAGCTCGCTCTCATCACCCGTCATCTTCCTGGCATTTTTCTTCCACGCCTCCATAGCATCCCTGAACTCGGCCTTGTAGACTGGATGACTCCGGTCCTGGTAGATCTGGAGGATGCGATTCCAGTTATCGAGGTCGACATCCCGGGCGTACAGAATCAAGGGACTGTACATCCATAGTAGGTCCCTACCGGCCTCGTGGTTGCGTGCATCCACCTTCTTCGACAGCGCTCCGCCAAGCGCGTTCTTGGTCTCGCGGAACGCTTCCGAGAACTGTCTTTCCATGAAGACGACGAGTCTCCGCATGAAAATAGCACTCTCTGCGAGGTACATCTCCTTCTTCTCCTGGACGATGCGCATCTTGCCGTAGTCACTATTGAGGCCGAGAGCTTGATCCCCATTCAGATCCTCGCTCTTGCGTGACTCGCTGTTGCCGAGTGTCGGATCGATCTTGATCATCGCTTTGTACAGCGTGACAAGGGCGGCCTCGATCTCTTCGACGCCATCCGCTGTTTCCAGGGGCGCCGCCTTGAGCGCGTCAAGGTCGGTTTCACTGATTGCACACGTCTCCAGCAGTGACTCCAGTTCTTTCCTGAGCAGCTTCTGGTTGGCCGCCTGCACTTGTAGACCTTGACCTTGGGCCTCAATATATGCAATATCATCCGAAAGAGTCTGCAACCGGTTAGAAAGAGATAGAGCATTGGCGAACACGTCGGACTTACCGATAGCTCAACACTGTACAGCGTAAGCAGGTTGTCAAGCTCGTCGCATTCGTTAATGGCGAGATCGATGCCCTTCTTGATCGCCTCGACTCTCTCGTCCTCCTCCTGAAAACGGGCGAGCCAGCCGCCGGCCTGAGCTTTACTCAGTTCCCGGTCAAGATCAGCCCGCATCTCCTCAAAGCTACGCGCCCGCATCTTCTCGCCCGGTACCCAACCGAAGTAGTCCAGCCACTTGGCAAACTCAGCCGTCCGCGTGTCCAGTATGGAAGGATCTATGCCCAGCGTCGCTAGGTACTTGGCATCGTTCCCTACGACGATCGAGCGTCGAGATTCTTCCACTGTCGACTGCTCTTCAGCCGTCTTCTCTTTAGAGTCTTTAACTGCGGGCGGCGGCTGAGCGCTGCTTGGTTTGGCAGTGGAGTCGGATTCGGTGACCTTCACCTCAGGAATGGCAGGGCCAGCGGTTCTGTCGGCTGCTTTGGGCGGTGGCTCAACCGCTGGAGCAGGCTCTGGCGGCTTTTGAACTGGTGCCGGCTTAGGCGGTGCAGGGACAACACTCGTGATGCCATCGGGCTCGTCGTTATTGACCTTGGCCGCCATCTGTCGTAGACGATCGGCTGCACCTCCGGGCCTCGGCTTGAAGGCGGTAGCCGCTGCCGCGGCCTTCCACAAGGCCCCGGCAAGATCTCCTTTCGATTTCTTTGCCTTGATCATGGGTCCAAGACCTGGCCGCTCTTCCTCCTCGGGTTCCGGCGGAGGATCGGCCGGAGGGGTGGGGGCAGGTGGTGGTGTGGGCGCCGAAACAGGGGGGACAGAAGGTGGCGTTGCGACCACCGGGCTAGACGAGTCGCCCGGCAGATCTACCTTCCTTGTGTCCTTGGGCGTTGTAACCTGCTCAGTCCTAGGTGGTGGCTCGTTCCGCCGACTTATCGAGTCCTTGCGAGGGGAGATTCTATCCACACTTCGCGGTGGGATCGCCATAGGTTCCTTGCGCATAGCCGGGCTCATGAGAGGCGCAGGTATCAGGTCTCTGTCAACCGGCAGGGGCCTAAGCGGATCCATTGGAGGCCGTCTTCGCTCCGGAGGGCTTTCCTCAACTGTAGCCGGCGCAGGCTCCGGGGGTGCATACGACGAGGTCCCGTTGACCCCATTCCTCGACCTCGGACGAAGGCTGTTCGCATCCTCGCTCCGGGCGACGGATGAGGCCTCGAATGAGTCTTGACTCTGGTTGTTACCTGATGCTAGCCTGCGCAGAGACTGCTGTTCTGGCGATGGCCGGCCTATCTCGATGCTTTGCGCAGGAGACGACTTGCCATTGGGCACCAGCGGGCTGCGCGACGCTAGTCTTTCTGGTAGCGATGCGGCCGTTGTGCCGCTGAGAGGCGGAGTGTAGGCCTTGTAGCGGGATGAGTCTGAGACATTGCTGCCGTTAGGCGCGGTGTCGAGCGGGGTGGGTCGAGGGGGTGGACGCTGCTCCAGGGGCCGTGGGGCTTGCGCACCACCGAGCACTTGGTCGAGCTCGCGCTGATCAAAGCCTGTTAGGTTGGGGGTGCGGCCACCGGTATATTTGGTATAGATCTTGATAAGGCTGGCGATGAAGAACTTCTTCTCTTTGTCAGTCTGGGCCTCCCAGTAGTATGGCTTCCCGATCGTCACAACGAAGCCCACATCTCCGGCCCATTGCTGGCTGTTCGGGTTGGCCGTCGGGCTGGTGAAAGACTCAATGGCTGTCACATCGTCGAGATACCACGTCTTGCCGATCGAAAAGCTGCCATTGGGGTTTTCCTTGGACTTGTGTATGCGCACCCGGCCAGACTTGCGCACGGCGACAATGATGACGCGAGGCTTTTCATACTGGGGCGTCCTTGCATCCGGTGGCGGGGGAGATGTCGGCGAGGTCTGGAACTCGGTGATCCTGATATGCGTGATGTATGTCTCGAGGGCTGCGACAGGTTGTGAGCAGGCTGGTGCGCCAGGGCATACTGCCGATTCCAGGCTCCAACTTACCAGATCCATCGTCGTCGCGCTTGTTGAAACAGCTGCTGATGATGCGCCTCTTCTCGTCCTCGAACAGCTCAGCCCTGCTGATATCGCGCCCACTCATGGCCATGGAGGTGACGGGGACGCGCTCCCGTCAGGCGAGTATCGCAGCTCGAGATTCATGAACGTTCAGGCAGCGACCGCAGACGGCAGCAGCGCCGTGACATCTTCGATGGGAACAGCTCGAATCTGCGCGCTGGAAGGGATCCACTCGATTCGCAAAATGCGTCGCTTGTGTGGTCGAGATGTAGACACAGGCCCGACCAGAGATGGTTTCAATGCTTATGCTATGTCGAAGCCCGGGATGCCCTTCGATCGAGATTGTACCTACACAATAAGGTGGAGTTGCGGAGGCTTGCAGCAAGCTCGTGCGTGCCCCTGCGCACTGTGGATGGAACAGGAATTCGAGGGCAACTGACAACGTTAGCCGTTGCCGGTTCGGTGGTCTGTGCAAGATCTTGAAAGTGGGGCTCTGCTTGTGGTTCGTTGGAGCGGGACATACCGCGGCCCCAAATCGCCAGGACCCTTGCTCGAATTAGTCTTGGCAAAATGCGTGCGGCAGGGACTCTGGCCCTTTCCATGGAGTTGCGAATGCAGTGTCCAAACTCAACAAGACTCCCTGGGCTTCCTGAAACAGACTGTAAACACGACGCACCACAGAACGCAGGGACGGTGGTAGGTGACATCAACGTTAGCCAGTCTTCGCCGTACAGAGTAGCTGTGCCATTTATTACCCAACAGTCAGCATTCGCTAGTATCGATACATCCGCGAGTCTCGAGTCCGAGTGCAAGCGACATTGTAAATATGCCATTGTTCGCTGTATTGCATAAACAACGAAGCATGGCAGAGCGCCTTAAGACATTTCATCGGATGGCGGTGGCCAAAGTCAATGTATTCCACTGGGCAGTCTTCCTAACTAACAAGTACCTATCTTGACAGCGCTTCCAGGTCTGCAAACGTCCTTCGTGAGCTTCCTCCTACCAACTATCCCTAACTCCGATTCCCGAGCTTCTTTAATGAGAACATGACAGTGTCTCAACCGCGCCCCTGTACAGCAGTTCGGCCACAAATCCGAGAACAACAAGCCTGGACCTCCATTTCGTATCCCTAACACCAACCCAATTACAAAGCGCAGACATGATGTTCACTTAATATTCTCCTTCGTCTTCCTCCGAATCCCACACCTCCACAGGAGGCGGAGCTCTCCTCACCTCATCAACCAGCAAACTATCGGGCGGCAACAGCATCGCCGCCTGTGGTGACGACCCAACAGGCGGCAACGGCGGCAGCAGGCTCTCGTCTCCCATGTCCGGCAGGTCGGGCAACACGGGCTCATTAGATTCCGGCAAAGGGGGTCTTGGCACCGAGGTCGCGATCACGGACGATCTTTCCGGTGACGATGCGGCAGAGCTTGAGGGAATTGAGATGTCGGATGCTGTCGTTGCTTGGGAAGGGCGCACGACGTTGGAGGTTGAGGTCGCCTTCTTAAGAGTGGAGGGGGTCTGTTGTTGTTGTTGTTGTTGTGGTAGCCGGGCGTCCCGGCTTTGTTGTTGTTGATGCTGCTGCTGGTTTAAGTTATGAATGCGTTGGCTGAAGCGCGGCGGCAGCGCTGCCGGATGGGCCGACGTGCTGTTGTCTGATTTCCGTGAAGCTCCCGAACGGGTCTTCACCGGACTCTGGCTAGCCGGGATTACGTCCTCCTCCCCGGCACGATAATGATGGCCGTCGCTCAACCGCATCTGCGTAGAGTGGACGATGTCGCTGCGAAGCTGCTCCTCCAGCTCCTGCGAGATGGTCACGTCGCCTTCACTATCCTCCTGTCTCTCCTCGCCCTCTTCGGCAAAGAGCGCGCACCGCAGGTTCGCCAACAGCTGTCCCACAATCGCCGGTGGAATGTACCTGTACTTCTGCGGCGGACCGTCTCCCAGTCCGTTGTCCGCCATATCTGCCAGTGGCACCGGATTGTTGAGCTGATATACTTGCTGCAGCTTGTGAGCGAACTTGAAGCCGGATGTGCCCGCGTTGAATTCAGCATTGCCGAGGCCGCTGTTGCTGTCGATTTGTCCGGGCTCTTGGACCGGACCGAGAGTGGCCATGTACTTCACCTCGCCAACGGGACGAGTGATATAGATCCAGCAACGGGAGACCTGAACGGGAAACTTGTAGGCACGGAATTCGTGGTCGCGGGTACCCTTTACAATCTCATCGACAATCTCGGGATGCATCGAAATGAGGATATCTGAACGATCTGTCTGCGGCCCGAGGGTACGAATGATCTCGAGAGGAACACGCTGGCTTTCAAGACCCTGGCTGTAGTACTGGGACCTCTGGGTGTGTCTCTGGTATATCGGCGAAGACTTGTTCTGTGGCTTTCTGGGAGTTTCCTTGTAGACTTCCTCGGCGGTCGACGGCGGGGGAAGTTCCATCCGAACTCTCCGGACGACCGGTGTTGGGGTGCCAGGAGCCTCGCTGTTTGACTTGCTAGACGCTGGCAGCTCAGGTGTCGTACCGCGCTCCTTTTCGGTGGACCTACCGATACGCATCGGGCTCTGGCGAGTCCCCTTCCGAAGGATGGAGGTGGGAATGCGTCCTTCCTGGGTTTTACTGAAGGGGCCTTCCTCCATGTCCTCGTCGCGATTCTGGGAGACATGCTTGAAGGTAACATGCCGGTCACTCGCCGTGCGATGTTGCGATGTGGGTTCCCGAGGAGCCGGGGTCGGTGTGCTTGGCGCCTCTTCGCTGACCATCGGCTCTTCCGGGCCCGGTGACAAGGTAGGAGGCTTGGTGGATGTCCCGCCGGACCTCACCGCGCCGTCAAGATCCGCCGACGACGCCGCCCAAAACTGGGAGGCAGTATTTGGGCTTACCTGGCTCGCCTTGGCAATACTCCCAGCCGTCTGTGATCTCGTCCTTCCCCACGTCGGAGTCGGCGTGCCGGGCTCTTCCGCTTCGCTAGCAGTAGACTCCCCGTCATCCCACACCCTGATCGCAGGCGAGTCGTTCTCCTTGTTCGACGTGCCAGAAGGCACATCGGGAGTTTCTGCAGTCTTGGGCCGAGGGGTTGAAGATTGATCGTGCTGCACCTCCAATTCCCTCGCAGCGCTTATCATCCGCCTCAAGGGCGTGTGTTTCAAGGGCGTCTGCTGCGTAGACCGCGTCTTGAAGGGTGTCGATCTGATACTCTCCAACTCGTCTTCCGAGTCCGGAATTTCCACAAACATCCTCTTCCTCCTTGTAGTTGGCGTCTCCCCAGTTGGGGTCGAACCTAGCCCAAGCTCGAGACTTGCAACAGGTATCGCCGACAGAGGCTCTCTTGAAGTCCTCCGAGACTGCATTCCCTTCTCTTTGGGTGTTTCGGCGGCTGCCGAAGACGAGGGGAGTCCTTCGCTGCTGCCCATGTTATAACTATCCTGGATAACCAGGTTCCGCGGTCGCTTCAAGATTGTCTCTACCGTTGGCGGGGGAGCGTCAAGATTGGTCGACTTTTGGGTCAGCGGCGACCTGTCTGCCGGGGGGATAGGGCTGTAGTGGCGAAACATGGGGGTAAATGGCGACGGTTGAGAGGGCGGCACCTCGTCCAAGTTGACCTTGATACGCTTGCTGCTGGGCGTGTGCGGGCTGTCCGGCGCCAGCAGCTTGGCTTTGCCGCCCTTCACCGGCTCATGTCGCTTGGCAGGCCTTGGTGAGTTACCCGGTAACAGCAGGCCGTCCTGTTCCTCTTCATCATCCACCCTCAGGCCCATCCCGTCCTCGTACTTCGGCGCCGAATTTCCCAGGAATTGCGTCAACGTCTGGGTGTGAAAACTAGACCCCTTTCTCTCCAGCCCAGGCGGAGCGGTAGGCACATCTCCCGTAGTCTTCCTCCTCTTGGATCTTCTCAGGAGTGTCCCAACGTCTTCCGACCCTGGCCCCTTCCCATCCCGTGATGGCGCAGCTTTACTCTCCTGCAGCACCTCGCTTTCTGATTCCTCGCCTTCAGGCTGTGCTGAGGACGTGACATAATCAATCTGTGTCAGCGTCTGCTGCCTGAGGCTTCTCCTCTCTCCATCGCTCCCCAACATTGTGGGAAGGGACCTGCGCTCATATGTCCTTACCACCTTCCGGCGCGGCGGGAAGGTGACTTGCTGAGGGACGGGGGTGGACTCATAGGTTCTGGAGGCGGGCGTGCTGCCTGCATTGCCTGCGCGACTCATTGTGGGTTTAGGTTTTCTTCGGGGTGCCATTTCGCTGGCTTTCCTGATCCAGGCGGTACCGTAAAGTCGATGGTGAAGGTTGATGGATTGCTGCGCGGGTGAGACGAAAGGTGACTACAGAGATGATTACAGCCAGCCGTGACAGGGATATAGGTGATTTCGTCACGACGCCTGTTCTCAGATCGGCACAGTGGGTCGGCTATCCTCGTTCCTCAGCCGAATGTAGCGCCGGTATAGTGCTGAGTCGTAGAGGCAGAGGCGGTCTATTTTGTTTCCGGTCGAATCCAATGCTGGACAGGTGGAGATTGAACCTTGGCTTTCGCTGGAGTCATTAAATGATCATTCAAGGTTGGAAGACGCGTCGGTGACGCGTTAGTGGGGCAGATGGAGCAATGAGAGGTATGTAAGGTAATGCATGTATTATACAATACCGTGCATGGGTATATCGTACGTACAGTACCGTACGGCAATCCACACATCTGTCAGTATCGTAAACATCGGCAAACACTTCAGCGACACGAAAAGCCTATGATCAGATGGAACTGAGCGGCGAAGAATCTTACGCGGTATACTCAGTATTTAACACTAACCAGGCGGCGTGATGCTGTATTTCTCGAGGTTCAATGACACGTACGACTGGATTTAAATGACATCATCGGACCCGGCAGGGTTCCTCGTTCTTCAGTTATTACTCGTGCCCGGACGTACAAGTACAATACACAATTCCTACCACAGTATAACCCAGCAGTCACTACCATATGTAAGGTACTAGGGTGAAGTACCCACCCAGGTTAAGTCAAGTAACCGCGCATCGATTCCCATCGTTTGTCAGTCTAATAAGGTGCCTAATAAGCTAGGTAAGGTAGGTAGGTAAGGTAAGGTGGAGAGAGCAATAGTTCATCGTGTCATTCCCCAACCTCCTGTCCGAAGCCTTCATGTCCACACACAACACAACACAGTAGCAACATCCTATACAACCGCCAGTTTTCCCGGTTTTCATATTTCGCTGCCCTTCACTCCCCATCCGACACTCCTTCCTTCTTCCTGCGCTTAGTACACGTGTATATCAAAAGCGAACCTGGGCTCTGGTGAAGGAAAACAGGTCAAGAACTTTAGTCGGCAGATGTTGATGACCGCCCAAGTTTTCTCCCTGCCATAAAAACTAAACTGCGCCTGAATCCCACCCACCGCGCCAGTCCATGCTGTCCCCTCCCAATTTAATCAAGGTGACGCTGTTCCCGCACGCAGAGGAGCAGGCCGCAAGGAGGTCTTTTCCGTACAAAAAAGAAAGAAAGCGAACACTCGAACTAAGTACATTGATCTTTAAGGGCAAATGCCAAGGACCCCTCGTGAGTCCCCTCAAGATAGGTGGAATGCCCCCTGGCCCTCCTTGATGGCGGTGAAAAGCCGCTTCCTCAGGATATCGATGCTCGAGTAGTCGGGCAGTTTGAGGTAGTTAACACACGTCATGACGCTAGGGAGATAATCATCTGAAGTGTATGGCGCCTCGCTCGGTTTGCAAACCACCGTGAACATCGGCGTTAGCTTCTTGAAACCTGCGAGTTTGAACTGTCAGCTATTTTATGGCCGTTGGTGAATTGAGCTGGGGAAAGGGAACCATACCGCCAATAGGGAGCTTCGGGCTACCCGTTGTGAATTGCAGGAAGTCACGGCGTTGAGTTGGAGTGAACTCGCTCATGGCCTGCAACAGATTCTTGACTGTCTTGCTGTCCATGTTGTACCCGTGGTCCGCCTTGACCGAGTCCATGAGGGCTAAGATCGGAGTCAGTACAGTTTCGGCAAATGTGGAACTACAGGACGGGACCAGCTTACTCTCGAGCGACCAATCCTCCTCCACCCGTCCAAAGAGCGTACAGAGCTCATCCGGCGTAAAGGCACTCAGTGCCGAGTATGGGAACACCTGCGAGAAGCCCGTGCGGAAGGCATCTACCTGCCGTCGAACTCCGCTTCCCAGAGTCATGTCGATAACCTTCTCCAGATAGAGATCAACGTTGTGAATGGACACCTGTGTTTGAGACCCCTTGGGGATGAGTTCAATCTCCGGGTATCCGGGCAAGGTGAAGTCAAGATACAGGTCGTCGATCCGGATCTTATCCACCACGATGTTCTCGGTATCAATAACCTTCTGTGCGGCTGTGCGGCTCGGATCCTCGTCAATGACCTTCTTCGCCAGAGCGAACTTCTTGACTGTCATGAGCGACCTCGCAATGACCGGATCCACAGACTTGACCGCACCGAGAGACGGACGCACAGCGGCAGACTCGTCGCCAATGCGGAAGAATATGGGATTGAAGTTGATATCAATGATGCGGGAGTCGATCATGGACCGAGCGACAAACTTGCCGAGTATCTTGAACAGCTGAAGGATCTTCTCCCCTTCTTCCGACGCTGCAAACTCCTCGCTGAGCGGCCGGGGGAAGAGACCGTTGGACCCAGAGACAAACTCATCGTCACCGTTGGGGTCATTGTCCCGCCAGAGCTTGAGCTTTTTCTTACAGAACTCCTTGGACACGGTCGAATAGAACTCCAGTGTAGGCCCCAGTCCAGTACCGACTTCGTCAAAATACTCGACCTCGAGGATACTCTGTGAAGCGCCATATAGGTCCATGACCTTCACGGCTGACTCCAGGATCTTCGACCGAGAAATACGGACCTTCTGGCGCTGTAGGCGGCCGAGGAAGGGCCTATCGTCTCGACGGTCCCTCCGGGCTTCCTCCTGAGACTGAGCATTCTGCCAACGACTCATGGATCTCGCATAGCCAAACGACGTGGACTGTAGGAAGAGATGGCGCGTCTCAAAGGGGAACAGGAAGGGATACAGTCTCGCCAAATCCTCACTCCAACTGGGAAGGCAGTTGCTCGCCACGATTAGCGGTTCCTCCAGCTGCCGGTTCAGCTTCGCAGTCAGCTTGGTGTTGACGAATTGCGACAAGGGCTCGACGTTGACCCTGAGCGTCTCCTTGTTCTCCACAAGGACATCGTCGATATTGGCGTTGAGATCATGCAGTTTCTTCAGCAACCGCAGAATCGACGAGGTAACGGGGAACTTGGACAGGGATACAGGGGCACCGCCATCTTCGCCCTCGGTTCCTGTATCCGCCGTGCTCCCGAAGGCCGAAGGCTCGGCGGGAGGAGGGCCTGGAACGCGCTTGAACTTGATAGGATGCACCGTTGACCAAATGTTCCGTCCAGAGCTGTCCTCGGTCGTCTTTGCAGAACTATGCACAGCTCGGTAGATGGTAGTCTCATTGGGAATGACCTTGCCGTCAATGCTGAACTCGATATGCCAATCTTGAGGGACCGACTGGATCGCCGCGGCATACGACATCGGCATTGCGGACGCCGGGGGCGTCGGCGATCCTTGCAAAGCCGCCGTCAACGCGCTTGTACGGCTAGGTAAGGCAGCCGCCGGCCGATTCTGGCTCTGAGACGGCGTTGGCACCCTCGTTCCATCCTCTTTGCGGGCCGTAACCTTGCCTCCAGCTGCAACCTCCAGGTTGACAGCAGATGGGTCAGGCGTCGGTGCGTCCGACATTCCTGCATCGACGTCACGCACCATATCGAGCGCGCTGCCATCATCCATCTCCTCATCATCCGACAGCTGCTTCTCGTCAGCACACTCCAGCGTATTCCCAACATTGTCCTCGTCGTCGGGCGGGGGACGCGAGGGGATGCCCTCCGACACCGCTTGGCGGCGCAACGACCGCCGCAGCGTCACCTTTCCCCTTGAAGACGATGCTTGCGGCGTCGCCGGAGCGTCATTACCCGGCTGCAGTTTAATCTTGTGCTTCCGCGCCGATCGGGAGCCAGATGATTGAGAAGAGGCGGCAGCAGGAGGCGGAGGAGGAGGAGGAGGAGGAGGTGCCGGGTTTGAAAAGCCCGATGGCGGTAGCGATCGCTCCATGAGCCTGGCCGCTGCAGCGCTCACGGGAAGGCCCGAGCTCGCCATGGCAGCCAACGCACGTGAAACCGCGTCCCTCTTAGAGCCACGGGGCCGGTCAGAGAGGCTGATCCGTGGCCTTAGGTAGTCGTCGAGAGACTTGAAAGTGGTGATGGCATGGATTGAGACCATGATGTTCCGGTAGTGCCAGGGAATGTCAGACTCTTCATCAGCCACCAGCTTAAGGCGAATCTGCTTCGCAAGCATGGAAGCCGCGCTGCTCCGGTTGCTGTCGAAAGAATGGTGGTGAACCGTGACAACCTCGAAGTGTTCGGACCTGCTGAGCAGATCCTGAAGCTTGTGGACCAGCACGCTCAGAGGCGTGGCGGGCGAGTCGGCCGTAGCGGTCTTGGGCTTCGACTTGACGGTGTATCCCATAAACACCTGGAGGAATGCCGACTGCGCTGCAACGGCCAGCTGTTCATCAGGGTTGCTCAAGACTTCCTCAAGAACACGCACGATGCTCGATGCGAGCAGTTCGGCGCTGGTAACACTCTCCAATACGTCCGAGTCGAAGTAAGACGCCAGTCTCTTGAAGAGCTCTACGCCGTCCTCAAGCGCATGGTGCGACGGGAAGCTGCGGAGGAGGTAGAAGTTCTCGATATCGGATGCCAGGGCTGACAGGTTGTCAAGGATCTCAGTCGCCTTCTTCTTCATAGCCGTTCCTTCCTTTTCGTTTTCGTGCACTTCGAGAAACTTCTTGGCGAATACACTAATCTTGGTCTTCATGGACGGGGGATTCAAGCCTATATGACCAGGAGGTCCCGCAACCGACATGGTTGAACCCTCAGAACTAACTGGAGAAGGCGATATACCATCCCTACTTCGGTCATCTTCGTGGTCGTCATGCTCATGTTCTTCATCTTCGTCGTCCGAAGAGTGATGAGAATGATCTCCGTCCTCTTCGTCACCATCATCGTTCTCTTCCTCGTCCTCCGCGTGGGACTCGTCGGGGTCAGAATGGCGGTCTGCCGGCTCCGCAGACGACCTGTTCTCGGCCTCCGGCTCAGCCTCGGTTTCGGGCTCACCGGTTGCTTCCGGTGACTCCTCGCCAAAAGACTTCGATTCCGGCTCCGGTTCTTGGGTTGCGAGTTTAGTGATTTCAGCAATCACGCCCTCACGGTAGAGCTGGTAACGGTACACATCTGGCAGTCGCCTCATCAGCAACTCGACGGCGTGTATAGCGAACATGACCAATGTAGGATCATCCTGTTGTAAGATAATCGAGGCCAGGAACGACGCGAAAGAGACCGGCTTCAGGGCATCAACGAGTATCTCCTTATCCAGGTTCGAGAGCATCTTGAGTTGAGCCATCAACACCTTTTGTCGGACATTTAAGTTGACAGTGCTGGAGTACGCGTCGGTGAGCGTGGGGAAGAGAATCATAGAGAACCTCCGTACTTCTTCCTTGCAGTTCTCTAAGAGCTCAATCCGCTTCTCGTTTGTCGTCTTCCGACGGGGACTCAGTGAGGATGATGTCACAGGCTCAGAGGTCGAGCTGATCTCGAGGAGATGCTCGCCGGTGGGACTCGCCGGTCTTTGAACGCTGGGAAGGAGCTCGCAGATGACGTTGAGTGTCTCGAGGATCTGATCGCGCGGCCGGTGGATAAGGGCTTGCATAATGAGCACGCTGTCGAGCTTTGAGCCGAGATCCTCGGTGCCGCTTGGGGGAGAGACCCCTGTTAGGATCTGGTAAAGCGTCTCAACGACGTTGGCCTTGAAGAGCTCAGCTGACAGGCGGGGGCTGGCACGCGCCGCAAACGCAAGCACGCGAAGGAACTGGGTGTGGATGTGAGGCCCGATAAGATTGGTCGTTCCAGGAAGGAGGAGGCGGAGAATAGCCTTCAGCAGATCGACGCTGATGAGCTCCTCAAGCTTGTGCGGGTGGAACTTGAAGCTCTCAACAATACGCGTGACGCAGAGTGAGCCTTGTTCGACAACCTTTTGGTCGTTGCTCCCAAGAACATTGAGCAAGATCGGCATGACATCTCGGACGACGGGGAAAGACTCTTGGTCGAGATTACGGCAGCAGTTCGCGGCGGTAGTGACTGCCACCCGCTGCGTGCCAGTTGCGAAGAACTCCAGGTAAGAGAGACACGCAGTTAGGCCGCCTTCACGGACGATACTCGAAGGGTACTCGATTGAGATTTTCTCCAGCGTGCTGAGCGCTTGTTCCGCAAGATCGATGAAGGAGATCTCGAGCAACTTCTGGCAGAGGATAGGGACCGCGTGACCGTAGACAACATTTGACGTGCTGGCCGGCAGGGCTTCCATTAGGTTGGCGAGACAGCGGCACGCCAAAAGCATGATCTCTGGGTTCTCCTCTCCTGTGATCTCGTTTGGCTGCATCAAGGCGACCAGCTCCTTCACCAATGCATCCGGCGAGAAATGTCCCGAGAGCGTGTCCTCGTTGGAAATCAGCAAGAGCTCCGAGAGCTCCTGCAGTGCGATGAGCTGCATTGTAGGATCATCCTTCTGTCGAAGATTGTTCAAAATCTCTCGAAGCCTGGATGCGGTGCTCGACACCATGCCAGTCAGCGTCCGGAGGGTGCTGCTGAGACCAGGTACCGGACCACCCGGACCACCGAAGCCGCTGAACGGGTCAACGTCGCCGTCATCGTACCGCTGCAATGCTTCCTCATCCTCGTCGTCATCCTCTTCATTCTCGTCACTGTCTTCCGGGTATCTATCCTCCTCGGCTGGGGGCGGCGGTGGCGGCTGAGTCGCGGAGGCCTTCTCAAGTCCCGAGGCTTTCTCATGTTCGTCAGTGCCACTCATGACAACATCCTGATCTTGGGCGTCGTTGGCCACTCGTTTCGATCGTCGACTCGAGCTGGGAGCTGCAGGGACAGAGGCTTCATCTATTGCCAGTTGAGTAAACCCCTGAACAAGGCGGCGTGGAGATGGCAAGGGCGTACCACGAGAAGTCTGGGGCTGCTTCTTGGTTCTGCTGGATCGTCGGCTAGACGATGCCGAAGGCGGAAGAGAAGGGCCAGCATGACCTGCTGGGGTTCTGCGGCGATAGTTAGCATTGGATCCAACGATAACGGGATAGCACCGGGGATCGACGTACCCTGGACTTGACATAGTCGCGGGAGCCTTGCCCAACCTGCGGCGTGATGCTGTGGACGGAGTCGGAGCTGGGTCCGCAGGTTGCTGGGGCTGCGGTGATGCCTGTGTCACTCGTTGTCGCTTTGACCTCCGGACTGATGATGGCGATTCTGTGGCAACCGGTGCCGGGCTAGCGGTATTGTTCTTGCGCTTCCGCGTACTCGGTCCCGGTGTTGGGGTCAGTGGGATCGGTGCCTGGGCTGCTGCGGAAGGCGTAGAGACCGCGGCGGCGACGGTCGGGTTGGAGGATGCTGCTTGACTCGCTGCTTGGCTCGCTGCTTGACGGGCGGACGAGCGGGTGACCCTGGACGACATGAGTAAATACTGTGTTCAAGGCCTACCAGTCATGTGGTGGAGGGAGTTGTGAAGGAAATCTTGAACGGCAAAATCATTGAAGATTTTTGTTGGCAGTCCTAGTAAGAAAGGTCGTGGCCGCCGACTTCTCGGTTGCAGAACACACAAACATTCGTCGAGCCTGTATGTGGGGCACTGCGGTCGACTCGAGCTTCACCCGTTCGTGGTGACTGACGACAAACCCAGCTGCAACGAACAACTAGCCGACGAATGGCATAAAAATGCCGCCGTAGAGTCCAGTATCTTCCTCCCTTGTTTGACTATACGTTTCTGCAAAGCCTGGTTATCCTTGGCGAGCACCCGGGTTTCGGAGCAACGGTCGGTGTGCGGCTTGGATTGCTCATCGGACACAGACGCAACAAACGGTTGAAGCCCGAGTCTCGGATTTTTATGGGTGACGCAGGTGCAGCACGGAGGTAAAAAGTAAACGGGCAGGAGGTATGCAATGAACGCAGGGAAAGGTGGTACCTTGCAGACGAGGACGGTCGAAAAGAGGCAGGAGCAGCGGTTGATGATCGGGTCGAAGGTTGGTTAAGATGTCGTTGAGAGGCAGTCGCGGCTGGTGATGACAACGGAGGCAGGCGCGCTGGGTCGTTATCGAAAGCCGATCTGGACCGCTGAATTGCAGAGCGTCGTTCTGCCATGGATTACGCCATCGGGAGGCAGGCAGGCGGCGGTTCGGATGGTAGACGGGTCGGCTGACAAAACGGATCACTCATGGAACAGATTACCGACGGCCAGATACGTTGATTGAGTGTCGGCGTTTACTGCGTTCAGATGAAGTCGACGGTGGCAAGCCTGATCAGGCAGAAGGTGCAGGCGGTTGGTTGGCTAGTGGAGATGCTTGAAGCGTTGGTGAAGCCGACGACGGACGGATTGGACGCTCTGACGCTGCATCCGCTGCTGCATTCACTCTCGGCGCCCGCTTGTGGTTGGCGGGCCATGCCCCACAGTGAAATACATGAGGTAATAACGGTACAAGTACTGTACGGTTGAATACTGTACAAGTACAGATTAGCCTACTCCATTCTTACGGAGGTTCTCTATTCAGGAAGTTACCGTCTCTTCAATGAATCGTCTAGGTAAGGTAGTGCTCTTATTCGCGGCCCCCAGATTCTATCGGTCACCAATGGCACCTAGGTAGTTATCGCATTTGGTAACTGAAAGACGATGCTATATTGATATTCGCGTGTTCGGCAGAGGGTAGTGTCATCCGTCTTTGAAAGTTGAAAGCCTTGTCCCCGAAATCATGAGTTTTCCAAGAAGATAGGGCGGATCTCTCAACTTCCGACTACTAGTAGATGGACGAAATAAGGGTTTCTACACTCCGAATCGAAGAGCTGTCAGCCGAGTTGGGCTAACAGCATACAATCCCGATTAGAATAGGAAACCCTCAATCCCTCTGAGGATTGGGCCTCCATTTCATTATATTATATCTCCTGATCTTGCCCATAGCGAAGGATTCATGCATCTGCACGGCCAAGCGCTCGCCAACCACCAAGTTCAACATCTGCAAGGGCAGCCAACATGTGAACCCAGGCCAATCCACATATGTGACTCATTGCAATTCTTACTCCGACATCCTCGCCTCCACTACAAGTTTACGCAACTACCCAGCGATACAGCGTCTGGGGCTCAGGTGCCCGCCGTCTAGGTGATTTTCGCATCACGTAGTACTTTCATTCTTTGCCATGGCGTCGTCAAAGACCTCGTCTTTATCAAGGCTTCAATCATACTTGGAACAGCTTGGGGTTGAGGTTCCGGCTCCAATCTTCGAGTCTTCCCATCCCGTCCACAACCCTAACGATATCTATCGTTCGTACATTGCAGCTGCACTCGAAAGGCTGCTTGACTGTGACCGAACTCTACTCTACGACTCTCTACAACGGACCTCCACTCCGTCCAAGGGAGACTTAGTACTCGTGCTGCCTCAGTTGAGAGTGAAGGGTACCAAACCTGATAATTTGGGTGTCTAGTTGGCTTCCAAGGTATAGGGGCTTCCCATCTTTCCAGGGCCGCCTTCTCGGCAGATCTATGGCGATACAGGGCCGTATCTGCAGTACTGTCACGCACGGCTCTGTTCCATCTCCAGGAAGGCAAAGCTTGCTGGAATCGACCCTACTGATGGGCAGATCGACTATTCTTATCTCGAGGACATCCATTCTGCTTGCTTGCTTCAGATTATAGCCCAGTACCCGGATGTGGTTAGCACCGCTTTCAAGAACTTGGAGCCATCCACGATGTTGGCCTATCTGTTTCGCCTCGCTCATCAGCTTTCTTCGAGCTATGATGTGCTTCAGGTACTCGGGGCGCCGGAAAGACATGTTGCAGCTCTGGCCCGAGCGGCGTTGTACGATAATATGCCCGTCTGGTTCTGGGCAATGGAATGCGGTTGCTCGGTACCAAACCCGTGGATAGGCAAGATTTCCCAACATGGCTCATTGTTAACAAACTACTAACAGAGATTAGGATTTGAGGTTTCCCCCGTAGTCCCAGCTCTATCAGCTTGGTGGTTGTTTGCTGTCTATGTTTCTCATCCAACTGTGCAGGACCGCAACAACGGTCATCGAATACCTATTGTACAAGTAGCATCATTTGAGGACTCGAGATTCCTGGGTTGCTCCGTTTCGCCTTTTCCAGACACGGCTTCAATCGCTACGAGGTCATTTTTCTCCCGGATCATTTAGTCCGAATGCAAACAATGTCTCTAATCATCTAATGTGCTGATCTTGGACCATTGTAGTCTCTCGAAAACTTGGGTGTTGGAACCGCGCTAAAGCACTACTATACTCAACACTCCCGAGGTAGGGCGCCATTTCGTATAGCTGCCTGTAATCATACAGAAGATCCTGACACGCACGAGATAGGTCATAGGTGCCCTTTCGTAGTACTGACCGGTATGACTTCGCCGGTGGAAATGGGGCTGGGACGCTGCAATTTTTCAAGCTGACAGTGCACACTCTCAGTGATCGCAATGCAATAACATGATGGCAAAGGCCGTAGCACGATAATGTCTGTTGTGAAATAATTGCGAGTGCATCGTCAGTCACGATTCTTGTTCTACCTACTACCTATTTTAAACCAACAAGGGCTTTATGCCATGATGGTGTTGATGGAGGGGGAATGCGGGGGGTGGAGAACCCCAGAAAAACCCCTGAGCGCCAAGAATCACTCACCCGCCGGCTTGCGTCGGCATAGGTGACGTCGTCGGCCCCCGGCATCCTTCCAGCTGACCTATCTTCGTTTCCGTGCTGACGGGACGCCCTCGGCCAACGCCTTCTCCTTCCTTCTATGGAGGCAACGGGATGAGTTGTGAAGATATACGAATTCCTCCTTGAACGTTGATTGCCCCTCCGTGTTCTCCTACCCCGAAAGAATGAAGAGGTTTCGCCTTTCTAAGCCTCGAACGGCCTTGTTGCGCTGCGACGGCCCGCAGCACGCCTCCTCTCGATCTACACTGACCGCCTTGAGATTGCCAAATTTCGCAAGCCAGCGGCAGCACACCAGACATGCCGGGTCGATCTCGCACGCAACGCCCAGACTCCAAACATGTCATGTTCCCCGGGGCGGTCAAGTCCGCCTTCAGCTACAAGATGCGCTTCGAGCAGCCGTCGACATACCCGGCATTGCCGACATACCGTGTCGTCGACCAGAATGGTGCCGTGGTAGATCCGGACTTTGTGCCCGACCTCAGCGATGAAGAGGTGATCAAGCTGTATCGCGACATGCTCACCATGTCCATCATGGACCTGATTATGTTTGACGCGCAGCGTCAGGGTCGTCTTAGTTTCTACATGGTGTCGGCCGGCGAGGAGGCTGTGTCGGTGGGGACGGCGTCGGCTCTGGCCAAGGAGGATGTTGTGTTCTGCCAGTACCGCGAGCAGGGGGTATTCAAACAGCGCGGATTCACCCTCAACGACTTTATGAACCAGTTATTTGCGAACCAGAAGGATCCGGGAAAGGGCAGGAACATGCCGGTGCACTACGGCAGTAGGGAGTTGAACATCGTAAGGCGATTTCCCAGACAAATACGACGTGATTGCGCTCGCTGACTCTGTGGTTGCAGCACACTATTTCCTCCCCGCTGGCGACTCAGCTTCCGCAGGCTTCTGGAGCTGCTTATGCGCTCAAGATCCAGAGGATGCAGGACCCCAGCATACCTCCGAGGGTGGTAGCCGCGTATTTCGGCGAGGGCGCGGCCAGCGAGGGCGACTTCCATGCCGCCTTGAACATCGCCGCGACACGGTCTTGCCCCGTCATCTTCATCTGCCGCAACAACGGTTACGCCATCTCCACACCGACGTTAGAGCAGTACCGCGGTGATGGCATTGCGAGCAGGGGTCTGGGCTACGGCATTGAGACGATACGCGTCGACGGCAACGACTTCTGGGCGGTCCGGGAAGCGATGAAGAAGGCGCGAGAGCTGGCGTTGCAGGACGGCGGCAAGCCGGTCCTCATCGAGGCGATGACCTACCGTGTCAGCCATCACAGCACGTCCGACGACTCGTTTGCCTACCGCGCGAAGGTGGAGGTGGAGGATTGGAAGAGGCGAGATAACCCCATCGCTAGGCTGCGCAAATGGATGGAGGCCAAAGGGTGTTGGGACGAAAACAAGGAGAAGGAGGCGCGGGAGAGCATCCGGCGAGATGTGCTCAAGGCCTTCTCCGAGGCCGAGCGAGAGAAGAAGCCGCCAATCCGGACCATGTTCGAAGATGTGTACGAGGAGCTGACGCCGGACTTGAGGAAGCAGATGAAGGAGCTGAAAAGTCAGATAGAAAGATACCCCGAGGAGTACGATCTGGGCGAGTTCGAGGGCGGGAAGGAGAGTTTAGACAAATAGCGAGCGAGCGAGCGAGCAACTTGATCCGGGTTAGGTGTGCGGCTTGATGCTCCGTCATGCGGCTTGATGCCCCGTAGTGCGGCTTAAACTACCTGCGACGTGTATGGCCGCACCGGAGCAGCACGCCGAGAACCTGAGCCGCCGACTTCTTCACGCATCGTGAACTTTGCTAAACTACGGAATCTGAAGGATCCCATCCTGCTTTGGTTCCGAACAAACAGCCCGCAACCTACCTGCATCAGCGCGAATAAGCGGAAAAGTACAAGGTCAACGATCCAAATCTTCATTGCCTGCGCCCAGAGACACCATGAACAGCCACTTCGTCATCGCCTTACTGGTGTTCTTGGTCCTGACTATAATTGTCATTCTGGCCTACTTCGGCATAGGTTACGTCAGAGGCGTCGCCGCCGCTAGGTCTACCGAGCAGGCTGGACGCGGTCGGGACGTCGAGCTGCAGTAAATCACCAGGTATGTAATGACTTCCGAATGGACGGTGTCGCGGCGTACCGGTGGGCCCGAGATGGGAGTTGTCCCCACGGTTGCGCGGCTTGGCGCTTCCCAGACCCGCAAACAGGGCTGAGGATGCAGGGGTGGCCGGCAAACCAAGCCACACGAAGCCACGGACAACAGCCACACTACCCCTGACGACCCGATTTTTCGGTTCCCATTCCAGACTCCAGAGCACGCATGAGCTGATATCGAATTCCCTCCAGACACGGTCCCAGAGCTGCATCGGTGCCGGGAGCTGCTCAACATGGCAGCCCGAACAGCTCTGCGAAGGGCGCTCCCATACTTGCGGAGCGCCGTAACAAACCCGGGGCAACAGCTACGACATACACGATCCCTTTCCACAACCCTTCCATATCTCACTCCGAATGTCTCTTCCTCGACGTCCTCATCCTCGTCCGCCCCGCCGGAATATGCGATCCCAGACCCGTCACGGCCAACCCACTTTGGCTTTGAAACAGTAACAGAAGGCGAGAAGCGGGAGCGTGTGGCGGGCGTCTTCACCAGCGTGGCCGAGTCATATGATCGCATGAACGACCTGATGTCCTTTGGCTGGCACCGAGTGTGGAAGTGCGTATCCCCGCTCCGCCCCCTTCCTCCCCGCCGGCCTCCCCAACCAAAGCAGCCTAGAACTGACCTCACCACCCCCCCAAGGGACCACTTCGTCGCCTCGCTCAACCCAGGCTTCTCTCCGCTCACCCCAGGACCCGACCCGCGCGGGCCCCAGCACATCCTCGACATCGCCGGCGGCACGGGCGACATCGCCTTCCGGCTGCTGCATACGGCGCATGTGGTCAACGCCAACCCGTCCGTGCGCGTGACCATCTCCGACATCAACCGCGCCATGCTCACGGTAGGCAAGCAGCGCTCGGCCTCGCTGCCGGCGTCGCAACAAGCGGCGCTGACCTTCGTGGAAGCCAACGCCGAGGACCTCACCAAGACCCGCCCGCTGCACCCGTACCCGTCCGCTTCCGAGCCGACCTCGCACGATGCGCAGGGCAAGGAAGAGCAAGCCTTCTTCGACCCGGCCACCGCCACCGCCGAGATCCCGGACAGCTCGGTCGACCTGTACACGGTGGCCTTCGGCATCCGCAACTTCAGCAACATCCCCGCCGCTCTCCGCGAGGCGCACCGCGTGCTCAAGCCGGGCGGCGTCTTCGCCTGCCTCGAGTTCAGCAAGGCCGACAAGCACCCGCTCTTCAACGCGCTCTACAAGGAGTGGTCGTTCCGGGCCATCCCGCTGATCGGCCAGCTGGTCGCGGCCGACCGGGACAGCTACCAGTACCTCGTCGAGAGCATCGAGCGGTTCCCATCGCAGGAAGAGTTCCGCGACATGATTGTCGATGCCGGGTTCGTTGTGGCGGGGCAAGGGTTTGAGGACCTGACCGGTGGTGTGGCGGCTATCCACAAGGGGATGAAGCCTAGGGCTTGATGAACCGCATCAGCACCAAGGGGTAGAAGGGCCGGTCGAAGGGATGAATGAATTTACTGGGACGAGGAACCATGTTTCCTTCCCTTCGAGAGGCAACTCTTCTCAGTCCAAGTCCAAGATGGCACTACTAGCCAGCCTCTGCTACAACACGGAGGCCGGATGGTTCCCAGCATAGAGGGCAGAAGGGGATGATGGATTGTAAAGAAGAGAAGAAACCTGTACATGTACTTTTACTTGTACCATATCTACCTATCTGGTACTACTCAGAGCTTGAGCAAGGCGTACTGCTCATTCGACGCTGGGAAACAAAGCGTCTTGATAGTAAGACGATAACCGGCAGATCGAGGCCCATTCCTGTCCCATAGTAGGTATCGATCCCTCAGGAAACGGTTCACCCACACATAAGACGGCATCAGAGAAGCAGCACTCGGTAAAAACATCTACTTCACTACCACCCTCGAGACCTGACTTCCCCCATCGAGAGTGAAGCTGAGGGATACTACCTAGCTAGTGCTGCGTAGCCGTAGTGTTGTTGTAGTTACCAGAATCGGGCAAAAGCGAACAACCAACAAAATCCCCTCTAGAACTCCCTTCCTTGCCAAAGCGCAGTATCAGATCCTGAGAAAGTCAAGACCCCCTGGATTTGCTTCTTTTCCGACCCCCGTTTGTGCATTACCTCCCAAAGCAAAAGAAGCGACCCCATCCAGATTCCGCCCTTTGCCGAGAAGAGAAGGGGAAAGTAGAAACAGGAAAAGAAAGAAAAAACAATCCCTTGCCGGAAAGAAAACCGCACGGGATATTGCGACATCGGAGCTGATTGTTGGTGTAATCGTTTCGGAGCCGGGAAGCAAGCCGGCGCTCGGGAGGTTAAATCGGTTCGTATGGTGTAGAGCGAGATCGCGGGTATTAGGCTGCTGCAGATAATGCTAGCTGGAGGAGCTAGTCGCGTCTGCAGCTGATACGCATCTCTTCCGCACCTTCAGCTCAAGTTCAAACTCGGCTCCACTAGGAGTCGACTGGAGGAGCAGGGCTTGCGCCGCCGCCTTCGCCGCCCCGACCGCCCCTCTGGCCCCGACCGCGACCGCGCTCACCACCACGTCCACCACGTCCACCTCCGCGTCCACCGCGGCGCCCGGCACCTTCGCTGTCACTGGCACCTCCGCCGCCGGCGCTCCGGTATCCGCTCTGGGCATTGCCATCTCTTCCACCCCGGCTGCTTCCCCAGTTACCCGCACCGCCCCGCGAGTACTGACGCGGGGGAGGCGGCGAGAAGACCTTGACGAGAGGCTTCGACCGATCTTCCTGCCCTGGGGCGCGGTTTTTCACTTCATCAGGCAGACGCTCCATCGCAGCGTCCCGATCCTCGGCCGTCTTGAACTCCGCCACTTTGTTCGCGCCCCACCGAATAATCTTGACAATCTTGGCCTTGTCCTCCTCAGCAAACAGATCCCGCACCTGCTCATCGCTCTGCGCATTCATAATGAACAGGCCGATTATGTTTTCAGCTGGGGTTTTAGGTGCCGGAGACGGCGCCGTCTCGGGCGCGGCAACAGCTCCGTTAGCGGCAGCAGGCGCTGATTTCTCCTCCTTGGGCGCTGGTGAAGCAGCAGACGGAGGTTGTGGGGTGGCGGGCTTGGCCGGCGCCGGAACAGGGGTCGGCACGGCGGGCTTGGCCGGCTGCGTAGGAGCAGCAGCTCTCGCGGGAGCAGCGGGAGCAGTCGCAGGAGGGGCCGTAGGACCTGTGGCAGCGGCGGGGCTAGCGCCGGAGGCGACAGGGGCGGGTGGCACGCCAACTTGCTGCTTCGCTCCTCGGTGAGAGAAGTTGAATCCCTGAGCACGCATCTCTGTACCGATTCTGCCATCCTGAATCTCCAGGACAAGCCAGCCGAAGGTTGCATCTGCAAGATTGAAGTTCCACATGTTTTTAAACGCGCTTTCGTCCACCTGGCCCAGGGCTGACCCCGACTGGCCAGCAGCCGCGCCACCAAAAGGGTTGCCGCCCGCCGCAGTCGTGGGCATTTTCTCAACAACACTTAACGCATTCTTCAGCAAAACCTGCTGAGCCTCGTTCTGCTGAATGGCCGGCTCAACCTCGCCTTTGACGGTCTCCCACACATCGTTGAAGGACGCCTTCGACGCTGCGAGCTTGCCACGGTAGTGGTCAAGGGTGGGGTTGACGCTAAATTCGTTGTACGAGCTTCCGTATCGAAAGTGAAGGCCTGCCGAAATCGAGAAATCCGCCTTGAGAGTGACCGAGAGCTGGTTCAAGATACCCTCACGAGCCGGCGAGGCGTGCGTGATGAAGATCCGGGTTTCGCTGGGGTCGTAAACGCGGTTCGCGGTATCGACGAGTTCGCCCATCTGCAACAAAGTTGTCCACATGGTTCCCTGGCCGCCAGCGATAGTTGTCCTGCCCTCACCGTTATCGAAGAGCTTGTGCATGACCACAGCACCACCCAAGCCTAGAAGGCGGAGCTTCACACCACCAACCTCCAGCAGCATAGACTGCGCTTCGTCGATGATGTACAGGTTCGGCACTTTGTACTCCTTCGATCGGAACTTTTCCAGCACCCGCACGTCCTCACAGGCACCCCACACCGTGTAGACAGGAACGTCTAGCTTCAGCTCGCCGCTGATGAGCTGGGGAAGCTCTGAGAGCGGGAGCTCGCTGGCGGGAAATCGCTGCTTGACGGGCCCGGGAACGCCTTGGGCGATGGCCTTCTTCGTGGGTTCGGAGATCAGTGGGGAGTATTGCGCGACATGTTTGAGAGTCCTAATGCGATCATGGTCAGCAGGTGTGTGTTCACAAAACAACACCAAATGCTGACTCACTTTTCGGCGATCCGATCTAGAGATGTTTCATCATAAAAGCCAAAATCGCCGGTGTGGATGATGTAGTCGGCACGCGCCAACTTTGCGAATTCGTTAAGCGACCGGAGGTTACCTATGTGCCGTCAGCAAACAGACGCTGCGTAGGCTACTGGACGCCAGCGGTTCGAACCTCGGACATCTGCGATGCAGAGAACTCTAATGGGACCGGTCTGGATAACACGTCCCTGGTTTGGGAGCAGAGGGGCGGCTCCCGGAACCGGGCCGGTTTGGTGAGGTACGGCGCCGTTAGCCATGTAGCCGGGGTGGCCGTATGAGTTACGTGATTGCTTGCATCAAGTCAGCATCTTTTGAAGATATTCTGGCTAAGCGAGACAGAGGAGCATCTCCCCCGCCAATGTGATTGTGTGATAACGATGCTGAAGCAAACTACAAATGCGACGACAGGGTGGAGGAAAAGGAGGCAAAGCTAAGCATACCGAAGCCATGCCTCGAGCTGACTAGATCCGCAAGCTGTCTGTAAGGCGGGCAGGGAATAGGAAGCCGGTATCGAGGAATTCTGGGAAGCTGAAAGAATCCAGCAGGCGCAACCAAGTTGGCAAATACAACCGAACGAGCCGGCGCGACCGGAGATGGGTATCAAAAAAGAGAAAGTGCCACTGAGGCAACTTTGAATCAAGAGGGACACGAGGAGTAGAAGTGCGCCGCCGATGCGTGGGACGGAGGAAGTGTGTTGATTAAGTCGGTTTGGTGATTGAAGATTTTCGGAGATCACCCAGCACTGCTGCACCTGCGAATCGGAATGGCTGATGGCAGCCTGAGCTCAAGAAGTGCGCCGCGCACTTGGGGAGGTTATGTGCGCTTAGCCTTTTACGGTTTAGCGCGCTCTTTGAGCCCAGACCTTACGTAGCGTACTGTGCAATGAATGGCAAACGGGCAGGGTCACCAACACTACTTACCGACAAGAAGAGGTCGTAGTATATCAGATGCGTGGGCCATATCACCGGATTGCACACAGTGTGTGAAATAACGCATGCCCACTTCCTTGGGCAGGAGCTGTCACAATCGCCACAGACGGTGCATTGGTGACCACCATATTAAAAGGCGCACAGTATGCGCCACCATACTCATGACGAAGTGGTGCTGAATGGCTTGACTTCACGCCTGGCTGGTGACAAACCAAGAACGGCGTTTCTCCTTCCATGGAGTCATCGACTGCCTTCTCCTAGGCGAGCACGTGGCGAGCCCGCCCTTCTCTGACTTCATCATCCCCGTCATCCTCTCAACCACAAGCTGCCACAGGACTCAACTGACGTAACCATATTGGTCAAATCCGTCTTCTCCTCAATAGTGCCGAACACTGGGAGGTCGATGTGGCGGGATGATTTCATCTGTTTGCCGGGCTGGTATCATGTTAGGTATCATCATCATCATCAAGGATCTTGGCATTCGCCGTCGTTTCAATTGACATACGGCTCAAAGCCCCAAAGTATCGATTTCATTATCGCCCAAGGTTAGGGGGAAGTTGGGGATCGGCTTCTCGATCACTAGGTGCTAAGGTAGAGAGAACTGACACTCGACTGAGTCGACTCTGCCGTCTGGCATCCGAGTCCTAATGACGTTACCATTCCTTAGGTCTATTTTTTAAATTGTGCTTTGCTGCTGATGAAGCGAACCCGGTTGGCGTCGACGGAGGAAGAGGAATGTCCCGCAGGGATGTAAAGCTGAGGAAGCGCTGCAGTGATCGGCTCAAGGCGAACTACAAGACGCAAAGCGGGCGCATACTGTGGATGATTTTACCGTGATATCAAACAGTACCGGTCCTAGGTTGCAAGTTACGGGACTCACGCCGAAGTAGGGCAAAGTGCACGGAGTAACGTGAGGGTAAGGAGGGTATATTAGTTGGGAGGCATTGACTCCCTTGTTGTGTAATATTAACTTGAGATACGAGTAATAATAGCAGTACTACCCATTACCCAGGCAAAAGAAGCACCTGTCTATTCCACGCATTATCCACAAACAATTCCCCTGCAAAGTGGCGCCGCGACCAACTCAGTCAGGTTGGTCCAGCAGCGACGTGCCTTCGGGCTGTGCCTCTTGGGCCGGCGAGGTCTCTACCGTTATCGTGTCCCTGAAGATATGGGAAACTGTCAGTTTCGGGCGGCGTAGAAATATATCAGTACGTAGAGAAACCAGACCTGATAAAAGTTTGCGCTGGGCTAAGGTTAGGTAGCTTCGCTTGAATTTGATACAGCTCCGCCGCCAGTTGGTCTAGTGAAGCTTGAACACGGTCAACGGCGTCTAAGACACAGTCGAGCGTGCTTCTCAGGGAGTTGAGTTTCGCCCCGATTCGCCTGGCCTCGCCTGAAACGCGGTTCAGGGCGATGACCAGCCGATGCGTCTCATCTAAGTCGACTGCGAGCGTCGTTGTGTTGGCCATACTGAACACAGAATGAGAGTTTGAATGGGCAGAGGAGAGGTCTTAGCAGTTTTGAATATGGAGGGCAGGCTAATGCTTGGGATGGCCTATGTATTGAATGTAAACCGAAGGAAGCGTCAGATCAGCAGTAATAAGCGTGACGCCCAACTTATATAGCTTGAGGCTCGGGTCTGCGCTTGGGCTTATTAAACCTGCTTCTTCATCGGACGGAAGAGTGCCACCCAGGTAGTCTTTGATGTCACGATACACGCACTTCGTGAGGTATCGACCGCCCACGCACTGTGCCAGTTCTCAGGTAAAGGAAAATGGATGGGAGAGGCTGGATAGTGTGCCCTATTGGGCTAATCAATGGATGATTCAATAGAAGTCTTACGTTCCTTGTCGTACTATCTCTTGAACGTCTTTCCATGGCCCTCCTCTGATCTGGGTTGCAGAAATGTGAACAACCATACACGAACCACAGACCGCCAAAAGCCAATGCTTGCTTCCCTCCGATCCCTGCAAAGGAGCCCATTGAAATCAGACATTCCCATCCATCCATCCCACCCAGGCCAGGCTATGCTTTCAACACCAAAACGGTACATGTACACATTCAACAAAGGAGAAAAGGAAAAGGAGCCAAGCAAAGTTGGCACATGAGACCCGAACAAGTGGAAATGAATAACCATGCTCCCGCTCCGTCCCCGCTCCAGGTAAGTTGGGGGATATATGATACAATACAGACAAATATATGTGGGTACTCGCTATGACACGCTGTGCTTACTGTGGTATGGATGTATGGGGAAAGGTGGAGAGCTGCCTAGTGCCTAATCTAGCCTGGCAAAGCAGCTGAGCTGGTGGAAGGCACACGAGAGATGAGGGCGATCCCGCAGGTTTGCCAGCTGGAGACAAATAGATTCGTAGCCAACTTGGAACGTCGCCGGCGAAGACTCAGATGAGTTGGGCGGTCGCGGCGACGGTTGCGGAGACGATGGCGGATTCAGAAACGGCGGGATCGGCGCGGGTGGCGGGGGAGACAGCGACTTCGGTAGTGAGGTTGAGATTCCGACGCCAGCCCGGGCGCGCGCGCGCCTGGGATAATGGCTCGTTCTCCCGTCGAGAACGCTGGTTGACATCGCGGATCTTGTTTGTCCTCCGGGGGGAGCCGCCCGTCCGCCTGAATGACCTGCTGCGCGCACCGAGTAACGCCCCAACGTCCTTGCCCAACAGTACACGATAGGTGTGGTGCTACCACATATCGCTGTTCTCGTGGCCATCGAATTGCTTGTTGTCATCGTCGTAGTAGTAGTGTTGCGCGCCGCCGCTGCCTTGGCGGACATGACCCTGAGCTTGGCCTTGTTCCTCCTGATCCCCGTGGCCATTGTTCTGCTGATGATCGCCATGCTCATACTCGTATATCTGGGCGTCGTCGATGTACTGGACACTGCTGTCGTGCTGGAGCGGAGCGTCACCATACTGGTTGCCAGACTGTCGGTTGGTTAGTCAAGCATACGGACATCGATGGGGCGTGACTTACGCGATGGTATTCAAAGTTGAAGCTCCCGTCCTGGGCAGCCTGCTGGGCCATCTGTTGCTCCATCTGCAGCTGTGCCTGCTCCGCTTCTCGACGTTTCCGCTCCTCTTCCAGTCTCTTCTGTTGCGGAGACGTGGGGATTTGCAGTTGCGGGTGCATCGCCTGCACCTTCGCCAGGTATGAGTACATGAAGTTGCTGAGCAGCACCTGACTGTGCAGTGGTCGCCGAGGGTTGGCAAGTTTGATGTGGGCCATCCGATAAATGGCTCGTTCCTCAATGATTGGGAACCGAGTCCAGGGGTAGTCAATATCCGGTCGGAGAGGGCGCATAGGCGGGTCCGGACTAGGCGGCCGATGATCCTTCTTTTTGTGACTCGAGTCCTTGTCGCCCTTCTTCTTTGACCCCCCGAACAAGCCGCCAAAGAAGCCTTCTCGGTCCTTCTTATTCTCGCTGGACTTCCGATTCGTCTCCTTCTTCTTGTCCTCTTGCGGCAATCCTTCAATGCTGTCGCGGTCCAGACGCAGGCTCTCTCGGCCCTTGGGGACGCTGCTATCGATAGAAGTTTGGAGGACGTCCATCCTGGCATGGTCGTGGTTCTTGTCACCAGCCTTGCCCTTGGCTCTCCTCGCTTGCTCCTCCCGCTCCTTTTCCCTTTCCCTTTCCCGTTCCCGTTCCCGTTCCCTCTCCTTCTCCTTCTCCCGCTTCTTTTTTTCCTTATCGTCGCTCTTGAACCACTTCCAACTGGAGGTCGACTTCTGCGAAACGACGCTGTCAGCGTCATCCTTGTCCTTGCTCTTCCTGTCCAGCTTTCGCTCGATGGTGTCGAACGTCGGAATAAAGGTCAGACTGCTCGTCGTCGTTCCCCCGCTTCCGGGTAGTGCCTCTGGATGACTGATCTCAGCGAGAGCGTTGCGGTTCGCAGAGGCTTGCTCCTTCACACTACTAGCTTTCGCAGAGTGCACAGGCGCCATGGAAGCCTTGCCTGGGATGGGTCGTTTACTTGACCGTGCAGGGGGGCATCCACAGGCGGCTGGTCGGTATGGGCCTGAGCCGAAGCGTTCTGGGACGATGACCTTTGGTGAAGTGGCTGAGTTGGTTGCGCATTCTCATCAGCCGGGGCCGGGTCAGTGATCTGGGGAACAGACGCAGCAGGTGCGCGTATCGCCGAGGTGGAAGACGACCTGACCGGAGGTGACTGTGTCTTTGGTGGGGAGGTGGGTGCAGCTGCGCTTGAAGCTCCCCCTTTGGCCGATTCGTCCGAGGCCGTCGGGGCAGCGGCAGCCGTGGAGAGGTCCCTTGAGAAGTTTTGTTGCCTCCGAACTGTCCGAGTGGGACGAGAATAGTTCTCGGTTATGGGCTCGGACATGACTCTGGTCAGGGGTTTCCCAATAGACGGATCTACTGTCGGAAGTGGGGGCGTTTCCTCGTTACTCTCCTTATCGGCTTGCCTCGCAGCGAGCCGCTTCGAGAAAGGGGCCTTATCTCCATAGCGTTGACTGCCACCTTTCCTGTAAGTTGTCTTTGTTGAGCGCCGCAAACCCATACCCGGGGCCATGGGAAGAATCGGACTGTCTGCCTCTCCACCCTCTTGTCTCGTCTCCTGTGCCAACTTCTGCACCGCTTTTGTTGGGTCGCTGACCAACTCGGATAGGCTGAGCTCAGGGGCGTGCTCGCTTACGGAGCCCTGACGCGCCAGCTTTTCCGCACCATCGACGTATCCCTCGGCATTCTCACCGGTGTTGACTTGCCGTGAGAGCATAGATTTCTTCCGCCTCAAGCTGCCAGAGTTATCCCGCTGCAATCCGTCGACAGAGAGAAACGAGTCACCAGATCTCCGCTTAATCGATTGTACCCGTTTCTCGAGAAAGTTCTTGAAGGCCGTTGGTTCGAGCTCTGGATGTACCCTGGCCGGAACCCAGAGCAACCTGGATGGATCCGCCTCATCGTCGTCGCCGGTGGGAGCTATTGATGGCATCTCCATCAGCGAAACGCCAGAGAACTGCAGCAGGTCGGGATCAGTGCTAGTGTTTCCAACATCCATCGACATCCGCCGCAGCGCCTGCAGGTTGCTGAACTCTTTCGCGATATCACTTGGATTGTCCATGTCTGTAAGAGATAGCTGCGAACTCGTTGCATTCTGAACATCTCGCAAAGTCAAAGTCGGCGACAGCGGGGGTAGCGGGGGAGACTTGGGATTGTCACCCGAGCCGCTTCTATCACCGGCTAACCTCACGGGGAACGTGTTGGACTTCTTGAGGCCAACCCCGCCATTGAGGCCGTTGGTTTCGGGATTCAACTGGGTCGCAGAACTTGTCTGATCGGATGTCGTGCGCAAGAGTCGCAGTCGATCGCCGGCTGGCTCGTCAGCCTTCTGAGCCTTATCCAGGTGCTCCCCTTGGTACTTGGACGCGATAAAGCTCAGCGGCCGGTTGTCCTCGGTGCCCGAGTCGTCGTCATCGCCGTACATTGTCCCTATTGCTTCGGTGACGTGGTGACTCGGGTCGGATATCGACAGCTGGCTCCCGTGACCGCGTCGGCTCGCAAAACTGCCGCCAACATCACGGGGTCGAGTTGAGGTCTGCAGCAGAGGTGGATGTTAGCCCCGTGTTGCGCTGCAACTCCTGGTCCACCAGGGACCCAGTTTTTCCCTCCATTCGAAGCGAGCTGTTTGTTCCGGGCGGTACAGGGCCCATGTCCAGGAAGGGATGTGCGACTTGCAGCCAAGAGCCAGACGGATCATCCGGGAAACCTAACAAGGCAGCGAGGGACATTCGACGCACCATCATCTAGACTTCTGTCTTGGGGCCCTGTCGGGGACTAAGTCCCAGGATCAGCGCCTCGGAATGCTCTGCGAGCTGGCGAATCGACAGCGAGGAATAACGTGATTCTGCCGTGTGATTATCATGAGCAGGAAGGCGAGATGCACTTGGGAGGACCAGGGCGCTGATTGTGTGAGTGCGGCGCCTGCGAAGGGGGAAAAGATGCGCTCGACTGGAGTCCGGGTTTGGCAACGAGTAAATATGCGCAAGTCGGAGGAGCAGCAGCGACGGTGACTCGTACGGTCGCGTTCAGTTGGCCATCAAGGAGGATAGGGAACCGTGCTGCTGGGCGGTTTCGGTGCAGTATCCCGTGGACGTCGGGGAAGCTAAGGTATGACGGCTACTCGCAGTCGAACGACAATGTTAGCTACTGTGCCACCAGTGCTGCTGCTGCGCTCCGGGGTTGCCGCGATGAAGACTAGCTGCAAAGGCGTAGGCAGTTCCTCAGACGCAGGCACAGATACAGGCTTGAGTTTATGATTGCCAGGATGTTGCCTTCTCCTGTTTGGAAAGGAAACCGCAAAATCGCGAGTCCCGCTGTGAGTGGGACGCCTAGGTTGTCGGGGTTCGGTCGGTCCAGAATCCAGATCAGGCACGCCCCTGGGTCACTCTTCCTTTTAGCAAAGCCTTCAGCGGCCACCATCACGTGCAAGGGTCGCTTTGATGCTGAAGTTAGCATTAGCTTTATCCGTCACCCTCCTCCAAATCTAATAGCAGCAACTGACTACTATGAAGCGAACCAGAATCCCTAATACAGAAACCTAGATCTGTGGTTTCCGAAGGTTCACAATGTGTCATTCCCCATCTTCTTCCTCGTCAAAAAGCGGTACGCGCTATATTTCATCCACTTCCACGAGGCACTGGGGTTTGAGATGCCCTCCGCATTCCGCGCAAGCACCTTAGCCCTCGCTGATTTTTACGGCCACCCAGTCTTCCGACTACCTACCTCGCTTACGAATACACATACAGTACATGTACATTTTCACTTAGACACTCTGTTCCCATACGGTAGTGATTGCGATTCAACTGGCGGAGCCTCGAACAGGCTAGACCTAGAGCCGTAAGACCCCCACTTCAGGAACAGGGCATGAGGTATCCGTGAAGTGAACCGCTCCTAAAGTTCATCCTTTATCAACAAGAGCCGGACACCTAAGCACGACATGACAGCTTATTTACAAGGCTCAAGGCGCCGCCCCTGTATGTATTGTGAAAGGTGGCTGGGATGTGCAATTCATGCCGCTCCCCTCCGTCATCCGGCTGCTTTAAGCGCTGGTCATGTTCACTTCGTCATGTCAACTACTCAAGACAACCAATAAAAGCGGACCCCATCCAACTCACCCTTTACCTCCCGTGCCTCCGTGCCTCCGTGCCTCCGTACTGCCGCCGACAATGGTTGCACCGGCGGGCCTAATTTGACAGCGCGCGACTTGACCATGAAGTCCGTCGAACAACCTCGAAACCGTCCGACTGACTACTGCCAAGGCGGTTTCATCTGTTAATACCTAAGTAAGGTGACAACCAGTGCAGTCGGTTTATCCCTGGCATACCTCATGCACTCGCATGCGGGGGCGAAGTCCAAGACTGGATGTGCCCGCGAGGCAGGATGGTTACAGCGCGCTTTCAGTCCTTCAAGATCAACAAGCTTAACATGAAGTTCCAGGAATGTCAGGAACCACCCGTCTACGGTATAGGAAACAGTTCCATCTTCCACGATTCAATGAACCCCTTAGTTTCATAAGTTCGAGCACTGATCACAGTTGCCTGTGACAGTTGTGTCGCATCATTCCCACCTAACCTGTCTCGAGCCTGTCTCCCATACCTAACATGCTTCTGTTCACCACCATGTCATGCTCTGCACACCCATCTAATTCCCCTCTAAGGTATATAACCACTCCGCCCCTTCTTCCTCACCTCTGCGACCACATCAACCCACACTTCCGGCCGCCTCCTCTTCTCAGCCGCAACCTCCTCCAATACTACCCCAAACCTCAACAGCTGTTCCTCAGAACACCACTCCCCCGTGGCCATCAACCCAACCGGCACATCCCCCGCCCCGTTCTTGCTCCTTCTCCCCTGCACAAACCCCGCCGGCACGCTGAGACTCGGCAACCCACAGAAGTTGGCCAGCCACACATACTCCATACTCTGCATCGTTCGATCGCCGTCATTCACGCCCCACCGCATTTCGGCGCGCTCGTCCACAATCGGCAGGCCCTCGCACGCCATCGTCGGCGTAATGATCATCATGCCCGGATGCTCCCGCCACAGCCAGGCCAGGTGTTGCATGAGCAGCCTGCGCAGCTTCTGCGCCAGGAGATAGTCCGTCGACGGCGTGACCCGCCCCAGCGCGAGGAGGATCCGGTTGGCCGGGGTCAGGTTGGATGTGTCCGGCAGGAGCGTGGCCGCGTCGGTGAGGACCGTCATGGCGTGCGCGAGCTGGCCCTCCCGCAGGAAGGGAATCGTGATGGGCACCGCCGTGTACCCGTGCTCGGCGACCAGGCGGCGGATTAGGCTGTTGCAGAGGGCTTGGATCGCCGGCGTGGCACGGGCGATCCAGGCTGATGGGATGCCTAGGACTTTGGGGTCTGAGGGGGATGGGGGCCTAAGACGTAGGGGAGAGGGCAAGGGAGGAAAGGGCGAGGTTGGGTGGGGGGCGGCGATGACTGAAAAGAGGGCTGCGAGAGAGGCTATGTCGCATGCGATGGGTCCGAGCACGGCGCAGGTTGGGCTATGGTTGGGTCCCGGGCGGAAGGAGAGGCGGCCGTGCGTGGGTTTGAGCCCGAACACGCCGCAGAGGCTGGACGGGATCCGGATGCTGCCTCCGCCGTCGCTTCCAAGACCGATGGGGATCAGGCCCGCGCTGACGGCGTACCCCGTGCCGGAAGACGAACCGCCCGTGTAGTAGTTGGGGTTGTGGGGGTTGCGCGGCGTGCCGTGGATCGGGTTGTTGCCCGTTGTGTCGAGGCCGAATTCGTGCATGGAGAGCTTGCCGAGGATGAGGGCGCCTGCGGCTTCGAGCTTTTGCACGCACCACGAGCTCTCCTGCTTGTCGCGCGGAGACGAGTAAGTGTTGCGCGAGCCGAGACAGGTGTGGTAACCCTCCACATCATACTCATCTTTCACGGCAGTCGGAACCCCATCTAGGGGCCCGAGGGAGCGGCCTTCTTTGTACCGCTGTGTAGACTCGCGTGCTGCGGCGAGCACCTTGTCGGTTCGCAACTCGAACCAGGCCTTGGAGTGCTCGGTTGGGTTGGGTATGTCACGCCGGATCAAGGGCAACAGTGCCTCGGCGACATCGGTGGGCGTCAAGGCACCCGAGAGATACAGTTCGCGGTAGTCGGCCGCTGAGTAGTACTTGGCCCCGGATAGGTCGACTGGCGGACCAGGCTTGTCTGCCTCTTCCACGGTTGTCGTCGTCGAGATACCATTGGCCCCTTTGCTTTCGGTCGCGTCCGAGAGAAGAACGACTTGAGGCTCAAACCATGGCTCATAGTCCTCGATGTATGGAATGATCTTCCTCAGCAAGTCGAATCCGGTATTATGCCAGATCATTTCCCGGAGGAACCGGAACCATTCCAAGCTAACTGCTCGTCAGGCCACGCATCTCTGCCGTCCAAGAAGACGTACTTACAGATATGCCGCCAGAACGAGCACAAAACCCCTGAGGGCCGGGTTGTTCTTTGCCGTCTCATTTGCCCCTGGAACATCTGGACTGCCATGAAGCTTAGCACAACTATTATCACGAACACATAGCTTCCACATGAGGATGCGCTATCATGGTCGTACCCTTTCATGGGCTCGGGCCCGTTGAGGAATCTGTGTGGTTGCATGACTGCATGTCGAGCGAACCCTGCTCCGTCGGGTCGTGACTGGGAACAGGGGAAGGCTTTGAGTGCAAACACTTACAGGAGGTAAGGTATGTACTAAGGTAGTACGCGAGCCAAGTGAAAGGTGCAAGTTTATTATTAAAGTAGCGCCGGTAGGCCGCGGGGACCGGGAATCCCGGGAATGCGCAGATGTGACTGCAAGTTTCACACGCACACGTGTAGTTCACATGCAAGGAAAGGTGGTGCGTTCCAAGTTCGACCCCCTGTTAGTTAACGTTAATGGGGCAACCGACCTTGTCCTGCAAGCCACCTTCACCGCTAATGACCGACAAACGAAACGCCAACTTTATCGGCTCGTGCCGTGTTTGTCTTGGGTTCCCGGTAAGTTTGGAAGATCTAGGGCAAGCAGCGGGGCCTGCGTGTCTGGGGGGCCTCGAGAACTGAGCACGGGTTGGGCTGCCGTGATGCCCGCTACCTACCTATCTGATCGATGTAGCCGGTATAGACCGTCCTGCTCCTTGAGGACACTCACGGCAGGAAAAGAGCACCACAAATGCACAGATGGTATTCAAGCCTTCCATGTTGAGAGTCAAGAGCACACGGCCACATGGTTAATAGAATCCCGTCAAGCAAGTCAGGCTACCAGCCTTTGTTGATCTTTCCAGGTGGGTCCATTTAAGCCTCGATTGTTGCATATTCTCCACCCCTAAAAGGCTTAAAGCTGATAGAAAGTTGGGGCTTGGCCACTCTCTGATGAGTGATTCTGCGTTTGCCTCAGAGGGCCCAAAAAGCGACCACCACATGATGATGCACCCATGGACCTTCACTTCGGTTTATCCTACGATGCCCCTCCTATGTCTCGGATCTATGGATAGCCAGAGCCGATCCAGGTGATTATACAGCGCACTTCTTTGATTCAGGTCCACCGAATAGGACTTTGGGTTTGACCGACAGGCTGGGGATGAGTGCCCCCCGACCGCCTGATACCGACGGAGACGTCGCCGAGCGATATCGTGAGAAGCTCCTGGTTCGTGGCCCTTTTCTTCCACTGATTCCTCCATATTCTACAACCATAGAATAGGAGTTCTTGCTAGCCCTGAGCGTTGCATTGATGCCGCCCAAGACTAGTAATAGCACCATAGACACATACGTAGTCTCATTTTACTACCCCATTCCTCACCCCACAATCAGCTGCGTGATTCTCAGCGGTAAAACAAATCACTAACGTTGCCACTTTCAGGAAGAATTTGGTTCAGTCCTGGACGAATCTCTTATCGTCCTGATTGCGAATGAGCGAGATCTCGTGAAGGATTATGACGAGATTAGGCATATTCTGTGCCAACTAGCGGAATCTGCTCGCGAAGAGGCGGCCACCGGCTTTGACCCGTCAGGATTGGGGAGCTTTGCCGACCTCGAAGAGTTTCGCCTTGACGAGACAACCAGCAGCGGCAACGGAGGAGCCGATTCGTCAGCCGGATATGCCACGACGATTTCCGTGGTCTCAGATCAATCTGAGAACCACAGACTCACCGAGCAGGTCAATCTGAGCGACGAGCAGAAGGTCCAGGAACTCAAACTTGTCTTCCAAGACAGATGGAAAGACCATACTATCAGATACGTTCTGAAGCAATGCAACGGGAACCTGGAAACAGCCTTCGACGAACTTCTTAGCCGCCAGTACCTCGAGGAGTCCGGGGAACTTCCCAAGGGAATCGATGGGTTTTGTATTCCGGACGAGGACCGACAACCCGGTAAAAGCAACGCCGGCCGTGGTCAAAAGGGCAGGAAGAGAAACAAAAAGCAGGTCGTCGCCATCACCTACGATGCGGTGTTGCCCACTGTCGACGACGCAGAACTGGAAGGGGCGAAGGACTTCCACCAAACGGCCGGCCACCGAGGCGCGGGCCTAGTTCGGCGTCTTCCGCCGCCATCCCGTCCACCTCTTTCCACAGTTAAGATAACTCCGCAATCTGGGCCGCCGTACCCACCAGCATCCCCATCTCCACTATCCACCGACTTCGGCGCCTCCAACCTGCGCACCGCCGCCGCCCTCAGACGGATGGGCCCTCTCGGGCGGCAAGGCGCCGTAGTCTACACCGAGCGGGCGAGGGAGGAGATTCGCACATTCCAAGCTCAGGCCTCCCTGATGGCCGAGACGCTTGTCGCGCAGCAGAGCACCGACAGCGTGCTCGATCTTCACGGGGTCTTCGTCATGGACGGAGTACGAATCGCCAAGCAGCGCGTCTGGGCCTGGTGGAACGGCCTCGGCGAGAACCGCAAAGCCCGGGCGAAGCAGCACGGCTTCACTGTTGTTACCGGCGTGGGGAAGCACAGTGCCGGGGGCGTATCTCGTCTGCGGCAGGCTGTCGGCGCGTACCTGAAGAACGATGGATGGAAGGCGGAGACCTTGACGGGCAGTTTCTATGTCACGGGCCGGGTATGACGTGATGTCACATCTGTTTGGGGACGGCGTTCTTGGCATCTGCGGTGTGGTGTGGCATGGTTTGAACTTGACCGGGACCGGCGTTGGATATTGGTGCGTGATGGACGATATCACTATGGAGAGATACCTTGTGTTTTCTGGATGCCATTTTCGTGTCGATCTTAGGATTCATGGGAGAGACCTGCAAGTTTACCTATGGAGGCGTACGGACATGTGCCAGAGTTCCCAAATTCATAGAAAGGAGGATTGATTTGTATACGGAGGGGAATACCTCCTCTACCAACGTGTACCAGCTATGATTAATTCATCAGGGACATGCCCGACTTTCTGCCTCCATCATTGCTCACAGCGGCCGGATGTTGCCGAAAGCAACGGTTCTTGGCAGGGGTTTGCTGCACCCCAGCCACCCCTTGGTGGGACTTGGAAGCGGCCCACCAATCACCGTTTGTTGCCCTGTGCTTCCAGCACATGACCCATGACGGCATGATGTAACATGAACGCACACATGGTTGGCGGTCAGTCCGCTGCCGCCTTGCCTGGGTCAATCTCATCAGCCCAACACATTCAGCCCTTCCCATCCACATATTATTCCCCAGCACGAGACGCCGACTGTCTGTCTCTGCACCAGCACTCTGAACATCCTACATTGGTCGAGCCGCTGAGCGGCCAGCTATCGACCATGACGAAACTCCAGAGCCTGGTCGCCTCCAGCGGGCTTTGGCTGACAACTCTGGGTGCCGCTACCGCCGCCGTCTACACACCGAAACACGAAGCGGGACGCTGCGCGATTCGAGGTCATTGCGGATCCAAGAGCTTCTTCGGTAGCCAGCTGCCCTGCGTGGACAACGGGCCAGCCGAGGAGCCGGACGCCAAGTTACGGCAGCAATTGACAGAGCTCTGCGGCCCGAAATGGGCTCAGGGTGCGGTCTGCTGCAACGCCGACCAGGTGGATGCACTCAAGTCGAACCTTGCGACGGCGAATCAGATAATATCGACATGTCCCGCGTGCAAGGACAACTTCTTCAACATGTTCTGCACTTTCACCTGCTCGCCAGACCAGTCGCTGTTCATCAACGTGACCAAGACCATGGAGAAGAACGGCAAGACACTGGTGACCGAGCTGGACCAGCTGATTTCGGAAGAGTACGGGTCGGGGTTCTACAACAGCTGCAAGGACGTCAAGTTTGGGCCGACAAACTCGAGGGCGATGGACTTGATTGGGGGCGGCGCCAAGAACTACACACAGCTGCTCCAGTTCCTGGGCAAGGAGCGCTTCGGAGGCTCGCCCTTCCAGATCAACTTCCCCGTCAGTTACTCGGAACCCGACATGAAGGCGCTACCGATGACACCGAAGAGGTGCAACGACGATGATCCGAACTTCCGCTGCGCTTGCATTGACTGTCCGGCGGTATGTCCGGAGCTTCCGGATGTCAGGGAGGCGAGATCGTGCCACGTCGGGGCGTTGCCATGCCTGTCTTTCGCGTCCATTCTGACGTACGGCGTCTTGTTGTTCCTGTGCGTTTCGGCAGTTCTTGTCCACTTCGCATGGAGCAGGCATGCCAAACGTCGGAACGAGAGGCTCAGGCTGCTTACGGATGCGGCCCCGAGTGACGACGAGGATGAGGGAGACCTTACCGAGAACGGGGCCATGTTCGATCGGCCGCAGAGCACATACGTCATCAACACCCTGTGTGATGCTGCCTTCGCACGGCTGGGTCACATTGCTGCAAGGTTCCCGGCCTTGACTATTGGGAGCACTTTCCTTGCGGTCCTTCTTCTCAGTGTCGGCTGGTACCACTTTGACATTGAGAAAGATCCGGCTCGCTTGTGGGTGAGCCCGACGTCCGCGGCGGCGCAGGAGAAAGCCTTCTTCGACTCCAATTTCGGGCCGTTCTATCGGACCGAGAAAGTTTTCCTTGTCAATGACCTGGACTTCTCGGCTCCTGGGCCGGTGCTAAGCTACGACACGCTTCTTTGGTGGATGGATGTCGAAAAGAGCGTCCGTAACCTTAAGGGCGCCAAGTATGGCAGCACCCTGCAAGACCTCTGCCTGAAGCCAACGGGCGATGCTTGTGTTGTCCAGTCTGTCGCGGCATACTTCCAGGACGATCCCGATATGGTTGACAGGGACGGCTGGAAACGCAGGCTGCGGGAGTGTGCTGACTCCCCGGTCGGGTGCCGTCCAGAATATGGTCAGCCCTTGGAGCCAAATATGATCCTTGGAGGCTACCCTGGGTCCGGCGACCCCGCCGATGCAACGGCTATGACGGTCACCTGGGTCCTCAACAACTACCCGGAGGACTCCGCGGAGGCGGACCGCGCGATGGACTGGGAAGAGGCTCTCAAGACCCGGCTGCTGGCACTCCAAGACGAGGCTAGGGAGCGAAACCTCCGTCTCTCCTTCTCGACGGAGATCAGCTTGGAGCAGGAGCTCAACAAGTCAACCAACACGGACGCGAAAATCATCGTCATCAGCTATATCATAATGTTCCTCTATGCCTCAATTGCGCTCGGCTCAACGACCCTATCATTCCGTGACTTCCTCCGCAACCCGGCGATATCGCTAGTCGAGAGCAAGTTCACCCTCGGCGTCGTGGGCATTCTCATCGTGCTCATGTCTATCACTGCTTCCATCGGTCTGTTCTCTTGGGTGGGCCTCAAAGCCACGCTCATAATCGTCGATGTTATTCCCTTCATTGTTCTGGCCGTCGGCGTCGACAACATCTTCTTGATCGTTCATGAGTTTGAGAGGGTGAATATCAGCCATCCAGATGATATGGTTGAGGTCAGGATCTCCAGAGCGCTTGGCCGGATGGGCCCCTCGATCCTTTTCTCCGCTATCACCGAGACCTTCTGCTTTGCCCTGGGCGCTTTCGTTGGCATGCCCGCGGTGCGCAACTTTGCCGTCTATGCTGCTGGCGCGGTCTTCATCAACGCTATCCTTCAGGTTACCATGTTCGTCTCGGTTCTCACACTGAACCAAATCAGGGTCGAGGATTCCCGGGCGGACTGTTTCCCTTGCGTGCAGGTCAAGTCTGCTAGGATACACCTCAGCGGCAACAGTACAGGTAACGGGACTCGATTCTACGAAGAGCCTTCCGAGAGCATGTTACAACAGTTCATCCGCAAAACGTATGCACCGAGGCTGCTAGGGAAGAAAACCAAGGCGGCCATCATTGCCATCTTCCTCGGTGTCTTTGCGGCCGCCGTAGCCTTACTTCCCGAGGTCGAGCTTGGGTTGGACCAACGTGTCGCGATTCCCGACGATTCCTACCTGATTCCGTACTTCAACGATCTGTACGACTACTTCGACGCTGGCCCGCCAGTCTACTTCGTTACGCGGGAGTTTAATGGCACGGAAAGGGTGCAGCAGCAGAAGATTTGCTCTCGCTTTACCACTTGCCAGCAGCTGTCCCTTACGAACATTCTCGAGCAGGAGCGGAAGAGGGACGATGTTTCGTACATCTCGTCGCCTACTGCGGGTTGGATTGATGACTTCTTTCAGTGGCTGAACCCGGATAACGAGGCATGCTGCGTCGACAGACGCAAGCCATGCTTTTGGAAGCGCGAGCCCGCATGGAACATCACCTTGACTGGTATGCCCGAAGGCGCCGAATTCGTGCACTACCTCAAAAGGTTTCTCACCGCCCCCACCAACGAGGATTGCCCCTTGGCCGGCCAAGCGTCATATGGCTCCGCTGTCGTTGTCGACGAGGACCGCGACACCATCCTAGCCAGCCACTTCCGTACCAGTCACTCCCCTCTCCGCAGCCAGGATGACTTCATCAAGGCTTACGCCTCCGCGCGCCGCATCGCAAACGACATCAGCGCCAGCACGGGCCTCGACGTCTTCCCCTACTCGGTCTTCTACATCTTCTTCGACCAGTACGCCAGCATCGTCTCTCTGACCGCGACGCTGCTCGGCTCAGCGGTCGCCATCGTCTTCCTTATCTCCACGATCCTGCTCGGATCGGCGCTCACCGCGGCCGTCGTCACGATCACCGTCATCATGGCGCTCGTCGACATCATCGGTGCCATGGCCCTCATGGGCGTCAGCCTCAACGCCGTCTCGCTTGTCAACCTCATCATCTGCGTCGGCATCGCCGTCGAGTTCTGCGCTCACATCGCCCGCGCCTTCATGTTTCCCTCGCGCACCTTCATGGAGAGGGCTAAGAACCGCTTCCGGGGGCGCGACGCCCGCGCGTGGACTGCGCTGGCGAACGTGGGCGGCAGCGTCTTTTCGGGCATCACGGTCACCAAGATCCTCGGTGTGACGGTGCTTGCCTTTACGCGCAGCAAGATTTTTGAGATCTATTACTTCAGGGTGTGGGTTGCGCTAGTTGGGTTCGCTGCAAGCCATGCGTTGGTGTTCCTGCCTGTTGCCTTGTCGTTGGCTGGTGGTGAAGGGTATGTGGATCCCGAGAGCGAGGGCGGGCTCGAGGAGGATCTCGCCACTAGGCGGTATCGGGCGCTCGTACCCGACGGCGATACGGACTCGGAGGAGGAGGATTAGGGTGGGACTCCATGTCCACCGAGGAGATGCTGCCTGAAGCCTCGCGTCCGGCCCCGGCTTCTAGTCAAGACTGGATCTGGAAACAAGCCGTACAATCCATCGGCGTTCTTTCCTTTCCCGGACCGTCCACCTGAGGTGCTACGTATGTCTCTGACTCCCAGAGCATTGTGGCCGGCCTCCTTTATGTCTCCCGAGAATCCAGTTAGTGAACGGTTTGCCGGCCCCGTCCAGAAGAAGATGAAGAGCAAGACAACGTTACGGAAGCGGCCGCCATTACGCACTCTAAACGAGATTCCGGAGGAGGATAGCGAGGAGATGCTTCAGAACGACATCGAGGCACACATAGGAAGGAAGATAAAGTCTGTCTAGGCTTGAGGTTGGGAAGGATACAATCAGGGAGACGGGTTCATCATTTTTTATTTCCTCCATGCAAGACATTGGCATGCAGGGGCGTACAGGGAAGAATAGGACAGCGAGAGATATGACGGAGCATATCCAGACAGGCTGGCTAGAGAGGTTACTGCAGTTTGTACTTTTGGTCTTGGGAATAAGATAGACCCGGCATGTTTCGCTTATATGATCTATGGTAGTGATCTCTAAGCTCGTGAGGAGTTATCGATTCAATCCATGCTGTATTACTACCGTCATGTTTCCTAAGGTGGTTTTTCCATAGTCCTTTTCTTCTCCTTTTAATTCCCTAGGACCTTCAATATCCGCAACCGCTACATCGAGACTTTATTCCAGCCCCTGATTCTGGTTGTTGATCTGCATCATTGGGGTTTTGGCAGTGGGCGCATTACATAAGCCGTCAGACGGTTGCCCAAGGGCCAAATCATCTGCCGAAACTCGAAAGGTTCCGAGAAACGAAACCTCACAATGCAGCGAGGCTAGCGCCACGACTCAGCAGGGCCTTCGGCACATGTTTCGACCACTCTTCGATTGCTCATCGCTTCCATGTTTTTCGCTGGAGCCGTGGCGCTGCAGAGCCAAGTGGCCGCACCGTTGCTGAGCGCGAACGCGCGAGGCCTTCTGTAGCGATGCCGAGCGCTGCCTTTGCGCGCATTGTTGCAGGTGATCTGCTTGCCAGTGGACACTTTCTATCTTCGAATGGCGGCTGCTTGGAGACGGGTTGCCGAGTGCGACAGCAGTGCTTGTAGGTTGCTTATCACTTACCCGGCACTGCACCCAAAAGCGCAGAGCATGGCACGGGTTGAGGGAGTCGACATCGCTTGCATGGGCTTCTGCGCTTCTTTTCCGCGGCTTCTGATGATATCGCATCATGGAAGTTGCCGGCACCTAACCAGACGAAAACAGCACAACCCAACTGAGGTTCGCTGCTTCAACCTAATCCTGCGGTACCATACCATACTATCGCATCTCTACAACGTCCTCTCTGGCTACGGGGTACTAATTTCAGAGCAACCTGACGGCGTCCGCCAGCTGACCAAAACTTCGAAGTGTCGGCGACTGGGCGCGACCACAACTTGATGCCAAGACCGCGGAACACGCTTGCGGGACCAGGAAGCTTAGGGTTCATATAACTGTACTAACTGCGTATGCAGAGTAGAGTACATACGAACTTACGAAGTAGTACAATTTACCAAAGCCTGGCAGCCGTGGCCAGCCCAGCGGGACTGCGGCTGTGGGAGCGATTGGACATGGCATCTGCCGATGGTTATTGGGGGGTGGATGACGGGGGCCGCCGTTGCCCCGCCCCCTCACTGATTCGAGCTGCGCTCCACGGCCCCACCATCCCTTGCGCAACCCCGGACACCGGCAATACAGTTCCAACGTCGCCTGCTCAACCACGTCAACCCAACCCAGCGTCTGGGCAGCGCCTGGGGAGGGTGCCCTGGTACGTGAGGGATGACGCAAGTTTGCCAGCCCTTTTCTGTCCTGCGCCTTGTCTGCCGAGGCGGACTGCCCCGAACACTCGTTCCCCACGGGGCTGTAGCAAGGTGGGCATGGCCCAGTTGCCTGCTTGCTTCCGAGGATGGGAAAGGGGCCGCCACTGTGTGCAGTGAAGTCGATCCTACGCCGAGCATCCGGTGTCATCCCCGTCTTTCGTCATGGGAACAGACCTGGTGGGCGGATCGGTGTCTCTCTCGGGATGTGCGCTAGAGAGAAGACGCTCGCGCTTACGCTCGCTCCTGGAACTTTGGAAGGGCGCCGCCAGCTGCGAGCAATTCCCTCCTGGGCTGCGCTAGCTCACCTTGTAATATCCTCCCGCGCCGTAGGGATCGCTCGTGCAGGACCACGAACCAGGAATCGCGCTTGTAGGCGGATTAGCTCCCGAGCCGTCTGCCCTGCCGGTCGGGTGGCTATTCGACGGCATACCCCGACCTGACCTCCGTCCAGCTCGGCACTGGCGGGAAGCCAGCCGTGGGCGATCCCTCTTACATATAGATAAAGAGCCTCGCATGCGTGCCGTAATATGGGAAATACCACGCAACCACCTCCTTCAACACACACCCTTCCGCTCACGTGGCTGGCCTGGCCTTTTCAACAAGGAAAGCCCAGACATAGCACACAATGATAACGGATCAGATAGTGCTGGTTGTCAGCCAACACTGGCTGCCCATTTCCCTCGCCGTCGTCGTTGCATGGCTGGTGAGGAACAGGTACCACAATGGCCTGAACAAGTATCCGGGCCCGTTCCTGGCCTCCTTGACAGACTGGTGGAGGTTCTTTGATGTCTACCGACGGCGGCCCGAGAGGACACACATCGAGCTTCACAGGAAGTACGGTCCTGTCGTCCGTCTCGGGCCCAACACGCTCTCGTTTTCCGATCCGGAGGCGTTGAAGACCATCTATGGGCTGAACAAAGGCTTCATCAAGGTGGGTGTGTACCTCCACCGAGTCCACTCGGACTTATACCGCGACAAGACTGACCTAACTCCTCACGCAGTCAGACTTCTATGTCGTCCAGCAGTCGGTGGTCAAGGGCCACAGCCTGCCCTCGCTGTTCAGCACGACAGACAACGATTTCCACATGCAGTTCCGCCGGTGCGTCAACTCGGCCTTTGCCATGTCGGCCCTGGTGCAGTACGAGCCGTTTGTCGACAACACGACCAAGCTGTTCCTCAAGCAGACCGAGCGGCTGCACATCGACAAGCCCAAGGCCTGCGACTTCACGCGCTGGCTGCAGTTCTACGCCTTTGACGTCATTGGCGAGATCACGTACAGCAAGCGGCACGGCTTCATCGAGAAGAATGAGGATGTCGATGGCATTGTTGCGTACCTGACGAAGCTGTTCCTCTATGTAGCGCCGGTATGTGTCTCATCAAACCGCTATGCCAACATGACTATCCCCAAAGCTCAACTGGCTGACATTATAACCCCCCTTATTAGATCGGCCAAATCCCGATCCTCGACCGCCTCTTCCTCAAAAACCCCATCTACCTCAAGCTCTCCGAATGGGGCCTGCTGGACGCCACTTTCCCCGTCGCCAAGTTCGCCCGCGCCCGCATGGCCGAGCGCCTGCCGCAGATCCAGAACGGCGAGCCCGTCCTCCCGACCTCCGAGTCCAAAGCGCTCGTCAAGTCGCCCGACCTGCTCTCCAAGTTCATCGCGGCCCGCGAGGCCCGCCCGGATTTCATGACCGACACGCTGGTCCAGACCATGGCCGTGAGCATGGCCTTTGCCGGGTCCGAGACGACCGCCATCTCGCTGTCGGCCGTGTTCTACTACCTGCTCAAGAACCCGCACGCCCTGGCCCGCCTGCGGAAGGAGCTTGATGACGCGGCGCGCGAGGGGAGGTTCTCGGACTACGAGACCGGGCTCGTGACATGGCACGAGAGCCAGACGCTTCCCTACCTGGACATGTGTGTCAAGGAGGCCTTTCGGCTGCACCCTGCCCCGGGCTTGCCTATGGAGCGGGTCGTGCCCAAGGGGGGGTTGGAGATTGCCGGGCGGAGGGTCGCGGAGGGGACTATTGTCGGGTGCTCCGCGTGGGTGCTGCACAGGGACGAAAGGATTTTCGGTCCGGACGTGGAGGAGTACAGGCCCGAGAGGTGGGAGGTCAAGGGCCCCGGGGACGAGGCGCGGGTCAAGTTGATGAATGGCACGATGCTCCAGTTTGGCATGGGCAGCCGGACGTGTATTGGGAAGAATATCAGCTTGTTGGAGATCTATAAGTTGGTGCCGACCATGTTGCGGCGGTTTGAGGTAAGCCCCCTCCCACTTTCCTTCATTGGTGTTGTGTGTTTGGTATAATAGATACTATGACTGACAAGGACTACAGATCAGCTTCGATGACCCCAACTCGGAGTGGGAGATTGTCAATGCTTGGTTTGTCAAGCAAAACAACTTCATCACGAGGTTCAGTCTCAGGGATATTGTCATGCCGGAGAAGGGGGCCAAGGCCGCGGAGAAGTGAGGTTTGCTGCATTCGATGGGGTTTATCTGCTTTAGAGGGTTGGGTTGGGTGTCACCTACATGTACATATTGCTTGGGCGATACGAATCAATCATAGTGTATTGAAATGTCAGATGGGTTGGTCGTCTTAACTCTTCAACAAATGGTTTTGGAATACCAAACATGCCCTTAAAGGTTTTCGTCCATCCTCTCGTGATCCCGCTTTTTCCAAGCTTGCTTGAATGGAGGATCGAAGAAGGTAAGAAATATTGAGATTGGGCGACCGACTTTCGCCCTGGCTGGCCATGAACTACTTGACCGAACTAAATAGAGGAGGTAAAATAGGTGCTTTTTGGGGGGAAAAGAGATGCAACTGTAAATTGAACATGTGGTCCCACAATCTCCACAGCAAGTGTGCGCACGCGGAGGATGTTAGACGATTTCTCACAGCTCAACCACTACACCACGAAGAGTTTCATGGCAAAGTGTATAATTGCGGTGGCGGTTGAAAGGACAGCCCACCATGGAAATTTATATACCTGCCATATCTTATCTGGTTCACCCCTTCACGTGTGTACTCCGGCAGTTTGCCCTCTTCTCACCGCAGTAGTCGATGTCTGAACTCCATTATCCCACAAGCCAGACACATCTTGATAGGTTCTGGGTCACGTATCAGTGAGGAGACATTCCATAACCGACTATGTGCCTGGGAAAGATGGTGGAAGACAGAAGAGCCGGGCCACAGCTGCACATCAGGCAACAAATTCGATTCCCAGGACACCTACCCTACTTTGAATCGTCTATTCCCTCCAAACGGCCACGTCATTGTCCACCTCAAAACCCTTGGGCTTTCCGTAAATGACAAGGGCTAACCGTCGACTTTGTCAGTTCATCCAGAGATTACAACATACCTAGGTAGCCAGTAGGTAATCACCTATCCCACATGCACTTCACTTCGAGGGAAAAGAATTATAGCCAGCAAGATTGGACAGCCGGTGTGAGGATACCAACAGCACGTCTTGCCCCTTTGAAAGTCGGCTTTGTCCAACTCCCCCAACCACGCCGTCTGAACAAGATTCTTCGCCAGAGCCTCCTCGCTGCTTTTCAACTTCTCTGGCCGAACAAGCCGTCATAATTAGTAGTTTTGTTTATATTCGTTCATCTCTCCCTTGTATTATTCTTTTTGTTTGACATAGTTGCCCACAGGGCGTCGAGACCCATCGCATGCTCTCTTCGAGGGACATCCAGATCCATGGGATCATCTCTGCTCAGACTCAGGCCGGGCTGGGAAAGCGTCATAGTTGGCAATTTTGTCCACATTATTCAACCTTTCTATCTCACCAATCGATCATTTTGTTCGACATAGCCAATGAGGCGTCAGCAACCTCGGCACCTCGACTTTATATGAAAAGGTAGTCAGACTTTGCCGAGAATAGTAAGGACCTTACCGGTGATTGCAACAACGACAACGTTGTGCTTCCGCCCACACTTCTTGACTCTCCGATCCAGTCTCCAACACAGACACTTCTACTACCAGGTCCTCGACCAAGATCTACTTGTGTAGCTTCTCCTGCCGGGACCCAGTACGGTGCCGTTATCGGGATAGTCCCAGGAATATATAGCTCCTTATATAGCTAAAGCGATTCACCCGCATCGGCCACGATCTGTCAGCCGACCTTCACGTCGCCCTCGCCGAAGCCCTATGGCAGGAGCCGAGGGCTTACTTACGACATTCGAGCCATCGCGGCCCAATGCAGAATTGATTTGGTGCGTTGCGAGATATGGCGTTCTCTCCCGGCACCACCCTCGTCGCCGCCGCCGCCGTCGCCGTCATCGGTCTACAATACTCGTAGTAGGCGTCGCGGCCGCCAAGGGGGTGGACAGCACAAAACGGCAGCCGCAGCGGCGAGTGGTCGACCCATCGCTGACGGAGACCCAAGTGGCGGAGATGATGTCAACTGAGATCGTATGGTCGCCGGCGGGGACGTGAACTCCCCGTCTATGCCGTGGTGATGAGAGATGCGTTCCAAGCTCGACTGAGACGTAGAGTCCCTGCTTGCTTTCGCTCGAAGCCTTGAATATCATCACTTCCCCGTCGACGGTTCACTTTTCAGACAAGACCCTGTAAGTGACAGAGTAGGGTCTCGTTTGGTGCAGTCTTCTGCTTCGCGGACGCGTATGGCATGTAGCTCAGGCCGGTAACTTGCAGATCGCCGCCATGTCGGAAGGCAGAACCTCTTCAGCACCACGCTGTACCCTGGCGTGGGACCGATTCGGTTGTGGCATCGCGCTGTGTCGTCTGGCGTGGAATACCCCAATTTCAGGATCTTGCCGAGCGTGCCTTTCTAGCGCAGCGACTGGAAACAGGCGCTGACCTAGATCCATGTCATCGTCGAGATTGATTGGCCTAGATAGTTTGGAGCCAAGCTGTAGCTGTATAAGGTAGTTAGCTGCTTCACGGCTTGGCTGCTCGCCGCGGCGGCGAACCCCTTCGCTGAGCTGGCCGTCATCGCGGGAGAAAGCGAGGTATGCTACACCACGGCAACTGGATCCCAGACCATGGTCGACGAAGTGAGCGACTGGGCGTATAAGTAGCGCGCGGAAGATGCGGCAAACGATTAAAAACCGCACACGCAGGTCAAATCTTGTTCAAGAGCCCGTCGACCGAGGCGCTGTACCATGCGGCTTCCTATCCCCGTTGTAACAAGACGACCCCGCTCATCTGCGAGGCTTTGTCTTGCCCTCTCGTATACGCGCCATCCTTGGCAGTACTCGTCATGGTCGAAATGATCATCCACCTAGACGGCAACGTTGCCCAGGACTAGGGAATGGACGATATACGAGGTTAGATGACCTCCTCGGGCGTTATAAAACGCTCATGGAGTACCATGCCGTCCCGATTATACCACCGGACTAGTAATAGAGGCTCGCCGGAAGCTAAGAATCCTTCCTAATCATCTAGGAGGAACGACGTCTCTGTTAGAGGTTCCGACTAGACAATGTAGGAGCGTGACGTAAGCGATTCTAACTACGGGCTCGCTATAATACATTCTCAGGGTCATTGGGTATGTCGTGTCTGGTTATATAGAGGAGTGAGCAAGGGCTAGGAGCCCTTGCTCCGACTCGGTAAGATCCCTGATGCGGTAGGGACGCCGGTCCCGTACTTGTTGTTGGTAGGCCTATACCCAAAGTTAGTATACCGACAAGGTGCGGTATATTAGGGCAACCTGGTCATGTCGAGACAGGGCCTTCTAGGTCCCTGCCATTCAGAAGACGTATCTCGTCCGGTAGCCCGGTCGTCAACGGGTACTGTTGTGTCTGTGAAAGGGACAGAGTGCGCTTCTATTGGTGACGAAGCTGGGGATAAGACTCGTGGGGAATAGTCAAAGAACGGGAAAATGGGAGAATGAAAAGAGCGACGAGGAAAACATTGATGTGTCCAAATTTCCCGTCTTGGCGGATAGGACCTGGTGTAAGTCAGAATCCAAATAAGTGCCTAATATGAGGGTGGTGGTGCAGGTTGGGTCGGAAGTGAACCTTGAGATCATAAAAAGCGGTTCCTTGGACCAATCATTTCATCAAGGCGCGATGGCAGAGTGGTCTAATGCGTGAGACTCGAAATCTCATCTCTTCGGAGGCGTCGGTTCAAATCCGGCTCGCGTCGTTTTTGCAACATCCCTCTCCTAAATTCACATCCAATGAAGTCCAGCTTATGTTTTTGCCCGATCGAGCTTTGTACGGAGGCATTTGATTCAGGCTTTCGCTACAACTAGGTAGTATTTGTCCCTGAGGAACGCACGTAAAATACCGATGTAACCTGAACTGGTGGTGACATCTGTTTATCATAGCGGGGATGAAAACAGCCCATCGAATCTGGTTACAAATGAATGATGGTCCCATCATCAATCCTTCCCCAGGTACCCAATTGACTACCTAGATATTGTTCGGCTGCTGTGGTAACAGCATCCAGCCAAGAAGGGTCGGCCGGAGAGAGCACCCCCATCCATACAAATGCGCATATGACCGGTTTGAAGAAAGACTAACCAGCGGCTCTAGTCCGCCTAACGCTCAAATTTATGACGTGGCCGATATCTTGCGCCACGTCTTGAATTGTTTCCATGGGCCATGCCAGCTTTGCAGAGCGAATACCTTTGAGTTATTTCACGTTGCCTCTCTTCCTGTCGCCCATGCACTTGGCTCCACGAAACCGCCTCTCAACAACAACCCCCTGTATTTATTTCTCCCCCTTCCTCCCGACCGCGCTCCCATGGGCATAAGAATAATGCCACCTCTCCCCCATCATGTCCGCCCTAATCTTATACTCCTTCTCCAGCGCCGGCACCGCCCTAAAGTCCACCTCCACAACCCTCATGACCTCCTCATTCACCCCCTCGGGACCCGCTACCCTCCCCAGCACGGGCACAACAACCTGGCTGACCCCGCCGGCGTTACAGAACACCACGACGCTCTCGCTCTCAAACGCCCGCGCAACCATGACATTATTCAGAAACAGGCTCTCACAATCCGGGTTCATCCCCCGCCGCTCCTCGTCCAGATCGCTCCCGTCCACCAGCCAGAAGCTGGGCACGACGATCAGCTCGGCGCCGTCGGCCACCAGCGCGCGGAACGCCTCGGGAAATGCCACGTCCCAGCAGATGAGCATGCCGGCGCGGATCGGCCGGTCGTTTTCCTCGGGTCCCCAGCTGAGGGGCGTGTCGAAGGCCTTGTGGGGCGTGGTCTGGGAGATGCCCGCTGTGAGATGGGGCCGTTCCGGGTGCCAGAGGTTGAGTTTCTGGTAGGAGGCGATGAGGGAGCCCGTGGGGGAGATCCAGTAGGCCATGTTGCGGATTTCTTTGTCGTCGTTGTCGTCGTCGCTTTTGTTTTTGCTTTGTGGGTTCAGTGAGGAAGAAGAAGAAGGAGGAGGAGGAGGAGCGGGGTGGACCTCGCAGATTGTGCCGGGGACGATGCTGATGTTGAGCTCCCGCGCGAGGGCCTGGTAGCGCGGGAGGTAGGTTGCTGACTCGGCGCAGGCCGAGATGAAGCCTGGGTGGTCCGGGCACCACGAGGTTAGGTGATATTCAGGCAGGACGGCGAGGTGCGCGCCTTCGGATGCCGCTTGCCGGATGAAGGCTTCGGCTCGCTTGAAGTTGTCCTCGACGGCGACATCCTGGCCGTGGGTGTTAGAAGGGTTACGGTGAGTGAGGGTGGCGGTGAGAATGAGCACTGGACACCAGGAAAACAAACTGGTTACTCCGGCCATGATAATCCGGAGTCCGGACTCCGGAGAGCCGCAGGCAAGATCTAGAAGAATGCCACTGTGAGCTCACCTTCGGCTGAAGCTGGATAACCGCAAATTTGTAAACGGGCGCCATCGGGATCTGTGGTTGCTCTGTATCACGTTCTTTTGGTTGACATCCAACGGTCCAGTGTCTGAGTGTCTTCGCAAGTAAACAGACTGACAATAAAGAGGTGTTGATCTGGGCAGGAAGCTGCTTTGCACCCGCAAGAGAGTTGGTTACGCAAGGCCCGAGCCCGGCATAGAGACATCCGCCGGTGTCCGGCTTATACCCCGCTTCGAGTGGATCTGCGGCCGCACCGAGCGGAGGTCACTGGAGGTCCTTGAAGGGGGCGTCGGCCCGAGGCGAGAGAGCACAGAGGATCCGAATGCATCTTTAGCCATTTCTCATTCGTGTTGATTTGTACCTCCGTAACTGCTGGTAATGATATCCAGCTACTTTCGTGATTCGTGGCCTGGGAAACACGTACTGTCCATTCTATGGTTAAAACAAGACCACAAGACCGCCCGTCCCTCCGATGCATGACGATCCCAAAGCCAGATCCCTTCCCGCCCAACGCCGTCTCCTCATAATGCTGTCTCCCCTCAAAGAATGGTGCCGAAACTGAGAGGTGTGTTAGTGGCAGAGACTGTGCATTGCGGAGGATACTCAACCTACCCGAAAGTCAACTTGATGCTCCGGACGTAGTATTCCAGCCAGTTCCGCTTGGTCACTTCCTCCTGACCGATGGGAACACCCGTCCACTCCACGCGCATGACCGTGACCTTGTCCACGTCGTTTTGGTCGAACTCGATCTTGAGCTTCGAGTAGTGACCCGTCGGCCACTGTTTCAGACGCCAGCTCTGAACAATCTTGCGTGGCTCCTCCAGCTCCAAGTACTCGCCCGCTACGTTTCCGTCGAACAGCTCGAATTTGCCGCCCTTCTGGGGCCCCTCGAACAGCTTCGGCGCTCCACGGGTGAATGCGGCTATCCGCTGGGGATCGGTGAACGTCTTGTACATCTCTTCAGCGGTCGTGCGGAATTCCTCCGTGTCATTCACCGTAGTCGTGTTAACGATGCTGCCGCTGTTCGTCTGCGAGCTCGTTGCTGTCGCGGGCTTGGCCGCGGCTCCTGTCGGAGGGTGGTACTTGGGCGTGGAGAACCCGCTCGACGGGTTCGACCCGGGCGCGTGCTGGATATCCTTGCCGTGCTCGGCGACAAGCGCTGGCGACAGCTTCAAGAACTCGCTCCGAAGCTGGGGGACGAGCTTGGACCGCACGAGGTCCTTAACCGGCTGCTTCTCCTTGGATTCGGAGTAGATGTCGATGTCGAACTGTCACTCTCGTTTTAGCCAGCCGCGCCGGGCAGACTCCTACATACAGGAAGCGCAAACCTACCACAAACTCGTCCTCCGCCAGGTCATGCGAGACCTCGGGAATGGTGATGGTTCCCGAGATATCATCGTCTTCGGCGATGGAGCCTGGAGAGAACTTAGCCTACGGTTCCAGAGAAGTCTACGAGGGATGCGGGCCAGGTGCCATGGGAGGAACAGGGTGATTTTATTCTATGAAAATACGTACCTGCATACTCCAAAGTTAACTTGACATCAAAGATGGTAATGACCTTCCCCTTGCGCTGCGCCACCTCGACATCCCCGTTCATGCTGATGACCTTGGTGATCTTGGCTGCCACATCCCCCTCCTTCGCCTCAAGCTTGGTGAGATTGTCCTCGAACCATTGCCGCGTCCACGCCGAGGCGTCCTTGTTCACCCAATGCCAATTGTTAGGGTTGTGCAGAACCATCTTGTCAGTTGCCGCGAGGGGTTCGACGCTGGTCTGGAGTCGATCTACGGATTCGGTCAGCAACGAGCTTAGACAAGCTGAGGCTAGAACTGAATGAAGCAGTGCTCGATCAGAGTTGGTCTGGTGGACCGCAGCATCTGTCATCAAAGGAGGGAGTACAAGTCACCCTATGACTGGTGCCAGCTGAACGATCATCAAGGAGCAATTGGCCGTCGACGGAGAGAAAACGAAGTCTATCGACATACCTGTTGTGAGTGGTGGATGATCTGGCGCCGTCGGGGATTGTTGTCGTGGAAAGGCGAGCTGAATGGGTTGGGGAATTGGGCGAGGCTTCGCCCAAATGAAGGAAAAGGGCAATTGTCAGAGAGCAGCTTGGAAAGCTCTAGAAATCACAGCAGGCTCCAATTTGGGCGGAGAGAACGGGCAGTAACCACCACCGCCTTTGGTGGGGTTGTGTTCCTGAAAGGCTGCCGTTGCTGTGGGTCTCGGATCTCGACTTTCAGCGAACACAAGAAACTGCCTTCCGCGCTGTTTCTCTGTTTTTGAATGATCGTATTACGAGTGTGTCTAGGCAGAGCATGTACATGCTTCTTACTTACGAGAACATAGGCCAGAAGCCACATAGCTGTCCAGTTATACTATCATTGGAGAGCTGAATCTACAAACACGCATTGCAAATCCATCATGGCAGCTACAGTCTGACAAAGGGACTATGAGCACTATAGTTCTCTAGCCTCTTCACTCTGCATACTAACGAGATGTCTACCACTCTCTGTACACTCTTGCTTCTCCGTCCGCATACATATAGAGTATACGGTGTGCGCGAGGTCTCCTGCGTACGACGCAAGGAGCTCTAAGGCAGCTGCCGAACGACGACCTATAGCGTCAGTCAGCAACACAACATACCATGGACCTCAGGTCGCTGCCGAGTGCCAATGCGTGGAGCAAAACACTCTCATAAGATCGAGAGTTGGAGTTCGGAACTTCGAATCGCGGCTAGTCCCTATTCTGGGCCCACCGGCTTATGTATGGAGTGCGTACCGGTTGAGTCCCGTGCCGGGAACCCCGGGCTGACCCGCAACCGCCGGTTCCCACTCTGGACGACCGGTATGGGGCGCCGAACTGGACCCGAAGAAAGCCCAAGGAAATCAACGCTGTGGTTCCAACCAACTGGGAGATGGGCGCCAAGATCCAACGGTCGGGCACGCTGTGGGCTTGTTCAGCCCGCGGACGATCCTCGGGTTCAAGCATGCAGCAATGCTCACTGAAGCCGCATTCATAAGTCGAGCCTCAACCTTCCAAGCGCCTTAGGTTACTTCCATCTTGAGGTCACACCCGGAAAACCCCCCTTCCGCTGCTCAGATGCGGCCAAGCAACAATGCAAGGCTGTCGACCTAGCTTCACCAAGGCGCCCTGGCTACCTAGTTAAAACGCCCGAGAGCGGAGCGTCGACGTTAATCACAACTATTTTGAGCTTTCTCATGGTCGTCCGGCGGGTTCAAGTGCAAAACAAAGTGAAATGTGAGTTCCTCTCGGAACGAGAGTCATCCGATGATGGCGGATTGGGTATAATGAGGACCAGCAGGGCGAATCGGCTCTCAAGTCTATGTAGTTGGCCCTGCGGAGATCCTGCTATTAATATCTGTTCCCCTTCGATCCCTGAGATCTACATAACTTAGAAGGAGTGGGGAAGAGCTGCTCAATGGCGTCTCGAGGAACGCGTGATCTCTGTCTTATTGGATGGCTACTTTTTGCCCACTTAGACCCATCGGTCTCGATTCTGGATGCGCTAGCATACTGTGTAAGTCAGATATCGATGTTTGGATGTTCTGAGGCCGATGCGAATCAGGTGTACCTCGAACTGGATCCCGCTCTGACCCGAGTCACTTCTCCGCTGTCCATGAAATTGTGGACTTGGGGCAAACGTGTGCTCGCTGTTCGGTGTACTATATACGCTCCATCTATGCCTGGCTGGTTGAAGGCAAGGGATGTGGTTGCGTTGGTTGGCTAGATGTTGGTGCTGGCCAGTTGATGGTTTGAGGTACTGTTGTTGGCGGTCAGATCTCGCGGGGGGAAGCCGATGGGCCAGAGGCAGGCTGTACGTACCCCAGCACGACTCCAAAAAAGGGCTCTTCCTCGCACTCCTGGCACGACTGCGGACGTGCATATTATGTACGACGTCTTGCACCACAAAATGGAAACATCCGCTAATGCATCATCAATCATGCGACAAGGGGAAAGTTAAGCGCCGGCAGCAGTGCATCACAACCAATGCACCTTTCCTGGCGAATCAACGCAGGCATTGTTGAATTTTGCCCGCGAACCAAGAATAGATCCTCGGCACAGACCTCGACGACCTCGCTGCCCAATCCCGTCTCCTAGGTGCCCCTGCAGATGGCTCTACTGTACCGAGTACTAACCCCCCTTGCGGAGGTACTTTCACGCCTTTGTCCACCCCGTCTTTCCAAGCTCGCCACCACGCTGTCGAGCAAATGTTCATGCTATCGGAGTCGGAGATAGCGAGGCTGGGCATCTGACGAAGGTTTACTGAGCCCTTGCTCGCCCTATGCAGGAACGCTAGCACGGGCATCTTTTAGCGTTGTCACGCACTCGAGCAAGGCGTAGCTATCCCTGAACTTTGCAACCCAAGACCGGTGTGTCTGCTCTTCCGCGTGTTTGACCCCAACAGAAACGGGGTTCGGTTCGTCCTCCTGAGACAAATTCGCTTGCTGGACGAGTACGGCAAGCAGCCGTTGGCGTCGGCTGGTAAACAACGAGACACACGTCTCTCAGGATACTAGTACAGCTAATTACTTTCCGCTGCAATTGAACGTATGACGAACGGCTCTCAACATTGGAAGACTGGGCAGTTGCATCCTAGCCTCCTACGAGTCACGACGCGACAGGTTACACCATTGCAGGGGCAGCCTGTGCGGCCTCCTCTCGAAAACTGACCACAACCCCTCCCTCGACCATTCTGCAAGTCGCCAAGGCTGCCCACCACGGACAGCCAGTCCAACATCAAGCGGGAGGGGGCTCCCGCTTTTCAATGCAGGCTCGATAGTTAATCTATCCACCGGCAGCACTCCCACACCAGGGTGCTGATAGGCTGCAGCGTCTACGGTAGCCTCTGCTTGATCTGGCTGTCGGACCGGAAGCAATCCTGTTTAACCTGCCACGCTCCCACCTCCCGCTCCGGCCTGGTAGCCCGCACCACCTTGCGCCACAGCCGCGCTTGGGAGGACGACGGCGATAGAGAAAAGCTTCGGCCGGTTCACCCGCCACAATCACCGAGATTTCAAGCGAGCGTCGCTTTGGTGGCGGGTACGACCTGACGGACGACTGCGCAAAGATATAGCCCCGACCGTGAATGGATCGGTGAACGTGTCGGCGCGGTCTGTCTCCGGTGTCGCCTTGAGACGACCTGGTGTATCAGAAGCTTCTCGCTGTCCGTTAGGGGTTTCCAGGACAGCAAGCTACGCGTCGGAGACGGGACTCGTGCCCCGAAGCCCCAGCCTCCAAAAGCCTGGCCCGCCATGATGAGTTCTTCGCGAGATCCCACCGCCCGTCTGCGCGCCGGGTTAAACCCCCTGCTAACGGCGTCGCTGGGGGCCTACCATAACCACAACGCCGCCAACACGCCAGTGTCGGCCTTGTCTGTGAGCTCCCACGGCGCCTTCTCATCCGGTCAGACTCCGCTGAGCGCCATCCAGCCGTATAATCCGCAGGAATGGATTTCTCCGCCAATGCCCGGTCCTGCTCCGGATCGGATGCCACATTTGCAACCGCAGCATGTACAGCAGTATGTACAAGCTGCTCAGCCTTTTCAGGACCCTCAAAGTAAGTTCACCTCCACGGTGCCGACGTCGTTTGACTGACAGGAGCAAAGCGCCACCGCTCCCGCCACCACCCTACTCCCCTCCGCGCAGCCGGCCGATGAGCATGGCCTTCGACCAGGCGCAAGTGGCCAACGTATCCGTTGCCAGGGCCCCTCCTCCCCCGGTTCAGCGGGCAGTCACGGAATCACCAGTCGCCAACCCATCGTTCCCCCCACCGCCCGGAACCAGAGGCGCTTCACGTGAGAGGAGGTTCGGGCTCCCGTCATTCGGGAGGAGGCGGGAAACGGAACAAACAAGTCCTCCGGCAGAGCAAGCTCCGCACTCGAGGTCTTTTAGTATGCTAACGCGGGCGACCCCCAGCCACCCGGCGCCCCTGACGCTCCAGATACCGCCCGGGGTCGAGTCGGATGCCACTCAGAGCTTGGCTCCGGGTGCAAGACGAGCAGCGTCGACTCCGGCCGTGTCCACGCCAACGTCAGCGCGGTCGCGCTCCTCGTCCCAGGTCCGATGGGACGCTCACATGCCCGTACCGCCGCCCCCGCCCGGGCCTGCACCATCGGCATCGAGGTCTCAAAGCGCCCAACGGGTTACGTTGGGAAGCGATCCGGTTGTCTCACCACCGACCCGTAGACCTCCCCCCAGCGGAGTAGCCGCGCTGGGACCGGTTCCACTTACGCCGGCAAATTGGAGGGAAGGCGACAACATGCCGGGCCCCACCCCGCCGCAGACCGAGTCGCCCAATACTGCAGCTGTACAAGGGGCAGAGACCTCCAGTGTTGGAAACTCTACCGCCGGCTCTCAGGCCGAATCCGTCCTATCTGGGAGTCCGTCGACGGGTTTGACTAGGAGCCCTGCTGTGCGAGGAGAGAAGACACTGCTGGAGAGAAGGAGCGAGAGCCGGACGAGGACGGGAACACGGGACCCAATCGATGCGGCAGCGAGACCGCAACCTCTGTCTGACATAGTGATCCCAGGGCCATCAGGATTACAGCGACGCTTGACCATCAGTCGCGGGACGCCCCGGACAGGGAGAACGAGCGAGACTCCCAGGACTGCCGAGTCGCATGAAAGCGGGCCAGAATCACGAACTCCACGTGCCGATGGTTCGATGCAGGGTCTGTCGGGCCAAGTGACGCCAACAATGTTATCGCCCAACGCAGCCGGAAAGCAACCCGAAGTCCGTCCCGCCTTCGCGCCGAAGGCCTTGCCCACCCCTCCAACGGGGAGCCGATCGTCCTCATCGCAGCGAGGGCTAGGCCCGGACACCCCGGCACACCCGCTGACGAAACAAACGGCCATTACCCAGACTACGGAGCAATTTGCCCGGGGTACCATCGAGCGCTTTACGACATTCGCCCAAAGAGAGGCAGCCGCAGTCAACGATGCAGAACGGGTTAGGTTGTTTGCCGAGTTCTTCGTCAGCGAGTCGAGGATACGGCGGGAACGGTACGGGGCAGCCATCGGCGCCATGGGTTCTGAGATACTCGACCTGACCCGTGACTTGTTCCGACCGATGGTTGCGAGACGGGAATCGACCAACTCAGCCACCAGCGGGACCGTGGAACTAACACCGGAGTCGTCCGAGCCCCGATCGCACCGCGGGTCTATCGGATCTGTGCTGGGAGCCGGAACACCGACATCCGGCCAGCATGCACCGCCATCTCCGGGGTCGCCGGCCAACCAAAACTGGCAGACGTCCAATTACATGCCGTCCCTGTCGCCGATCCTGAGCATGAGCGTCAGCGATGCAGTCGACGAGGAGGATTCTCGAGGACGGCCGGCAAGCCGCTGGTGGGAAGCCGATTCGACGGGAGCCCCGGGCCCGAGGATAGAGAGGTCAAAGAGGGAGTCCAAGTACATGGGTGTCCCAAAGGAAGGTCTCGAGGCGCTACAGTGGGTCGACGAACCGAGCTCATCACCCGCTCCCGGATCGAGCAAGCGCACGTCATATCCCCCGGAGAAGACGGGATGGCATGACCAGGACCCCGCGAGTACGCCTCAGGCTTTCTCCCGCAGCTCGCTGTCATCTTCGTCCGCACCAGCCACGCCAAACCCGGACCACCTGGACGTCTCGCGGCTCGTGACGCTGCCACCGCCGTATCCGCGCCACCATCCTGCGGTAAACAACAGCCATCCCGAACTGGCTCAGACCCGCAGCGCCGTGCGCGTGATCAGCGACATGACCGAGATAGATGAAATCAAGGAGCGATTCAAAGAGAGCAGTACCAAGCTCCGTACCGAAGCAGCCGAGGCCGCCAGGAAGCGGCGGCAAGCCCTCCGGCAGCACCTGCAGGCGCAGATCTCGTCCGGCGCCATGAGCTATGCCGACGCAGCCGCCATCGAAGCGGACGCCAAGGCCGACGAGCACACCGCCCTGAAAGACCTCGAGAAGAAAGACTTTGACACTTTCCAGACCGACGTCGTCATGCCCGTCAACGAGATCCTCCAAACCCGCATCACGAAAGCCACCGACCTCTTCTCCTCCCTCCGCAGTCGCCTCTTCGACGAAACACACGAGTCCAACCCCAATCTGCCACAAGAAGAAGGCGACGAGCAGCCCGAGCTCCTCGAGAAACTCACCCTCCTCAAGTGGATCTTCGAGGCGCGCGAAGCCCTGCACCGATGTCTCTACGACCTCCTCTCGGACCGCAACGACCGCTACCGCGACATGGTCCTGGTCCCCTACCGCCTTGCAGGGCAGGACGACAAGGTGCGCTCGGCCGAAGCCTTCTTCGTCGAAGACGCCGCCAAACGCGCACTAGCCTTCTCCGAGGAAGTGCTGCACCGCACGCAGGAGTTCCGCGACGTGGTCGAGGAAACCGTCGTCCGCGGGGTCGAGGTGCAGCTCAACGCCTTCTGGGACATCGCCCCGCCCCTGAAACGCCTGCTCGACAAGATCCCCGCCGACCATCTCGAGGGCTTCCACATCCAGATCCCCGCCGCTGAGTTCGCCGAGAACCCGAGCTACCACGACCACCCCTTGCAATACCTCTTTAGCTTACTGCTACACGCCGAGAAGAGCACGTACCAGTTCATCGAGAGCCAGACGAACCTGCTGTGTCTGCTGCACGAGGTGAAGGAGGCCTGTGTGGCGGCCAAGGCAAGGGTGATGGAGAACGACGGGCGCGATGCGGCGCGCGTCGAGGAGATGAAGGCGGAAGAGGCCCGACGGCTGACGGACGACCTGAAGGAGAAGGTGAGAGTCGTGCAGGACCAGTGGAACAGCGCGCTCGGCGAGACGGTGGGCAGCGTCAAGGAGCGGGTTGGCGGCTGGTTGTTAGAGACGGGCGGGTGGGATGAGAGTTTTGAGGAGGGCGGTGTGGGCGGTGTGTGAAGGGGGTGAAGAAGGTTCGGGTTTTGGAATTTGTCCGTGCGGTGTAGTTGTTTTACATCCTTTTCTGAGGACGAAGAGGGAACGATGTGTTGCTTTGGCTTCGCCTGTGCGGATGGGAGCAGAAATTGCTGTGTCAGGCTCGATATCCTTGATGCGGATGCTTGTCTATTGATAGATACCCTTTCATCATCCCCTGTTTTGGAGCTCATTGATAACGGTAGGATGGATCATGAAGCATATGATTGGGAAGGGTTTGTTTTGTTACTGGGAGGCTTGTTTTGAGGGAGTCAGGGACTCGATTCTTCGATTTTGAGTTTGTTTACCTAACATGGAGGGGGTAAAATGCTGTTCCAAAAGCCCAATCTCTCTGGATACCTGGGTACCTCAGGCCACTGAAAGGAGAGCATAACCGAGCAGGGGAGGTAATGGATGCTGGATATCAACATATCATCATTCTTCTCCGGTCCGGATCGAGTACATCAATAGCAGATAGGAGGAAGAAGTGGAGAGCACGCCATTGCATGTACGGTGACAGCTCATTCCCTTCTCGGTCTCCCTCTTCGCCTGGGGGCCGGTGTCAGCTGCTCCCTGCGTCACTAGCCAGGCGGCTCCTCGTGGATAACACATACCATGATAGTCAACCCATGGAAGAACTTAACCCCAATGGTGCTAGACCTTCGCCAAAACGCCGCCGTCCAGCCAACCCAGAGTCCCATTATTCATTACCCAAGCCTTCCAGACTAGTGCGTAGTACGTATGTCGTTTCCATCTCCTCCCTCGACCCCTTTAGTTAGTTCGTCCCCTACTCCCCTTCCCCTTTAACGCCGTACTCTTCAGGAAGATCCATCCCCACCCTCCGCGCCGTCAGCCGGACCCGCTCCTCCTCGTCCAAGCCCATGCCCGGGTTGTAGCGCTCGAGGAGGGTCGCATAGGTGCGTTGCGCGCGCAGGTAGGCGAGGTACTGTTCTGCTTGGGCGACTAGGAGATCTCCGCTGCTGTTGCTGCTTTCGCTGCTGGGTTGGGAGGACTCGAAATTGTCGCGCAGGCGCTGGTGCAGGGGCGCGCGGGGCGAGGAGAGGATCGGTCGTGGTGGGAGCTCGCGTAGGAAGGAGCGGTATAGTGAAAGGAGGGTTGAGCGCGTTGTTTGCGGAGTTGCCATCTTGATGGTGAGAGACACTTGGCCGGTCTTCAAAATCTGTTTTCAGGTGGTTGGACCGAAGGCGCGTCGTTGGCTGTGGAGGGTTTCTCGGGACTCAGATGCAGCGACATCAAAAACTGCGATGATTATAGTTCAGTTGAAGCTGTCCCCTAACCCTTATCTCGCGGGGCATCGCCCTCCCGCGTCCCGGCAGGCAAGATTGGCCTTTGGAATTATCTGCGATAAGATTATCGCGATCCTCAGCAGCTCTCTCAACCAACACCAGCAAAGGCGCCTTCCGAGGTCCGCATGCGCAGCCTTTGACGCCATGGCAAGCTTAAGGACACCATCACCAAGAAGCTTACTATATGTCTGCACGAGACATCCGCCAGCGCCCGGACCGTTACTCGCACAGCCCTTCTCAACCTCGGCCCCCACATTCCGCAACCCACCGGTCATTTCCAAACGGAACAGAGTCAAAGCAGAGGCCAAAGCAGAGGCCAAAGCTGCGGCCCACAGAGGCCCTGGCACAAAAGAAGGCAGCAACAAGGAAGATATCAACCGCCGCCAGGGCTTCTACTCCTACATTCCGCCGCCATCCAACGACCCATCTCCCCGCGCGATCCGCACCCCAGCCCCAGACAGCGTCTCCCTCGTTGCCGCACAGAACATCTTCGTCGCACACCCCCGACGCTTCCTCTACTCGGCGTCGCGCTTCCTCGAAATCCCGCCCAACACCCACACGCCCGAGGTCTGCCTCCTCGGCCGCTCCAACGTCGGCAAGTCGACGCTGATCAACGCGCTGGCCGGGCTCGAGGCCGCGGCGGCGGCGCGGGCCCACGGTCGCGGCGCACGTCTGCGCGGCCTGGCGCTCACGAGCAAGACCGCGGGGAGCACCACCACGATCAATGCGTATGGCTTTGGGCTGCCGTCGACACAGCAGCGGCGCGATGCGCTGGAGCGTGCTGCCGAGCATGCGCAGGGGTTGAAGGAGGGTGGCTTGTCGAGGTCAGAGAGGAGAGGGTTGCCTAGGGAACAGCCGCCGCAGCATAGGCTCATAATGGTGGATATGCCTGGGTATGGGCTGGGGTCGGAGGTTTCATGGGGGGTGGAGATCAGGAAGTATCTGGCGAGGAGGGAGATGCTGAGGGGGGCGGTGCTGCTGATTGATGCCGTGTCGGGGGTCAAGGACTCGGATCGGATGGTGTTGGGTATGTTGAGGGATGCAGAGGTGAAGACATCCGTCGTATTGACCAAGACGGATAAGTTGGGAAGGGATCGCGCTAAGGTGGAGCAGCTGTGCTTGAGCGTGTGGGAGGAGCTGAGGAAGGCGGAGCAGGAGAGCCTGACGTGGCTTGAGGGCGCCCAGAACGGGTGGCAGAATGAGATCTATGTGACGTCGGCGGGGAATCCGGACAATGACGGTTCCGGTGTCGGGGTAGTCGGGGCGAGGTGGGCAATCTGCCAGATGGCTGGGCTCGTGAAGGACGACAGGGTGCTGCAGCCCGCGCCGCCCTCGCCTGCAACCCAGAAGATTGTGTCGTTTGACCAGATCCAGTGGGCGTATTCGTCGAGCGAGCCGAAGGCGGCGGACAGCCAAGGGGAACCGGGCAGCGCAGGGCGCCAAAGTCTGTTCTGATATGTGTAAGAAGACCTGTAATTAAAGATGAAATAATACCTTGTACATCATGGTGGACAAATCAGTGGTCCGGAGTGTAGTTATTGTGTTGCTCTATTACGCCTCGTAGTGTGTGCTGGCGATATTCCCTTGAAACCGTCTATTTCTAACGAGCCGTAGCCTCTACTTCCCTTACGCCAGGTAGATTTTCCTCGCTCTCCTCCTCTTCTTCCGCCGCAACCTGGCCTCCGGCACCGGCACATGCGGGTCCCGGAACATGAAGCCCGGGACAAAGACATCTAACAAGTTATCCCATAACCCCAAGTCATACAGATTTTCCACGTCCTTCAACCTCCACACCGCCTCCCACTCCCCGACGCCGGGCAGATCCGTCCCTGGGTCCGGCGGTCTCCCGTTTTCCGTCCTCACCAACACCTGCTCCGCCTCCACAGGCCATCTCGTCCACGCCGGCTCGACCCTGATATCCTTCACCCTCCCGCTGTCCAGTCGCCTCTTGAACGCAATGCCATCGTCCATATCCATCTGCCAGTCCGACCACTTCATCGATTCATTAGTCGTTGTGCCGCAGTAGATCAGCCACAGATGATACCCCAACAGCCCCCACACCAACGGGCTCGTCATCAGCGCGAGCAGCGTCACGGCGCCAAAGGCCACGCCCCCGCCCGCTTGCATCCCCCAGCTCCATACGATGAGCCACTGGGTGAAAGACATGTCTCCACCGCGATTGTCGTGCGAGAGCCAGGGGTAGTACGACCAGCCGGGGAAGCGCAGGCGCATCTTGGCCGTCATGAGCCGCACGCCCAGCACGCCGCCGTACAGCGTCAGGACCGCCGTCGAGAGCAGCAGGAGGACGAACCAGTGATGGTTGCCCGCGCCGACGCAGTTGTTGATGAAGATGCAGTGGTGGTCCTGGCGCGCGATGCAGCGCTTGCACACGCGGCAGTGCTTGGACCGCGCCGGCTTCAGGAGGCCGCACGTCGAGCAGGCCGCGCCCGGGTGGAAGAGCGTGAAGTCGTACGGGTAGCGCGCCATCTCGGTGATGTGGTTGGCAGGCGTGACGTACCCTGGATCAGAGAAGGCAGAGAGGTAGAGGAAGAGGTAGGGAAGGAGGATGGCGACGGTGGCGGTGGCTTTCACCAGCGGGCTGAACTGCGGCCAGGCGGCGGGCAGGTAAAGCGTCTCGCCGCCGATGAGTAGGGCGAGGAAGAAGACCTAAGGTGTTTGTTATTAGCATGTACTCGAGGTTGGACGGTAAGGGCAGCGTCGTACCAATATGGTGGGATGCCGGTCATATAGAAGGTAGTTGCCGAAGCGCGAGCAGGACGTGAGAATCTTGCCTCCGCTGAGCCGCTGGTCGAGGCCCGCGGCCCCGTTGGGTATGAGAACCCATATTAGCTTGTAGAGCCATGCAACTGGCGTGTGTCTGGACGGCGTCAGAACATGGTTCTCTGTTATTGACCCTTGCGGTTGAGGGTCCGGAGTCTGGACGCGTCGTACCTCAATGCGGGCAGGCGGCCAAAGAAGGTCACAAAGATCATGAAACTTATGCCCAACACGACGAGGGCGATGGTGGCAATTGTGCCCATATTGAGCGGTTGTCGTAATATAAATCTGGCAGCAGAGGCATCCTACATCCAGCTGCACTGACGTGACAGATGCGCTGCTGGATGTTTACTCAGTACCTCAGGGGTGGTGCAGGTCGTTCGTGATGGCCAATCGGCACAATCGGAAGCCGGACACAATGATTGGAACAAGTAATGCGCAGGAAGGACGACGGAATAGTAATGACTTATACAACTGGCTTGCTCTAAGGCTAATATTGGAACCTAAATCGGTAGGGGTGATACTTTAGACTTATGACATGTGGCGAATGTGGTCTTAACGCCTTGAGCGGATAGGCCGGACTGGCCGAGTTGGTTCAGGTTGCGGCGTAACGTATTTCATATGTAAATACCAGAGGTAACATTTGAGCCTCGATGTAGTTGAAATTACCGAATACCTACATTCACCGTTATTACCGGAACTTCCGCATGACAGAGCCGTAAATTATGTAATCCCCGTGATAGCGTGACAGATTTTGCCCCACCATGCCACGCGAAGACGCGGTCAGGTTGCAACTCCCGCTTTGGCTTTCATTCCCATCTGCCTCGATTCACAGCATGCACACCCTGTGATTTGATTTGATGATCCTTGGAACTGCCTTGTTATTGGGTTTCTCAGACTACCACACGCGCAAACATCCGGACGACTTTGAGCAATCGCACGTATAGACACGCCATAGATGCGTGCTTTTGAACAAGCCGGAAGTGGCAGTCAGATCAGTCTCGCAGTACCTGTGCGATCTCACCCCTGACGGCCATCTAACACAGACAGAAGAGACTTTGGTTCCCAGCACCAAAATTCACTTGTTTATTTACCGCTCCATCTCCAACACACACATACCGAGAGTCACGTTGTATCTTCAGGGTTAGGGTGCAATTTACATCTTTCAACTTCTACTTCGCCATAATGCCACCATGCCAACTACTGTCGTGTACGAAGGAGTGAATGGCAAGTACGAGGGCACACTCTTCAACGGGGTCAAGTTCTGGGTTTCACATAGGGTTCCCGCTCGGAGCTCTGTCGTTGACAAAATCAAGGCATGCTGTCCCTCTTTCTCGGGTCCAGCTCCTCCCACATCCACCGCCATGGATCTAACGTCTTCCAGGATAATGGCGGCAAGATCGTGCTGCTGGAGAAGCACGCCGACGTGCTGATTGCGGATCATGCCAAGAAGACACTTGCCCCTGCGGGATCTGTGTCGTGGAAGTACGTTGAGGATTCGGTGGCCAAGGGCGAGCTGGCCAACATCGATGATTACCGAATACACGACGTGGAAGGGAAAAGGCCGGCCAAAGGCACGAAGGTCCCTTTTAGCGAAGAGGATGATCGGATACTTGTGACCTGGGTGCGCCAGAAAGAGAAGGCTGGCGATTACCTGGCCGGCAATAAGATTTACCAAGAGCTTGAGAAACTGGTCAGGAGTTCCTACAAGCTACTTGAACTGTGCGCCGTTGCTAACCCTTCCCAGTATCCTCACCATACATGGCACTCATGGCGGGATAGATGGGTCAAAAGGTTGGCCTTCGTCCGTGAGGAGGCCTTGCCTACCCAACTACCAGAGCTGCCCCTTTCCCGCTCGCCGCCATTTTCCGCGGAGAAAGGCGAACCAGTTAACCTCGAACATAGCAAGACACCTAATGCCGAGGTCACAACGCCGCCCAACGGCATTCGAGCCAAATTCACCAAGGAGGACGAGCAGATTCTCATTACTTGGGTGCGCCAGAAGCAGAGAGTGGGCGAGAAGCTCTCGGGCAACAAGATCTACAAAGAACTGGAGCAACTGGTAGGTGGGCACTAGCGCCTAGGGCATGCGCAACCGCTGACTTCCCTCAGCATCCGCAGCATGGCTGGCAGTCCTGGCGTGATAAATGGGTTAAACAGATGGCCTTCCTCCCTGAAGAGGGCTTGCCGGCACCCCCGCCAGACGTGCAGCGGCTTCCCACCGTTACGCCAGCCAGCACGTCTAGAACTACGCCTTCCGTCATCACAGCTGCCGCTGGCGCTGGCGCTGGCCCGTCGACTAGGCCAGCCAGCACGGCGACTCCGCCAGGCAAATCGACCACACAACCATACCGGGACCCCGGCGCTGCTGGTAACCCCCAAACACCGCCGATAAAACCAATATCACGCAGCAAAGTTGTTTCCGAGCCGCACAGTAGCCCAAAGTCAAGTGGCCCAAGACCCAGCAGGCTGCAGGAGCTGGCACGCAGACGGAAGCTGGTCCAGGCCGCGAGGACAGTCCAACGTGTTTGGAGAGGCTATGCAGTGCGGCGGGATATCCGGCAAGCAAGCGAATACATCAGGGCATTTCAGGCGATAGCTCAAGGCTACGTCACACGTCGTGTACTCGAAGGGGAGGAAACAACATGCTTCGATACGACCGAGCCGGTAGTCGTCGAAGACAACCCTCCCACACCTGTGCCTGACCGGGATCCCGAACCGCTTCGTCCTCCTGATGTTCCGTCTCCTAATCCTCGGCCGCCAGTGCAGACAAAATTCCCTACCCAAAAAGAGGATTTCTGGCGCTACTTCAACGCGTTCAACGAGGTTACCGGTGCCGCGCCTGCTCCCTGGGTGCAGATTGGTAGGCGCACCGTGGATTTATGGGACCTCTGGAGGGGCGCTACTGCGCAGCCACATCATGGATCCCGTGACTGGCAAGAAATCTGTGAAGAACTCGGTATTGACTGGGTAGCACAGCCGGATGCGCCGGTGCAGGTGAAAGGTGCTTTTGAGCAGTATCTGTTGGAATTTGAGAATGCGGTAGGAGAGTTTGAGCAATTGTCCTGGGAGGATACAGAAGACGGTACGACGAGTCAAAATGGCGGAACGGGTGAACAGGCAACCGAGGGGGACCAGGACGGCCAGGAAATGAATGTGGACACTGAGGAGGAGCCGGTTCAGGAGTCGGGGAACAGGCAGAGGGATCAAAGAACAGACGAAGAAGGGGGCGTTAAAGAAACTGTTTCACAGCTCTCAGACGACATTCCGTCCTCCGTCCCAGTATTTGGTCTGAAGAGATCTTTCGGGTTATCCGCTAGCTCATTCCTCAGCTCAGCCAGCAAAAGGCTGCGATACGACCCGAGCAGTGAGATCCCCTGCACACCCGAAGCTCGATCTGGACGGGCTGGGCAGGGGCCGGCAGGAGCCAGAGCGGCTGTTACCGTTCAGGAGACTCCGACCAGGCGAGGTCGTCCACGGCCGCCCGCTGAATCGGGGGGTCACAGCTTACCATCCCCGTCTGGACTGGACGGAGCAAACGACGATGAAGAGCTTCTAACCCCGTCCCACCAGCTGCTATCGGAAGATGATGCAGGCCCTCCTGCTAAGGGCATCTCCCGAGACGATCGGGGGATCGCGTGGACGAAACAACCACTTCTACCGTCCGTCGAGAGTGAAGACAAATCCACCGACTCGAGCGATGCCTTCGAATCCATTCTTCCGACGAGAGCTCAACCGCCCAAAGAAAATCCCCGCCGCCGAACCTTACCGCGCTCCTGGTCCACCTCCAAGGGCAAGGCACCCGCCGGCCCCAGCTCCGCCCCGGCCGCGTCACCGCCTCCAAGACCACCGATCTCAAGCAGGCAAATAGTACCCCTTTCATCCCACTCCGGCGCACCAACCACAATCTTCGTCTTCGATTCCCCCGAAAGGCGCCACACCCTCGCCGTAGCTGCACCCCCAAAGCCGCCAACGGCAATGACAGAGATACGCTCTTCCTCCCACGCCGGGGCTACAGCAGCAGCCACAATCCCTTTCTCCGCTCCGCCGGGAATGCGTACGGTTATCGACCCGCTTCCGACGATACGCCACTTCATCTCAAAGGGCTACCCCCCGCAGGACGTCGCGCTCGCCGCCAAACTCACGACGGCCCACAAGAGCAAGATGCGCGCCGTCCTCGACAGCGTGGCGCAGGGCCACGGCATCCCGTGGAGCATGGCGGGCGTCTGGACGGCGGAGGAGGACGACTTGCTCCGGGGCATCGGACAGTGGGTCGACCGGATGGGCCTGGTGGTGCCTAGGAAGGAGGACAGGGCTTGTTTTGGTAATGATGACGGCCGGAGGGCCGTGTTTTGGCGGCTTGCGGGGAAGCATGGCGGGTTTGCCGTGCTGGAGAGGTGGCCGTACTTGAGGGCTTGGGATCAGTCTTGATACATTGATGGTTTAAGATGATGGGGGGCACTGGTAAGGATGAGTAAGAGTAAAGGAGCAGGTTGTGTAGTATCTTTAGGAAGTTGGAACCAAGGGGGTCGTCGGTAAAGTCGGGCTGGGTTATGGGAAAGAGGCTGTGTTGAATACTCGGTATGGTGAGGTGATCGAATCTGTTAGGGGAGGTCGGAGCAAGGAGTTGACTAGGTACTAATAGTCCCAAAGGGGAAAATGTCAGCATGTTCCAATCACGCGCACCCAGCGGTGTCAGGCAAGATAGGTTGAGCTAACAAACGACGCAGTCGTCGATGGCAGAACGAATATCGTGGGGGGACTTTCTGACACAACTCTCAGGGGTAGAAGATCGCAGGGTTTTATGGGACTTCAGCTACAATCGTTCTATCATCAACAAAAAGCTGAGAGGCTATCGTGATGACACAACAACTGAAGTCTACTGATTTCAAGTGCGGAGAAGGCCAAGGCGGCATGTCACTAACAGGAGAGTAGGAATGCTGTTTGATGATACAGTCGAGACCTCAAATTTGCCATCTGCTTCGCTATCCACGCGGTGTAACACTTGGAACATCATTTGTAATTTCACTCAGACGGCAGCCTTGCCACCTACCTAACTTAGCGTTCACAACAATGATAGATGTGAGCGTAATTTACAGCAGGCTAGGTGTAGACTGAGCCTACTCGCACATCATATGATATTGTTTTAGTCAAGTTCAACTTCTTCAATCCAAACATCTTAGTTCCTAAAACCCCCTCCCCTCCTCACCTCCCCCTTTTGAACTCAGCCAACCCATACATCTCCTTAATCCGATCCGCAATCTTCTCCCCACTCGCATACGTCGTCGCCGTCGGCGCCGAGGTAAGCACCATGGGGCCAATAGCTCGTATCGACAACGCTCAACCCGCCGACCTCGTACACGCTCATCTCCCAATCCACCACACCGCCCGACTCCCGCTTCATCATCGTCGCCGTACAACAATAACTATGCGCACTACTACTCGGCTCCACCACCCTTCTCAGAGTACGCTTCAATTCAACGCCTCCGCATCTGCATCCGTGACATCTTCCCCGAAGGGACATCATGCCCCTCCCTCGGCCCGAGAAGTTAGAACAGCCATGCTCGGGGCTGCGCCATCACCGCCCCTGTGCTCTTGCACACCGCGGCGAGCATCATTCAGCTCCATGTCGACCGGGTCGGGCCAGCGTGTGCGGAAGTCGATCGATCAGCGGGGTGTGCTAGCGGGTTGTCGGTGCTGTTGATTGGCGACGACGACGCCCCCGGCTGAGGAGCGGGCGGAGGAAAGTAGTAGATGTGTGCTTCGGCGTCGGTGTGTTCCACGATAGCAATGTGAACGTACGTCCCCGTCGTCGGGCGGCGGCGAGAATGGATTTCCAGTGCCGGGGGTGGGGAGGGGGGTGGTGACTTCGCGCAGGGAGGGGAGGGCGAGGTTGGTTGCTCAGCCCGCGGGTGATTACGTAGGGGCCGGTCTTCTCTTCGTCGTAGAGTCTTTGTGCTTCGGCGGCGTATGTGGGGTCGGACAGGGACCCGAGGTTGGGTGAGGTGTTGTCGGTGACGTTGTAAGGGATGAGGAGGCTGGGCTGGTCGGCCACCGCGTCGATGTTCAGCTTGTCGAGGAGCGCCTTGGGCCCGACGCCGGGAAGCTGCAGGATTTGGGGCGTGTGCAGCGCGCCGGCTGCGTACGTATGATCTACGGGTCTAACACGATCGAGTACGCTGGCTCGCCGCCGTCGCCGCGAGGGTGAGCTGAGAAGTATGGCGGCTTGTTGCCAAGTCCTTTGGCGAAGACGGGAAGAGACGATAGAAGATCTCTTTGATGCGGCGAGGAACCGGGGGGCTTTGGAACCTTAGCTATGCCGGCCGGACATGTAAAACCACGTCCGCCGTCCTCAGCAGATTAGTCAGCTTGCTGCTTTGGCGACGGAGGGGACCAAGGAGCCGAGGAGGGCGCGTCTGAGGTAGGTACCCTCAGGGCCTCAGGGGCAGCGGCGCGGGGCTGCTGACTCGCCAACCGCGCGTCGACCATGTCAGAACGATAATGCCTCAAGGAGGACAAGGTGAAGATCTCCGACGAGCGAGCGAAGCTTGCATTCCGTGAAAGCGTTGATTGATATTGTTTCTTGGATACATGCTTTGTCGATTGGGAGGCGGATTGATAATATCGGCGTTTGTGATGCTATCATATCGAGGCGGGGGCGAAGGCCATTATATGTATTCGGTTGCGACGGTCGAGAGCAAGGGATTTAGGGGATAGATGGTGCTTGGGTTAGGGCTACCAACAAGAAGGACAAAGCAGACGGCATTTCCTCTCCCTTAGCGATGATTCCCTAAACGGGTGTCAATATAGATGCCTTACTTTTGTCTGTGTAAGATCGTGCTCATTCTGGTACTTAGTGCCTTAGAGAGGCTGTGCTTATTAGGGGCCGCCAACCCCTTTGCTCTGGTCGAGGCCCTGACAGGCTGCAGATTCAACTAGCCTCTTCGCTATGGACGCCTTGGAACACGCCATTCGTCCGTAAAGAGCTCTCATACTAAGCAGATATAAAAATGCATGGCAGGGTAGGCCGAAGGTGGGATTTAAATCAGTATAGCAGGGATCAAGTTTTACTGGGTTGTTTACTTTCAGGGGCTTCATTGCCGTACTTATGGAATACCTATTCGGGCTGGTTACGTCTACCTATGTCGTCGACACCTTTTGAACTTCCAAGAACGGCAACCAAAATAGTGTTCAAGTTTACGTTCAGCCTGGCTTGGAACGATATGCTGCCAAGGCGGTCCACCGCGACGGCCTGGATGCGGACCCCTGATCCGGACGGATTCCGTTGTTGCGTCCGCCAGTTCTCGAAGTTCGTTTTCTTTCCCCTGGTCGGCAATGAACCTGCACTGGCTTCTTTAAGTTCTTCCCTATCCAGTCCCTCTTCAATACGGGAAGAACTCGCCCTACCCACACTTCCGCGGCTCCAGGGGGGAAAGAGGCGGAAATGCCCGAGCTTCACGAGGTTAGCTAATCGCGAGAGGCGACCATCGCCGCTATCCGCGAGTACTACCGTTTCCTCACTCGCATGTACCTCAAAGAATGCTACGTTGCCGAACCGCCCGAAGGGGGCTGGCCCGAGGTCAACGCCGAGACCATCGGTGTGCTGGGGAAAACAGACGAAGTTATCTCGCTGCTCCGCCATCTGCCCTATATTTACTCTAGCGATGCCTCGGCCTAGGGTGCCGGCAAGTGTAAGTTTGCCGATTGGCGTCGGATTGCTTAACGCGTCGCCCGCGGCAAGCTATCCGGCGGGGGTATAGGTGTCTTAACCGAGTATGACCTCCCCCGGTATAAGTATCCGTATATATTTAGCCTTACCGAGGGCGGCTACTATAACCTAGCGTTCCTGCTCGATACTAAGCTTGGTATAGTGTACTAGTATAAGTGCTATAACGGCGTGAAGCGAAATCCGTTGCGGGAACCGATCGTAGGCAAGGAGTACGAAGGATTCGACAGCATTTGCGCGGATAAGGCCGACTGGCGCTCCGACTCTATGGCTTAGGTCATCCCCGATTTCTTCGAGCTCCTCAGGGACCTGTTTCGGCAGCTGTTCTATGTCCCTATTAGCTTGCGTAGGGTCTACTTTGCCGCTACCGAACGGCTAGGTTTGCTGGCAGACATCTATCGGGCGTACGGTTGGCCCGACCTCGAGCGCTATAACAAGCGGGATTGCATGAAAGTTGTCCAGGATTGGATGGAGGAACACAGTCCTAATTACGCCGACTACCGCGAGAAGAACGAGTAATCAATGAGACCTTCTCTCTTCGGGGTCTACAATCTCCGCCCCAGGGCTGCTTGATAGCCCGTGGGTTTGTGGGAGTGAGTTGACCTGGTCTGTATTGAGTCAGTACTTCACAGTAAGGTACATACTATCATACTACTAGGCACCTACCTATACAAGAGCAGCTGCTTGCCACCTATCGGAGTGACCGACGGACAATTTGACGTCTTCCCTGCATCGGTGAAGCTGGAAGGGGGGGTTTGCACCTCTGACTCGGCTTTACCTCCTTCAGTCTTCACCAGCTACTCCGTACCCAGAGTTTGTCGACCGGGGAATTGGAACATCGATAGAGAATATCTGGGGTTCAGTACGACACCAGACAAGCCGTTGGCACGGCAGTCGAAGATTCCAACTACAACACGCTCCGGAATTTCGCTCTTACCATTTACGAGGAGAGAGTCGCATTCGGAGGTTTCTGGCCGCCAAGATGATTGGCGCGGGTGTAAGCGCACAGGTTGCGGTCGATCGTTCCGCTAATCAAGCATCGTCACCTTGAGTACCGGTAGCATCGCCCGGCTAATTACCTTACGTATACCGCCCTCCGTGGCCACTACGAAAAGGGAGACTGGGGTGGGCTTTTGGCATTGGTCGGACGAAACACTCCATGAACATACACTAGGTTCCCCAGATCATGTGGCTTCATCAGGCGCCGTCGCCTTGACACGGCGATGGTACGCCGTACGGTACCTTGCCCTACTTTCCAAGCTTGCTGGCGTGCCTACCTCGGTACGTGGTAGCGAAGGGTAGGGTGGTGATCGGGACTCCGGTATTACGACGCGGAAAAACACACCAAGTGCCCGGGGCGGAATCAAATTTCCTCCAACTACCGTCTTCAGATTCCACCTGCTCGGGACGGCCAGTGGGATGCCATGGGTCTATAAAGGGGCAGTAGCCTGGTCCACAAGTCCACAACATATATTAGCTGTCGTTACACCTAGCAACCTGCAATCAATTAGCAGATATGTTCTCAAAGCCGAGCCTCGAACGTGCCTGGGTGTTAGCCCTAGGCCTTGCTACTACAGGCAGCCTCGTCGCCGCGGGCCCCTGCGACATCTACGCCTCGGGAGGCACGCCCTGCGTCGCTGCACACAGTACCACTCGTGCCCTGTACAACGCCTACAGCGGGCGCCTCTACCAAGTAAAACGAGACTCGGACGGCAAGACGACCGACATCTCGCCGCTTTCGGCCGGGGGCGTCGCCAATGCCGCGGCGCAGGATTCCTTCTGCGCTAGCACGACGTGCCTCATCACCATCATCTACGACCAGTCCGGTCGTGGCAACCACCTCACCCAGGCTCCGCCCGGCGGCTTCAAGGGCCCGGAAGCGAATGGCTACGACAACCTGGCCAGCGCAATAGGCGCGCCTGTCACGCTGAACGGCAAGAAGGCCTACGGTGTGTTTGTGTCGCCGGGCACCGGCTACCGCAACAACGCCGCCAGCGGCACGGCCACGGGGGATGCGGCCGAGGGCATGTACGCCGTGCTGGACGGAACGCACTACAACGGCGCGTGCTGCTTCGACTACGGCAACGCCGAGACCAACAGCCTCGACACAGGCAACGGCCATATGGAGGCTATCTACTTCGGCGACTGCACCTCGTGGGGCTCCGGCTCTGGCAGCGGGCCGTGGATCATGGCCGACCTCGAGAACGGGCTCTTCTCGGGCGTCAACCCCCGGCAGAACACGGGCGACCCGTCCGTCTCGTACCGCTTCACCACGGCCGCCATCAAGGGGCGGCCCAACCAGTGGGCCATCCGCGGCGCCAACGCCGCCTCAGCCAGCTCTATGTCGACCTTCTACAGCGGCGCGCGGCCGGCCAACGGCTACAACCCGATGCGCAAAGAAGGCGCCATCATCCTCGGCATCGGCGGCGACAACAGCAACGGCGCCCAGGGCACCTTCTACGAGGGCGCCATGACCTCGGGCTACCCGTCCGACGCGACCGAGAACGCCGTGCAGGCCGACATCGCCGCCGCCAAGTACGTCGTGACGCCGCTGACCAGCGGGCCCGCCCTGACCATCGGCTCGTCCGTCTCCCTGCGCGCCACCACGCCGGGCTACACCGACCGCTATCTCGTGCACAACAGCTCCAACGGCATCGTCACGCAGGCCGTCTCCTCCTCCTCCAGCAGCTCCGCTCTCAAGCAGCAGGCCACCTGGATCGTGCGCTCGGCACTCAACAATAATAACAATAATAATGGAAATGGAAACAGCGGCTGCGTGTCGTTCGAGTCCAAGGACCAGGCCGGGCGGTACATGCGGCACTACAACTTTGCGCTGCAGCTCGCAGCCGACGACGGGACCAAGCAGATGCGCGAGGACGCGACCTTCTGCCCGCTGGCGCCGCTCAACAACGGGCAGCAGCAGGGAGGTAGTACCCACTCGATCAGGGCGTGGAATTATCCGACGCGGTATCTGCGCCACTATGCGAATGTTGCGTACGTGGCAAGCAATGGTGGTGGGGTGCACCCCTTTGATGCGGCGGCCAGTTTCAGTGAGGATGTGAGCTGGTTTGTTGGCGCTGGGTTTGTGTGAATAATAAGGTACCTAAGGTTTGATAAGGCAGCTGGAGCGTACGGTAGGGAGTGTTGGAATTCAAGGTGGGGCAATGGATAGATTAGGAGGAGTCAAAATGAAATGTCCATACCTTATCTAGGTAGGTAAGGTAGTTATTTTGATTTGTCTGGAAAATGTCTGGATTACGTGGTGGTGAACGGTCTCGACTCTAACCCTAACCCGCACAAGTACTGTACATCCAAGTCCCATGTTGCTGCTGGAGGAAGAAATCACAGAACAAAATCCAAGACCCGGGAGAGACCCAAAATACGGCAGACCAAAATACAGGTTGGAAAACAAAACAGACGGAGCTACAATATTGATGATAACACAACGTTGAAGCGCTGTCTACCATCGATTTGGGGACATCTAAACTCTAAAGCCAAGGGCCAAAAAAGTCACACTTCTAATAAACCCCCCCCATCGCCAAAACTCGCCATGTTTCAACATACCACAAAAAAAGGGTATAGACGAATTTTTAAAAAAGTCAAGAAAGTTCCTCTAGGTCAATCCTCACAATATCTTTTAGACTACCGTAGCTACATTCCTTTCCTTTTAATGTGTGGCAGAGAGAGCTGGGTTATGGCTGCTGCTAAGTGGATCAGCATCGCGGCATCGCCATACAAATTTTGCGATACAAATCCCGGTTTGGAGTGTGATGCTCTCACCTGCCGTCCTCGCTGACCTGCTTTAGGCACCACCATGGGTGTATTACAGCTTTGCATTTGGCCTGTTCATGTACCAGACCTTCGACAACGTCGACGGTACCTTAAGTAGGCCCCCCGCACCGGCACTGTATCCGGTAAGGACCTGGCCCTGAACCCGACGCGGAACGTGGACTGGCACCCGACCTACCCGCGGCGGCTCACACAGACGCACAACATTGATCATAACACAACGTCGAAGCGTTGTCTACCATCATTTGGGGAGATCTATGAGGTAGGGACCTGGGTCACCTGGCCCTGAACCCGACGCGGAACATGGAATCACACCTACCCGCGGCAGCTCACACCGCTCCCCATGGCGCCGTTGAAACCGAGGCATCGAGAGCCCAGAGAGGGTACGGTCGCCTCGACAGCGTCGGTAGTACGTGCACGCAGGCATTCAACCGCTTTACCACAGCCCGTAATTATCGATTACAATATCATACCATACATTCATACATATAGAGGATTTTCGGATTTCCTACTCACGTCGAAGGCCATGGCTCACAACAACAAAGCCTACGAGCCGCAGGAGTTTCAACCTGCGGACCCAGACCCTTATCGCCTGTACTGGCTCCCGGAGACCAACGGCCACTGGACCCTCTACCCTCGGCGCCAGGTCGATCGATTGAATGCGCGTTGGTACCGCAGCGACGAGGGTGCTTTTTACGCCGTCCGGCTCACCGATTGAGCCCTCTCCACCATATCTCAGGATGCTTCAGGAGGAGCTTTCCACGAGGGGCGCCGTCGAGACGAACATGGTTTCCGAACCATCACGGGACTCTGCGGCGCAGGCATCGTCGGCTTGCCGGACATTGGCCCACCGCCGACCGGGATTGGATAGAGAAGCGGCGAGTATGGATTCGGCGGCGGCGGCGGTGCGGGCGGGGGGGGGGGGGGGGGGGGGGCCGCCAGATGCCCACCATTCTGTCGTACGTCGACGGCGATGAATATTACGGCCGGCGGGCCAAGAACTTCCTGGTCAGGAATCCAAGAATACAGTCGCCTATTTCCGCGACTTCCTTGGAAAAGGGTTCAAGTTGATCGACCCAGCCAGAGGCATGGAGCCATTGCCGCCGCCGCCGCCCCTCCTCACCTGCCTTGGCCATTGCTTGGGATGGAAACAGATTCCGCGCGGCGGCCGTGACGCTGCGTGAAAAGCATGGCAGCATAGCACAGACCTTGACTCGTCCTAGGATCTGGGAAGACCTGTACCAGTGGTTTGATGCCTATGACATCTGGTGGATGGGTGCATGGAATCTTTGGCGGCTGCTCCATCTCGTCTGCAACGAGAACGAGGGCATCGAGTTGGCCGAAAGGTGGCTCCCGAGGACTTGCCTTCCGTATATTATACGTCCACCTGTTCCAGCAGGACCCGTCCGCGTCCGTGGAACTGTTCTTCCCATCCCTTGAGGCCTTGACTTGATCATGGATATGATACGGACGTCGAGGATAATAAGGATGACGATGCACAATCCCCTTCATACTCTTACACCACTGCACCGCTCACCTCCTACACACCCAGAGACTATCAGTACCAACTCATCACTCAGACCTCAAGTCTCGTCTGAGAAACCATCCATCAAGCCGCACTCACTTGTCGTCCAGCGGTCAAGGAAATAGGTTCTTTGTGGCAATCTAGTATTTTAGTACTAGTCTCGAGCCAGGACATCTCACTTACACCTCACTCACCGACAACAGCGGTGTACGTCCAATTATAGTGCCATATATATACGGCGAGAGCCTAGCAGGGCCAAGACACGATCAGCACGTGAGCAGCTTGGTAAGAGACATGAGAGAATCGAGGGAAAACACTGGGTTATTTCTATTCGACGGTCCCCCGGCCCTTATTCCTACATTGACTCTTCAAAGCCCCAAGAAGGTGCACTCCGAACACATCGAACTAGTCCACCCTTCTCCGTACAGTCTCCTTCTCCCTCTGCCAACGTCCCCCGCTCCCTTATCCCACTCATCACCCCTCCCCCACTTCAAACCTTTTCTACCTCCCCGCTTGGCGATTCCGCCTCCCCCGGCCCCCCCGGCCCCCCCCCGGCCCCCCCGGCCCCCCCCCAACAAGCACCAACCCCCCAGCACCAACATGATGCCGCTAAAGTTGCCGTACAGACCGTCGTTCACGTACACCATGTAGCTGGTGGCGGACACGTTCTCGATGGTGCGGCGGGCGATGATATTGCAGGCCAGAGTGAATGCCGAGGAGGCGTAGTAGCGACCGGGCGTCGGCGATGATGTTGATGCTCCGAGTGGGCCGGGAGGTACTTACTTCCCTCCACCTCTTCGGCAGAGATTCCCCCACTTGGCGATGGGCGTTGTCGGCGAGGGCGACGACGACAATGACAGTCTCCCCTCCTTCTCCTCCTCCTCCTCCTGATTGGCGGGGATAAGCACGCAGCAACAGAGCCATGTGTGCCGAGAGGAATTGTAGTAGGCCGGGTAGACGCGCCCCGGGTTCACAAGACCTCGCAACACCTCCAAGTCGTGTCGGACGAGTTCTGCATCACCGTCGCCGCGCCCCTCGCTCTCGTCCACCTATGAAAATCTCTGATGGTAACCAGCCAAGCCCAGCGACGAGAAGCTGCAAGCTTCGTCGTCGCCGTCCCCCATCTCCCGTTCTAAGTTCAAATTCCAGACGCCGCGTCCGAACCGGCCGACGTCCCCTCGCCGCTAGCGTGGATCTGGCTGAGGAGGGAGAAGAAGGGTTGACTAAGATGGAATAGGGCGGGCGAGGCGTGGAGATAAGTGAGAAGGGTGAGTGGGAGCCCAGCGAAGGAAGAGGGTTGGGGGGTGGGGAGCCGCAGGGACGAGCACACCGGCGAGCTGAGCAGCCCCGAATCCCTGGTGTGGGCGGCGGAGGGGTGGGCACCGCGGGGACGACAGCGGCGAGGGTTGGCGATCTGGAGACAGACTGCCTTAGTGTTATGCGTAGGTGTGGGAGCGCAGCCGCCGCGGCGGTGGCGACGAGGTAGCCGAGGGTGGTGGTCGTGGCGGGGGCGCGGAGGGAGCGCCAGGGGGGTAGGCTAGCGCCACCCTGGGCCTGCACAGTTGGCAAGACGCCATCAACCAAAAGATCCCGCAAGACACCGACCTCTACCGGACGCCATGACAACAGCCCATGGCCTACTACGCCAAGGTTGTGGCGCTAGCCAACATAGCCAACACAGGGAGGATCGAAGAAGCCGACCGACATCGAGAGCTCTTCAGAGAGGCTGTCAAAAGGGTGCCGCCATCGCGCACGATCTTCAACATTGGGCCTCGCCGCGCGTGCAGCCGGGTTTGGTGAGCTGCTGAGGCGGAGGGGTAACAGGGGTTTGTTAGTTGGGTTTTGTTAGCACCGGCAACTCGTGGGCGGCGTAAGACGTGTTGGAGATGTAGTAGGGCTTGCCAGGCGGGGATGAAGAGCTCGTGTGTGAGCCGCGACGTCGGCGCTTGGGAGTGCGGACGTCGCTGGAACCAGAAGAGCGTACGTGCTTTGCCGTAGTCGTTGGATGGACAAATAGGCTTTCTCGCAACTGAGTTGTGGAAGTTGGAAGTCAGTTAGACGTTGAGGGTTCTCGGGAGGTTGGGAGTGCCGGATGGACATTCTTATATGTTAGAGCGTAGTGGTTGATTAGAGAGCCGAAAGATTCTAAGCGTAGGGGCTTGTCACTGTCGTGGGCTTGGGCGGTATAGCTTCCTATTTGCCACTGTCATGAGTTTGGCTGGTGTAGCTCCCTCCCATACAGAGGGCAAATGACTGGGAGGGGTTGCACTTGAGGAGGTACATGGACGGCTTCTGTCCAGATATTTGACACTCCCCTTCGTTAGAGGGGACGTGTCGTAGTTGGGACCCATCCTACTTTAATACGACTAGTATCGTATGACATTATACGATACTACCAAACACGAAAGGGTGACTAAGAAAATGAATGCCAGAATAGTAAATGAGGGAGCCCTTGCTAGATTCTGGTTCCGCTCTCCGTCTGTTTTACTTTCGGTGGCCCATCAGAACATAGATTCATGGTGTTAGCGAGACTTGTGAGAGGCTATCTTGCCACAGGGAGAGGGATCCCGTAACACTGCCCAATGAGACGAGCTTCGCTTCCCTCTGAGAGAGACCATTCTGCCTATGCGCTCAAGGGAATGTGATGACGCTGACACATGTCATTGTCGGTGTCGCTGAAGGGGAGACAGGGCCGTGGATCTGCTGGACCGACGGTCGGACGGTCTGACTCTGACCGTTTGATTCCGAGATTTGGTGGATAAGTACCTAGGTACCTAGGTAGGGATTCGACCTGAAGGCTTCAGGAGATCCACAAACCATGTACAAGGCGAGCTCTCAATTCCTACCGGTACTCGTCGATTCTAGCGGTGCTAGCGCCTCTGGTGATGTGGAATTCAGGACCCGGCTTACATGAAGCTTGAACTTACCTACCGCCTATGATTGATCAGGCGAGGTTCGGCGGCTCCCAATGACGAATTCCTGCACGACTGTAAGGTAATATTGCGAGGCGCATTAGTAACACCCGCAGTATATGATTAGTAATGATAGAATTGCGACTTCAGTGCCCTGCAAGTCCGAACGCCGTCACCAATATTGAATTATTGATAGTGCAGTAAGCAAGGAGAATCGTAAGATGAGTGCTATCTCAGCACCTATAATTCAGTTACTATTTAGAATCAGATCCGCGCGCTCTTCACCACGCCACACTCCACAGCAGGACAAGCACGCTCTTCGTCTTATTTAGTAGTACTTCCGAGTTCCCATTACTACTTTACCTGTAACCCAGTCCGAATTAGAAGCACGATGTCTACGAGTACGAGTACAAGTACGAACAACAAACCGGTCTTGATCGCAGGCGCCGGTCTCGCGTCCCTGCTGCTGGCGCACTCCCTGCGGCGGTCGGGGATCCCGTTCAAGATCTTCGAACGCGACGCCTCGTTCGTGTTCCGCGCGCAAGGCTACAGGTTGCGCCTCTCGTCGGAAGGCCTCGACGCCATCGAATCGGTTCTCGGCGCCGAGACCTTCCAGCGGTTCTGGGAGAAGTGCGGCAAGACGGGCGGCAGCGGCTTCGTGTCGCTCAATGCGGTGACCGGAGAAGCGATAGAGAAGGGAGAGGGGCTGCAGAACGCACTGGCTTCGAGAGGCGGCAGGGTCGTCGGCATCTCCCGGGGTGATATGCGCAAGATCTTCGCCGACGGCTGCGAGGAAGACATCGAATGGGCCAGGGAGGTGACGGGCTACGAGCTCACCGACGATGGCGTGAGGGTGGTCTTTGCCGACGGCACCAAGTCGGTCGAGGGCTCGCTGCTCGTGGGCGGAGAGGGCATCCGCTCCAGGGTCGCGCAGCAGCTGTCGGGCGGCAAGCTCAAGGTGTACGACACGGGCGCGCGGGGCATCCACGGCCAGGCGCCGCGCACGGCCTTCCGCGGCCTGGGCGAGGGCGTCTTCATGCTGCGGGACGACACGCGCGCCAACGGCGCCGTCAGCGTCATCACCAACGTCCGCCCGGACGACGAGACGGACGACCCGGACGCCCAGTTCGGCTGGACCATGGTGGGCCAGCCGGGCGTGATCCGGCCTCCGAACGAGGACTACACCGTCGTGGGCAAGCAGGCGGCCGAGATGGCCCGGTCGCTCACCCGCAACTGGTACCCGCGCTTCCAGCCGCTCTTCGACCGCATGAACGAGGCGGAGGCGGCCTTCTGGAAGATCACCTGCTCGACGCCGTCGGGCGTGCCCGAGTGGCCCAACGAGCCCCGTGTGACCGTCATCGGCGATGCCGTGCATTCCATGACGCCCGCCGGAGGTCTCGGGGCCAACACCGCTGTCCGCGACTCGGCATTGCTGGGGAGGCTGTTGCGGGAAGCAGGCGGTTACAAGCCCGGCGTCACGGCCGCCTACGAGAAGGAGATGAGGGTGTATGCCAGCGCGGCTGTGCACCAGAGCTACTCCACGGCCGTGCGCCAGATGGGTGTCAAGATCGATGCTGACACTCGTACAGTTGATGCGTAGATGCGGAGGAATTGGATATCAGGCTTGGTGAACGAAGTACAAATGCGAAGCATATTAACGTGGAACTCGGGAAGTACACGCGAATGACGAGGCTAGATGTGGAAGGTCCAATTGCGCGATGAACTGCCAAGGAAACTACCACCTAGAAACAAACCCGGTTACCGATCGCGGGTAATTTATCCGCGCCATCTGGATGCTAGTATTGCCGATATCACGGACCGACCCATCGTTCCTGGCAATTTCCCCTCACAACTACCACCTTGCTGACCCACCTATGATCAACAGAGCACTGACTGGTGGTTGTCATGGCAGAGTTATTACTCCGTACTATATGTTATATGAGGGCAAGGCAAGCCCGCGCCAATCGGCGCACCAAAGGTGCTGATGAATGAGTGTACTGTGCAATGCTAATCTCTCTCATCGAGTTGCCATCACGCCGTGTCCATTCCTATCCGGCCTCCGCTAGTCAACTATGGGCGTCAATCGACGGCTGCTGCCGCTTCTCGCGGTCACCGGCCTGACACTGGGGGCGTCGATTTCGGACTGTTCCGCCGACACCTTCGCGCAGTCTCTGCCGAGCCACGCCCGGCTCGAGTCTGTGGCACACGTGGCCCAGAACGGCAGCTACGGCGAGGGCCGCTCCAATGTCGCCTACCCCGACATCCCGACCGCGCTGCCGGAGCTGTGCGCCGTGGTCGTCAACGTGACCTCGTCGCCGTCGTCGTCTTTCCGCTTCGCGCTGTTTCTCCCCACCGAGTGGAACGCGCGCTTCCTTGAGGTCGGGAACGGCGGCTTCGCGGGCGGCATCAACTGGATGGACATGGCCGTCGGCGCTCGGTACGGCTTCGCATGCGCCAGCACCGACACGGGCCACAACTCGACGACGGCCGACGGCGCATGGGCTCTGAACCAGCCCGAGAGAATCGCGGACTGGGGCTGGCGGGCGATCCACGGCACGGCCGTCCTCGCCAAGTCCCTGACCGCGGCGTATTACAACTCGCAGGCGGCCTATTCGTACTACTCGGGCTGCTCGACCGGCGGCCGCCAAGGGCTCCGAGAGGCACAGCTGCACCCGGAGACATTCGACGGCTTGCTGGTGGGGGCTCCCGCTTGGTGGACGTCCCATCTGCAGACGTGGACGACCTGGATCGGCGCACTCAACGCCCAGGACTCGCAAGGTTCGTCGTTCCCTAGTACTAGGACCTGCCCCGCCTCCGCCTGGCTCGAGAGTGACAACAACAACAATGATGATGGTGATGATAATAACCTGCTCTCCAAAGACCACGAACGCATTGACCCTTCCCTCTTCCCGGTAATTGCGTCCGAAATAATGAAGCAATGCGACGCTGCGGACGGCGTCGAGGACGGCATCATCAGCGCGCCGGACGAGTGCAAGCTCAACTACCGCGCGCTGGAGTGCCGCGCGGGGCACAACTCCTCGTCGTCGTCCGCCTGCCTGACCCGCGCGCAGCTGTCGACTCTGCACAGCATCTACTCACCCTACGTCGTCGCCCACGGCCAGCTCGCCATGCCGGGCCTCAACAAGGGCTCCGAGGCCGAGTGGCCGGTCGTGCTGGGCGGCACGGAGCCCAACGGCCTCGGGACCGGCTACGAGCGCTACTTCCTCTTCCACGACCCGGCCTGGGACTGGCGCGACTACAACGACAGCATCGTCCGCCTGGCCGACAGCCTGGACCCGGGCCGCGCCACCGCCCACGGCTTCGCCAACATGTCGGCCGTGCGCGACCGCGGGGCCAAGATCCTCATGTACCACGGCATGGCCGACGGGCTCATCCCGACGGGGTCGTCCGAGCACTTTTATCGGCAAGTCGCAGCCGCCACTTCGAAGCGGGGCGGACTCGTGCCGCCCCTAAAGGACTGGTTCCGCTTCTTTTTCGTCCCCGGCATGGGCCACTGCGCCGGGTCGGCCGTGGGCGCGCCGTGGTACTTTGCCGGGCCCAACCAGGCGCCGCGGCTGGGCACCGACGCGCACTCGCTGCCGCCGGCGTACCGGGACCGGGCCCACGATGCCCTGCTGGCGCTGATGGCCTGGGTCGAGAGCGGCACGGCGGTCGAGAGCATTGTGGCTACGAGCTGGAAGAGCCCGTCCGATCCCGCGTCCGGGGTCGCGCGCCAGAGGCCGCTGTGTCCGTACCCGCTGAAGGCGAGGTTGCGGAAGGGAGGGGATCCCGATCAGGCGGCTTCTTGGAGTTGCCGGTAGGCCTATGTATTTTTATGTATTGGAAATACATACTAGACGGCATGTTACATACTAGTACTTAACTCCGCACTAGAGCCTAGAAGGACTGGCCGCTCTATGATGTTGTAATTAAAGAAGACGAAAGACTGCGTAATTGCTGGATTCCTGGTGAGATCGTCCGATCCTTGAACTCATACCAAGTAGTCATATACCATGTGAACCAACAAGCACTGAGAACCAACCCTTCGAGAATGTCAACCCGCTGTCTAGTTTCCTAACAGCCTTGCCGGCTGAAGCTTCTAGGTGGCTGTCGGGTCAGCAATAAGGCTCTAGCCGCTCCCCTTCTTCCTCTAACACTTCATTATTCAGGGGTTTGAGAACCTGCTCCTCGGATTTTTGATTTCTTCGGCAACACTTCCTGAACTAGTAACTCGCGAATCTCACAGAACAGAGTAAGATTCAAAACTCATTGATTCAGATACAAGAATCCGAGAAGGCTGATGTCAGACTAGAACGAAACTCTCTTTCGGGTTAAGGAGCCGACGAGCATCGTCCTTGTGACCATGTGGTACTAGCGAGCTAGAAGAGCTCACCTAACGGTACATAGGGTAAGGTATGCTTACAGCAGACTCCCAGAACATCACAAGATCACGAATCTGGCCCTATCTCGCCCTGCATGCAACTGCCCAGCGTGGCGTTTGCTCCGGTCACACGAGGTCTTCGTAAGAGCAGCTGACCAGCCTGTCATGGCCACAAGCCTTGGTAGTTATGTCCCGAGAGTCCCGTTGATAGGAGTATACCTATTTACTGTGTGGCTGTGCATAGCCTGGTTACGCGTCGCACACGTTTCTCCCAACAGTCTGCCAGCAGTTTGTTCTGCGGAACTGCAAAGATGCAAAGATGCCTACTGTTAGGCTCAAACCACGAAACACACCAACTCGGCTTATTATGCAGCCCGGTTTTGCGTTGACCTATTGTTTGGCAAGCAAAGGCTCCTAAAGTGCAGCTGCTCGTTTCAGCCCGACGAGCTGCCAGCCAGTCACCTTTGTGCTTAGTACTTGATGTGCCATGCCCGTGGGCCAATCACTTCCGCAAGATCTGATAAATGGAAGCACAACGCCCAAAGTGAGAGACTTTCATGATGGTGAGAGCCTTGAGTGTTGCCGGTGAAGAAGCCTTTTTGATGCCGTCAAACCTCAGTGCCACTCCCCCAATATGAGAACCGTGCACGCAGAGGTAAGATACCTAATAAAGTGTCTTAAAACAAGCTGCTGACCGCATGTGCACAAAATCTCCGATTCATTAGCCTGCAGTGCTCGGAGTGCATGTGTGTGTGTGCATGCAGGCTCAGGTTTCATTCGCTTGGCATTCTATCTGGCCGGTCACTTACAGAGATTTACGGATACATACCTACGTGTAACCCCCTTCGTGTCGCTGTGATCAACGCCACCCGTAAACAAGCAAGCCCCTGATAGGCTTTTGTTGACGCGAAACAACACCGACCCCGCGCGCTGTGTGTTCTTCTGACCCTGCATCGTAATGTTTGCATCCCAACCTCACCAGTGACCGGTCCTCGGTCTCAATTCCCGGGCCTACAGGACCCACACAGCTTGTCCGCCCGCGGCCGGCCGATCCAACCGGCCTATCCATCCCCAACCACCCCCCGCAAAAAGAAAAGACCCCAGAACCTCACAAACATTTACATCTGTAACACAATAACAAAGGCCTCCTCCCGTCGGGGCCCGGGCCAGGCCAAAGGGCCATGCACAGCCAATCCGACGCCCATCAGGCAGGGGGGGTGGATTCAAGGCTTCCCCCCCAGGTCTGCATGATGGGTCTGCCTTTTCGGTGGCAAAAGAAGCAAAACAACCGCAAACAGCTCGAGGGAAGAAGAGAAAAAAAAGGGCCGAGAACAGCGGTGAGCAAGAAAAGAAGAGACCTATGCATGATGGATCTGGGAATGGGACCCGGATGTCACATGGCGAACGCGATGGATTGATGCAACTTTATCCGTACTGCAAAGAAAGGAAAATTAATGTAGAAGGAAGAGAAAGCTGCAGCGGGACCAGCCGGAAGGATTCGCGAACATGTAAAAAGTGAGGGTCGGAAGTAGTAGGAATGGAATCGCGTGGACGACAAGACAACCTACGTGGCAGACGGAGAAAACACCAACGCCTCAACTCGGCACCTCCAGGCCCGCAATAGTGTATGGGACATGCTTGAGGCAAAAACGCCGAGCCAATTCACAACAGTACCTGACCATCGAGCTTGTTGCCTGGTTCCGTGGCAAACCATCCCACGTTACCCGTTAAAATGCTATCCATGAGAGTGGGGTGGATCCTCGACACAGTACATCTCGTGATCCCAGGGGCACTGTCAACAACGAGTGGGGACGAACTCAAAAGTGGTGATGGTGTCTCAAAAATGGTCATCGCCATTACACTATTACCATGCTTGACTGCCTGCCTGCCTGCCTTATCGTGATTAAACTCCCATCGAGCCCAAACAAACCATCGCCTTGTCGCCGTACGCGCCATGGTATGATGATGAATGATCATACTCGTAACCCAGAACTCCGAAGCCGAACTCACACGGGGTGTCGTGACTCCCTTCCTCATTCATAACCCAGATCTACCCACATCTACCGCATCAATGCAGCCGTCCCATAGACCGATATATGTCGCTTTTTCTAGGCAAAGGGGGAAACCACCCCTAAAAAAAACCCACCAACTCCGTCTTGGACATGTAGCAGTGCACTCAACCTGGAGTTGCTAAAGCCTCCACATCCAAATGCAGTGATGACAAAAGAAAAGCGTTCATATCGTCATGAAAAGAAACCGTAGTTCCTTGAGTTGTTTCGTTTGGTGGATCCTTCCGTTTGTATTCAGCGCGAAGCCACACCGCCAAAGACCCTGCCCAGCACGCCCCTCATCCGCTTCGCCGAGACAACACCCCCTCCCCGGCCCGACTCCTCGAGGCTCCTCAAGTCGTCGGCACTGATCTCGTAGGGGAGCATTTGCTTGGATGCAGGCTTCCTTCCGCCAAGAGTGTAGACGGGATCCTTATCCGGCACGGTCGGCCGGTCGTAGACCTCGGCCTCCACGACCGGCGAGTCACACATGCGACCCTCGGGCGCGTCATAGATGTACGGCCGGTGGGCGGTGGTGATGTCGGCTTCGCTCAACGGGGTGGTCGCGCGCGAGCTGGTGGATCCCGCGTAGGACGAGTTGCTGGAGTAGAGGCCCGGCGGGGACACGTCGCGGCTGCTACCGCGGGAGTGAGACGGGGTGTAGGCCGTCTGGCGAGAGCGGGAAGAGCCTCGCGAGGAGGGAGGGGTGGCATAGGCGATCGACTGGTTCTCAGTGTGGACCGGCGGTTGTTGAGCTTGAGGCTGCGCAAGCGCGCGCCAAAGCCTGGCCTCGTCCTCGCGCTCGCGCTGGCGAGCGAGGCGCTCCTCCTGCAGCTGGCACTCGCGCATCTCCTGCTCGTACTTCTTGCGCATGCGGCGCGCGTGCCGGGCCTCAACATCAGCGCGGATGGGGGCCAGGAAGTGGTCGAGCTCGAGGTAAAGGTCCTCCTCGGTGATGCGCAGGTCCCAGTCTAGCAGGAACAGCAGCTGCTTCTCCATCAGGTTGACCTCGGTGCGGCTGAAGCCAAAGTTGTAGACATGCGTCGAGACGACGCTGTAGTTGGCCCAGTGCTTGTTCTTGGGGCTGCTGTCATTGAGGTACTTGGCCGCCAGGATGAGGGCGGCAAGGAATATGCGGTGGGTGGTGCAGCGTAGGCCCTTGGCCATGGGCTGGAGCCGGGACTTGAGGCGCCGAAGGTAGACCAGCGACGACATGAGTGTTGGTACCTGGACGTTGGATGAGATCACCAGCTGGGTGATGAACTCTTCGACCGTGGGCAAAGCCCCATCGCTGGACCTGACCGCTCTTGGAGCTGATTCCCTTGGCGGCGACGGGTATCTCGGTCGTCCTGTCTGTGCCGGAGGGGGCATCATGGTTGGATCGCACTGGATCACATCGGCGGCGGCCTTGGCGAGGTACCTAATCATCTTCTTGTCGACAGGCTGGTAGACGAAATACTCCAGAGCCGCAGCGTTGAGCTCAGCTGGGCTGAGCGTCGGTAGCGAGACCATGGTGTTGTTGGGTGGGGTGGTATTATGTTGATGATGTTGAGTATCGCGGGGTCTGGGGCAGGATAGAGGAAGTACCCGACTTTCGCTCTCCTGCGCTAGTACGTCGGGAAGGGAAGGGTCAAGAAAAGGTTGGGTGAGGGAATGCCCCCGGAGTTATAGGGGTCAACCGACAACTGAAGAAGGTTTAGGCCAAAAGATGCGCACAGGGATGCGTGCATCAACACTTGACGACCTTTACACGAGATGCCCTGCGGCGAAGCTCATGTGGGCAATCCGTATAGATTGCCGGGGTGAAGGCCGAATCGGCCGACTCCGCAAGAGGGGCGGAAAAGGCTGAACAGACAAGCTGTTGTTCCAGTGTGGGTCCCCTGATGGGCTTCCTCTGCAGGCGGAGTCCCCTGATGCGTGTCTCAATGCCTTCCCTGGCGAATTTACCCCGGGAGGGTGACGTGCGCCGTCCACGAGGCTGAGCGCAACAGGCTTTCCAAGGGGCGGTCGAGCCAGGCGGACAGGGGTCTGCAAGGGTGCAGGGATGCGCGGACAATCTGGCAGTGTTGTGGTGGCCCGCGGTGTCGGTCGCGGCGGGTGGGGTGCGCGATCAGCGGATTCCAGGCTTTGGGACGGAATGCGACAGCGTTGGGAGGCAAATGCCAAGCCTGAACCCTGACCAATGAGTCGTGAAAAACCGTACAAAGTTGACACCTGATGGAAAACCTAAACTCTAGCTAAGCGGGCAAATGCCTCGGACAGAAACCGGACGCTGCTTCGAGAGTCAACCGGAGCTGTAAAACTCTCTGTTCGTAGGTGCCCTTTAACCGGCTTCCCCGCAAGCACCAAAAGATGCCAAGGACCGCAAAACTGATAGCGCAACTGGCAGCTGAGCCGGGGCGCTGGCGATCCCGGGAAAAGCGGGTCCGCACGCCGATTTGACAGACGGGGCTCCGGAGGTGGCTGAGGGTAGCAGATGTGAGGATCAGAGTGAATCACGCTGCTAAACGGCCGCTGAATGACTCGCTCAAGTCGCAGAACAGCGGAGACGGATGTGTTTTGGCTTGATAGTGTAATTAAACACCTGGCAATGCGAACCGAGGTGGGGGAGGATGCAAGATTGACCGCCGATTCAGGTACGAGTCAGAGCAGCCAAGCTGGTGCGAAACTCTCGGGCTAACAGGTGCCGGTCGCTGCTAGTTTGGTGAAGGCGGGCCTGGATCGTCCTGGATTCGCGGAGTCGAAGCGGTCGGGATCGGTCGACGATGCTGAAGTGTAGTGGTGGATTAGGGGCAGGGGTACAGTGTAAAAATCCGTCCAGCGGAATAGGAAGTTGCAAAGGGGACAACTGCACGAAAATCGGCCCTGCCGTAAAGTTGCAATGCTGCGTCGTGCTAGATATTTTGAATCCGGACTTCGAGGGTCCCGGGCTGGTTTTAATATAACACAACGATGCAAGCCCGCGGTAAAAAGCTGACCGGGGTATCAGTCGCGCGCCAAAGGGAAAGGCGCCGGTCGGCTGGTGCTTCGTTGCGCGGCTTGAGAAGCCCGGCGTGTTCGAGGAGTCGCCCAGTGCAACTTGTCAAGCGGCGTTTGACGATTGATTCGCTCTCCTGTTGCAGCGGCAAACAGGGGCGGAGCAGGGTGGGCCTGCTAAGTGTCCCAAGCGAATGGGTAAAAAAAGCGTCGAATGGTTGCTTGGCTATCGTGCTTCAAAACAATGAGCTTCTGTCCGTAGTTGTTGATTTGCCGGCGGTTGCTTTGAAAGGATCTTAGGGTTAGCGGTGGTCGAGATTTGTATGCTTCGCGATGCCGAATCCCTACAGTTGCAGGGAGAAGGGCGGGGAGTTGCCGGCAACTTACAAGAATGTAAGGGACAACCCAAGGGAGAGCCAAGGAGGGATGTCGTTGATAACAGCTATGCGTCCCCCTTTCCTGTTCAATTGAACCACATTTAATCGCAGGGTATACGTGTAAGAGATAAACTGTAGCACGGAGTGTTGTCAAAAAGGGAGGTGTTGCCGACTCTGCCAGGTTGTGATAATACTCTAGAACTCCCACCGCAGAAGCTAGACACTGGTTCTAAAGGGATAGTTAATAAAGTCATGCCCAGGATGCATGCGACTTTAATCATGATCATCCCGAGCCCTTTGCAGCTGGACTTGGAGGTGCACACTGCACTACGTGGCAGTCACCAGCCGAGTGATGCAGCTGCCATGCCTCACTGCTGGCAATTAGACATCAATCCTGGGCCCGAGTCGGTATTCTCTACCCTGGGAATTCTATCTCTACGTTGATTCGGGTGGCTGGCGATTTGCATTCCCAATCAGCATGCACCAGCGAAGGAGTGCATATCACGGTCGATGAATGGCATGCCAGCTCCGCATGCGAGATTTTCGAGTGCTAAAAGATCCTACGCCCGCTGGCTGTCATTGGCGGATCGCCATCCCGATGCTCTGACTTGAAACAACCTGGAAGCGAGGGGTTTGCATATTGCCAGAAGGCCCGGATAGCTTATGATGAAGGAAGAATTGAGGACAGCATTAGCGTCTTCACTGTTGAGAGCGTTTCGACCACTCCCTATCCCCCTGCAGTGAAAACGTCCAGTTCGGTTACGTACCAGGCAGATGATACAGAGGAATGACAACAAGAGGGTTGCAACTTCTCGCAGACTTTTCGCTAGCAGGTATGGAGAGTACCTTATGTACAATACAAATTATACAATACGTGAAATACAGTACATACCTGACCTACCGTTGCTGTGCTTTGTACGGAATATGCTGTCCTGTCCTAGCAATAGACGGTAATAGACCCCTGAGTGCCAAGCGTCACCTCCGCAAGCTCGACGACATGGCGATGAAACGAAACGAACAAAAGCGACGCTGACAACTGGGGTTTAAAACAGTCTCTAGTGTACAGACTGAGAAGGATTCGAGTCTCGTGTTTCTTTGTAACCAGGCTGATCACTTACTTACCACGTGAAGAGTACGAGTTACCCCAGATACCATTGAAGGGAGCTCACCTGGCATCCTATCATGTGAACGTGGGGATGTTGGGGGAGGTCAGGGAGACACAAGATGCAGGGCCCGCGTAGCCGGTCTTGTATAACCCAACCCTATAACCACATGAGCAACACCAACAACCTTCTGACTAGGGACGACCACGAAGTGAAGCAGACACGACCAATATCATAGCAACAGTGGCGTGGTCTTGCCTGGCCAAGGAGCAAAGCAGCCCTTGCATCACCGTTAGGACCTACACTGCCGTTGAGTTCCTGACGAGGAAGGCTCTGAACCGTCGGTCTAGCCAGCTTGGGTGCTTAGGGAGTCGAGGTGAACAAGTCCTAAAATGCAACAGAGCATTGGCGATATTTGGAGAATCTAGAGCTCAGGCTGCCAAGCCATGGCACATTCCGTCGAAACATCGCAACCAAACATTTGCAACGGCCCGATGTTTCAAGTGACTGTGCTCCTCGGACTTCCGTCACGTTTCTTCGGAACACTGGTGGCTAGTATCGGAGAGATTCGCCATTTGAGCCATGTGATGATGGAGACCACACCGGATGCACAGTCACTCCAGCGCAACAAGACTCCCAGTAGTGTACCGCTCGTGCCAACATATCGTACCCTTTCGATGCAGCTTCCCCTGGCTCGTGCATCGCGGCACGGCGAGATGGTTGTAATCACCGTCCGCCTAAGAGGCCAGCACAGACTGAGACCGCCACACCGCCCATTCCCATCGGCAACCCCTCACCAGCGCCAATACCCCACCCTTGCGACGGAGGAGCGACCCGGAAGAAATGCGGGAGGCCACTGAGGCACGCGTCCCCGCATCCTTTCCGAATCCGGCCTTGAGCCGACCCAGGGTTGTGTTGGGATCGAAGTCGGCGTGGCCAGTTCCGCGGCGAAAGCCGTGATTGGGCCGCTCCATGTCTTGGATGAAAACTTGATATGTCGGCCAATTGTGTTGCATACATGGGGCTGCGCTGGGAATGCGTGTGGCACTGGAACATTCTTCTCGGCAGTGTGGTTGTCATGAGAGACCAAACTGGCTCAGCTAGGTCTCTGCGAGCACATGTCGTAGCTTGTAAGGTTTGGGTCGTGCATAAGCCTCGGTTCGGTGTCGGCAGTTGATGTGCCAGCATGACCAATCTTGAAATCTCGGAAGAGGGCGCAGCTTTGAACTTGGGATTCTTGGCAGTGGCTGACAGGCCCCATCGGCTACGACGACTTTGCCCACCAGCCACACTTTCCCCTGCCGCCGCGGCGCGGAGAGGCGGAGAGCTGGTCGTCCACGAGGCCACATACTAGCATTATATAAGCGCTTGGCACATTATTAGCTAGACACCCATGATTGGTTTGATGTATCATTTAGAGAGATCTATGCATTTCCAATATACACCTCCTCCAGCATATTACACGTTAGCGTGGTACTTGCCCCACCCGACTAACCAGAGCTGGCAAAACCCCTGCAGGAGTCAAGAGAGAGTCAAGATACCACCATACACATACAATTTTCTACTGCATACAGAGTACCTAGTACATAATTCTCCCTCCTTCATTTGCAATGACCTGTCTGAGCCGTCGGGGCATTGAGTGAGCTAGTTGCCGTAAGAATTCTATGGGCACTGTATCCCAAGCCTCCTGAATAGCCCGGCGAAGCGGAGCCCGGGTTAACCGCTGAATATCATAGTTTTCCTCGATCCAATTCTTCATCCAGAACCATACATTTTCTATAGGGCTAAGGTCTGGGCTCCGTGCGGGCCATACAATGTAGTCAATCCCAAGTGCTGTCAGTAATGCCTTGGTTACGCGAGCTGCGTGGGGTGCTGCGTTATCCTGTTGGAACCACATGTCTTCAAACTCTATATAAAATGTATGGACCAAAGGGATGATGAACCGTTGATACTTCTCTGCAGTGATACCACCGTACTCCTTCTCCCAGAAGAAGCTAGGTCCTTTGCGACAGCCGGCGAATGAGCCCCAAAACATCCACCCGTGTGGCTTAGTTCG